CAGGGTTCGTCTTCAGATAGGTTCTCAGCTCGGCAGCATCGACCCAAGCAGTGCCAATAAATTTTCCTGGGTCCTTTTGAATGTCATGAGAGGAGTATCTCTACAAAAGGAGGCATCAGAGTGAGGTTGAGACGAGAATTGACCGCAGAAAATTACCCATTCACGAAATCTATCCAGTACATAGGCCGGAACGTTGTGGGCGAGGTCGGGGTCATCGAGCTCGACGTCGTTCATGGCAGTGGGATGGAAAGGGGTGACAAATAATATTTATTACAGAATCTACATATTTCAACATTTTCGTGGCTTTCGGGCGGACAATTTTGGGGATTTGTTTTCGCCGCTCCTGTTTGTAGTAAGTCTGGAACACGCGGCGACGAGATACGCCACTGTGGGCGGTGCCTGCCCACAGTGGCGTATCTCGTCGGGCCTTGGCGGTGCCTGACGAGTATGACTGTGGCGTATGTTGTATATACTCCCGCTATTGATCGCCATGCCGCAGGTTGGGACACTCAGGGGCAAGGCAGTGAGAGTGTGGACAGTCGTATAATGGAGGACGAGGAGAGGAGGAAAGTCTTGATGCAGAGAAGTGTCACGAGTGTGGATGTACCTGGGGCAGTTGGGGCAAAGAAGAAGGGCAAGAGCGTAGACATCAAGCGGTAAGTGTTATCACAATCATGAGGCCAAGTATTGCGTTATCATCACTAACGGCCATATATTCATCGTGAGATCAGTGAGTTCGCGAGGAAAGACATCGATTTCGCAGAGAAACGCAAGAAAGTTGACGAAGAACTCCAGATGATGCAGGTCAGTCGGCATATCGCTGCCTCTGAGCTTTTGTGCTACCCAACTCATTTCGATATACGTGCTCCAGCGTGAAATACATGGGCGCATACCAAGGCATTTCAACGACAACATGAGCAAGCATCACCAGGCCTACGCTAGCTCTTCCACACAAAGACGAGATATAGCCAAGACACAAGCGGACCAGGTGCCTGAAGCGCACGGAGAGGAGCTGATGTACCGGGTGAAGAAGGTCAGATATCTTATGTAGTTGTGTCACGTATTTCTCCCTGGCGGAACAATGGTTTGACTGGCGTAGATTCTTGCAGAATGCCAAGGGAACAGGGAGTATCAGGAAAGCATGACGTACCTCCTCGATCGTATCGACGAGTATGCCCGAACTGGTCTACGTTCTCCAGATTCGGCTGCAGCCAATTCAGACGCTGTCGATACTGGTTTGGGAGAATACAACCTAACTTCGGTATGTCTTTTTTTACTCGGGTTCTGATATCTGACTCTGAGTTGAATTGTGTGGCGGTGGCGACGTCGTTTACAGGACCCAGCCCTCCAGGAAGTCCTCTTCAGTTTAACCACCCTGCTCGAACGTATCGCCTCCGGGAAACGGGTTGGCCTTATTTTCATCGCCATCGACACTCTCTTCATCGAAGCACATGCCGACAACGATTTTTGGACATGGTTCTCGCACGACCTATTTCCCTACGTACGCAAACTCTTACTTCAACCGGGTTACATCCTCAAATCCTTCGACGATCCCACCAACGCCAACGCAAGCCCTTCCCCACCCAAGTCCCCCACTGCGAACCCTATATCCCTCGGCGCACACAGCACGCAGTCTGGCAACGTGAGAACAAGTAACGAAGCTGAAGAAGACGGACGCCGTGTACGAGAGGCTGGGTTCAAGTTCTACGGCGATAGATATTTACAGCAGTTCGAAGCCTTGAGAGAGGTGCTAGTGGATTGGGTGGAGGGTTTCCTGGAGGATGAGGCGAACGATAGGCTTTGGGAGGCGACGAGAAGAGTGTGGAGTGATCTGCTCTATTCGGGTGGCGATGAAGAAACAGGTGAAGGTGCGGAATTAGTGTTCAAGAGGCAGATGTGGGCGGGAATGGTCAAGGCATTTGTTCCAATTCTCGTTGCACAGGTATATCCTGCGCACCTCATCAATCAGAATGAATGCTGACGTCGATGAATGCATTGGTGCTGCAGGTGGACACAGTTCCTATTCCACGTATAGAGCTGTCGATGCCTACCTTCGACCTCGTACTCGAGAACATACTCCTAAAGATCGACGCTCTCCTTCCCAGCTCCGTCACCATCGAAGCTCACAATTCTCTCTCTTTTTCCCCCTACTCGAGAACGTCGGAGTCTTCTACGAACTACCGATATACCCACTACGACGAACGGAAACACGAATTTAAGATTACATTGGAGGGAATATATATCGATGTCAAAGATGTCGGTGTATTCATGAGGAAGAAGAAGAAAGAAAATGCTCTTCCACTGCCAGTCCCGAAGAAGATGAGGAATAGAGTCATCGAGGAGAGCTTAGTGGATCTCGCGGTGGTCGGTGAGGGTATCAAGGTGAGTTTCCCTCATCACTTCCCTTTGCTTGACCATTCTCTATGAACACTCAACGCGGACATTATCACCACCTCTCTATAGGTCATGGTACATATGGTCTTCAGCCAGAAGGCCACAGATCCCCGGACCACATTCACCATCAAAGACGTGCATGTTTCAATCCCAGATGTGCAGCTTGTCATACGAGATCTCCCCTTCTCTAGACCCACCATCCCTTCCTCCGCCAGGAAGACCACCAAAGAACGAAACCCTGATACACCAGTAACTGCGATCCCGAAATCTAAATCCACTCTATTCGTTCGTGCACGGGGAAAGAGCGTTCTTAGGCGAACGCTGAAGCCAATCGCGGTGGCGATCGTCAAGCGGAAGATGAAGAAGGCATTAGAAGAAGGCATACGTGATGGTGTGACGAGGCTGGTTGATATGGCTTTAGACTCGACGTCCAATGAGTCTGTGGGCCCGAGGCACGAGATGGAGAAGGAACGAGGAACTCGAGACGAGAGGTCGTGGAGTACCGCCACATTAGGTCGTCTTCGCCGCAGGGGCGGTGGCGGCGAAGGTGGGGCAGGCGACGGTGGGGCAAGAAGGAAGGTACGGGTGGTACTGAGGAAGGAGGAGGCGAAAATGAGGTGGGCGAATTGGGACGGCGGTTGGGTGCATAGGATTCGAGAAGTCATGCAGGGTCCGTTTCAACGTTCTGCATATCAGAAGAGCAAGGGCGAGGACAAGTGGAGGTCCAATGCGTACGTACCTGGTTGCTCATTGGTCTCATAAATGGGATAGCTGTGACCCATCTAACAACATTTGCTCCATAGATTTTCGATCTCGAAGCGGTGAGGGCACTCGTCGTCACGCTCGATGTCGACAGCCACATTCTCCTTTTGAGAAAATACTGATCAAATGGAATTACATAGCTGAGATGTATGCTCATATGACTCAGTGAAAATGTGGCTCAAAAATGTATGATGAATGTCCACAGGGCCTTGGTTACGAACCTTGCAGAACTGGGTCAGACGTGGTAAAGACTTAGTGTCACTGCCGTTCATGGGCTATGTAATCATGCATTTCGCGCCTCGAAAGTCCTAGGTCCAACCCTGACGATGCCTTCGACCTTGTGCAACAAGCATTCCAGAGTTTCCGGTTGAGATTTCGTGTAGACCCACAGTGTGGTGTCGTGGACAGTCGCTCTTTGTTCTCTGAGTCTGACCGATTCGGACTGGTCGAGATAGGAGATCTTCTGTGATCTTATCGAGAAGCCACTTCCTTCCGAGATGGAGCACGTGGCGGCGTTTCCGGATTTGACGCGCTGTCGTCATGCGTTGGTCTTTCGGCGGTGACCTTTCGGAATCCCTCCACTAGTTTCTAACGACTGCTTCCAAAACATATCCGTTATCCGAAATTCATATATCTGAACAAGTATCTAAACCTCTGGCGACCTTGCGTGGTCTCTGAATTTGTCTGAAACCGTGTCGTGATCGACGAACCCGTTAGCGCTTGACATGAACAGGTCCACCGCAGCTGGGAGGTCAAACCCGCACGAACTTCGTGAGGAATCTCTTCACCAAGCAAGAGCAGGGTATGCGGCCGGTCTAAACTGCCCCCAAGGACAGGCTGCGGAGCTACAGTAAGTCTGATATGACCTTCGTATATTTGGAACAGGGTATTCTCGGGACGCTCACTACGGGTCTGAAGGACGAAGTTCCTCAATCCCTCGGTCATCGACGCCTCTCTACGCACTCAGATTTCGAACACATCAGACGAAGTAATGATGAACTTCTGACAAATTAAACCTAAAACAAGATTCGCTGACTGACCACTTCGTTGCTTTCTGCTGGCAGGTAGACACGCTTTTGACCACTAGTATGTGACAAACACCCGTCGCCAGCACAGCCCGTTCTTTGTATCGAAACAACGAACCTGAAATATTCTGTTTACAGCACATCCATATTCTCAACCAGACTCAGACCCACTTACCAAGTTGTCGAAGAAACGTTCCCTCGGTATAACAGAGACAACTTCAGCTACGGCCGCAAAGCGACAGAAGACGCACCAGCTCCTGGGAAAGGTGAACAACCAGATAGTGAGTGATGCCACACTTGTGTCTATTCTTCTCCTGAATATGTGTTCATGTACGGTAGGCCATGGAGGAAATGACGCATCCGGACTCTGCTCCACAGTACTTCGAGCCCGACGACTCTGGTTTTGATCATTTTCCTATCACCCACATAATGCGACTTGGAAACGTAACAGAAAACCAGTCAAAGAAAGCAGGGAAGAAACCGAAGAAGGACCATCATATATACCAGGACCTATCGGCGCTTCGAACAGAAGTTGCCCTCAGCGGTACGTGATTCCGAGTTAGACAAACTCCTTCTTCTCCATCGGACGACCGTCTGTCTCATTTCTTCCCCTTGCAGAAACGGTAGTATCTGGATTTGCCTTGAGTTTCGATGGTGGATATGGTCTTGTCATCCGTGATAAGACTGTGCTTCGCACCCACATCTTCTTCGAGTTAAGGGAATGGGTTGAGTCGTAAGCTTCTCATTTCAGATAGCTTGACGACCACAGCACTGATCTTACCCTCATATCATTATAGAGACCGCTTCAAGTTCGTCATCGGATTTGAAGACTCTCGTGAGGGCCCACTGTCCGGTAGCCTCATCCGCGCGATTTGCTCGTTCCGCGGCGCACTATCACCTAGCCGCATCAAATATGCAGCTCTCTGGGATCTTTTCACGAAGTCGTTCGCTCCTGGCCTGGTCTTCGAGGGCTACCCTTCCAGCGTAATCATTTACCGCGACCGCGACCGAACTTCATCCGTGGTTTCCCAAATGATATCTCGTAATCTGAAGGGATTTGAGGATTGGGGCCACCGAACCCTTTACAAATGCCCTGGATGTTCCGGAATACTCCCCCCTTCCCTGGTCGAGAATGACACCTCCGGCGACGTGGCGAAATATCGATACCGGTGCCCACGCTGTCATTGGTATCCTCACGATCTATGGCTACTTCCTCCACCTGGATCCTATGGCGCTCGTTTCGTCAACAAGAACAGCACGATCAGTCAGAAGAAGTCAGATCCATCCGAGCTATTTTATACTCATGATTATATTCCCCGCGCCACTTCCGAACATGAGCGTCCACTCAACGATGGCGAGAGCAGCACTACTTCCGTCGCAGAAGACAATGTCAACGGCGACTATGTGGCTCAATGCTTTGAGAGGTGGTTGAAGACCAACGAGCGTGGGTATCCACCAAACTCAATATTGTGGGACCGGTGGTTGACGACGGAGAGAGGGAGAGCGCATTCAGAATGCGTCGCTGCTGTCAAGGAGGGACGAGACGTGCCGCAGTTCGATAGTTCGGTATGGAAGGCTGAGGACGATAGCTTTTGGGCCGAGTGGCGAACTTTCATGCCATTCGCCACAAGAAAGGAAAAAAGGAAAGCGAGATCCAAACAGGTGAAGGCGAGGAAGAGGGCTCAAGCGAAGGAGAACGAAAAGAGATTGGGTGGTGGTGAAGAAGAAGGCGAGATCGAAGACGGTGAGATCGACGAAGTCGTCGCGGAAGTAAGTACAGTCCCGTTATTTTCGTACATTGGTCGTTGACGGACCAGCGTCTTCAGGTACATGGATCTCAGCCCTAGCAATTTGGCTCGAATATTTTGCTGCTTATTTCATGGGCGTACCATCGGCCAAGCATTGTATGTCCTGGTTCGGGTTGGCAACACAGCGATGTTTTCGGCCCACGATAAACTTTGCACGTTCGCACTTCCTGTTCACACCAGAATTTGGCAGGCACTGTTCCCTGTCGACCGCCTCCAAAGATCATAGGCTCCATGCTCCCTTCAAGGTTAGCTAGAATACCTTCACAGGCTCAGACTGCATCGTCCTCGATGTCAAATTGATGCAGATTAGGTCCGTAAGTGTGATGTATTCTACATCTCCCGTTCAGCTTCCTTCACTCCCGTCGACTCCATCCACAACAACACTTAGACCTTCTACAACTCCGTTGAAACCGCACACCCCGGAATCATCAACTTCTACTTCATCAACTACATCGCCGACAACGCCAATGGCCAACCAATGGCTGGAACAACGGGTACGGAGCGGGCTGTTTGAATTATAATGGGCTCGCTTGTTTGAGTATCTCCCTAGTAGTTATAAGGTTAGTACTGGAGCTCTGAGGGCTTGTAGCGCTTGGGTCGTTCAATTCAAGTTCAATATTTGTCAGTTTGCGAGCTATTATAGAACAGGCGAAAGTTACGATTAGAGGGTGGCGTCCGATACAGAATGATATACATTTTTATAGTGGTTGAAGGACTTCCTTATGTCCTCCCGACGTTTTGCCATAGGAATTTGTTCGATGTATTTGTTCCTAACTCCGATGCTTCTGCGGGTTTGCTTTGGGTTTGCTGCTTTCTATTGCCCTCGCCAACGTGGCGAACAGCAAAAGTGTGGCAAGATCTAATCTAATCTTCTTGAATATTATCTCTTCAGTAGCGCATCGCGCAACGCACGCTCTGCGCCAACATTAATGCTCTTGAAGCTCTCCTTTTTCTTCACGGCTTCCAGCATCCCCCAAGCCCCATAACTTGACTTCAACATCGACCAGTGGTCTAACTCCTAACTGTAGCTTGTATAGGCTAGTCGGCCTCTTGTGATCATGTTTCCTCCCGCAGGACTTCCACTGTTCGGCCAACTGCTTCTCATCTCAGACCAACTGGCCGCGCCAGCAGATTTTCTCCTTCACGACATGGTATCTTCGCACCTAAGATCACGACAACTATCCTCGGAAGGGATATCACCGAAAACACACTCGTCCAAAGCCGTTGTGGTGTCGGTTTCGCAGTCGCTCGCTCGGTGGAGAGCAGTTGGGTCGAAAATGGTGCGTCCGCTCTCGGTGTATACGGTTTTGACTGGCCTAATCTTGCGATCGGATGAATCGTGTGAATTCAGGGCTCAAACGTGGACAGGAATATAGATGAAGGGAATTTGCTCTTTCTTGACCTCCACGATACGCTCTTCGACCCTGATGAACCACCCAGTCTTCGTCCTGTCTTCGACCTTATCCGAAGTACCGTGAGCAAGATCAGTCCATTGTATCCAACCCAGCCCGAGACAGACACTGTACTAGTAGTGGTAGAGGATATCTCCACCATCGAATGGTCAGGGTACTCGACGAGCGAAATTAGCAGGTTCTGTCGTGCTCTTTCCGCGTTCTGTGCGAGGGTACGTCGCGTCTTGTTCCAACAGCCGCTGCTTTCTCATGTCACTTTCTTCCAACCTCGGTTGCTAGAGGAGTTCGTCCCTCGTAATACGACATCACCTCCTTTCTCCCGAAGAGCCGGATGAACTCTTTCGATCATTGTATCAATTATGCGCCTCCTACATTGAAGTACGACCGCTAGCCAGTGGGAGAAGCGGTGCCGTTAGTGGCGAGGTGAGCTCTCTTTTACCAATTTATACCTTTATGGTGCTTTTCGCACCACTCCCTTCTCCGAAACCTCCCACTGTGATTAGTGTTCCTCAGACCTCCTGTCCTTCAGTTTTGCGTTTCCCGATTCATGGCACATCTGCCGTACTAACATCTCTCATCTTGCAGGTATCTCTGTATCCTGGCCCGTCTTATATGCTGTCTGCCAACATATCGTCACATAGCCATCTGATTCTTCGGGATAAGGCCCTGCAGTACCGTCTAACCGACACCGGTGCGACATTCTTCGAGCGGGGCACCGGAGGAGCTGTCTTATAATCTGTATCCATACTTGATCCCAATGTCTTTTGTGCTCGACTGGCCAGAACGAATGGCCTATGCACATATCTAATGCTTGATCGTGCTGCTATGATCCTCTGCTCAGACTGGTGTCTCCAGTGTCGATCTCTTCTTGCTACTGCCCCGGTCCATTTGCTATAATTACCTGACTCCTGCTGCCTTCCATAGCTCCACTCCATTGGTAGCAATTAACATCCGGGTGGCTTTTCCTCTACAACGATACACGACTTCTCAGTGCCTTCAATGGACTCCAGCTCGATGAGTTCGAATGGCGGTGGCGCAGCCAAAGTGTCGGTAACCCGATAGCCTGGCGTCACAGCTCGCCACCTTGGGCGACATTTCGAACCGGCTTCCACCACCTCTATACCGTGCACGCCCGCTCTCTATCTCGCCGAGAACTCCACCTGACACACGATCCATAATATTGAGCTGGTTCTCAACTTAGACCGCGACTCGCAACGACTTACGACGTTAGACCCATCTCAATCTCAGGTTCACTCACGTAATATCCGTCCACGCAGACCACTATACCACACCCCGTCGTACCACACGTCCTCGTATCCAGACCCGCCCGCCAACAACGATACCTCACTTATCATCCACTCGTTTTCTCCAACTCTCCATTACCTCAACATGCTCGACACCCACAGCCCCGAGCGTAAACCCATTATCAGCCGAATCACTCAACCCGCCGATTCCGGCGCACTCACTCTCCAACACCAACAATCCCTCTCCGAGCTCAACTATCTCCGCTCCCAAATCCAACGTACCGAACACGCCAACGCTCTGCGTCTAGAGCTCATCGAAAGCCAGCACCAACGTTCCATTGAGGAACTCGAGCGAAACCATTCTCTCGAGATCACGTTGCTCAAACAAATCCGTAACACGCAGGCCCTCCAGTCTCACGCTCCCGGCGACTCGAAGCATACGACAGACGAGTTGGTTCAGAAGCATCGTGCTGAGGTCGAGAGCTTGAAGCGAGAGTTTGAGAAACGTCTCGTTGAGCGGAACGTGAATTCCGGGAAGGAGATTGGGCGGCAGCATCGTGCTGAGATAGAGACGATCCAACGGCAGTGCGATGTGCGAGTGAAGGAAAGTGTCCAACGTGCGACGAAAGTAGCAGCGAAGAAAGAGACAGAGCTTCTGAAGAGCGCGGAGGAGAGACAGGAGAAACAGGTGGCGGAGTTGGAGGGGAGGTTGAGGATGCGGGAGTTGGATTTCGACCTTGTTCTTAAGGAGAAGCAGGAATTGGAGGAGAGGTTGAGGAAGAGGAATTTGAGTGATTATTTGGCCTGTCAAGAGAGACAGGAGCTGATGAAGAAGATGGAGACGTCGATTGAGGTGGCAAGGGCCAAGGAAGAGCGGTTGGAGAAGACCCTCATGATGAAGGTCCTCGATCTGGATCTTGTCATGCTGGAGAGAGATGGGTTGGCGAAAAAGTTGGCGGCGGCAAGGATGCGCGAAAAGGAGATGGTGAAAATGAGGTATGATCTAGGTCGTTATATGTTACATTCGCGCTAACATATACTGTCGCTTTTCATAGGAGATGCATAGCGACTATCAAGGGAGAGAACCGGACCCTGTGGAAGGACGTCAAAGTTTTGGAAGTTCTGGTATGATCCTTCCTCGCATGCACGGAAGACGTCGTCTCTTACATAATTTTTTCGATGAAAAAGAGGGGCATCTCGCAACATGACATCAAACTTGCAACTAACGCGGTCTATAACTGTGCCAACTCCCAGGCCGATGCTTCTGACTCTTCTATGACTGGTATGATATTCCACTCCCCACACCCCGCTCAATTTCCATCACCTTACTCATCTGTCTACTCGTAGATGCCTTGGACTACTCTAACTCGGAATCGTCGTTCAGTGCTTTCTCCGGTGCTAGTGGTGAAGTCGTGCGTGCTCTGTATTCTTTCCTCCGATGTTGTGCAGACTGACAGACCTACGTATAGACTCCTGACACCTCAATGTCTACGCACAAACGTACACGTTCCGACAGCGAAGATTCCATAATGTCATCTCGGTCATCATCGTTGCTGAAGCGCATCAAGTTGGACCAGCATCACAACTCACCCCTACGTATTAATCCATCCGAACCCAGGCCGACCCCTCAAGAGAAGCCTGCCCCAACGACAGCGTCTCCTACCTCTTCTCCTTGTAGCTCAGGAGCTCTTGAGCGTCTCGACAGGTTGAGTACGAACCTGGTCTTAGACGGTGTGTAGTCTACGTCTTGAATATTTCAACGTCAAATTCTTACTCGGTTGACGGTTTGTAGCATGCGACCGTGCCACTTCTACGCCGATTATTCTGCATGCCGTTACTCCTTATTTCCAAGGCGGCTGTGGTCTGATAATCACGCGACCTGGCGTGTTTGCGAACACGCCTATCCATCAGGAAATGCGGAAGGCGGTCGAAGCGTACGTTATATACAACACCATCCCCCTTCGATTGTTTACCCCTGCGATCTTCCTAACCAGTTTTACATGCGATCCATAGTGACCAGTACAAATTCGTGATCAGCTTCTCAAAGGCCACCCAAGAGCCCTCGCCTCCATCTTCCAACACCTCCGCTACTGATTGCCCTACATTTCCCCTCTCCCCGTACGGATCGGGCGCCCTTCAGCACCACATCCTCAATTTCTGCGATACTCTCGCTGCTACTCAGGACGCGACACCGTCGTTCCTACATCGGCTGGTCAACAGCTCGTTCGCTCAATCGTCGGTTTCGGATGGCTTCAAAGATATGTTCCCGATCATGATTTATCGTGACCACCATACCGGCACTGTTGTCTCTCGCTTCTTCACGTTCTCGGCAACCGACAACAGTATTACGGGCACCGATAATTCGGCACCAACACAAGATGGACCGACGGAGAGGATATGCTCAGAGTCGGGGACGGGAGTGCTGACAGTCGATGGCGAAGATCTGCAAACAGCAAGCGACTCGGGGAGTGATATGGATTCGAGGAAAGTTGGGTTGAAGTCGGAGGATCCTCTCCTTTCGGGTGTTCTGGCAACGCCCCTCGTGCCACTATACGAGTCGGAGAGTAGTGGGAGCGAAGGAAGCGTTGTCGCTGTCGGCATTATGGAGACATTGAGGCAGATTCGGCATAAGCACTGAATTTGAACGGTTTGGGGTGTCTGTTCACATCCTGGTGATGCTGGATTCGGACACGACTATTCTCATAAATGTATACTATCACACTTTGTATGGATACCTATGGTTAACCTTTGTAGACAAAGGAAGATGGGCGTATGGAGGAGAGCACTTCGTTCGTGCGGCAAAATAGAGCTATCGTACCTAGATTTATCACACATTCTACCCGTCAAAGAGACTCGATGATCTTGAAGACGCAGTACAAGACAAGTGAAGCTTCAGCCAAACAGCTTGGGAGTAACCTACATATTTGATACAGTTGTACAGGAAGTCCACAATACAGATGGTGAAGTACAAATGTACAGAAGAAATTGATGCTCTACGGAACCATGACGATCATCGCCTCGCCTCGCCTCAACTCGCCACCCGATCAAGGCCTGACCCTCTTCGACCACAACAGATCCGACCTCTCCAACGCCTCCTAGTCGAATCTCGGAAACATCACACCTTTCTCGAGCGATGCCACAATCCGGAGATGCGCTCTTCCCCTGTCCGTATCCAACCAATCCTTCCAAACCTGCTTGCCTTCGCCTCCCGAACGCCACTCCCTAAACTTCCTACCAACGTAGTCGCTCAGCTCCCTCTTCACAGGATACGAGTATAAGAACGTGTCCGTTGCGATCTTCATCAGGCACGTTGGTGGAGGTATAATAGGCATCTTGCTGCTCAGACCGATACCCCAGTAGCACCTCGTGCAGGCAAAATGTGTGATGTTAAGGGCGTCTGTGGTCGCTTGAAGAACTGGACTAGTGGCGGCACATTCAGGGCACTTGTAGCGATTCGGCAGGCCCCAGGCATCGCCCAACTGAGAGAAACAAATGACGAAAGAGGTGATAGATCTCGTTGGGTCGCGAAGGATAATGACCGGAGAGAATCTTCCGAGAACATGCACAGAGCGGGACCCAAAGGATGAGACGAAGGCCTGCCAGATACCCGAACAAGGGCGAGAGGAGAGGATGGAGGAGAATGCAGCGATCTGACGCGAGACAAAGTCCGGAAGCGTGCCCGCCTGGTCGTACTCGAAGCCGACGACGAATTCAAAGTGATTGCTGCGCAGAGAGAATACCATTATCAGTCAAAAGAATTCGCTTGACGAGAGGAGGAAGACCGAAGTACGTACGACTTAACAAAATCATGCATCTTCCAGAAGATGGAGAGATCTGGCCGAAGGTAACAACTAGTGAGGATTAGCCCACGACCACCAGTCGAGTTGGGGTCGGCACCGCCGATAATCATGTCTTCAGAAGACATATAGAACGCTTAAAAAGCATGCGTCAGCATCTTCTTCGTTTACTGCAACCACATGCTACTGACCATCGAGCGTAACTTGCCCCGGCCACTCGGGAGTGGAAGCTGGTTCGATAACTTTCGACGCGCCTGGTGGTTTAAAACAACCCTCCACTGTCATAGGAGAATCCATGGTTTTAGCCAAAGTAGCCGATACTTCGGGAGAAGTAGATTGCAGAGTATTATTTGGGGCTTCTTCGATCTGAAAGCAGTTAGGGAAAAAACGTAGTCGTGAAAACGCGAGAACATACGTTAGAAACGGTCGAGCCATCTTTGGCTTCAATCTTCTCTCGTTCTGAGTGGGGAGGTTGAACCGCCAGCGCAGTCTTCGTAGACAAAGTCAATCCTTTCTGCGAGGTCTCATCTTTCGTCGACTCAAGTGAAACATGGTCAAGGTCTACATCAATTGGCATCGGTTTCAGAGAAAAGGTAATGGTCTAGAGGCATCGATCTATGGGACCCACCTTCAAGCTTGGGAGATACCGTCTTGTGGATACCGTCTGTGGGGATCATGATCGGTGGTGTACTCTGCGATGGTGTGCTTTGCACAACAGACTGTAGGTCCATATCAGTATCTATACCAGTGTGAGAATTGTATGGAGCATACGGAAGGGACATGAGCGGTCGATTGATCGTGGAGTGTTGGTGTTGCTCGTCTCAGCCTAGCAACTTCTTTCCTATTGGGAACCAGAGGGGTCAGCGACGTGCCACGTCAAATTAAGAAGATGCAGAACGTACTTGAGCTTTTCAATCTCCCTCTCTCTTTCCTTTACCTCGCGATCCTTGGCCTTCAGCGCGATAGTTTGAGTGTCTTCGTGACTGGGAACCTCCACCTTCACGTGAATCGCGTCGTGCTTCTGGTCCTCGCTGGACTTCTGCTGTTGTAGGAGTAGTTGGAGGTTAAGCTGGCATTGAAGACTCTGAAGTTGAGAGTCCCGTTCGTTGGCAAGGATATCGAGACGGAGAGCACATTCACGCTCGCTGCGTTCAAGCTGCTTGCGAAGGAATGCGACTTCGGCGAGGGCCTGGTGAAGTTGTTCTGAGTGAGCGTGCATGTAAACGAATGTGGGTGAGAAAAAGGAGGGCGATTGGGAGCGTATCGCGCACGGCGTGGATAGGTTGTGAGTGGTCCAGAGGAAGCTTGAGAGGAAGTCAGCGCCGATGACAAGTCCAAAACGAACATGAGCGGGGAACCTGAATCTGCTGTGGCACCGGCTTCGACCGACTAAGTATTCGGGCCACACGGATGGCTTTACTCATCATGACCCGGTCTGACAACAGTCCAGAACACTTAGACTACCTCACACCCGCCCAGCTTGTCGTCTTCAAGCTCTCAAGGCGATCGCGGTCCACAGTCGAACTTGAACATGTGGCATACAAGCGCAAACAACGCCTGCGCCACACCTGACTCACGGGCACGGACAGTCGTGTATCCGACCCTCATACAAAGGCGTTTTCTTGTCTCCGAAAAGTCGTCTATATCTTCGATTGAAGTACCCGATGTTCTCCTATCAGGTGTTTGCTTCCATCGGTGACAAGCTCTCCACTGGGCTTTGGACATTGTTATGCAGTGTTTCTAGACAACTGCAGTTTCCGCCGATGATTTCCGAGAAAGTTCGTTCATTACTTCCTGCCGTTCTGACTCTTGATCTAGACAGGTATGTATGCCGCAGCGCATACGTAGCGATCCAACCTCAATATAACCTCTCAAAATAATGGAGCTGGTGGGTGCTCCTTCGGCGACATATGATTGTGAGCATCTCGTCCTGTACCTGGCCACGATTTCTCAGCCGCATATCATTTATACTCCAGCCGACTCTAGGATTCGACACTCATATCATGCACCTTGTCCCCAGAGCCGATCATGACTAGAAGCAGTTTGACGACATTCCCCGAGGCTTCGTGTGCTGGCCTCGCATCGACCCATTCCTTATGGATTTTTTTTTTTTTTTTTTTTTTTTTTTTTTTTTTATTTTCAGTGTTTTAGCGTGCATTCGCGTGATGAACTCTATTTCCACATCTCCTTCACCTATCGCACATCCCAATTAAGTCTTGGCCGCGATTGCAGGATCGCCAAACTTTTGTATGCTCCCACTCGGCCGACGTTCACTTTCACCACCTATCCTTCGGCAGTCTGAATACTGCAACGTCCTTCCCACCACGATCGCTAGAGTCTTGTCTTAGCGCCACCATTGCGACTTTAAACTATCTTTGTCTCGCATGTCTCGACACACGCCTCATCTCGACGTACGTCTTTATGGGTGTTGATCTATCTCGATTCTGACATATAAACCCCCTTGTCTAGACATTGTACCAACCTGTCCTGGTCACCGTTCCTTCGCCTGTCATGGATGTGCGCATACTCGTCATCGTAGTCGGTGATCAGACCTCACAATTTCCTCAGGCCACTTCACGATTCAACAGCAGCCTGGCTGTCACTTCCCCTCCCATTTGCCTCCCATCACCACATCGTCCATGGGGGGCGCGCTGTGCTGACGGCTCGGCCCTGTTGTTTGCCCAAACCCCTCGAAGGCATTGTGTAGAAATGCACGACAACGTTCAATGAGGCCGTGACTTCTTCTGTGCTTCGCAATTCCCGCATGGTCCGTGCGCGACTGGACTTCTACGCCACACTTTCGCGCCACTCCCCTTCCATTGCCGACTCCCCCACCGGCGCGTGGTCGTCAATGCAGTCTCCTTTCCAGTGGTCGCATTATTGAATGCAGATTACAATGGACTCTTCTAGGTGCTGCTGGATGCTTCCGAGGGTCCTTTTAGAAGGAAGACGACGGCGACAAGGAGGGCTCGGGAAGTGGATGCTCCGATGTTTCCCGAGTGAGAGTTTATTCTCATTTTTCTAATAAATAAAACATGTAAATATAATGGAATATCGCTATGAGAGATTTCCGGTACGAGCTCCTGAACCAATTTGCAGTCGTCTCCTGTCTTAAAAAATTGCGCAAGGATGTGTGGCGACCAATGAGCATCTCTTTGCCGAGAAGGGCTGAAATGCGCGATCGCGCTTATGCGGATTTTGCCGAACCGTCTCGCTCTCGACCACCACCAACGACCGCGAGCGTTCACCGTCGACGTGCTCCCCCTTCAGCCCTCTCCATCCCTCACTAGCCCATCTTCCGCTACGAAAAGGACGCGTAGTAGACAATGAGCGCAACAAAGAAGACGCCAAAAGGCAGCAGCGCGAAGGAGTCCGCGTCGGCCAAGTATGAGCTGAGGGATATCGTGCTAGGCAAGATGCGCGGCTTCCCTCCTTGGCCTGGTATGGTGCGTCTCTCTTTCGAATCACGACTCTTCTCGTATTCAGGATGCGCCGTTTGGTGCATCTGCAATGGACTATGCTGACATACGCGTTTCTCTTGTGCTTTTGGGACTTTATCCGCGTTTCGCGCATGTCTACCCCCTGGATATCGTGTGATGCGTCGCGTCTTGCTCGACGTGGTATACTTGGTCGCGCTATCGCCAAATGCGGTATGCTACTGTGTGGTAGGTCGTTGACCCCGAGTCGGTCGGGCCCGCCGTCTCGAAGGAGAAACCGCAGAACAAAAAACAGACGTTTTATTGCGTCAAGTTCTTCCCCAAGGGCGACCAGTAAGTATTTTATCCTTCAACCATCCTTTTTACTCCATATCCATCGTTGTTACTCCACTATTCCTCGCCCAGTGGCCTGGTACAGGGCGTTGTTGCCCATTATGGTCTTATCATCCGTATTACCCCTTGTCACCCGCTCCCTCTCCTAGCTTTATCGTTTTTCTTTCCTTTTCATTTCTTTCTACATTCCCTTTATATCCTATCTTGCTTTGTTGTCCGTCTATGACGTCGTCCGCTCACCACTAATTTTGACCTACCATTCAGCGCCTGGCTAGTCCCAAAAGACATGTCCCGCCTCCAAACCCACGAGATCCAAGCCTACCTGAACGAACCCAGCAAACGGTCTGGCGAACTCCTCACGGGCTACAAAATCGCTCTCGACCCCACAAAATGGGAAGAAGAAATTGCCACTGTGGCAGAGAACGAGGAAGTCGACCAGCTCGGTGATGACGACGAAGATGGTGAGCCCGAGGCCGAAGAGGATGAGAGTCTAGGCATCGAGAGCAACGAGCGAGATGTGGAGATGGAAGCGAGTGGAAAGAAGGTTGCGGGTAAGAAGAGGAAGAGAGAGACGGAGAAGAAGGGTGCTGCGACGAAGGGGAGAGCTGTGAAGAAGGAGAAAAAGGAGAGTGCGGAGCCAAAGGAGAAGAAAGAACCTGCAACGAAGAAGGGCGGCGCGAAGAAGGGGACGAAGAGTAAGGCGATGGTCGAGAGTGAAGACGAAGGGGAGAAGGGTGAGAAGGCTGCTACCGCTAGTGGAGAGGGCGCTGGCACCGTTGAGGGAGATGACGCGGGCCCCAGCAAGGTCGCCAGCCCGCCAGCGAAGAAGGCGAAGAAGGATGACGATCGTGCGTACTTCTTTCGGTTTTTCGTGAATTTTTCGGTCAGATCGACTTCGCCGGATCGCTGATTTCTTGCGTTTTCACAGCGATGGCCTCAGATCCTGAGGCGCTTAAAGTTAGAGAATGGAGACATCGACTCCAGAAGACCTTCCTCACCGATGCGAAGGAGCCCAAACCGGAGGTATGAATTTTTCGGTCTATTTTCGCCACAATTTCGCGCAATTTCTCGCGCTGATGGATTGATCCGACGTTTTTGACGTGCTCTCCTGTGTTACAGGATATGCCAGCATGCGACGAGCTGTTTACCACCATCGAACAGTATGACAATATGAACATCGGTTACCTCCAAGTACGTCTTGCTGCTCCATCCCGCTCTTTTTCATCCCCCCATGCCTTTTTACCCGTTATCTTTTTTTTATTAATGGCTCACCCATGCCATTGCTTCTACTCCTACCTTTTACCCCGTTCATCTTGTGTCTTATTGACTGCATGCTCCATTATCTCACACGCAAAAATCTACAGTTCTCCAAAATCGGCAAGGTCATGCGCCACATTTTCATGCAACCGCCACAGAAGATCCCCCGGGACGACGAATTCAAGTTCCGCGATCGCGCTAACGTCCTCGTCGAGAAGTGGCACGGACTGGTCAACGCTAACAAGGAGCCCGCTACCACCGCTACCACCACCGTCACAGTCACCCCCGCCACCGATGGCACTCCCACCATAGCTACTGCCACTACGACTGGTACGGGTGCTGCACCCAGTGTCGCGGTCACGACGGGCGCGGAGGGCACCGTTACGGCAAGCGTGGTCACGGAGAATGGCGTGGAGGGGAAGGAGAACGGGGATGTGAGTATGGCGGAGGGGGCTGCTGGCACGAAGGAGAATGGCGTCGCCTCGGTGAAGGCGGTAAATGGGGATGCGTCTATGACTGACGCGAATGGGGACGCCGAGAAGGTCGATGGCGCAGATGTCGTTATGAGCGAGGCTTAGGCCGTGCTCGTGCTTTACGAGAAGACAGCGTAGGAATGGAATGGAACGGAGCCGAAGTTGAACGAGACGGTGAAGGATAAAGGATGATAGGATAGGTGGCTGGCTGCTGATGAATTGTTCTACTGCTTTGTTTCACTTCCTATTTTCCCAGTATCTTTTCTTCTTTCTTTTTCACGTCGTACCATATTGTCATTTTCTCGGCGCTTGCCTAAGTGTGCTCCCTGGACGGTATCATCTCATCCTTAGTACCGTTCTGCTTTTCTCCTTCTCTGTGGGCCATCTTACTGTCGAATCTGACACGCCACAGCCTTTTGCTTTTGCTTTTGTTGCTCCTCTGATATAATCCCTCCTCAGATCTGTCCATCTCTTTCTTGTCTTCTTTCTCTCTAGTTTGGCTGGGGGTGTGCTGGTATCGGATGTCAATCAACCTCTACGATTTTGCGTTGCTTGCTATCTTCCCTGATCGTGACTGAGGCGACCGTTGGTTAGTGGGTGATGAGCGTGAGCAGGCCACAGTGGCGCGCGGGTCCGGCGACCACAAATGTACAGACCTGGCAAGGACGAAATGATAGATCCAGTCACGGAACGGGACAACGATATGTTGCAGTCTTCACAAAACCACAGACAAGGTCGAGTGTTCACCGTACTCCTCGAGTTCGCTACCCTCATAGGACATTAAGTAGATGAGCCACAGTGGCGTGGGAGGGCGTGAGGTGTTCTGCGTGCGCTAGCGAGCAGGGCTGCAATTTTGCGTCCTCCCCTCATCGTCCACGGTCTGCACTTGCGTTTCCTCAATTTACTCGAGACTTTCTCCTTGAAAAGCATCTTAAAATACATCTAGTGGCTCGTGGGCGCCCCCAGATGACAAAGGGATGCACAGTTTTTGCAACTGATCTTGAAACAGCTCACACCAGCGGTTGCGACAGTCCGAGGTCTGGGGATAGGTTAGGCCTCCGCTCGCGATGTTTTCACCGGTGTTGCAGACGGGTCTCAATGATGCATTGGGTGTAGGTGATCTTCTCGACGAAGGGTGTCGAAGAACCTGGCGTAAATCGCCATTGAACAAGGAACGCGCTGAATCTCGCTCGAGGGCCCTGGGACAAAAAAAACGAGACAAAGTATGTGCTCGATCCCCGTCAAATGCTCTCCAGTCCCCTCATGACTGCACCGTCTCTCTGCATCGCATGAAGGTATATTTGCGACATGATTCCCTCCACAAAACATCCGCCGTCGCGCTTCGTGGCCCCTCTTTGTCTTATTTGTCGTCGATTATTCTGGCTCCGCTGATGTTGGGCGAAAGCGCCCCGCCCAATTTCATTTCCGGACAATGCGCTACTTTGATTTTGTGCCTCGTGGTATACCCAGTCCAAAAGAGCGAAGGCTCAGGTGGAGAATCTGCGTACTTCAACGTTGCTATCCCCAAATCTCTGGCCTAGTCTGGCCATTCGATGTTGTAGGACGTCCATCTAAGCCGTTCGTCATATGGGCTGTATGTACGTGATACCGATTGCTTCAGCTACGCTAGTCGGTGCGGTGGGTTTCAAGTCTATTTCCTGGTTCATGCCGAGAGACCCGGGACGCAGCCTCAAGCTAATAATCCATGAGGTACCCAAACGCTCTCGAAATTTCACACAGTAGTACTTAGGGGCCCGCGGGTAAGGGTGACACTATGTAGGCAGCGGTAAGTGTTTGTTTTGGCCTCTCTGATTGTCAGTCAATGGAATGATCTACCCATCCGAATCTAGCACTATGTGATCCCAACATAACTTGCGGAAGATATCAGACACCCCTCGACATCTCGTCGATGGAAGTCGAGCGCTGGTGATGACCCTGTGAGGATGACATTTTCTTCACAGCGCTCGGTGATTGATGTGATGGGGATTGCGCCCTTGACAATCCGTCTGAACTATTCATTTAAAAGCCCGCCCATGTCTATCCTCTTGTCTAGTAAACAATGCCCCAAGTTGCTGACCTCAACGATTCGTGCGCATTCCTTCTCTCCTGGCTAATCTCGAGCTCATCATCCCATTAGTATCGGTTGCTTGTTCATCGCCAATATTTTTGGTGGAGTGTAAGTCTTCAATGTCGTTACAGTTCTTCCATCCGTATCATACTAAAGACTGGTGAATTTTAGTCTTTGGGGCAGTACGTTTGTCGTGAAATAGAATGTGCATATGCCACATTGCGATCGTTTTCAATTATCTAGTATTATGCGTCCAGACCTACGCCTATTGCCTCACCTATTGGAATAGGGATACGAGGCTCGTCAGAGCGTCCGTGCGTGACCAGTCTTCCAGAGTTTCATCTGACAACAGCTGATATACTCTCTAGGTACTTTTCGTTTGGCTATCGGAAACTGTACAGCAGGTGATCTTCACCTTTTGTGGCAAGTGATAATCCTTGTAACTCTTGCTGCTCTCTGTACTCACCGATCACCGCCGATCAGTGTATCAATATACAGTCAGGCATTGGGGGGATTTCGATTATCTTCCGTGTATAGATTGGTACGTTTTCTCTACATGTCTGCCATGTTGATTGCTCATTTTCGGTGACGAGGAGTCCATAGGAGCTTCAAGGTATGTGCCACAATCTTGAGTTTTCGTGCCGCAGATCCACTGAGGCATGTCTTCTCGTTTGTGCCAGGTGCTGGCGATACTGTTGGTGAGCGTAAGAGATCCGTTGAAGGCTCTATGCAACGAAGCTGACGTGGTGTTCCATGACTATACATAGATGTTCTCTATACTCATCGTCCAAAGGTAGAAGAGCCTTAGTACTCAGCACTGTTACTTATGGTCCACAAGTTTCTGACTACCCTTCAATGGTCAGCTTCATGGTGTATAGGGTATATCGTTGTACGTGCCAACCCGTCCTCAGTAAGTCTCATCGGATAACGAATACATGCGCCAGTCACGGAGAACATAGTGTTATGCGCTATTTTGGTAGGCCAGCCTGTCGTGCTCTCATTGGACCGCCGTAGAACTGAAACGTGTTTCTTCACACAGGAACTTGCCGTCTTGGTCGGTGTTGGTCAGTGACTGTGCCTCAAGTCGGAGTTCGACTCTGAAAAGACGTTAATCGCTTTTCACCGGTCATCAGGGCTGGATATGGGTCAGTCTTTCGCATTGGTGACCTTCTCGGCGACCTCCTCATACTCTTCCACAATCTGATCACCTCCAGCCTGGTCATTCAAAATGTGAGCGAACCGATAAAATTTCAGTGTGTACCGTCTTCCAATGCGAGGTCTGCCGCAGATTAGCCTACTCCGAATTTGCACAGTTTCAAGATCTTGCGGTGAGTTTCGTGTTTTTTTTGTATCAGGATCCATACACAATGCTTGGGCGAAACGTACTGACATTCCATTACCACCGTCAGGACGAGGCAATAGCATGCAATGTCGCAAACGCCTACAACGATATCGTTATCTCTCTCGTCTTCGCATACGTCCTACATCGTCGAAAAACAGGGCTGAAGAGGTCCACCAGCATGATCAATAAATTCGTAAGCTGTCTATACATGTTTCTCACCAGCATCGGATAGCTCAAAGCTACTGCATCTCTCTACGCCTGCAGATCTTGTACTCCATTAACACCAGTCTCTTGACATCTTTATTTGGCCTCGCAGCACTCGTGTCTGTGCGTCTACAAATACTTCCAACCTGTGACTGATCGTTCGCATTAACACTATTAGGGAGGTACAGACAGTCGTGCGCAAAGACAGCCTCATATTCATCTTATTCTTCGTCACGGAAGGCCACCTATACTCTAACTCGCTTCTCGCGATGTACGTCCACTTCTCATTCCTTTCACAAGTAGGCATCATTACTCATCGTCTTCTCAGCCTAAACGTACGGAACCGCATCCGCCGCGAATCGCGGTACCACATCACCTCTATGTCGAGACACGTCGGAATCGTCGTCCGAGCTCTCGACATAGAATCTCAAAGAGGTCGCGATGTCGGGAGTGTGCTACCAGCTGAGGCGGAGATGGCTGACTCTGTCTGCATGGAGGAAACACCCCCCGGCCCTAGAGCTGCAAGACGATCCGACGACCGAATCAGCATGTCCATGACTCAGACTTCGCCATTTTGACTTTCTGGCGAGACCGAGCTGAACTTCTATGGACACCGTTTTCATTAGGAAATTTACACGTACCTAACTTCCAACTATGTAGTCTGACAATATTAACACAGGTGCGGGCCTATGAAGCAATATCGAGCAGAATTTGGGACGATCGAAGTTGGAACTCGGAAAGCCCGCCGCAGAGAACCTTTGTTGTTGTTGACGGTTCGACTGGTAGCTCATCGACTATACGTTCTAAGTATTCCTGCTCCTGTGTCTTCTTTCTGGCCCGCAGGGAGCGACCAGCATTCTGTAGATGAATTCAACGGCCTACGCCTCTCTGTCTTGTGCTCCTAAGGTCTCGAGATTCTCGTTGACTCCAGGCAGGCTACTTACGCAGCTGCTGAGATTCATGCCTTCGCACTTCTGGGGAAACGCTTGTCCTAGTCGTGGCTTATTACAACTGGTGCTATCTGAGCTCGCAGGTCAACCATCCATCCAGGATTTTTCAAGACTTGTATGTTCTCGTATGTCTATATATCCTCAGGCGGTATGTGTGGGGATTTTGCGCTTGTCTCAAATACTGACGATTTTTCGATCAGAGAGACCTAGAATGTCTAGTCGATCATAACAGGGACCCCTGGCACGTCCACGTTCAATACGTTTCCGTCAAACGATGCAAGAGCCAGGAACCTCACGGACCAAAAATCCAGAAAACAAACCGTCCGAGAGCGAAAGTTGTTAAACAAATGTGGCGCAACGCTCGATCGGAACTCGAGACGCATGTGGAGGTGCGCAACCTAATCCGGCCACTCACACCTCCTCTTCCAGTTTTGGACGCGTCGGTAGCTCTACGAACCTCATTTCTCAATTTATTCGCCACTATGGAGTTTATGGGTCAAAGTATTGCAAACCTTTCTCGGACAACATCCGCCCGCGGTCGCCGTTGTCGATGTTAGAGGGGTGCTCGGTGACGTTGGCGATGGCGTGCGAGGGCGGCGGAAGACAGGAGCTGTATAAAAAGGGGAGGGGATAGGCATCGAGCCTCTCTACGATCCCCCTGTAACTCAACTCGTTCGTCGACCTTAAGGTTTGTTTCTTACTCCCTGGCGCGCTCACCTTGGGGCTAATACTCTAAGCTGTCGTATTCTTTCCCGCCACCTTTAGATATACTTAGTATATCCCTTGCTACTAGCGCCCTCATTATCGAATACACCCTTATAAACCCATTTCAGGTGCGTCGCCACTAGTTTCTACAGCATAACTCATTCATAATAAGACCCTCCATTTTCTTCCTCGTGCATCTTTTATAGCCATGCCTACTCCTGTTTTGGTCACACCCTTCAACTTTAACCGAGCTATCCGCCGTCGCCTTCCTGCTGAGGTCCTGGGCTACATAATGGAACTTACTACCTATTCGTCTGGCGAGTTCCCCACCATGGATCCCACGGCCGCTCCTCTTGCTTTCACCCAGGTCTGCAGCTACTGGCGCAAGGTCTCCAAATCCACGCCTTACCTGTGGTCGAGCCATGCCATCCCGAACTTCTCGCAGCCTCCAGCAGATATGGACGCGTTTCTTCGCGCAGTTGTGGCGTGGATCCTCAGAAGCGGAGGGCTGGGCTTGAAGCTCAAAGTGGAGACGGACCTGGACGACGAGGACGACGACTCGGGGAGTGTGAGGGCTCTCATGACGACATTGATGTCCCATTCGCAGCGGTGGAAGGATGTTTATCTGGTTTCAAGTCCCGAGAAGTGGAATCCGGGATGGTCTCATTCGCTCGCCACAGCGTGTGGCAAACCTCTGCCACTCCCAAGGCTCGAGACTCTGACACTCGGTCTCCCATCCCCTGGTACCGAACTTCTTTCCATGCTCTCGAATGCCCCTCGCCTTCACTCACTCAAGGCTCACTACCATCGCCAACACTTCCCGTTGCTCAATCTCTCATCCCTCACGCACCTCCATCTCATATCACTTTGCAACGTTGAGGCAGACACTACTCTCCTGCCCGCCCTTCAAAGGTGTACCTCCCTCACCAGCCTCATTATTTCCTACAACCGCCTTTGGGACGCTAATGATCCCCTCGGCCGCCAATCCTATACTGGACCCGGACACACCCTTCACCTGCCCTCCCTTCTCCATCTCGAGCTAAATCTCCTCCACTGCACCCCCATCCTCCACGCATTCTTTATCCCCAACCTCCTCACCCTAAAACTGCGCTCCGAGAACAATGAACACCCGAATCTACGCGTCGGCTCGCTCATCTTCCCAAACGTGGAGACGTTCGAGTGTAAGCTCGAGTGCGCAAGCATACTCGACGCGTTCGTCTTTCCGGACTTGCGCCACCTGAAGTACGCGCAGTCGTACGGGTCGAGGGCGTGGCCTGCTGCGCCGAGGCTGATCACCTTGTTGAGGAACAGTGCGAATTCAACCAAGGGAGTATCTGGGGCCGGGGCGCGGATGTTCAGTTTGGACGTGAGCTGTGTCCTAGAGGGCATGACGGTGGTCGAGATATTAGGGTTATGTCCGCAGTTGAGGGTCGCGAAGCTCAGCTCTTCGGGCGCGTCATATATTTTCTGGGCTCTTACCATGGGCGACCCGTTCTCTGCGTTGAACTTGCTTCCCACTGTCGCTCTTCCTCCTACCTCGGCCACCGCTACCGTCACGCCCGATCCCGTCCAACAACCCCACTCCCTCTGTCCCCACCTCCGCTCGCTCTCCCTCCGCCGCCTTGGCGAAACCGCCAAACGTTGGGTTCCACGTCAAGCTCCTACGCCGGGGTTGCCAGGGATTGATTCAAGGGGCAAATGGGCGGATGTTGATGCGCAGGAGCAGTTGGCGAAAGAGATGGAGTTGTTTGAAAGCTTTGTGGGCATGGTGGGGAGTCGTGGGTGGGGCGATGATGGTGGGGATGGTGGGGACGGCGAGGAGGGAGAGGGTAGAAGTGGCGAAAGGGGAGAACGCGAAATTGGTGAAGACGAGGCTGCGGGTGCAGGTAGTGTGGTGAGGTTGATGGAGGTGAAGATGGAGGTGATGGATACGACGATGAAGATATTCAAGGATGTGCATGTGGAGGTCATGCATAGGTTGAAGGGGTACGTCGAGAGCGGATTCGAGTGTGGTTTGGGGACTTCGTTTGGGGCAAACTCATCGGCCGTGTGAGTACATGAAGACTTGGCCCGGAGGAGGTAAATTGTCTGTATAGATGAATGGAATAGATCGTCCGGGGATAGACGTCGGCAAGAGTATGGTGAAGGAACGATGGGGAGTGTCTGTGTGTTTCGTATCTTTTGTCGTTATTTCCTTCTTTTTGTCCACGTACGGTTCGTATCGCGTCGGAATCTCACGTTAGAATACATCTATATTTTCCATCTGACTACTTTCCTCACAAGCATAGAACAAAGCAACAGAGAGCGTGCAACCTCCATGACTGAACGTTCATGTACCGTTGCCACCCCCTGTAAGATATGGCTCAGTGGTGCAACGATCAAGTACTCCTATCATACGGGTCTATCACCCCGCACGGAAATCCCAGTTCGACTCTGGGCTGAGTGTTATAATGGTGAAGATTTCTTTTCTTCTTCTCTGAAGCTTTGAACCGCCACACAGGCACGCGCCACATCTTCGGCACCGCCCGAAAGGCGCACGCGTGTTCGTTTTTTGTTCCTTCGCCTTCGCCTTTGTCTCCACTCTCTTTCGTCTCTCAGACGCACAGTCTCGCACAGTGCACCTCTCTGGGTGATCAGTTGATAGCTGTTTCTCACAGCCTCTGAATAACACTGGAGCAGCTGCGGCTTTGGTTTCTGTTTCCCACTAGTCGCGCTTTCGCCGGTATACTTATGTTATCGCCATGCAGAACTCCAGAACAGTGACAACACCTAACGTTGGAGGCATTTCTCTTTCTAACCAAGCCAAACCAATTTATATGTTCTATCAGAAATGCGCATCCATGAAGGTTTCTGCAAAGTTTTCAATCCTCGCTGGTCGGATGCAACACCATGTCGGCAATTCTACATCCCGTCGTATCTGCCCGTTCGTCGACTTTCCATGTTCACGACGTCCACATCGGCACTTCCATACAAAATGTGTCCTCCGACCGATTCCGAGATGCAAGCAGCCAAGGAAGAGAATTTCTTGACCGAGAAGTCAGCACACGGCTGCGTTTTTCGCATGGCAATTAGGGGACGATCGGGATTCCGATACTCAAGGATCGTTGCTCATTATCGGTCGGTGCTTTCGGAGGTTTCTAACTATACCTGGCAGGTTGTATACCCCTGCGGTGTTCTGTGCTGATACTATGGACGACTACTAGTGAAACTTGAGGTTCACGATCCTGTATCGCGGCTGATAAGAGGGTGTATAGAATATGAGTATCGGCGCTCACCCTTTGCGAGCAGGTTCAAAGTCCGCCGTGACGCGTCTCGCTTACTCCCGTTGCCGAGCTGCCGAGTGGCTGCTGGCCCGTCACTTGTGAACACGCAAACCAAAATGCTGCGATGGTATGCATATTTACATCTAAGATGGCTACATATAAAATAATATAAACTATGCTTCTTTCATTTGGTTGCGACAGAATGTTTTAATTTCAGCGTGAACGAGCTACACGACAGACCTTACCCTCATATCAAATCACTCGAGCAGAGTGCAAGAATTCCATCGCAACCAAATGAAGTAAATATATGTAAAGTAATATTTCAGATTTTATGAGATTTAATGGGATGGTGTACCTTGAGTAAAATGTGCAATGGTCTCACACATAGGTGCCACCCAGCCAACTCGGTGAGTTCTCCGGTGGCCCACGTCGAAATGACATGCGGCTTGCCCGGCAGCTTTCAAAGTCCGACAATTTGCAATGGACATCGCGCTTGGTGGGAATGCCGGTACTCATAGAATACCAGCAACTTCACGAGTTCTCATTGTGTCATGCCCTCAACCTTCCACGCTGCATAACTTGACAAAACTTTCCTTTTTCTACGGGTCATGCAGGCACAGGACATCGATCCACGGTTTCCCAGTGCGTAAAACGGAGGAGGGAACATTAGGGAAGGTCATACAGGCTCTGGTTAGTCCATAATCCAGTCATACGTGCGAAATGTACTGACAGCGTGCAAAGTGTCGTAACGAAACAAGCATTCCACATCAAAGCGATTTACAGTCTGATAAGCTTTCTGGCGGCGGCCTCTGATTATTCCGACTTCAGCAGCTAAGAAGGCGAAACCATGGTTTAAGCTCTCGGTATTCCGAGATGGATCCATGTTTTCGAGAGCTATCGCTGGACTGTGCACAGCGGCAGGCTTCTCTGTTTCCGTCCAGGCCAGTTTTTTCGGTCGCTTTGGCTGCTTCTAGCGCTATGTAGCACGCATAAGTGCCCGACAATGTGTTATGTGTACCTTTATCGTTCAGTGACCCTGGCCAAGATAAAATCCAGATGCTCACAGAGATCCACCGCTTGAGTCTCCAGAAAACGATTGTCTTTTGATCCTAGAGTTTCGAACCTCGCTAGACCGCGATGGCTGACATTACTCCAGCGTTTACCTTTGCCTTTGCTGCGGTAGCTTTGATTTATGCCTTGACTCGCTTTGTTCGTGGACGTCGCCCGCTCATTCATGGCCCACCATGCGATTCCCTCATAACTGGTAATCTAGGCCAGCTGTTCTCTGCTCCTCATGGTTTGGAATACCATGCGAGGTTCCTGAAAGAATATGGTACCGCTTTTGAGGTGTACGGGTTGTTCGGTGTAAGTGCTTGTCGACATCACTGATCAAGCCCCCAGAGAAAGAAATTGACCCATTTATCCTCACTCAGGAGAAACAACTCTTCATTGCTGACGGTCCTGCGATATCCGCGATCCTCAATAACCCCGATACATTTTTCGAGACAAAGTGTGTACACTCCCTTGTGACGTTCCACTCACCTTACTGAACATAAATACTTTCGCGAACAGTGCATTCCGAAGCCTCGCACGTCTTGTATTCGGAACGAGTCTCTTTGCAGCCACTGGTGAGCTCACAACCGCCCTTTCGATTCTCTACAAACATTGCTGAGGAAATGCCAGGCCCCGACCACAGGAAACTTCGCAAGACACTCAATCCCATCTTCACAACCCGCCACATCAAAGATCTCCTCCCCGTCTTTCAGTCCATAGTGAATAAGCTGCGAAGTGGGCTAGCTGCGGATATCCGAGTTCGGGCCTCCTATCCGTACGAGAAGAATGCACTCTCCGCCGAAGTGGATATGCATGATTGGATGTCGAGGACGGCGTTGGACCTCATAGGGGTCGGGGGACTGGGGCACCCGTTCAAAGCACTCGAGGGTACTCACGATCCTTATACTGACGCAGCCAGACAGCTTTTGTGTGTACCCTGTCCAGCCTTCCGTTTCTTACATCGTCGTTCTGGTGCCCCGTCCACTTACTGACATATCTTTATTTGACGCGCGCTCGACGTTAAAACAAAGACCGGCCATCGCTGATATCGGGATCGTCACGCCCTTCCTCCACATCCTCATGAAACTCGGGCCCGCAGCCTTGCGCCGGTACATGGTCAACACGATATCTCTTCGGGCCGTCCAGACGTGCAAGAGCGTGGTCGATATCATGGACTCGACGGCGAACCATATCTTTGGGCGGAAGAAGGACACCGTATCCAGAGTGCTGGCAGATCCGGACGCCAAGGTTGAGGAGGAGCTCAAAGATGTGCTGAGTCTTATGTGTGAGTAGTGGCATCAACGGTAATTTTCGAGTGGTAGGTTCGTGTGGCTAACGGTCATGTTACGTGTGCAGTGGCGTCGAATATGAAGGATCCGCGCTTGAGTGACGAAGAGATGATTGCTCAGATGAGGTCAGTTTTTCCTTCTGCAATCCTCGTTCCACCATTTTAGTTTGTTTTCTGCTCTATCGTGATACTGACTTATAACACCGGACGCCTATAGCACCCTCATCCTGGCCGCATTAGACACAACGTCCGGTACCCTGGTCCACATATTACAAGAGCTCTCTATCCATCCCGAAGCCCAAGATCGTCTGCGACAAGAGATCGCCGAAGCTCAACTTGCGCAAGGAAGTGAAGACCTTGATTTCGATACGTTGGATGGTCTGCCGTACCTCGATGCGATAGTCGCGGAAGTTCTCCGTCTGTAAGTGATGTTGCCGTCGCCAAATCTGACTGCTAGATATTCACAAAACGTGTTTCGTATTCCATAGACATCCGTCTGCAGCGTTCATGTCCCGCACGTGAGCTCCTCACCTTCCTTCCCTTTCTAATGTCGTGCTAATCTAGAACTCTCATGTTCGATTTGCAGATCCCAAGCTCCCTTCGTCCTCCCACTCGGAACCCCTGTCCCCTCCTCTCGTGCCGCAGGCGCCCCTCTCGTCGATTCACTTCCCCTCCCCGCCGGAACGACAATCTATCTCTCCACCCAAGGCATAAACCGCGATCCTCGTATCTGGGGTCCGGATGCGGACGTGTTCAGGCCTGACCGGTGGTTGAATCTCGAAGGAGAGGGCAAGGAGGGAGATCGGGAGAGTTTGCGGAAGGCCAGGAAGCAGATCCCGAGTCTGTGGAACTCCATGTGAGTGGCTTACTTTTATGGAGTATGGGTTCGTCTGCGGCTTGTGTATAGGACTGATTTGTGCTTCTTCCCTTCGAAAGACTGTCGTTCTCCGCTGGACCGAGGGGATGTATCGGATTCAAGTTTGCGTTGGTTGAGATGAGTACGTCAGCTTCCCTATTCCTTTTCCCTACATCCGCGTTCCACCGGAACGTCTTTTCTACTCACCTATATAAGTCACTCATTGACGGGTATATATTTTCTCTTACGATTCACAGAAGTAGTGCTCGCTGCTATCATTCCCTCGTTCCGCTTCAAGCCCTCAGAGACCGCGATCGAGTGGCACCTCAGCATCACGCAGGCGCCACATGTGAAAGGACCGAAGGGAGGGACGAGAATACCGGGGCTTCCGTTAGTCGTCGAGGTCATTAGCGACGTGTAGAGGAGAGGTTCTGTGAGTTGTATGATCACGAGCATCGCGAGTTGAGCGTGTACGGATACTCCGTGAGTCGGGTTAACCTTTCCTGTGGTCTTTGAGAGACTGACAAAGATATACCTACAGCCTTCATGTAATCATAGTACGAAGCAGAACTAGAGCTCGGGATGTTCCCGGGCGGCACTCCTATAGACTGAATGGACATAAAGTCCACACCGTGCAATGTCAGAGATAAGTACGGCTCGGTCGAAGAGATGAGGCCTTTGACTGAGAAACAGATGCAAGAGAACTCTTGGAGAAATGCTGGGGAGACGGCTCGGAACTGGGCTGACACTTTGACTTCTTTTCAAGCGTCGTCTACTCATGAAGATATCTCTCTGCGGTCCTTTATTCACGCCGATGACATCGACGCTTCTTTCAACGGATATTTTTGTGCTCGGAAGTTGGGCCACACCGGTCCAAGTCACGTCACTCATACCTGTACAAATCAAATACTCTTCCTCGAGGCGTCCTCGCATTGTTCTCCAACAGCAAAGGTGATCAAGGTAATAGTATGGCTCGGTAGCGTAACGGTCAACGCGCCTACACATTATGGGACAAGGTGCGTGCTCCATTACCGTTAACGTAGGAGATCCCAGTTCGACTCTAGGCCGAGCTGATCTCTCGCGGTATTTCCAACGGAGATTTTGTGTTCGGGATAGGTTGGACTATGCGGCTCGCAGTCGCGCCACTCATACCTGCACAAACTAAACATTATCTTCATGGGGCCCTTCATTGTTCTCCAACAACGAGGGTGATTGAGATATTGGTATGGCTCGGTAGCGTAACGGTCAACGCGCCTATACATGGTGAACAATGTTTCCTCCAATCCCTTCCACGTAGGAGATCCCAGTTCGACTCTGGGCCGAGCTGGCTCTCAGAGTCAGAAATCAGTTTTGCGTGAGGAGCAGGTACTGAAGTAATAGAAAGATCGAGGCGAAGAACGAAGACGACGGGGGACGTAGGGAGCTGTGACCAGAACGAATGTCGCAGTTTGTGCTATACAATCGTATCTTGAAGAGTATCGCTCCAAGGTTCAAGTTCAACATATGATACAGATTTCAAGTTGCATTGTTTGTGAGTGTACATACAAAGAAATAATCATACAAAGCATTGGTGAGGAAGGTTCATGACAAGCGGCGACGAGAGGAAGTTACATAGTTGTCACGTTCATGGAGTGACACATATCAAGCAGGGTGAGAGGAAGGGACGGTCTGCGGAAAAGCATCTATGAGGGGTACGACTCCGTCCTAGAGATGTTGCCGCAAGCAATCCTCGTGTCCGTAACAGCATCGTGGATGACGACGGAACGGCCCGCGATGGAGTACGAGTAGTTGCCGGTGATCCTAACTGCACAATGCCCACAACAAGTCAGCATAAAGATCCCGGTCAGCGTGCAAAAACTGACGGCGACTTACGATAATGATCGAGGATCTCCCTGCCCGGCATGATCCCGTCCAGCGTCGTCAACAGACCGTACTTTCCACTCAGGTCACCAGTCTGGAACGTGCTGAGATTGCCGCTCGTGGGGTGGTAGAGGCGATTGAAGGAAGGACCTTCCGAGGCGGGAGCTGAAGTGACGTTCGACTGGAGAGGTTGTGTGCCGTTGGCTTTGAATGGGTCAAGATGGGCTCCGGCGGAATTGCAAGTAGTATCGTTGGCGGAGATTGTGTTTTCGTGGATGTGGTAGGCTGGATAGGACAAAGATCGATTAGCGACAAACACCCCGACGTGAGTGTTCATAAATCGAGGGAATACTCACCAAAGATGTTGTTCGTCGAGCTTAGCCCACCAGGGAAACCAAACTTGATCACCAACGTCGTCAAGTTCGCCAACCCACTGTGGCCCTTCAACTCTCTAAAATGGAAGTACGCCCCCTCCTTGTTCAATACTTTCGCCCTCGGCCCATTCGAGAAGGTCGCGGTGGCATAGGCGTCTTCGAGCGCTGGGTCAGCGGCGATGGCTTTGAGGATGGGGTCGGTGTACGCTGCGATGGAGGCGTTGACGGAGTCGGTGGCGTTGGTGTTGGGGATGAATGCACGCGGAAGGGAGATCGCGGAGGATAGAGCGATCGAGGAGATGAGGAAAGTAGGGAGTAACATGTTGGACGGATAGACGCTGGGAGTGGGTGGTGGACTACTTGAGGAGCTTGGCGTGTAGAAAGGATGCTCTGGAAAAGGGGAATATATAGCTTGCGCCGACGCGGCTGATCCTCCACCGCGGCAAACAGCGCAAAACACGGCGTCATTGGATGGCGGGGACAGCGCCGACGATGAGCGCAAAAATGACGCATGGACGGTACGAGCGCGATGACGAGCGGCCAAACATAGCAGGATGTCTCGCGCGGGGATGTCTCAAAATCGACGATGCGGGAAAGGCCCCAATAGGGGCACGCACGACACAACCGATTCAGTCCCTATTTTTGCTTCCGGAACGAGCACTGGAAGTTGGGACTTGGAAGGATGCCAGCGTAGCTACTTGTGGACGCTATCGTCTACTGGCGAGCAGGTTGAAGGATGAACTAAAATATACATCCATACCATAGTATATCTTCAGCGAAATATCGTAGTTTGACAAGTGACGTATTAGAGTACAAGGCAGGTTGAAGAAGCGATGAAAGGGGAGGACAGAGAGGGGATATGGCGCGCCATCTATTCAAACATTCGAACCCGTGGACCAAGGGATCCAGTATACAGTAGCACACTCCTTCCTTCTGTTCTTTCTCAGTCCCTCAAGTCGGAAACTGTCCTGGGGATACCTTCAGAGTTGGCATATGCAACGAGGATTCGTATAGATCGTTGAAGGGCAGCCCAGAAGTACGCGGCGATGGCCCATCGAAAGGGCTGTCGTTAGAAATAGCTTCCAGGTGTCCCCTATGCAGTCCTTCATTGATCCATTGGCATAGAAAACTTAAGCTGAAGATACGCATGCGTCGACGAGAGATTGAAGACCGATAATAGCAGGGCCATGGAAGTGAGAAGGGAGGGAGGAAGTTGGGAGGAAGAATGGACGTTAGAGATGTCCGCCACTCTGCGACTCGGACGTGGCGCGGATTTGTCCGGGTGGGTTGCCGGGAGTCTGGCGAGCTAAAGTGGCGTCGACTCCTTCGTTGAACTGGTTCAACTCTTCTGTTTGTCTCGCTTTCAAGCTGGCGGACTCTTCGGCTCATATATTTCGTTTTTCTTTCCCGTGCCATAGCCTCTCATTCCTCGATGGGTATCTTACTCAGAAGCTGCTATCGGCTCAAGAATGTACTGTAGCGCCGTGTTACAGCTCTTCTGTCCGAGTCGTTGAAGCACGGTCACGCCGTTCAGGCCTGGCCCGGAAGTGCAATGGCTTCAATTCGTAAATATACGAGATTCACTCAGACATGTAGCGCGAGCACGGCGGTTTCCTAGGGTCGCCTTCAGAGTGGGCATGCTTGAATTGGATGAGGTATCTTCGACGAGCTCGCACCAGGACGAGGAATTGGCCAAAGAGGAACGCGCTGAGGAAGATGACATTATTAGGAGCGATGCTCGAGATAGTGAACCTTTGGGTGGAGAAGGTCGATCTTGTGGTGTCAAAACCTCCTCCTCCTGAGGAGAAAAAGGAGCAGGATGGGAAAAAAGAGAGTGATTGACCCGTTTCCTACCTTGTCACTTATACGATCCTCCCCTAACGACCAATTCAACAGGAATCGAGGCAGACGAGACGGCCGGTTCAGCAGAAGACGAGGAAGACGAAGATGGTATGGAAGGAAGGATGAGCACAGTGAGATGTGATGCATGTGCAGGTGTCCTTGAATATTGCCCTACATTGTCGTTGTCGTTGTGTTGACTTCACTAGAAAGATGCATGGGATGATGAGCGTTCTCTCTAGAAATGTTGGTCATTGCGATACTTGACCTTCAACCCAGTTATAGAGAACTGAGACGCGGCGTATCGCATTTGTCTTGTCACAAAGTCATCACCGTAGCGAAAACCAAATGGACCAGAACAACAAGCGGAAGTAGAACGGTCACCCTCTCACAAAGGCACCGCAGACGAGTCGAATGAAATAATGGATACATCGGCGAAATAAGTCAATGAGCGAATCAAGTATGTATTTACTGATGAGTGGGTGAGTACGTGAGGAGGTGAGCGGGAATGCGGAGGCACGTATCGAAAGCGAGCAGCGAAGGGGGAAGGGGGAGGTCAGTACGGAGATGAGCCCGAACGTACGTGGAAGCCGAAAACGGGAACTGGAACTAAAAGCTCGGGGTGGTCAATGAAAGGTGAGGACTAGTAACGCTATCGTTCATAGTGAGATATAGAACCTAGAACGAGTGGGGATAGAGTAAAATAAAAGAGAAAGAGAAGATGAGGCGGAGAAAACAAGGAGATGGGAAAAAGAGAGGACGTGACGTGGCGTACGAACCCAAACGTAAATGCGAAAGAGAAACGGGGAGCGGAGAACAGAAAGGAGAGACGTGAGTGTATAAACCTAAGCCCGTAAGCATAACCGTAAGTGCGAAGATGAACCTGTCGAGAAGAGATAAGCAAAATACCACAAACTGAGATCCACGCAGAACACAGGAAACCCGTTCAAGAAGTACAGAAGTGAAGTGCCGAATACTGATGGTGAAAGGTGAAACAGGGTGGATGGGGTTGATCATTCGCCCCAGCTGCGTGAGATGGAGCCAACTTTGAGTGTGAAGGGTGATTTCGGTGGCGTGTCTTCTGCGACCGTTTCAGATTCGTTTACAGCGTCAACTGTTGATGGAGTAGTGGGCTGCCACATGCGAAACGACATCAGGATGTTGGCAATAGTTGGATAAAAGATTAGGAAAAGAGACGCACCTCCGCCGGTCCAGTACAATCCTCCCCGCCATCTCCCTCAGCCGGCGCTTGTGCACCGGGTCCAACACCAGCACCACCACTCCCCAGACCCGAAGGAGTCACCCTTCGCCCCCTTCCGCGAGTCCCACTAGTCTGCCTCTCAGACCCGTTGACCAACTTCAAACTCAGCCCCAAGCCCCTCTGGCCCCCGATCCCATTCGCACTACCACTCCTGCTTCCACCACGCCCAGCTCCATCTCCTCCCCGAATACCACCGCCCGACTCGTCTGTCTCTCCTTCGATTCCACCTCCGGTGCTCGAAGATTGTGCTGTATCAATTGATCGGTGTGGGGATGGGTATCTTCCGTTACCGTTGCCATTGCCGTGGGTGGCCGGTGGTCTGTTGGACCGGGATTGGGAGGTCGAGGCGGATGCAGAGGCGGAAACACGGTGGACGGGCTTGTTGTGAAGGTTGAAAGGGAGAGGGGCGTTCACAGAGACCATTTTGCTGTAAGTCGGAATGAATATCGTGTGAAAAGGTGGAGATGATAAGGGAGGGAGAGGATAGCAGACGCACCCTTCCTTCGACCGCACGATGGTTCCGAAGCGTTCTTTCATCCGCTGGTGGTCTACAACGGTCGTGTGTCGTTGTACTGGTCTGTTATCCCAGAGCAATTAGTCGACGATATACTGTCAGACATGGAACTTCACGATAAGAAACGAAGCTGAGACTCACGCAGCATCTTCGGTTGGCTGAATGAGTCGTGTCTGCTCATCTGGCTCGTCCTGCGCAATACCCATCGTCCAACCATCCATATTTCCATCAGCTTCCGCTCGGGACGACAAGTGAGAGAAGATAGACGCACTGAACTCTCCTCCCTTTCCCGAAAACAACAGAATATTTGGTCCCAAATCGACATGTCTTCCTCTCGATTCTCAAGTCTCGCTCGGCGATCTAAATCTTCCTTACCCAAACGACTAATTTCTCGACCCGGCGGCCTGTTCGGTATTCGTTATGGTAGGTATTGACCGTTTGTGGTGCAGATATGTACGCCATCGTATGTAGCGATACCACCAATGTTGTGTGTCGAAACAGAATCCACAGCAGTCGAGTCAGCTTCAACCTTCCCCGCATACAATCATCTCACAACGAAGAAGAACACGAACCTGACTCAAATGACGCCAAGCGACCGTAGCCAGTACGTATTCAAAAAAGAAAAAGAAATGTCTTGCGAAGGTCGCGTTTGAGGAAAGGAGAAGAGAACTGAGCCCGCGCGGCGCCTGAGCACCAGAGCCGGGATTTCCATTTCGGGAATGACAAAGGGCCGCTGCTTACCGAATTTGCAACTCAGACTGGCGGCGGCGAAAACGATGTCATGCTCGTTGGCAACGATACACATTGGGCGATCTAAATCTTGCCGTTCCAGAAATTCTGACTGGGGAAGGACGAGCAGATTAACCTATACATGCGTCTCCTGCGTATCAGCGCGCAAGCACCATAGATTTTGAAGGTCTCAGCAGCCTGAGAATGAGATGGAAACTTCATGCAGTGGCGCAACCTCCTGAGAGAGTGTGTGGCGTCATCTTAGACTCATCTCAGAGTCAGTGGAGCGAGGTGTGCGGGTTCCTGAAGGAAATGAATCCGAATTATGAAAGCCAAAATTGCCGGCGGTATGAAGTTCGAGGCCCCTTTCCGACAAAGAGCGAGGCGTAGCACTGCTTCGGAAGATGAGGCTCGGAGGGTTCATTCAGGTTTATTATCGTCGAAAATTCATAGCGTCCCACGAGTCAAGAAATATGAAGAATGAGTGCAATGTTGTGCGCTGTCATGATTGACTTCGAGCGTGGGCGTTGATGGCATGGTTGAGTTCGAGCGGGAAGGACGCGTCTCCGTCGTCGGACTCGATGCGCTTGCAGCTTATCCTCATATACAGTACGTGTTTCGACTCCGATATTGCTCCGGCTTTCACTATCCCGCACTCATACCCGAGAAAAGGGGGGGCATCGGCGCTGTCGAAAATGAGGAGTCGTGCTGGGAATTCGCACATCGAATAAGTATTCGAAAAGCACCGACGTTGCCAGACGAACTCGCTATGACTCTCCACAACTCCGATGGATGTCGCACGACACGACGAACGCACAACTGCCCGAAAGGCAAGGATATGAGATGTGGACATATTGAACAGGCACGTAGCTGGATATGTTTTTTTTCCCTCTTGTGTTCGAATTCGAACGTCCACTCACGTCTGTCGCCTTATGTTTTTCTGGACATTTGATTTGTCCTCGATGTCAAGAATACTGTGCGGAGGAGACATGATAACACATGTCCAATGACGACCGCCGAGAGCGGGCAGGGCATTCGATGGTCCGGAGGGCATCATCACGATGAGATCAGATGAGACATGGTGGGACCCAGGCGTGCCGCTCAGACATCCAACAGAGGAAAGTCATATGAGGAGCGACGTTCCGTGAAGAACAGCAGTTCGTAACTCCGTTAATTATGCGCTATCGGAGGCTTTCCTCGGGCCCTGTTGCATTATGCACCTCTAAACGGCGGGGCCACCATGTCGTCGGGCTCTTGCAATTTAGCAGTGGGCCACAATCATTTCTCAGTGACAAAGCCTTCTGTTGGAACATACACGCTCTCGTCAACAAAGCCCCCAATCTTTGACGCAGTTAGACTTCGTTCGCGACGAACCCGAAACGCATACCAAGACTGGCAACGGTCAGGAGTTGTCTGATGGCACTTCACAAGGATGAATAATGCAGCGTCGGGCTTTGTGGGGCCACAATCCACGCCACACATCCCCGAGTTGACTGAGAGGACCAGCTGTGTTTCGGTACCGCGATTGTGGGCGGAAGCGCATGGATGTCGTGGGGGTGCGCGATTATTTCGTGGGAGGGTGATCCAACAGAGTTGGTATCTGCCTCATTAGAAGAGCCAATTCCATCACACATGCTCCAGAAAAGGGTTTTCTAATCCAGCGATGTTTCTGCGAACGGCGCCACATACACGCAGCGTCGTTTCCCGAGATGTGTTGGTGAGGTCCAATGGGCGACGTGTTCCGCTCACGGGGGCCTCTCTCCTTTCTCCGCGGTTTTCATGAGCCTGCGCAGCAGAATACGAGGCGACGACGACGTTGTCTCCGCAAGCGAGCGAGTGCACAACTTCTCCGTGCGGCTCGAAGGCGAAGCAAGGGCTTGTTATCGAGTCGAGTGCTTAGACGCCGGGTACCTGACAGCGCGGAGGGAAACCTCACTCACGCGGAGCACTTGTAGGCCGGGCCGTTGCCGGGACGGGGTGAGCCGAGGGAAGGATATGAACAAACTTGCGTGAGGGGGGAGCTGCAGCCGGAGCAAGCGACCGTGGTCCCTCTAGATCGTCTCCCTCGTAAGTAATTCTTCCGTCTTCGTCGCCCAGCGGACCCGAATATTTGTTTTACTAACGCGGGCCCCTTGCTGGGGCGGTTACCAGGGGCAATAAAAGGCGGAGAAGCCAGGAACGCGAAGAGATCAGCCGCATCCACAGTTACTGCACTAGTCAGGGCTCAGAGTGATCTTAGTCGGTTATACCCCAGTGGCCGGCGGAAGTCGACGCCCGTGGGTGCATGAGAGAATTCCTGCCTTCGTCCCTCGTGTGGACATCGATATCCCGGTTTTGACCCTAACACCACCGTGCTTATACTTCCTTTCTATCTTCAGCACGTCCCCTCCGCCTCTGCCTCCTCTTTCTTCCGGACCATCATCACCTTCGACGTCTTCCGTCGACGTCTGTGTCCTCTCCTCATCCGCCACCGACGCCCGCAATGGTCGCCAGTATCAACGATGAGGTCTACGCGCCCATATCTACCCACTATATGCACGCACACGAGGACGGGCCCCATTCGAGCGAGGAGGGCTCAGATCTTCACTCACCCGTGTTCGAGACCCAGCCGCTTTCAGCATCGTTTCCCAACGGTGAGTTCGCGTTGACCACGTTCCGTTCATACTTATACCAGCCACCAGCCACCTTCCGTTTTCCCCATCTGAATAATGATGCGCTCAACTAATACGTGCTCGCCCTCTGTTGTATTCCTATTCCCTCCTTCTATAAAGTCCGATTCCAGTCTACAGACAGCGTGCCGATCCCGCACACAATTAGTGCTAGCGCGAACGGCTCTAATCTGATGGCCTATCCCTACCACTCGTCTTACCCTGACGGGGGCGATAACGCCATGTCAAGCTCTCGGAGCAGGCAGCACAGCTCTCTTCATCCGCTAGAACCTCCGAGCAATAGCCACCACCAACACGATCACACCGAATTCGGGCACAACAGCGGCTACGGTCATCACACCCAGCTCGACATGCACACCCATTCACCCTCCTTTACATCCTCCGCGTACTCGATCGCCTCTCCGATCCGATTCCCGTCACTCAACACCACGGCGTTCGAATACCCGATTTCTGCGTCCGTCCATTCCACGTCAGCCTCGGAGAAGTCGCCATCATCCGCCTCGACGTTAGCTTACACTCACTCCTTGTCGGATTCGCCTCTTACCACCACGTCCACCGCCGGGGGTCTATCGATGAGCGGCAAGGGCAACCCTTCGACTTCGCCGGTAGCTCATACTAGCCCAGCGAATCAGCAGCCGCTTTCTTCCCCAACCGCGACTCGTCTGCCTGCGGCAGAGGCGAGCGGCGCAAGTGGTGGTGGTAGTGCGGGAGGAGGGGGTGATTCGGTCTCCACACCAGGAGCGAGACCGAGCCGTCAAAGCCGCAAAGAGATCTCGAACGTTGTTATAGCCTGTCGCCAGTGGTAAGTAAGCATGCTTCCTTCCCTTCGCCGCTCCCTTTCATGTCATGTCCCTCGACCCGGACCTTTTATACGCTCTGTGTGTATATCTGGAACTTTATTGACTCCGAGACTCGCTGGGCTGACGTCCCGTGCTCTCGTTTTCTTCCGCTGCTTCTTCACCTCTCCGCTTTCATCATTCCTTGCATTGACACTGACGCCGACCTTGTTCCTATTTTCCACGCACACAGTCGTGCACGCAAGATTCGTTGCGACTCTACGAGACCAGGTATGTCATCATTTGCGGTTAACTCTACCCACCCCAACGACCTAGCAACAGTCGACCATCTATCACCATCTCCTTTCCGTCCATGCCCATGTTCATCCGCTTCTCGGCTCGGTACCAATAAACCCCACTCCTCTTGCTGCTTTCGGCCATCGTTGCTCTGTCTCCCGCTCGCTTGCTAATCCTTCGCGTTGTCTGTTGCTTTCCTGTCTATGCTCCGGTGCTGGCTATGCACCTACAGAATGCAACAACTGCGTCCGGCGCAACAACGAATGTGTGTATGACGCCCAACCTCGTCGTAGAGGCCCGGATAAGCGACCTGGCACGCGTCAGCGGTCGTGCAAAAAGCGTCCTACGGACGGCTCTGAACCGCCGCCACCGAAGAAAAAGCGACGACCCGAGCATGGACAGGCAGCCGACATTACCACCACCACCACCACCACCACTTCTTCCTCTGTTTCTGCATCTGCCTCCGCGCACGCCATCGATCCTACCTCGTCTGGACTTGGAACTTCCGCGTCCGCCTCTGGTGGCCAACATCCAGGTGTATCGGCTTCTGCTTCTTACCCCGGACCCTCTTTCAGTCTTAAGCAGTCGACGTCTGGGCCGGAGCATCCGCTTTCGTTACCGATTCAGCAACCTCTTCTGATTAAGACAGAGTCGGACCACCATTCGCATCACCATCACCAGCAGCAACAGCAGCATTTGTACCACCATCCTCAGCAGCAGCAGCAGCAGCAGCAGCACTACACGCACCACTCCCAACTTGCGCATCAGCATCTCCCTCAGATTCGTACCCATACGCCTGCCCTTCATTCGCCTTCGTCATATCAGGATCCAAGCCGCCCTTCGTCTAGCCAGCACCAATCGGGCATCGACCATACCAGATATTACCAGAAGGTGTGTACGAGCTTTACATCATCTCCCCTTTCGTTCGCTCGTTCGCCTAGGGGACAGGATATTGAGAGTATTTACTGACTCGCCTTGTTACAAGAGGCGTTTGTCTCCGATTTATCTTCGCGCAATGGAATCAACATCGAGGATGGGCAGAGACGTGGACCTGGCGAGCTCCAGCACCAACAGTCGTCGCAACGACCTGGAGGGCATTTCCCCCACTTTTGATTCCGGCTTCAGTAGCAATTCTCGCGGCGGCGATCTACACCTTCATTCTCCTCTCTCTCCTCAGACTCCGTACGGCGATTCGCATTCACATAACCAACCACAACTTCAGCTTCGACAGCAACATCAAACCCCGATACCCCCCGTCCCGGCCACACAGTACAGTCGCAAGGTGTGGTGGGATGATCTTCTCGACACTTATTCTTCGACACGTGAACAATCGTAAGCGAACCTTTTCCTATCTTCAAACTTCACCGCATGGCTTCGAAACCCTTCGACCGCCTTGCGTTGGTCCGCATATTCAGTTGTTTGCTGACTCTGTTCGGTATCTCGCAACCAATACAGCCTTCAGACTATTACTTCCGACTTCAATCTCCTGTAAGTCGCCTTCCTTGATTCATCCTTCCCCGTTCCATCCCACCGTCTACTTCATCGCTTTCCCGCCCCTGTTCTCGGACGTATATGCGTCTCGTATTCTTATCTGTCCTAACTCCGACGCCTTCTAACCCATTCATTCACATTCAATGCGTCCATCTCGTGTACTTACGGCCTCATTTGATGTCATTATAGCTTTAATTCAAGCACTTACTGGCTCACTTTCTTCAACGCCTCTTACTTCCTTCGAAAGCTGTGCGATCCTGAGGAGAGGCTTCGCATCCAGCCCGCGCTTGTGCTTGCGGGACTTGCGCTTGCGACACTGATGCGCTCGAGCGAGCTGGAGCTGGGAACTGCGGGACGGGAGAGGGCGTTACAATTGAGGCAAGCAGCGCAGACGGCGGCAGAGGCGAGTTGGAACGCGCAGGTGGTTGACTTGGGTTTAGCAGAGGCCGCGATGGTGAATTTCTTCCCTGTCTTCATTTCGTTCTTCTCCCGCTCATTTCCGCTCCTCATGGTCCATGCGCTCACTGAACCACTAACCTGCTACGGTATCCACGTGTTACGGGCTCGCTAACCAACTTTTTCACGCGGTTTCGATGGTAACATCTCTTGTCCCGCCATATAGGTTCTTGCGCTCTTCGAAACTTCGGCACATCCGCTCTATAGCCCTTCGCGATCGGACGACGCTCTTGTCTTTCTCGACACCATTATTAGCACCCTTCGGCTCACATTCCTCGACGCGAATGATCGCGAATCGCTCGACTATTCCGTCCAGTCCGTACCTGTCGTCTCCCGTTCATCCGGCTACGTCCCGCCTAAGAAATGCGAGTGTATCAACATCCCGCAAGACAACCAGTACAATACGAGCTGGAGCTTCGTGCCGGCCTGGGATACGAACTGGGATGAGGTGGAGGTGGAGAACGAGGAGACGAGGAGGTTGTGCTGGAGTGCGTTGATGCTGGTAGCGAGTCATACGTCGGCATGTGTGGCGAACGATAGGAAGCCGTTACAGCTGTTCCTGACGGACTCTTCGAATGTTTGTATTGTTCTCCCTCACCCTTCTTCCTCTACCTTTGCCTCTCGCTTTCATTCCGTCCTAACGTGAAATCTCCCACAGTTCCACCTCCTGTTCCCAGGCGAATACCTCCAGCGTTCGAGCCTCACTACGCCACATTCCGGAAAGGATACGGTCTGGGCTCTGTATTGCCGAAGTATGCTCTTGTGGAACAGTTGTACGCACTTCCAGGATGAGAACCTCACTGGCGACGCAAAAGCAGAGATCGCGATTGCGGTATATACGGAAACGCGGGCAGTGGAGCAGGCTTTGGATGCTCACATATGCAATCTGGACACGGCGCTGATCTACATGTGTCGCGAGTTCATAGCGAAGTACGTCCTCTCTGTCCCGCACTCACCTTTGTGATACGAGTGGCGGAGGTATTCATTCGTTTTCTTGGGCTCTTCGGTATAGTGCACGTCTGGCAGTGACGTATCTGATGAGGAGGTAAGCCCTGACCTCACCTACCCCTATCCGCGAGATCACTCTCTATTTCCGATAATAGTGCGACTGACTGATGTTCTCATCTGTAGAATGCTCCTCGACCTCGATCTCACGGGCCGACCTGTCTGGAATCGCAGGCTCGCGGAAGAATGGCGTATGTTCTCTTCCATCTCACTCCATCCACCTATCTCGGAAACCCGTACCCATAACCATCAACCCTATTCTAATCACCGTTCTATGGCCTCTCAACTCCCTGGCTCTAGTGTTCTATCAAGAGCAAGTCGCGAAACGTGTTAGGTCCTCGATCCATCGTCTCTCGGAACCGAATGGTCATTTGTTCCTACGGCGCCCATTCCAGATTGGCTGGTTTGTGAGTCAGGTGTCAACGTATGTCTTTTCTCAACCTTCTTTGATTCACACTTCCTTTCCGTTCCCATCTCCATTGAATTATCCGAGGCTTCGCTATATATCACACCGAGTGTGAAGCCGAGATCTCCGCGTGTATTAGAGGTTGTTGCTGTCTTATATTTGTCGCTGACTTCTTGTGTCCTTTTGCCTGTTTCGGTTGTTTTATCGTGCGTATTGTTGCTTAGCTGTCTGAACCTCTGGTCGGGTGATTCCTCACTACTTCGCGCACTCGAACTGGGAAAGTCCTTCCTTGTTCCCATCGAGGTTCTCAATGCGATGTGGCCCTGTCCCAGTATGTCTGTTCTTCCTTCGTCCGTACATGCGCACGCATGGGTATATGTTGTGGCTGACATGGCGAATCGTTTAGCATATCGCGCAGAATGTGAAGACTTACGAAGACAACTCACGGATGCCTGCGCAACCGCCGAGGTTCCACTGCCACCCTTGCCAGAGTATTCGCTGCCGCCCGCATTACTTCGCCTCTCTGTCTGATACCGCTGCCGAACCGTCAACTCGACACTAGCGCTTGCCCACTTTTCTGCACGCTATCTCGCTCGCTTTTACAAACTGTAAAGTGTATCCTTAATTCCGCTGCCGTCTTGCTTCGCGATACTGTTATCCCGCTTTGACGTTCTACCTCGCAAACATAGCTGAGCTCCAAACTTGCTTTCTTTTCACACCACCTTTCCTACCTCTCCTGGGTGCGCGATCCAATCTCCCTTGCTACATCTGCTCATACCCTCCTGCGTACCGAAACTCTCAACTCACCCTCATTTCTTCACAATGCCGATGTAGCCTACATTATACACCCATGTATTGGCTCTCGCTCTCTTTTTTATTATTGTGGTGCTCCTTCCACATTCTTGCATCCGGCCTCGGTCCGCGTCTTGTATCATTATTTGGCTCGCCTCTCATTATTGTTCTCCGCATACCTCCTTATCCTTTGGGTCTCTTTTGATATCCTCGTCATCTTGCTGCATTCTGGGTCACCGGGCGTCTCCCATCTCCCATGTCGTTCTCTATACTCCCGCTTTCGTTCGTTCTCTGATTCCTTCGATCTCCGCAGTCCTGCTGGAGGCTATATTAACTGTACAAGTTATATTCTGGGTCCAAGCTCTGATACTATCTCGATCAATTGATCCTGGGTTCTGATCCATGATGCTCGAGTTCAACATCACCCTGATACGCATGTGTTTCCTCATTAGGAGGATACCTTCAAGAAATCAAGTATGTCGTTCATCCTTCTTACGAATCGCTACCGGGTGTAGATCAGTTCGAAGAAGTTGACAGGGAGCTATATTGGATGTGAATCCGTACTTCTACCCCTGCGCCAGACCTAATTGACGTCCTCGACGGAAGATTCTTGGAACAGTAATCGCCGTGGACAGCCTCACTATCCTAGCCTAGCCCATAAGACTGGCTTGACGGTGACAATAGTTCTTTTCTTTTATCCCTACTAGATATTTGGACTCCAAAATGAAATCCGCACTATCATATGGGAACATGTGGTCAAGGGTGTGTAGCCTCTTCGGTACAGAGAACCCTAGGCTCTGACCATCCGTTATATTTGGGGCGAAGGGAATCGTTCACTCTCAGACTTCTTGAACTTCAAGCGAGGTGCATAGTACTTGTCCAAAAAAGTGCTGTTGTATCTCGGTAGCGCAAATACATGTCGCCACGCCACTGTGTCGTCTCCCAGAAGAGGTGTGTTCCATTGGTCTCTCCGTTTCATCCGCCCAGAGAAACTCTTTCGAATGGTTCGTCTCATCCTCTACTCCCAGTAAAGTATATGATCCGGATCGTTCACCGTATCCACCCTGATCTCCTTCCCTGACACCGCCAGATCACCACTCTCAACTCCCATTATCCCTTTGCCTCCGTCCTCACCATCTATCACCTCTCTACTTGCTTTCTCGGCTGCCTCAATCGCCCTGGAAAACCCTTGCCATATCTCGTCTTTCTCTTCCATCCCAACACTGACTCTGACCATCTCCTCCAAGGCCCCATACTTCCCCGCCCATTCTAACTCTCCATAATACGCTATAATCGTATAAGGGCTTGCAAGCGTGAAATTCGTACCGAAAGAAGGTCCTTTCGAGAACGGGAGAGCGTCGTGAAAAGCGGAGGCTGTAAGGATGGATGAAAAGAGGACCGTTATGAGCGGACCGTACCCGCCCTTGGGACGTCGGACGGCGTCGTAGTTGGCTCGCGTCTTGTATTTTGGGTAGTAGACATCTGCGATCACGCTTCCATCCTGCTTCATGACCTCGCGCAACTTGTCGCATACCCATTCCGCGTTGCTATCAAGAATGGAGGTACGGCGGACGAAATCGGCCGAGTTCTGAGCCATGACCAGGGCATCGAGGGGGAAGTATGTGTCTGTGAAGCTTTGCGTGAGGTGTGCATGGAGATGTGCGTAGAACGGGCCCTTTGGGTTCAAGATCAAGCTGAAAACAAGTCATGTACGAGATGTAAGTGGTCAGAACACGGATAATGGCGAAACGTCACTCGAAATAGGTCGTACCTGCCACCAAGCACGTTCGCTCTCCCGCTGAACGATTTGGTCAGGCTGGTGACAACGATGTCCACGTACTTCAACGCATCTACATTCACGAAGTTCCCGATGGTGTCGTCTACGACTATGGGGAACCCGAATCTATCCGCCAGTTGACGCAGGCGTGGCAGATTGACGGATACTAGGAGCGGGTTGGATGGGATTTCCGTGAAGAGGGCAAGAATTGGTGGTGTGTCGGTTGAGGAGGAAAGAGAGATGAGGAGTTTTTCGAGGTCGTCTAGAAAAATGTCTTGTCCATCGGGGAAGAAGTGGCATCCTGGACCCCATTTCTCGAGGACTTTGAGAGTATCAACGTAAGGAAACCTGTACAGGACCAGTTTAATACATTCATAATCAGTTGATCGCGACGCAACAATAGCCACCACAGCTCGTTATCATTGAATAGTACTCACCCAAAACATACACTCTTCTTTGAGTCTCCAAATGCATGCATCAGAAGCTGATGAGCAGACCAGATTGCGGCCATCCCCGTAGGATATAAAAAGACATCTTCAATATCCACAGAAACGAGCTCCCCGATCTGTTTGCGCATCCCCAGTTTTGCCTCGAGGCTCTGTGGAATGATGGCGTTTCCATTTCCGAGCCTCTGCTTACCACCGTCAAGACCGTCGAAAGACTCATCTATTCCGGCTCCTTCTACATCCGCGATTCCGAGCAACTCGAGATAATGTGCTGCCAACCTCGATGAGATCCCCAACCCAGTATGCATCCAGAACACCTTCGCTACACGCCAGTACTCGATTGGGAAAAAGAACGCATGGGCTTCCGCGAGAGAGTTCGCAGAGGCAAAGACAGGAGTGAGCGAGCGAAGGCATGATGGGGAAGCACCGCGAGCGATAAAGAATGAGGTACAAGCTTGCGCTGCCAGGGCAGAGGTAAGAAGGAGGGCGCGTTCCGAAGGAGCTGCATGAAGTGTTTGGGCGTGCAAGGTGAGCTGTGGACGAAGAGTATTAGATTCATCCTACTAAGGAGGCTGAGAATTGGATAAGATGAAGAAAAATACCGTCCGAATACTTTTGGTCATCCAAAACCTAGGATACCCGGTTTGCATAAGTTCTAGAGCGGGTACCTCTGAGCTTCTATATCTGATGTTAGACGACCATGTCGGTAAAGAAGCGATAATAGAATGTCGGCCAGGTGGAATTGGGTGTCCAGTGCTATTCGCGTCTCCAATGCTCGCCATGGGTGGGTATGCAGATTGGCAAGGTCGTTGAGATGGAACCGGGTGGGAAGGGGACGAGGCCGTGGTTGTCAGCTGAGGGAGTGGACAGCCATACATTGACGCCGTCGGCGTAGATAAGTATGGAACAAAGCCTGAGAACGTGTCCCAAAACATACACCGTGCCCGAAGAGTGACCAATGGACCTACCCTTTCGTATCGCTCGCGACACGGCGCTCATAGACGCTAATGATATTACACAAATGGAAGGAAGGAAGGAAATTTATTCAGGGCACGAGATGGGCCCATAAGTACCTCTATCCGTGGTCGTATTAGTACCAAATACAACTACAGAGAGCGTCCAGTCAGACGAAGGGGCCGAAAGAAAGAAATGTGGCCTCGGAAGCAACTCGGAAGGTGGACTGATCCGGTCCCGGTAATTGCCGATTGTCGTCGTCGTATGGCTAGGAGGACCAATTGGTCCTCCTTTCTGATCCTTTCTGAGTTCATCGACGTCGACTTTTGTTGCAACAAGGGTCGAAGCTTGAAACGCAGTCCTTCTCACAAGCTCTGACATCTCGTGGCCTGGTCTACACAGCAGCAAAGCTGCCTAGTACTTAGTACTCTCTCTCCGACTTCTCTGAGTGTAGACAATCCTGGTCAAATTGTTGTCCGAGGCAAAATTCCATCGTTTCAACTGCAAGTATCCTTTCGGATATAACACAGAATGCGGTCATTTTTTTCCCTCTCGCGCATGCAATGCATCTGAGTGAATACCCAGGGTCCGGAACAGGACGCTCCCATGCTTGGTCCGCATGACTGTCCCCTGGCGCTGGCCTCGACGTCTTCCCGTAATCCTCAGAACGCATGTCCGGGAGTTCCCTCACGAACCGTATCCTCGGCCGCACGTATCTTCTCTTGTCGATGCCTTATCGATATCCTGGTCCTCGGGTACGCACAGGCTCTCCTCAGCGGAAACATTGCTCGCATCTCGCTCTCTAGCACTGGCAACCATGTCCTCCATCGCAGCCTTCTCATTCGGCGCCTTGGGTGACTTCGTCGCCCTCCTTGACCTTTCTAAGAAGGTCCGAAAGTCGCTCAATGCTAGCTCTGGTGCATCGCAGGATTATCTCATGTTCCTCTTCGAAGTCGACTCTTTGGTTCGGGTCCTACAAATGGCTACCCCAGCTACGACCCCAGCCCGGCTGTCACAGCTCTCTCCCGCCTTAATTCAGGAAGGCCTCAGTGCTCTCAAATCCGTGCAGAATATTATGACGGACCTTGAAACGAAGATCACAACTTACCAAGAGAAGTTACGGAAAGGGGGGTCGCGACGAATGATGATGGAATCGTGGAGGAAGATCGGGTGGGGGTTGCTCGTGCAGGACGACGAAGTCGCGAAACTACGGAGACAACTGGTGTCCAACGTGAGGACTATGGGCATCGTGACGTCGTCAGCGCAGTGGTATTCATCTCTCCAAAATCTCCCTGGACGTTATTTGATTCCTCCATTCCTTTAAAGTGCCGGAATAGACGAGCTACAGCAGCAGAGCTGGGTCGTACATGACCGCTTGACCAAGATTCTAACGAAGAGTGTCGGGTACACCTGGGAAGGCGGAATGACCGCGGAAACGGCTCCAATACAACTTCGCGACATGTTTGACAACATCATCTCCATCCCTTCAGAGTTCTGCGCTACTCCTGAGGTACCCTATATCTATCCTTCACAATACTAGCATTCTGCTCTATCTAACATGCTCGGCTCAGCGTTTGGAAGGATTGCTCAACGTGTACCTCCGCGGTCGGAAGGGTACCAAGTCTTTCCTCAAGGGAGACTACGAGCTGACGATATCTGGCTGTGGCACTGAGCTTGACCTTATTGATCCAGCGCAATGGACGAGGATCGTGAAACCCGGGATCTTTGTGGAGATGAATGCGATCATACGACGTAAATCAAGACCCAACAATCACTCTGACCTCGAATGTCCGTGCTGTAGAAGGATTGTAGTGTCTGTGAAGGCTGATACCCTCTCCATATGGTCAGTCCTTACACTAATATTTCACAGTGTATTAAAAGCAAGGGCGGGGAGAAAAACTTACTTATGCTGTTCCTAGTCCACACTGTGATTCCTCGTTCATTGTGTCAAGAACTGATGTCGATGACCCCACCAACCTTGACGGCCCGCATGACGTTCCTGAGTTGGTGCCTGGACAGCGTTCTGCTTATAACCTCTTGGGTGAATTAGAGATTATATATGGGCAGAAGGATTGGCGGGCTCAACATATAGCACAACTGGAGGACGTCTACACAGAGTCACAATGCCTGCGTCATGTAAGGGTTCTAGAGTGGCTACCAATTAGGCATGCTAGGTCCATGTCTAGGACTGAGGTGAGTGTTGTGCTACGTGATCGGTTTTTTGCTACAATTCTCATTGCCGCAATTATAGGTGGGTTACCCCTTACCATACCGAGACAGCACCAACAAGGAAGTAACGGTGTTCTGGAAGGGACCAAGGACATTGTCGAACGTACCGGTCTCTCTCACTTCATACCTCGAATTCCCATGCTTATTGGCACGCCGACAGGGGGTGGTCATGCATGAAGTGGTGTCAGAAGAGACCGGAAGTGTAGTATCATTGCTGTAGGTGCCTTAAAATCACCGTCGGTACGATTTCTACTGACTCCGGTTACCATTTTATCTGGATTGTTATGGTCCGTTCGGCTGATGGGATGCTGAGTGTAGTCCCGCGGCGTTGATACACAGCTTCAAGGCCCTAACGATGCAGGGATGCGCATATATTGGCTACAATGCGTGGTCCCCGGATGACTGAGGGACTCTTGAGGTTTACACATTACGCCTGATACAGCTGTCTCCTAGTGGCAGTGCGAGGTCGTCATATGTACCTTGAGTTTTTATGGCTTTGTTCTCTCACCCTCTCATTCATGATAGCAACCTTGTAGCAACCGGGACATAATGACGTGTTAGAGAGTCAAATATATATTATACTCAACCTTGATCCCGGGTGCTGACTAGCATTAGAGAGCCCACGATTGGAAGCTGAGGTCGAAATGGTGTCTGAGACTTCAATCCGCCCGGGGAGACCTCGACGAAAGGGGTCTCGTCAATATCCCATGTCTGATATATTTCTGTAATTCCGACCAGGATAATTGAGCTCAGACAACACTCCCATTACCACTCGAATAACAGGCCGTGGCAGCCCGCGACAACTGCGACTCGATAACAATGCATACGACCATGAATTGCGAATGTTATGTTCGGCTACTGCGGTACACGTTAATTAAGTCACAGTGATTGCGCAGAGATGATGGTTTGTATTCCTGGAACGATAAAACAAAACAAAAAACGATTCCAACCTACACTCGAAAAAGCCTCCCCTTCAGTTCAGTTGGAATATCCGGCATCTGTGAGAAACGAATGGCGAGCGTCGCCTCAGAGATATGTGACATACATATATGCCCATTGTCCTCTCGCTTCGCTTCATCGACTAAGCAACACCAAAGATGAATACACCAGCGGAAGCCGCGGCATTCGAGATTTTCGTAAGGTTCCGCCACCTGGACATCTTGCTTGCAGCTCTGCAACTTGGTCTCCACCCATTGAAGTTTGGCAAGGGTGAGGGTTCCTATGTCATGGTCGGAAATGTAACTGTTCTGCAGCTGTGGAATCAACGGTAACGACACAGGCACATAGTCCACGCGTGGTTGATACATTCGACCACCCTCTCTCCAATTACCGACGATCAAAGCCCACTGATGCCAGCTTGAACCATGCTCTGGATACAATCGAGCCAGTCTGACCTTAAGATGAGAGGGGGACGAACAGGAATGGACATTCTGCTCTCTGCTTGAGACTGCCAAAAACAGTTGAGTATGGCTGAGTACAGAAGAAAATTGAAATTATAACTTACTAGTAGGATCTGATGAGTGGTGATGCTGAGTCGGAGTGGGTACTTCTCCGAGAGAGGAGCCAAGGCTCGGACGGGAGGAAGGCCAGGAAGGGAAGATACCCTCTCCGACGTCTATAACGTCTCGATCCCTCGGATGATATATGGAACCGTTGTTAGCCGTCTGAGTTGGTAGAGGGGGAGAGGTAACAAGGCGAGTAGCAGGTGACACAACGAGGTGAATAGGGTGAGAAGTGAAAAGGGTTGAGATGGCGCAGCGCGGGGAGGCAGTGCAGAACCGGGATGACATTCTCGCTGTGGGACACGGATGAGGAAAAACACTCAAAGACGAGATGCCTGAATCACGAGAGAGCGAGTCAGAAGTAGTTTAAATAACTGGGGGACGACGTGCACACCTTCATAAATGAGTCCGACAAGGCAGACACTCTTAAGTGTATAGGAGATGACACGCAGAATATTGAGTGAAAAGTGTCACGGAGAACAGGGCGTCCACAGAGAACTAAACGGGTGATGAAGAGAACCAGCCCAGTCGAGAGGAGCCCCATTTATAGAGAAACGCTACTGTAGTGAAACCGCACAGAGACACAACACTTTACGAAATGAACAACAGACTATCTGCTGTCAGCGCCGTCAGAGCTTGCTTACCGGAGTCCAACTTATACATGCCACCCTCCATTCCAACAGAACAGCAACATGAGAGATAAGCAAGCAATAGATCTACTGTATTCGTCACAAAAGCGGTGAAGACGGAAAGAGTTCGAGACGGAACAGATCGTAGAGCGTAAGGATGCCGAACGGGGAAACACAAGAGGAATCCGGCAGCTAATATTGTGGTCGTTTCTCTTGTCTTAGATATGACAGTAGCAATTTTATAAGTGGGGATCTTAGAGGACAAGGGGCAGAAGGGCCAACAAGTCTAGACGCCAAACAGTGTTGCACATATACGACCCCGCGATCTGTTTCTTGTCTGATTAGGATTGAAGGCGCGGACATACTGGACCGGCAAGAGTACTATGCAGAATAGGGAACCCCAGCGAACAAGGGACGGATGTGCGGGTAATCCCAATGGTTGCGTGGGGCACAACGGTAATTGCGGACACAGGCTGATTCGCATTCCAACAGTATTGCCAACGAAGAATTGCAGCCTGTATGAGGCGAGGAACAAGGGAAACATTGACCTGTTCCAAACGAGAACAATAATCATGTAAGCGCCATTTCGAGCCCCGCGACGCTGCTCCGTTACTGAGACTCTTGGAGATCCTAGGATGATGCCTACGCCCAGACAGGCTAGAGCATATGCAGCACAATAAGGATAGCCGAAGAGCGTATAAACTGGGGCCAGATCAACGTTTAAAAGTCCTTTGACGAGTTCCCTGGCAGTCACGGATCGCAATCAATCGCCCACCGAAACCGACGGTCCATCAGTTCCCCCAAGTTATATACGGTCCTATATCTGCGGAAGAGTAGAATGTGAAGCGTCATAAAGCCTTGTTGACCGTTCGGAGCTTCTGGGCACGAATGACGGAGGGACGAAAGTTGGACGAAAAAGTTGCGAAAAGGTGTCGTTGGGCGCTCTGTGTCAACCGCTTCGTCCCGGCATCCCCCGATCAATTCGCAGTCCGTCAGTGGCGTGGCACAGAATGCCTGCACTGAAGCTGAAGAGTTTTTGTGACGGTCTAAACTGGTCGACGCCGCCTACTTATCCTCGAAGGATCGCCGAGACCATGTTTGTGAAGGTCCAGTAGATGGGGGCGCTCACTGCCTAACGTTATTCGCCATCTTTTGACCTCCGAGTTCCGATGTTCCTTGAAGTTGCTGTTTCAGTCCCACCCCAGATCGCGTACTCCTGATCAATAGTCACCAGTGAAGCCAGTACCTGATTAGTGCACTACCATGCTGTTAAGGAGATGATAGCGAGCCAGTGTTATCCCGCCATTCAATCCCCGGAATATCGCGTCGTATATTTAGCGAACAAACGCGTTGCGTTGAGTCACCGTTGAGGGGTTTGGCGAAGATACTACAAGATAATACAGCAAGGATGAGGATGTCAAGGTTGGATACTAGATACATATACGGGGCTTTGAATCCAATAAATCGCCCAGGCCTTCACGAAATTCGCACTCATGCAGATTCGGTGGCGCAAAAGGCTAGCTCTTACAGCTTCCCCCTGGGCCACTCTACCACTCACGCAACGTTCTTCATCGCGTTCTTGGTCTCTTGAGGCATCAACTGCTCCAGATGTTGCGTGTGAGTGCTGCATCCGCCAGCTAGAAACGTCGCTTGACGTGGGTGTGAGCACTGCAACTGTATCTAGCAAGCAAGATGAAGCAGCAGGATACGAAGAGCAATTGTAGGCGTGGTAGGAGGCAGGTCAATGAGGTCTCGTGTTGCCACTGTGCCACCTCGTCTACGAAATGTACTCAGTTGGGTGTCGAACGAGCCTCATAAACCAAAGACGGACCTTCTAACTAGTCAATATATCAACAAGGGTACCCGCCCACCTTTGAGTCGAGTACATGGCAAGCTGGCCACAGCAGCAGTCCGACATTAATGCCAGTAAGATTCGATGGTGGTCTCGACGACGACCCGACAAGTTAAATCTGATACGTAGTGAAGATTCCGTACTCGTCGTACATCACGCAAAGTTTTGCACCTTGTCACAGTCGATATGTAGTGTTGCGAACACCATGGCAAAGTCTAGCCTTACCTTTCCTTTCCAGAGCTCGTGTGACCCGTAAAGTTGCGGGATTAGAGTGCCGCAGAATTCCCAAATCTAACGATCACGTCGAGCAGTCAAGATTCCAAATAATCCGGTGGCGACATGTATGGACCCAAGAAATGTTCTGAAGTGACACTGAATCGGAAGGACAAGGCGAGAAATTAGTCGTAAAGATTCGTATTCCCTAGGCCTGCGCAGGAGGAATCGGATGTCAACCTGGATTTGTACGACCGAGCCGCTGAAGCCGTTTCTGAGTTTGAGGCAAGAGCGAGGCAAGAGCGAGGAAAATCGGAGGAAAGAGTCCATATGATCATTGATAAGTCACAACGGGAATTTATCTTAGTTGCGCACGAGGAGCTATGAGGAGGAGTCAGAAGACCCGTCGAACGTGCGCGATTGAGAGAGATCCAAAAGTGGACGAGCGGCCGGACCCAACCGGGCCGGTATTTCTATTTCTTTTGAACAGGTTTTTCGTTTCGCGCCCTTGCACGAACTCCACCTCGCACACTAATAGTACAATTTGCATCCTGACTCTTCTGTCTTCCCTCCATGCGCAAACAAATAAATCACAATAGTCCCCGTACTTGTGATCGTTTGCATGTATTTCTGGATATCGGACCTGGCACGCTCATGCATATCTAGCGCACATGGGCCACATGAAAACGATGATGATACCTAGATGATACCAAAATAACCAAAGAGAGCGCTTCCTCCAAGCGAACTACGTTCCTGATCCTGACCCATCACCCCTCCGCGTGTCTCGGTCTCCCTATTCGAACATCGCAAGGATACGGCTCGCCCACCTATATAAACGAGACATCCGGGCGGGGACAGGGGGCGGTTTGTCTGACCTTTGATCTGTCCATTTCGCTGCTCCTCAGCAGGGAGTCAGGTCCAGCTATGACTCGCATCACATTCCCTATCTTCCTGTCCTTCCCTCTCCTCTTCTCGGTCTTCCTGTCTAGCACCCTCGTTTCCTCTGTTCCCCTGGAGGATAGTACGTCGCCTCTCCTTTCCTCGACCTCTTTCCTTCGAACTGACGTCTAGATCGAAAACAGGAGATGCATCATATACCATCGACCTCAACCCGTACCCCAACAAACCCAAGCTTACATTCAATTCTCAAGGACAGTTCAAGATCACCGTGTTCTCAGACCAACATTACGGAGAGAACGCATGGGACGTTTGGGGACCGGAGCAGGACGCGAATAGTACGGAGTTGACGGAGACGGTGTTGCCGAGTGAGAAGCCGGATTATGTGTGCGTTTCTCCATCTTGTGGTTAGGGGCGCGAGCGAAAGGAGAAGGCGGGGTTGAGATGGTGTGATCGACGGCGGATCCTGATGGACTTTACTTTCTTGACAGTGTAATCAACGGTGACTTGATTACTGGCGAGAGTGCGTCTTCCCGTCCTTGCAATCTATCGCATGAACAAATTCTTAGCATGTCGCACCCCAGACACCTTCAAGGAAAACTCGACAGACTACGTCAACATCCTTCTCGCACCAATCATCCAAGCCCAGATCCCCTTCTCCACCACCCAAGGCGTGCGTCCGCCTCTCCGCCTTACCACCTTATACCCCCTAACTTACCCTCTATCCAAACGGGTATAGAACCACGACAATCAGGTCAACATCACCCACCTCGCAGAGATCAAACGCGAGCTCTCCATCGCTCCTCTCTCCTACACCCGCGTCGCTCCCAACGGTGTCGGTGGTGACCCCGAAATGGGCCCAGGGACGTATTGGGTCCCGGTCTACAACACCACCAATGGTACGTCCCCTTCCCTTCTCGCCGCCGCCCTTCCCTCCATCCAACTATTCATTCATTGAACGATAATTGACCGGCGACAATCGATCATACAGACACCGAACCCGCTCTGGTACTCTGGTTCTTCGACTCCCGCGGCGGTTTCGGACCCGGCCCCTCCGCTGACTCGAACCCGAACCCGGACTGGGTCGATGCGACGGTGGCGACTTGGATCAATAAGACGAAGGAGGCGATGGATGAGACGTGGGGTGAGGCAGGTACGGTTGGGAGGGGCAGTTTGGCGTTTGTGCATATCCCGCCGTGAGTCTCTCCATTTTCACCTTACATAGGCCGGGTTGGGCGGTGATGGGGGTTTGACGGTAGGAGTGGGAGGCTTACTTGTGGACCGGATAGGCATGCGATACAGGCGGTGCAGGAGAGCTTGAATACGACGGATGGGTTGAATGGTACGTTTTGTTCAGCGTCTTCCGGCACATATCCTGGTTCTCATGTTGATGTCAATGTACAGCGGACACACTCGGCTCTGGCTCCACCGAAGCAACCACAGACGACGCCAATATCGGAAAGGACGACCCGTTCTACACGGCCGTGACCGCGATCCCGAACCTCCACGCCCTGATTTCAGGCCACGGTACGTACTCTACTTAGCATCTTCATCTTCTCCGCCGCAGAGACCTGATACGTGTGGCGTGTGGCGCGACCTGTACAGATCACGGAAACGAATGGTGCGCCCGAGAACCCACGCGGAACACCGTCTTCTGCTTCGACAAACACGCGGGCTACGGTGGCTACTCCTCCGACGGCTGGGGCTACGGCATCCGTAACGTCCTGTTCACATCTGGCTCCGTCCATGAACCGCCACAATCGTGGATACGGATGCAGAATGGAACGATCATTGCTCCTGTCACGCTGGGAAGTGGATTCTCGGGTTAGTATCGGTTTTCAGCTATGAGCCCCTCTTCCTTTTTAATATATGTGTAATTATCGGTGAGCGGTTCTGCGTGATTGAGTGTTGAGTGTTTCTGTGGCTGATTTGAGTTTGATGTGGGCTGTAGGTAGTGATAGTAGTGCGGGACTGACTAGTGGTGCGGGGATGAGAGCGAGAGTGCGAGAGGGAGTAGGATGGGCTTGGAGAGTTGGGAGATTTGGAGCTGGAGGGGGCGGTGGCGATGGGCTAAGTATGAGGGGCTGGGGTGTGGTTGGATTGGCATGGAGTGTCTTGGTTTGTTTGAGGTGATGTGTTGAGTTTATTCAGTGGTACGGTCGAGTGTCGCTCTTGATTCGAAGTCGTTGATCTTTTTCGTGGATGTTAGCAAGGTAGGGGGAGAGTTCATATGCAAGCATGGCCCGGTGGTGTAACGGATGTGCACGCCTGTTTATCATGTGGACTGCTACTCCGTACTCTTACATCGTTGACAGGAAGTCCCAGTTCGATTCTGGGTCGGGCCGCTTATCCGTCATCGATAGACCTTTTGCATGGAATATCGCTTTCCTTTGTTGATCTTGCCTGCTTTGTTACGGTGCGTGCCCAGCTGACGAGTTGGATCTGTTTCTCCTTCTCTTACGGGCTACCGCACCCCACTGCGCTTACTCCCCTTCGATTCAAGTGGATTAACGACTCATTGGTGTAATGGTCGGCACGTCCGTACTACATTGGGCACCGATGGTAATATTTGCATTGCTCACATATGGGAGATCCTAGTTCGACTCTGGGACGAGTCCTTTCTAGCAAAGTCAATACTTTCCCAATATTTTTATACTGTTGTGTCGGTGTTTCACAGTACTCAGTAGCAGGCATCTTGGATAGGATATTGACTTATTCGCGACCTACTCGTATATGACGGTGGCTTTCATCTATTTAATATGGATCTTCCCTCCTTTGTTGTGGCGCGTGCCACCCCAGCGCCATACGCGACTTCCATCTGCTTCTCCTTTATCCTATGAGCTACTGCACCCCTCTGTCAATGTGTATATTCTTCGTCGATTGAAGTCGAGGGAAGACTCGTTGGTGAAATGGCTAGCACGCCCGTACTGACATACTGGGCGCCGATGGTCATGCATTACTCATATGGGAGATCCCAGTTCGAGTCTGGGACGAGTCCAGTATCTGATTCTCTAGAGAACTGTTTTATTCCAGTGTCCTTATAATGCAGTTTCGGTGTTCGATAACTCAAAGTTCTCGGTTAGAGTGTGTGGCGCGCGTGCGCCACACGTAAACGGGATTGTCGGTCACTTCGTTGTCCGCACCGTAGACTCGCACTTGAATAGTTCACTCATCACCCACGAGTGGATATAAAGGAGCAGATATGAGGTGAGGGTCCAGTGATACATCGTATTTGACATCAAGAAAAACAACTTGACAATACAATTAGGCCGTATTCTTGGCCGTTACAGAGCATTGTTACATACAGAGAGTGCAGAGCGAATAGATCTTGGAACTAGGAACTTCACGGAACATCGTCTACGTATCATACCAGTCCGAGTAAGATAACATATGCGTCAACGTTTGCGCTTCCCAGGAACCACGAAACGAACAGTGCCACACCGATACTCCGTAAACGGCCACCCTTCGCGCTCCATACGACTCAGATCTTCAGCCGTTCCCAACTCACGGTCGTCCATCCAAACACGCAGGCCGCAAACGAGCTTATGCTCTGACCAATCACTATGATTAAACAGAAAAGGTTCGATAAGCAAATGGATGGAGGACTGAGGAGCGAGAAACGTGTTGGGCGTACTCCTTCTGGCATTTCGCCGTACAGTACTTGACCGTCTTGCACGCGCTACACTGCGATACACCGTTCGCAGGACACCCTCTCTTCCCACATTCGGCTCTCGAGAATCGTTGGTTTTGGAGAAGGAACAGCTGATCCATGACGAGTGCAAGTGATGAGCAACATTGACACGCTTGCCGCCGCAGAGAGGGAACGTGATGCTTTTTCCGGGGGATGGAGACGTGTTCTCTCGGGTGGAAAGGTCGAGATCGAGGAGAGAGCGAAGGAGGCGGGGACGAGGAAGGTTAGGGTAAAGCGCTTCGAGAGTGGCGGTTCGGTTGTCATTGAGGGCCTGATTAATGAACTTGAAGGTCGTTCCCATCTCACCTGGCACAAGTCAAGGTTAGCACCAAATTCGAGGAAGCGGGACAAAGAGCGAGAGGAGGAAAGTAGTCTCGTACCTATCGTGGCTATCCACCCCGGCCGGTCCACACCATTTCGAGTGGCCGTAGTCACCAACCACTCCTGCGTCTCCAAAAGACCACCATTGATCCAAGCTAAAACTAGGTGCTTCTGGTCTCGCTCGGAGCCCGAGGTGCTCAGGACATTTCCGTATCCCCTAATCGTACCGAGCGTCATGTCCTCCTCAGGTGGCACGGCCCCCACAATATTCCGTTCTCTGACTTGCTTGAACTGTAACTCCCAGAGACTGGGCGAAAGATGGGTTGCCCGGTATAAGGACTTGTACTCTGTCGTCTTTTTGAGTTTCTCAGGGTCATGATAGATCATCATGTCCAAGAGGTAGGCTATGCCGTGATTGATATAGCGTTCGTCTGACTGGAAAAAGACACCTTTTGAGAGACGCAGCATGAGCTGATGCATCGATTCGAACGGGAAGCCTTTGAGTCCTTTGAGTAGGCGACCAAGGATGGAAGGCGCATCTCTCGGACGCCCTTCGAACTCTCCATAGCAAGGCAAGAAGTTGAGAGCCCTAAAGTATCTGCTCAATGCGGCGACATAAACGATCCATTCCGGACCATGAGCATGTCGCCAGCCTCGTGCTAGGATGGAAAGAGTCAGATCGGTTGGGATATCCATAGCGCTGGAGGCCAAAGCACGCGTTAGTAACAACGATTCTTCGAGGAGCTGAAGTGGTACGAGAAAACACTCAACAGTATTACGCTGGGATCAAAGTCTGCGACCCTCGCGATAAGTCCGGCCAGGGTTGCCAGCTCCCGAACGGAATGTGTTACATTTTCCGTTTCATCCCAAACCTACGCATCGCGAAGAGTGGGAAAGACGTCGTTACATAAACTTCGAAACATGATATCAGCACAAAAGAGGCGCACTTTTTCCATGATCCTCGTCCAGTACTTCCTCAACTCTTTAATCACCTGAACAGTTTCACCAGTCGGCAGACCAGACGCCTCGTCCAGGGTGAGTGCATCGAACAATATTATCAGTGGAAGAGACCACGGCGCGTTGCCATCGAGGTGCTCGTCATACCCAGATGGGTGGGTAGGACTGAACGGAACGCTGTCTCTAGAATCTGGTTTGATGGTTGATCTGTCATACTCAAGTATCCCAAGGCAGAGCTGTTCTGCAACACCAGCCTTGACTAGCGCCTGCCACGGACGCATGCTGGGTTTTTCAGCAGCTTTGTGAACAGCTTTCAGAGCTGGTCGAAGGTGCTAGATGGAAGCAAAAGTTTAAATTGTCAGTGAGCATTATTGTCAGGAGATATACATGTGGATGGTCGCACCAGTATCGTGTCATTCCATTTGTTGGTCACTCCGTTTGTGGTCTTGCGGAAACCTAGCACAGATACGATGCGTTCCGGGTCCGAGTCGCTATCAATGGTTGATGTAGAGGCGGTTGACGGTAAAGTATCCCAGAATGTCGAGTTAGACGCAGACAGCGACATGCTTGTCGTCGTCCAAAGAGCAATACTGTCCAAGATGGTGGTGGTCAGGAAAGGAAACCGAACAGCAGTGACACCGATCGGACACCGCGAGTGCGGCCGATTTCAAATCAAACGCCACAGTGGCACCTCGTTGCCTACAACCAAAGTGACGTCTTCTTTCAAATTCTACCCCAAAAATAGACACAGCTAAGCGCTGAGCATTGCGTCATAAGCGAGGACACCCAAGTACAACGTGAACTCACACGCGGCCTGTGATGGACTTTCTTTCTCCTCACTAACACCTACTACTACTGAATCGTCAGAAAAGGCCAATTGTCCATAATGGCTCTGGATACCGCTGCGCTCGTTGAGGGCATTGTGTCGTCGGCAAAGGCCTCAATTGCGGTCATTCTGGTTATGGTGCGTCCTCAACTTCATCAGATTGTGAGGCCAGCACTTCGCAACCCTAGAAGTTTACTTTAGACCTGTACAATACTCCTTCGTAGATATACGGTTATGCCACTCGAAAATGGGGAGCTGTGTCCAAGGAAGGAGAAAGTGTACGCTGTCTGATGCTTCCTTCCACATCTACCGGGTCACAATTTAATCATATCGTTGGGGTAGAATATTTCCAAAATCGGGACGACAATATTCTTGCCTTGCCTACTCTTTTCAGAAATTGGGCCTCTATCGACAGCCGAAAATCTCGCTTCATGTCCGTGTCATTATCATATGAGTTTTGCCTCGAAGTTCTGAAACCAGGAGCTGGTCTTACGCTTCTATGGCTGAGCAGATTGGCCCATCATCCCCTTCTCACTCGCCTTCCAGTTGGTATCACTTCTCGTCGGCTTGGGATCACAGAAGATTTTTAAATTCCCGCACTATTATGTTCCTATGTTCATTTTCAACAACGTGAGTTTCTTTCTCCCTTGACTCAGGTCCCTCCTCAGGCTACCACCTAGCGATTATTCACTTCACGTCATTGCTGTGGCTTCATACGATAGGTCACTTCACTTCCCCTTCTCCTGATTCAAAGTCTTTCCAAGACGGGAACATTTGATGATCTACTGCAGCCCGGGGAGACGATGCAAATGCTCGTCAAGCGTGGGACGGTTTATATACTCATCAATGCCCTCGTTGGTAACATGACACGGTTTGCGCTCGGTCCATGTCAGTTTCATCCCTTGTTTTCGTGTTCTTCGTTTTGACTCGACTCCTGGGTTTGGCGTGTGCGCTCGTACTGTCGTTTTATGTGGCGATTTCATGCGGAGGACTACTGACGTCGGTGCTCCATTCGTCCAGATTTGATGAAGTCCCACGAACCCTGGACATGGATGAACCCGTTCGCCGACGATCCCTTTCACAAATCTTCGAACGAGTCCGACGAGGCGTCCCTCTGGAAACATGGTCCCGTTCACCTACCCACAGACGTCCACAATTCCGACCCACATCTCCACCCACTCTATCTCAATCCAGACAGTGTCCAAATTCCTGGCCAATCGCACGAAGACGGTGGACATCCCTCTGACGCGCATTCCGATTCAGAAACAGAAGAACCCAGCACAAGTCAAAAGATGAAGTGGAAACGTCGCGTGATGGGTGGCGTGAAGAAGGTTTGGATAGGGCTGAGGACCATGATGAATCCACCGTTGGTGGGCGGATTGGCGGCGGTGGTTTGTGGGCTTGTGCCATTCCTGCATATGTGGTTATTTAGACAGGGATGGTTGTCACCGTGAGTCCTATAGTTCAAAGTCCGTGGCCCTGACTTCGTATCACCTCCATGACCGGGACAAAAAGCACACCCGACCTGATACTGAGCTCTCATTTCTGTTGGGAATCATAGGCTCGCAGACTCCATCGAAAATATAGGCGGTCTCTATACCGCCCTGCAGATGTTCGTCTCCTCTTTCATATCTCTTCGACCACTCCACACTTACCGATTGCGTTCATGCTACAGGTTTGTCCTTGGCGCACACCTGTACTCGAAGAAAGGCACACATGCAAGCATACCGACCCTCATCTGGCTCTTCCTGTGGCGCTTCTTCCTTGCGCCTGCCCTCTCAATTGGAACGATTTATGGAATCAGGCAGAAGTGGCCTACGGCGATGGTACCTATTCCTTCTGCTTATTATTCTATATGCCTTGTTCTCCCAGATTCTGACGTTTCATATACAGGTCGAAGATCCTATGCTCGACTACGTGTTGATGCTGTCGAATGTAGGCCCGCCTGCGTTAACGCTGAGCGCTATCGCGACAATGTGCGTGCATTTCCTCGTTCCTGTTATGCCCATTGCCTCTTCTCTCCATCCCTTGTATCACAATTTTTGTCCCACGACGAAATTTGACGGCCTGATCCTTCTTCGCTCATACAGGGCGGACCTCGACTCAGACGCCGATGGTGCTGTTTCACGTATTATCACGCTCAGCTACGCAGTCACACCATTGATTGCATTGCCCATCACCGCTGTGTTGCAATTCGCAAGCAAGATCGAGGATGGTCAGTGAGGGGGTGAGGGATACATTCAAATTATTGGCTTCGTGGCATGGACTACAACCTAAGGCAATTCCTTCTTCTGTACTCATGGGCGATTTGATACGACTCTGACATTGTACAGTAGTACAGCCTGTATATTTGGTACGCACATGGGGACATGGCGACCCGTAATTGTTGGTACACTTGGGTGTGGCTTCTCTAACTGGGCTGATTTTCTTGTAAAACCTTGAAGTTACGATATTATTATGGTGTCAGTGTTGAACGTACATTATTCGCTATTGTCACGATGCTGTCGATGAATACCGGAGGCCCTGATACCACGCACTTACTCGGGGCGCCACGCAGACTGTGTGGCGTTCCGCCGTTATAATCAGTGATTTCCTGTGTTCCGCGTTCCTCCGAAAGTGGCCAATGGCTCCGGATCCACTTCGTCTCATCATCCTGTTCGCACTCGATGTACTTACTTCTCTACAGACGCAGCGAAGGCTCCTTGAGCATCCTGCTCGGCTTACGATAAGAAACCTACTGGCTTCGTGGCTTTTATAACCTATTTGCGCTCATTCAAACATTGACAGCCTGTTTTTATCAGGGCCGCCCACGATCCACTCAGGCTGGCGCTCGGATTTCACCCTCCTCGCCACAAGCTCTCTCCTCGATTTGACTTGACCGCTCCATGTAATAGTTATAGCAGGAAGCTCTCTATCTTTCTAGTCCTTTCTGATACAGCTTCAAGCTCTAATTCTGACCCTAGCTCGACGATACCACTCTCTGATCTATGCCGCGACCTCAAGGCTCCGCCGCATCCTCTATATCCCGCGTCTTCATGGAAGAACACCAACAGCTCCATACTTTTCGCGATCCGACCGACGTCCCATGGTATAAATCGTAGGTCAGCATCATGATAATATGTTGTGCACACTCGTTCAAAGGCCCATCCAGGCTGCCTCTGGCCGGTTTCCAAGCATAAGTACTTGCTGGCGACGCGTACGTAGGGACGGCAACGCGACCGTCGTCATCGGTGTCCACTGCCCAATCCTTGTCGTGCGGGTGTCTACTGATACACGATATTTCTCGCAGTCCCTCGATCATGATCTAGACATAGTGCTGTAACATACGCATTCTCGATTGCCTTTGGGATGCATTATCGTCTCCAGGGCCCGGGGCATCCTTCCCTCCTTTTATCTTATTAGGCGCACGCTCTCATCTCCATGCATCTGTAGGCATCTGTCCCTCTCAATTTGCCTCCGGTAAGTTGTTTCTTGCCCCTTTTGCCTCCGCGCCCTTTCGAAATTGTTACCCCATGTGCATAACCTATTCGAAACTGATGTGCGGAGAAATCAGTTGCTAATCTGCGGTCGCGATCTGTTGCATCATACACAATGACCATCACCGGGATGTGAAGTGTCGCAGGACCTTGCTGTGGTTTCGAGTACAACGCTCTCTGAGAGCTTGTGTTTCTGTGATGTGCGTTTGAGCATCCCAGCGTGTTCTATTATGGTGCAGCTCCGAGTCGATGGGAAGAATGCCCACTTGGCTGTTCTCGAAGCTTGTCACACTGCAGCGTAATGTTTAGCTGGCATCCTTCCAGAACTGCGCCGCCGGGACTCATCTATCTTCCTATGCTATAGTTAGCACTCCACTTTCAACCGTGCGCAGGCGAAGATTATGCTATCCGTGGGGATAACATCCGGCCTGTCTACTCAATAGCTCCCTCGTATGATCGAGGCTGCTGCGGGTGTCGTTTGGTGGCGTTGAACCGAGTGGTGTCCCTTTACAACGAAAGGCACTTCTGCGTACACTCTCTCAGGATGCAGTCATGCATGTCTGTCCCTTGTGCGATATCTTGCTTACCAGTACACTTTAGTATAGTTGCTGGCTGTGTCTCTAATCCAATTCGGCTCGTCGTATCGCATCGGGCTCAGGGCAGGTTACATATGTATACGAGTTAATAGCCTTGGCGCTCAACTGCCGGATCTGCATAAGCACGCTCTGCATGGCGCTATCGACACGGTCGAGCTGATGAGAATCGGTCTGCTCTGCCCGTCGTTCGATGCTTCACACTGTGTGAGGAAGAGCAGGGACACGGGACGTGAAAACCCGTGATGCGGAGGCAGGAATCTGCAACGACTAGCGGGAACTGTGTTGTCTTGTTCTCGCGAGAGTGCACGACAGTAAAGCATCTTCCGTACTCGTCAATATAGGTGAATTATGTCATGTTCCACAGACTTGGGAGAGGAACCTGGAGAAGATCAAGTGAACAAAGTATTTGGAAATATTTTTCCTGCAAGCCAGCCGCCATGGCTTTCTACGGTGTGATGTACGATGGGCCCTTGATGCGGTGGACGTTGGCGCTAGCTGAAGGCAAGAATCAGGTCGCACAATATTATCCTATGTTCCGCAATATGGAGTACAAATCATGACCAATCGCTAGCTCTTGTGTCGGCGGCGTAAACAAATTCGTATCCTGCATCCACATCGTTCTATCCACACCAGACTAGAAATGTGTAAGCCTGTATTCCTTGGATGCTAGGATCAGAACGGAAGGTCAAGCTCGAAAGAGAGGACACTAGGATACCCCTACATCATCTGACAGGCTAGTCGCCTAAGTCAGTTTGTCTGCCCCCGATTTTGAGTCTTCCTGACGACATCTCTACGTCTAATTCGCGGTGCCGAACTGTCCAGCGATAGGGCTGACAATGACTCGCAGTCAGGGTGCCCTCCTGAGCAATATGCAGTGTACAAATGTGCGAGAGGAGACGACAAAGAATAGCCCGAGTGAGTTCCGCCATAGAGGGTTTAGAAGTAAGACGTGCAGGCGGCTGATATACGCGTGTCCCATGTCCGCCAGAGCCTCCGAGAAATCATTCAGCTTTGAATGACCAGAAACAGGATACGGTATGTACTCGTGCCGGACTCTTCATCAGGGAACAAGAGGGGACCCGATTGACGGTTTAATTGGCCTGTCTTACCTCAGATTGGCGTACACAGGCGACGCGAGCGCGAGTATCAAAGTCAAGAAGCTCCGGTCTCTAAAACCGCTTGTCCATACCCTGCTCACAGCCGCTTCCCGGCTCTCTTCGACTACCAGAAGGTCGTCAACCGAAAGGTTGAACGTCAGTTAGCTGCTATACCCCTCGGAGCCCTCGGCACCCAGTACCAAGAAGTGGCCCTCGTAACCTGTCCTTACGAGAGCAAAAGAACGGGAAATGGGGAAGGAAGAGGCTTGGAATATTCGCCTCCATCTGCCCACATCCTGCTTTGGTTTGTGTGGACCAGGACCTTGAGCAGCTTTGCTTCCGGCGGCCATGTATCATAAGTCTATCGGTATGCATCGGGCGCCTGCACTTTTACCCCATCTGAACTCGACCCGATGACGACGCTTCTTCAGGAAATTGATGGCGACGATCGGAAGGGCATGAACTACGCACTGGGCTCAAAGGAGTAATCATCGCTAGCTCGTGTTCCTTCTTCGCCTTTCTTCCCCATCATTGTCCCAGCGCTGCATAGCAGAATGCATTGTATGTGCCCATTCCAGCACTTTACGAATAATATCCTGGTCAATTCTGCGATGAGTAGTCAACCAGCCAGAATCTTTCTCATCGTCGTGTATTGTCGCATGAACTCGACTGACAGTTGTACAGCGAACATGTCCGATAAACGAGGATACAAGATATGATTTATCCTGATGGCTTCCCCGGATCTTATTTACTTTATCGATGCCCGGCACGCCTCACGACCTGAGTTGAAAATACCCGGCATGACGCGACGAAAATTCAAAAAAACGGCTGAACCCAGCGCGTAAACGCGCAATAACACCTTCTTTCGGATACTTAGACCGTGCTCTTGGAGCATCGGCTCACCTCGATGCTTGTTATGGATCCCCTAAGCTGACGAACCCTGAACTTTCAAGTGAAAGGACAATTTGTCTGAAATTTTTGACTTGGCGAAGAGACTGAACGGCACCTGAAAAACATGCAAGGGGTTAGGAGGAACGGAGCTGAGGAAAGGGGCGGGGCGTGGGCATCGCGAATCCTCGCGGTTGTTTTGATCGCCCGTCGCGTCGCAACCGATGAACAGGCGCCTCGTTGCAGCGCTAACATTTTTTTTGACTAGCAACTGTGCCACGCTTTTCGACTGAAGCGCGTTCCGATACAGATACAAATTGACCGGTCTCGCTTTGGATCCTGTCTGTTTCCCCTTCCTCCTTCCATTTGCCACCAGCCGCTGCTCATACCCTCCATCCCTGCATACCGCTCAGTTCGGCACGAGACGTGTCACCCTATATCCATCCTCATTCATCACATACTTGATTTCCGCATCTGCCCCTGGTCCCTTTTGCACCGCGTACCTAAATACTCGTCAAAGGATCCAAACGAGACCTCCGTTATCAATCCAGTCTCATTCCACCCAGTTTTACACGTCACCTGCTATGGCTACCCTAGGCATACCCTATTTCCTCGAAGACAAGACCGGTCTCCTCACTAGCTCAGACTTCACAGACGTCAACGATCGAATGCGTCTTACCCTTCGCTGTACGCTGAAAGACTCTACCCGTTCCGCGTATATGATCCATTCCAGCTCTTCGCGGGTACCCGCTGCCGCCTTGGATTTCGGTTCGAAGGGTGAGCTCGGGACAGTCACAATTAATGTGAGCGCGTTGAGTGGCGTGGGAGGAGGGAGGCCGCACGGAGTCGGGAGGGCGAGCCTAAGTGCGGGGAAGACGAGGTCGATGAAGGAGTGGTTGGTCAAGGTGAATCCGTTTGGGAGGTCAGTCTTTCTTTCTCAACGTTTGATGGTCGTCGGTCGGCGCCTTTGTGTTGGGCTGTCCGGGTCTCCCTTTTTGGTGATTCTACTTCCGGTGGAACGCTTCGTGACAGCGATCACACTTTGCTTCCGCTCGAATGTTGGGAGGTTGATATACTAACATGATCCATCCTACTCCTGCGTTTATAGCTCAACCTTCCGTAAATTCGTCGCATCAGACGGGCAGACGTACACTTGGAACTGGCGGAGTAGAGAAAACTTTGAGTGGACCGTACGTCTTCATACCTTCTCCCATCTGCGGCCCTGGAGTTGCTGGTACTAACGAGCGTGCCTACTTCAGTGCCTAAATTCGTCAAATTACCTCGTCGCATACTATAGTCTCAAAGTCCCCGGCGAGCCAGTCTACCCTGGCTCAAGTGGGTGCATGTTGACTGTCGACGAATCATATCCTCATCTGGCTGTCGGTGAGTATCCTTCTAATTACCTTCAACATATGTCGTCGATATTATCTGGAAATAAAGTCTGACAATCTGCGACGGATACAGAACTTCTTGCATCGCTAATCATCATGCGGCATATTGCTCAGCATGATCTGTAATTGCGTGGCCGTCGACTTCAACAGCGGTATCCGCTTTCCGTGATCGTCGCGGTCGTGTTGTGTTTCATTCATCGTATTGCCTCGCGGACGTTTGAGCGAACATACAGTTTCGTCGTTTCACCTTGACATCATCAGCAATCATCGCCTCCTTGCATATTCATTCTCATCATTGCACTCGTCCCTATCCCCATTTCGAGACTCCTACCTATCATCACCCTCACCGCCAGATGCGATCTAGTGTCCACTTCTCATACCTCGTCTACGCCTCGCATTCGGACCCTGCCCCAGCTCCGTCTTATCTCGAACTCCGACCTTGCTGTGCATAACTCCAATCGTCAGCCCGCATCACTCTTTCCTTCTTCATTCCATCTCACAGCCTTCCTCTCAATGCCTAGTCCATCTATTAGCTCTCAACAGTCAACCCATGTTCCTTATTCCATATGTTCCTTATACTGTATCATACCCTGTATCACCCCACGTCACCTTCGACCTTCCTTCCAACCTCACATCTCTCCTTACCTTTGTCTCGTTCCGTCTCTATCACCCGTCGACCGCGTCAGCTTCCGACCTAGTCGCCACCTTACCTCGCCTCCAATATCCCTTCGGTTCCTCTCGTCACTCCGACCTCTAATCCCATCTACACTACCATAATAATATCCCTAATCCACGGGGACGACACCGAAGACGTCGAGAGCCGCAGGCGGTACCAATGTTGGAGGGCGGGGGACGGAACGATGTCCATGACGCTGGCAGGATTGGGAGGATAACTCGATGGTGACGAAGACGAAGCAGAGCGCTAGAGGTGTTCCTCTTGAATCTTGCACAGAGTTTCGCTTTCACTCCTTGTCTCTGTTCTGTCTATTCTGTACAACGCACGGTCCCGGCGGTCAACCTACTTAGTAGTAGTCATCTCGAGAAGAAGTCATTCGTTTACTTTACGATATTGGTTACTCATAATTCGAATCAAACGCCAATGCGTAATCTGTTATAGTTCTCGTATTCTTCGGTGAGACTACAATGATCAACTTTTGGTGCGAGTACGCGTAGGGCTACAACCTGGCTACAATGAACTCGAGTCTCGAGGCGGTGTGGTGTCTGTTATCCACATCCTCCATAGGTGGTCGGGATGAAGACCATGGATCTATTTACATAAGTATGCCTTGATCTAAGTAAGAGATGGCTGACCTTGTCGGTGGGGTGCTGGCAAGAGACGAGGTCCTCAGACTTACAAGTATTCTCAATATTGTTGCGATACCCCTACGATGAATAACCTACCCGGCTTCTGATGACACTATCCATATAAATGAACGTATCGGCCGGCTAGCTCAGATGGTTAGAGCGTCGTGCTAATAACGCGAAGGTCTTGGGTTCGATCCCCACGTTGGCCAGTCACCCTGCAAGAGATCCTTTTGTATATTGATGTTGCTGTCACGGTCGCACGTGTACTTGATACACCGTTGAACCGAGTCTTCTGACTACGGCTAACGACAACTCATCCACCGTTTCAAAGACATCCATCTAAAGTTTCATACAATCAGTCAGTACATCCTCGCTATATCGGAATATTGGCAGACTCACTGGGCACCGCATTCCCCGCCGAATTCACCTTCGCCTTCAACGCACTACTCCCGCAAATCAACCCCCTCACAAACGCCTCCGCCACAACATTCGCCCCCGTCGGACTCGTATGCGTATGGTCAATAGGGTAATATGTCGTCACGAGCGTCTGCCCCAACGCCTCGTACGCCTGCGCCGTGTAATCGAAGTGGTCAACGTAGACCACACCAGTGCGTTCACCGATCTCCTCGGCATAACCTACGAAGCGGGAGGGCGCGGCCATTGTGTCGGAGGTGGAGGAGGTCCAGATGTTGTCGGGGGTTTGGGAGGAGATGATGGGGATTGCGCCTTTGCCTTGGAGGGAGGTTATGGCGTTTTGGAGGTAGTAGGGGAATGTATGGATGACGACGGTGGAACCACTGTAGAACCAATCCGGCATTAGTCTTCAAAACAGACGATACGATGGCAGGCAGACTCGACGTACTCCGACTCAGTCACCGTGGTCGTTGTATCGTAGCCATCTCCCACGGCGTCCTCCCTTCCATTGTCAACCGTGCCACTCGACCCGTCGTTGTGCCCGAACTCGATGATCACAAAGTCGCCAGACTTGACGGTGTTGATGAGTGTCGTGAAGCGACCTTCGTCGGTGTAAGACCGTGCGCTACGACCAGCGACGGCGTCGTTCACGACGGGGATGGTGAGGTATTGGGCTAGATATTGACCCCATCCTGTGCAGAAAGAATGTGATTGTCAGTAGGTGGACATGAGGCGGTCGAAGGCAAGGCGGTGTCATGGTCTCGTATGAATAAAAGGCTAATATTTATCACTGACCATCTGTCCCAGAGCCTCCTCCACCCTTGGCCATCGTCGAATCACCAGCCAGATACACCGTCTGCGCAAGGGCAAGTTGCGAGCAAGCAAGAGAGACCAAGGCGGAGAACTTGAGGAGTCTAGCCATCTTCGTATACACCGAGGTGGGACGCCGGGGGGTAAGGTTTGGCAGAACGTGGAGGGCTAAACCGTGTCAAATTATAGAAATCCTCCAGTCAGGTCCATGGAGCGGATACACAACGCTTTCGGGAGCAGCATGGACAGCACGGTTGTGTATGACCATGTATCGGACCGACAAAGCATGGCGAGGTAGCAGGTGACAGGAAACGAGAAAACAATGGAGAAATCTCGCGGGATAGGATGGACGGATGGACGACGAGGGCGAAGGAACCAAGGTCACATAACATAGCAGACTTACGACAGGCACTCAACCGTGCGTTGCGCGTCCTTCGTGCTCACATGCCACATCTTGCTTATTGCCCTGCGTGACCATCGATGTGGGCAAGGAAACGAACGTTGAAGACCTGGTGATACACGATCTGCCGGACCGCTACGGTGCCAAGTGAGCTTTTGACTGGAATCCTTGAACACAAGGTAGAATAGACATCTCGGTGATCAATGGCTCGCACCAAAAATGGAGGATGGCAATGGAAGATCTACGAGGAGTTCGGTGTCTGTTAGCGCAGGTGTCTGTTAGCGCAACTTCCGAGTGGCGATCAAGTGGAAGGATGTCGATTGTGAGAAGTCATGTACACACCTCGCGAATTCAGCGACATACATCCAGCCGTGTCAAATATCACAGAGTGCCACCGACCCTCTCCTGTTTGTTCAACATATGTCGCCATCTGGCCAACCACGCTGAGACTGAATTCCCCTCACCAGGGTCCACAGTCGGAAGAGTCAATTCAACACGTCACGCCGCCCTCCCAAGTCCGCAAGTCTCACAACTACACACGGGAAGTCGATCCCATTTGGGCGGAGATTATCAGGAAGAGAGACACAATCCACACGAGACTGAGGTCATACTCCTGACTGAATCCTACAATATCGGGCCATCGGGCTAATTCTTTCCGCTTCCTCGACGACGGAAGATGCCAGTACTTCCCAAGACAATATGACCGCGTACCTCGAAGGAGTCGCGGAATCTATTCGGAAAAGGTCTTTGCTGGCCAAGCCCAAGAGACATCGAACCCGATACTTGGTGACCCGGTAGATATCCTTCGAACACAGAACGCAGAACACCGTCGCTTCTGGGGTAAGAATACGCCGTAGATGAGAAGACTGGAAGGGAGATTCGCAAAGAACAGACTCACCTTCGATGACCGTATGTACAATGGACCACCAGAGTGAAGTCCTTGACGCTCTCTTCTTGGCACCTCCTTTCAATATGAGCCACTCCGAGTCGTAGAACCTCCATGCGCGGATCCAAACTATCCTCGGGGGAAGATTTCCCGATCAACCGCTAAAAGACACGAAGTACATACGCTCGGCCCATACACGGGCTTCTGAGGCACGAAACTCAAAATCGGGCAACGTCTTGAATGAGATGGGCCAATGCACCAAATGAACGGCACGCGGAGGCTTTTCTACCGAACATATAGAAGATGATGGTCACAATGAGAAGCGTACGCATTCGTCGCGCTATGAACGACTTTGGCGCGAAATTGAGCCGACCGTGCGCTACAGAGATTCAGATTCAGAGCGAGCTCGCAGTCGTACAAGGGAGGTCCCGTAGAGCCTCGACCGTGTATAAATCATGTGTCAGAGCTAGCCATGGTTCAAGCTTGTGCTTTTCGGGCGCTGAGAGTGTTCGTCGTGTTCGCGAGTGGACGGTGAAGCGAAAGTTGTATGGTGTAACATTGCCTAGCCAACTGCAATATATGCAAGACACAGAACAGGAGATATCAAGAAGAACGAAGGCGCACCACTAAACAAACAAAGTCCCGATCGTTGACACGCAAGGCGCGAACTTGACCGTCACATTGTTCCAGAAGAGAATATCTCTCATTCGCGTCCGCCCCTTCCCCGTCCCCTATCCCTTTCATCCCCTCTTCTCTTTGCTTCATCTCTTTCTTTCTCACGATCCCTCTCGTCGTAATCTCTCGGTGCCCGCGAAGACGCTACCGGCGACCTCGACCTCTCCCTATACCTCCCTACACGATACTGCTCCCTCTCACCCCTCCGTCTCGGCGATCTCGACCTCTCATCCCTATACCTCCTCACCGGCACCGGTGACCTCTCCCGCTCATCCCTATACCCCCGTCTCCTTCCTAACTCCTCATCATCGCTCTCATCGCTGTCATACCTCTTCGACCCGCCATGTCCTCTGCTACCCTCCCTCTCCGCCCTTCGAGCTTTCTTCTCCTCCTTTCGAGCCCGCTTTTCTTCCTTGCGCGCTTGTTTCTCGGCTTTGCGTCGGCGTTTTTCTTCTTTGGCTTCGGCTGCTTCGGGGTTCAACGAGGCGTTGGGGGAGGAGGGGGCTTTGGGAGGGAGAGGGGCGGCGTTGGCGCCTGTTCCGGGGGCGGAGGAAGAAGGGAGCGCGGTCTTGGAGGGGGCGAAGCCTCTGTTTTAACGTTTATTGGCCAGTCAGCAGGGAGTCGTGAAAGTATGTATTTAAGAATTGAAATGCACGAAGGATGGAAGATGGTGGCCGAGAAAAGGCGAATAGCATGAGACCGAAGAAAAGAAAGACGTACAATGCTAAACTTAGCGCTTCCGCCTCCTTCTCCTTTATAGCGCGTATCTCCTCTTCCCGCTCTGCGTCCGTCTGTCCTCCTTCACGGTTATACCAATGAACATCTTTATTCTTCTGCCAACGACCTGTGGGGGCGTTGATACTATGTCCAAGGTAGTTCTATGTGACGAGATAGTAATCAGATGCCGAAAAAGGAGAGTATCGTAGACGAAGGATGGGGAGAGTGAATATCGAGTTAAGAGCCTCGCTATTCGAAAAGTGTGAGTGGTGGAGACATGTGAGAGAGCGCACTTCTCTGTCTTTGTCTGCTGAGACATCTGACCATTTGAACTCTGCCTGTCCTCCACGCGTTCCTCCACGAGTGGGCTCAAACATGACTAGGTTTCGTACGAGTGCGAGCGGTCTGAGTGGGAACCCAGGTGGGGTTGTCTGAAAAGACAATGAAAGACTCGCAACAAGGACCAGAGGCTAGCAAGTACTGTGTCTGTTAGTGGGGTTTATCGAGACCCAAGACCAGTAGTTATGAGTGTAGAGGTAAGAGATGGAGGGAAAGTTGAAGTGGCACGGGAAGCGCAAGGCGCTGTCGGACTCGGAGCCACGTGGCGCCGGAAGCCGGGTTGGCGATTGAACGGTGCCACACCAAGTTCGACGAACACTGAACTATCTTCCCGGCCACATCCCTCTGCATTGGTCCAAAATAAAATCAAGGCGTATACTTATTTTTCCATTCGTTTGCTTCTCCAATCCCGACGGCGAACGAGGAACGACTTTGGAATGACGGACCTCGGGTGGCGAGCCGTCTTCATGTTCCTCATTCAAATTCCGCCATGTCCGGAGCCGGCTGGCTGTTCCTCGCCTTTACTCTCGACCACGACGTCTGTGAGCCTCGTAGCCATGACCTACGATGATTTCAAGGACAGTCCTTTGTTCTTAGCTCTCTCTCGTTTAAAGTTTGCTCGATGTGCCCATATCACTGTGTACGACTTTACCCCTGGTGTCCGGGCACGAAATTCAGGTCAAACAACCAATATATAGAACATCATCTGACCGTTCAGGTTCACTACGGCCCGTCCTGCAAAACGAATACTTTCGATCGAGGCCCCTAATTTCCTTTGCTTTTGAGCGCATATAAAGCTTGGTCGGTGTCGAGGACTTGTTTTGACCCGCCTTTTCCTCAAGGTTCACGACCTCGAACCGTTGACCAGACTAGGCACGATCATGAATCGCGTCGGTGTCACTTTATGCGGCAGCCTCTGGTTGTTGAACTTGGTTGTGGGAGTGTCTGGGGAGGATTATACACAGTATGTGAACTTGTTCGTTGGGACTCAGGGCGCTATACCTGGAGTGAGTTGGTCCTGCACTTTTGTTCAGTAAAATTCGTGTCGTTTACGATTGGTCTACAGAGTAGCCTTGGTGGAGGTTCGTCATCTCATGTTTCTTTTGGACGAAGGCCCTCTGAGTATATGATAGGCAACATGTTCCCCGGTGTGGCCCTCCCCTTCGGTCAAGTCAAGCTTGGTATCGATACTTCCGTGGTCAACCTCGACCAAGGCGGGATCTCGAGTGCGAATAGCGGGTACACGCCCCTCGGGAACTCGACCGGCTTTTCCATGCTTCATACCAGCGGAACTGGCGGACGTAAGTGTTCTTCAATAATGCCCCGACCTTTTCTTATTATCCTACCTCATTCGATAGAGCCAAAATACGGTGTCGTATCACAGATGCCCTTGCTGGGCGACCTGGATGCACAAGGGATCAATGTTGCCGATAACATGACCTATCTTACGAATCGAACTTCCGAGTCCGCAGAAGTGGGCTACTTCCGCACGACTTTTGAAACTACGAACATCACGACCGAGGTACATTTTTGTTCCTTCTTCTCACCGTCCATGACACCATGTATCGATCCTTTGATTTGATTACAGTTGACCGCGTCAGAGCACGCAGGCATCCTCCACTACACATTTCCCACTCAAACCGGCTCCAACGCGACAAACTCCTCACAAGCCCATGTCCTCGTTGATCTCGCTCATGCTCTCCCTTCGGGTGGGAGTGGATATATCGCTCAGAGGTATATCAAGGGTTCGCTTTCGCTGTCTCCTGATGGATCCGGGTACTCTGGGAGTGCGTGGTACGACGGTGGATGGAATCAAGGCGAAGCGTGGCAAATCTGTATAACCATCTCCTTCTCTCTTTACCCGTCCTCAACTTTCAATCGAATCGAAACAAAACACTGACCACTGTCATATTAAAACTAGACTTCTGCGCCAATTTCTCCACTCCAGCAACGACCTTCCAAACCTTCTTCACGACGTACTATCAACTTCTGACGCCTGGCGCACCCACACTCAATCCGTACCTCGACCTCTTCGCTGGCGACAACTTGGCGTTGGGCGCTCTTTTCAGTTGGGAATATCCGCAGAATGAGACGTTGGAGGTGCAGTCTAGGGTTGGTGTCAGTTTTATCAGCGCTCAGAAGGCGTGAGTTTTTTTTTGCTCGACTGTCTTTCAATTTTCAGAGGTACGATGCTGGTGCTGACGTGGGTACCTTTGCAACAGATGCCAGTTTGTCAGAGATGAGATGTCGTGGGAGCAGAGCTTCAACGACACTGTCGCCGCCGTAAAAGAAGCTTGGAACAAGTAAACAAGTCGTCTCACTTTCATCTCATTCGCGGTGTACTCACAAGACTATTGAACAGGGAGATCCTCTCGTCCATCACCGTCCCAGAGGAGAACGGAGAAAAGAATGATACTTTGCTCGGATTGCTGTACACGCACCTTTGTAAGTCTGCCTATCAATTCCTCTTGAAACTTCGTGGATGACGACAGGCTTCGCGTAGATGGGACCGCTCTTATGCCGACAGATCGTACGGGCGAGAACCCAGGTTGGATATCTAAGGAGCCGTATTACGATGACTGGTACACCGTAAGTCAGTTCTTTGGGTACGCATATTGCACATGTCTTGATACTCGGTTCGTGATACTATAGATGTGGGATAGTGCGTATAACTTCCTCTCTTCCTACCCCAATGGAAGCCGTTCTTGACGACATAGGTGACCCGTAGTATTCCGTTGCACGACGCCCTTCTATCATCTCGTCTATACGAATCGCTATGTGGACATGCTCAGATCGATCATCGATATTTGGTACGTTGTGTTTGGACAAATGCCGCGCTTTCGAAGAGCCACTAATTGGGCGCGGACTTGACCAGGCGACACGATGGATTCATGCCGGATGGTCGGAGGTCAGTGCCCAATCCGCATATAATGCTCGACCTAAGGCTCACGAGTGCTGGATGCTGAACGCCACCACCAGTTCGAACTATAACGGCCGAACCCAGGTACCTTGTGTCTCTTCCATATCCCTCCTGCCGAACGACTGACCGACTGGATCGATCTTCAGGGAGGTTCTGACGCAGATAACGTCCTAGCTGATGCGTACATCAAAGGTTTGGACAAAGTGAAGACCATTGAATGGGAGGATGCATACAATGCAATCGTGCATAGCTTACGCGGCTTTTTCACTGTGTCCTTTGAATCTGATTGATATTGGCTAGGTCACGGATGCAGAAGTCGTTCCCGTCAGAAATGTTGATTTCAACGCGTTCGATGGTGGGACAAAGGAAGGAAGGTGAGCCCTACTAACGCGCCAAATGATCTAAAAACGTGACGATTAATTGTATGGTGGTGGGCACGTAGAAATGCCCTTCCCGAGTGGAAGACCTTGGGTTACATTACTCCGACGTATTCTCGGTCTGTGTCCAAAGGTTTGTCTCACTAGTGCCTTTTTGCCTTTGCCATTGCTTATTGAGGGCGGTGGTGATATTTGCAGGGGTCGACTACGCTCAGAACGACTATGCGGCATACGTGGTAGCTCATGGACTTGGTCACAAAAAGGATGCAGAGAAATATCTCGAGAGATCTGGGTGCGTGAATGATATATCTTCACATCCACAGCTCGTGGCTTGACTTTCATCGCATCTCGCCATTCAGGTACTGGACGCATTGTGAGTCTTTCAAAAATTCTTGTTCGCTATACGCCTTGACAAGGTTCATGGATCTCAGTCTGGGACTCCAACTCAACCGTCGACCTCGGTGATGCCGGCTTCGGCTCCTACACCGGATTCTTCGGTTCTCGTCTCGCGGACGGGACCTTCAACAGCAGCGTGAACGTGACCAACTGTGGCGGCTGCACCTGGGGCGACGTACGTCCATCATCTCCCCCCGCCTCCTTCTCCCCTCTTTCCTCTATTCCTCAGCGCGCGGAAAGAGACTTATACGCGGGTTGATATTGGTAGTATACCTACGAGGCCCTCATCTGGGAGTACTCCTTCAACGTCCCACACGACACCGCTGCCCTCATCGACAAAATGGGCGGTGCGGACGCATTCGTGAGGCGACTTGATGCGTCGTTCGTGGAAGGTTTTTCTGCGGGATCAGGGGCTGCGAATACGGCTGGAACGTGCGTTGCTCTCTTGTTCGTTTGTTGATTATAGCTCGCTGTCACTGATGATGTGACATGTGGCGTTTGCAATACAGGGCGTTGTTTAACCCGGGGAATGAGCCTTCGTTCATGACGCCGTTCTTGTATAACTATGTACAAGGAAAGCAGTATAAGACGGTTGAGAAAACAAGATATCTTGTGAACAAGTGTGCGTTTTTCACTTGCTTCGTGCATCGAAGTGACACTGGGACTGACTTGATGTGGCGCTACAGATTATGCGCTTGATGCCGATGGTATCCCTGGAAATCAAGGTATGCTCTCCTTCGTATTTCGTAGTTAACGGACAAGGCGAGGACTAATGAACACTTTCAGATGCTGGAGCTATGGCGACCTGGCTCCTTTGGAACCTGATCGGGTGAGTGGACCATCAAGTCGACCTACTGCATGTATTTGATGGAAGTCTACGGTCTGCTTTTCAGGTTATATCCCGTCACCTCTCAACCCATATACCTCGTCTCCGCTCCTTTCTTCAAAGCCCTGGACGTTCGCCTCGGTACCACCGACCCATACAGCCCAGCCTACCGAAGCTCAACCTACCTCAAAATACGAGCACCCAACCTCACACAGGAGAATATTTGTAAGTGCTCCTGACTACAGGTTTGTTGTTCGTTTGTTCATGTGTTTGTTGGCTTCTTGTAGACGTCCAGGGCCTCAAGGTCAATGGGAAGAAGGTCAAAAGATCGTATCTGTGGCACGACGAGATTGGGTATGGTGCGACTGTGGAGTTCGAGATGGGATCGTCGCCGGTGGCTTGGGACTCAGATGGAGTAGCCCCTTCCGTCTCAACGGGAGGATATTAAGATGTTAGAGTGCAGTTGGGAACTGTTGGCACGGCACAGAAATTTATAGTACAGCTTCTCGCAACTTCTTATTCTTCGTTTTGCCTCCTAATCGTCGCTATCGCGCTCTGTACGACTCATTTATGTTTGAATAACTATGGGAGGAGAGTTATGGTCTCTATGAACCTCTCGACCGCCTCAGAACGGCCGCCTTGTCTGGAAAGGCCTCTCACCGCGTCGATGCCATATATCATCATTGTCCTGCGTCTGTTTTCGTTCTTTCAGCGAATATAAATCTGTACTGGGGGAGCGCTACCTGCGGCAGCAGCAACCTTGCTGGGGAGGGGCGGTAGCGGGCCGACGCGACTTCTGGACGGGAGGCCCACAGAGGCCCACAGGTCCGAATCCTTTTATCATCTGAACGAGTCGGGACCCATATAAACGTTGTCTACCGCCGTGCCCGGGAGGCCCTTTCTACCATAGACGTGAAGGTTCTGTTGGCTACCTACTAACAGAGACAGACATTGTTCAAGTTCTCCCCGGGTCTACTTGAGGTTCTCCTCCACTCACTTGAAATGGCTCGATCTTTCTCGGTGTCTTCGATCCAAATTGACCGGAGACGTCAGACTCTGCTAGTTCTGTCTCTACCGGAGATCTCATACATGTCTACCTTAGCACCTCTCATCGCTCGAGCGCTTCACCGTCGAAAGCTCTCTTTCTTCTGCAAGAACTGTCTCGACCGCCGTGCCCGGCGATCAACGTCAACCGGCGATATTTTCTATTGGTTTTCTGGAGAGTGCCGCGGCTCTACTACCATCTCTCCGTGAACAACGTCCGAAAGCTTTCTCCTCGCACCACTTGATGTTCTCCTCGATGTACTCGATTGTTCATCATGTTGTGCACCCAAGATGGCATAAGTATCTCGTCGCCCGCGCGTTTCATCGTCCGGACATCTCTTCTTTAAATAATAATTGCCCCTTTAAAACCTACTATACTATTTCTCACTCGTTTATCCCGTTTATTCCTCTCTCTCATCATGTACCCGTTTCTCTTCCAAAAGAAGGTCTCACGCCCATTTTTACGACTCCATGCTGCTTCGACACATTGTTCCTTTGAGACAAGGGAAGACCATCGCTCCGCTCCGGTATTCTCTCAGTCTCTGGGGCGTGACCTGAGCTTGTGATACCGCAAAGACCGACGTCTTTTTATGGCCTCGGAAAGATACTTAATATGAGTCAATGCACCTTGTTTGCGAGAGTGCATTGGCCTTCGCCTTCGGTCAGGTCCACTGACTTTGACACTGTTGAAGGATTATTCCCCCCTTCCTTCCTCGCCACCATCATCAGAACTCTTGGAAATCCCTGACAGGCCCTGAGAAGCCCTGAGCGGCCCTGACGATCCGTTCCGCGAAAGCCCGTGAGGTCTCGAGAGCGCGTCAGGGCCTGTCAGGGCTCTCAGGGTGTGTCAGGGCGGTCAGGAGCGATTCCGAGCAATTCTGGTCGTTGTGTGGCCCAAAAAGTATTTATATTCGCAAAAAATGCATACATGGGGACTCCGACAGACAACACGGCTTTACGACTACCGTACACTACAGGATCTTCACCAAACACGAAGCCCAGACTAACTACGAGACGTCGGAAATGAAACGACGCCCATGCTGCTGTGTCATCACTGTCGCTGTCGTCGGTTTAACTAACGGCCTCGGAGACGTCAGTCGGGATCTCTACAGCCTCTGCACTTAAAGCTTGTACCCGTGCAGCCGTCACATACACCCGCTTTAGAGACTCAGTTACCGGTCTGGCATCGGGTCTGTGTTCGAGGACGACGTGGGCGAGACGAGTGGGGTTGTGGTGGCAGTGAGGGCGTGAATATTGACATTGGCGAGGAAGAGGAAGAGGGAAGGCGGAGGGAGGGAAAGATGGTGGGAGAGCGTTTGGAGGGGAGTCCTGGGTGGCGAAGGGGAGAGAGCGAGGATCTAGGTTAGGTGGATCGTTCGGTGGGTATTGGAGATGTGAGTGGTGGCGTTGGCGATGGAGAGAAGGGAGATGTAGGATGCGAGGGTGGTTGAGTATGCGGGCAGCGGGGCTATGTGCGCCGTCTGCGAGAACGGCTATGCGCTTGCCGCCATCGTCTGGCGGAAAATGACCACCACCGCCTCCGTCGTCGTCTGGGTAATGAACATACAGTAGTCCAAAAACGTACAGCGGCAGGAGCGCCTTGACGGGGTACAGGAAGCAGGGCAGGACGAGCTCGACTGCCTTTGGTCGTGGCTCGAAAGGGCAACAAGTCGTCGAGGTCGAACTTCTGCTGGCCATCGCCATCCGCGCTGACATCCCACTCCCACCGACGCACAGGCCACACGTCGATGACGTTGCTCCCGACCTTGGGCATCTCCTCCCTCAACGCGTTGACCACTTCCACAAAGCGCTGCTTCCGTGTACAAACGGCTTCCCTCTTCTCGCTATCCTTGCCTTCGGCCTCACGATCTCCTCGAACGTGTGCCCCAGGATCGCCTGGTGGTCCAGATCAACCGAGGCGAGCGCATTGACGAGCAAGCTTCGCATCCAGGTGGTCGAACATGCCCACCTCGAGCACGATGACCTACACCTTCTCCAGCTCAAAATTCACCATCGCCGTGCTCGTCAGCAGCTCAACCTCGCTCACATACACGCCGTGCTCGTCGTTCGCCTGCCCCAGCCGCCATGCCTCACTACAAGTTGAAGATATATGACGAGTCTCACCTTCACACTTCCAACATCTTTACCATCCTTCACCTTCACACTCGCAAGCTCCAAGTGCAGAACCGGCGCTCCGTTTTACGAGAGCATCGATTCAACCGACATCTACATGGTCCTAGTGTGGGCCGGTGTATGATGTCGAGTCGGGGATAGGCGACAAGCTTGGGAGTCATGTAACGTATGAGACAGTGGGTGCATAGCGATTACATGGATGTCGGCTCACCAAATTCGGTATAAATTGCCCAACTAGGCCCAACTCTTGTGTGGTATGATATAGAGGCACACACGAATAGAACAGTCTAACGAGTGCTACAGATCCTGAGAGGGTGAAGGAGGGTAAGGGCTTCGACAACTCCACAACAAATCTGAAGATGCCACGTCGGATTTGTTGACACTTGTTTGTACTCTGTTCAACTCTTGCGCGTCGGGCGTCGTCTCTGTTCTGTGTTCGTACCTCGTCTCTGTCAAGCCTTTCCTTCGTATCGTGCTATACTCTCTCAGCGAGGACCCTGCTATGGACCAGGCTACGATTGGAGCGCAATAAAGGCGGTACAATCCTACCTGTACGTACGCTATCTTCTTCCCTTTTCTCACTACAAATCACGCAGTCACTCCACATCAACGATCTCGTCCCCCGCGACGTCGAAGCCGCCACCCTTATTGACAAGTGCAGACAACGCCACTGTTCTCTGGTTGATTTCGGCCTTGCGATACAATCATTGTGCTCGATGCGGCGGCTGTGCGTGCGGCACCGAGGAACGTGATGACGAGCAACAGGAACCTGTGAGTTCATTGTACGTCCTCCGACTTACACCTCATTTCGTCTTGTCCTATTCTTCCCCTTCATTGTCATTCAGTGTCCGCAGGGAATATCGACGAGGTTGAGAGAGAGGCGTCGCATCTCACTGCGAGATGTTTGGTTTTTCACGTGAGTTGGCTCCTCTCACCCTTCTTTTGCGACTGTGTTTCTTGATTCTGAATACACGATTCTCTGCATAATTGTACATCGTACACCGTTCAAAACATTGCGCTGCCGCTCAATCGCGATGGTAGCGTGCAGATATCGCTCGCGTGTCTTTAAGGCGTTGTTGACAACTAGTCCGCCAAAGATACAACCAGATAGTACGCACTTCTTCGTCCTTCTATTGAACCCGGATACTTCATAGCCTCATCAGCCATTCTACCCCTGACATACCCTTCCACCTTCTCCTTCAGTCAATCTGCTTAATTTATATTGAACTAGTTTACTGGTTTTCGAAGGCCATGCAGTCTATCGGTGCGAGGAAGAGTCATGAGTATAGGCTCTGCGGCATTTTAATGCACGTATAGTCTCACAGCACGGTCTATATGGTGCGATGGATTATTACAAACACAAAGGAAAATTAGTGGAGAGAGCGGAACCTCTCTCGACCTCTGTATCTAGCCTCTCATGTACATATGATTATCTGTCTGAATTTAAGATCATTTTTCTGGTGCCACACAACGACCAGAATCGTCCTGACCGCCCTGACGCACCCTGAGAGCCCTGACAGGCCCTGACGCGCTCTCGAGACCTCACGGGCTTTCGCGGAACGGATCGTCAGGGCCGCTCAGGGCTTCTCAGGGCCTGTCAGGGATTTCCAAGAGTTCTGATGATGTCGTATACCTCACAGTCACCTCCTTTTTACGCCCAACGGTCTTGGATAACATGTGTTCCCCTATCACCACATCCAAATGAAGAAATGGGCAAAAAAATGACCATGACCATGAGAGATCTAGAGGCACGGATACGACAGTGTTGGCTATGGCCCAAGCGTAGAGGGTCTCGGCAAGTCCGAGTCATCGGTTAAGCTACTACGATCTTTACAATAGCACTAACACGCATCTTTAGAAATCGTAGGGCAAGGACTACGATCCAAACACATCCAAACAAAAGGGGCACAGATCTTTAATAATAGAGAGATGTTCATGCCACTGGTGATAATAAAGTACGTAGTGAGCAGTCACAAAAACCCACACCGGCGACGTCGTCCTGGCACTAGTTCCCATCTCTCGTCAAAGTTTCGTCGTTACCTTGCACTGTGAGAGCGGCCCGGGTTGACTTTCACCGCTCAAGTCGTGATTTTCACCTTTCACCCCCCAAAACAGTGAATTACGGTGAGGGCGAAAAGAAGGTGATTGTCAACTTTGACGAATCACCTTGTCAGAAGGGGAAATTAACCCGTGTGACCTCCCCAATTAATTCATTTTCTTATTATTTTGTGGCATACTGTTTGTTACTTGGACCACACGGTAATTCCAAACTCCGGGACTACACACTATAGTATTGGAGAAATGGAAGGTATTTACATTGAGCTCCCATATGTTTCAGCAATACCAGGTCCCGGGAAAACTCATGACACTCCAAAGCCGTCTGTCTCTTGCCATCGTCCTTCTTGTGCAGCTCCATTATTGCACCATTGGTATAGTGCTGGTCGTCCCAAGAGAGCATATATCGATAAGGGTATGTGAGTGAATCTTCTGCGCGTGTGATGGGACGCCAAGGCGTATGGACGAACACTAGTGTGTCGTTGGGCGTGAGTGGCGTCTGAGCAGCAAGCCTCGAGGCACATAAGTGTGTGGAAAGTACTATGCCTTGGGCGAGGGGATACCACGGGGGCAATGTGCCCCGGAGGGGACGATGGTTTCAAGGAGTGTATGGCCCAGTAAAACAGAAACTACCACCAAGTGGTCAGAGGCGATGACCACCAGTGGCGAGGGAGTAACGGAGAGACGACGCGCGACTTGTTCGTTTTCGCGTGCGAAGGCTTTCAGGCGGAGCTTGAACTTAACTCAACGGACGACGCGCGTCGACCTCGTTCTCCAACCTCCTTTCGCTCCCGTTTCTGGCTCTTTAGAATGCTACATCGCTACGACGCGCCCGGTCCTGAGTCAGATGCTGAGCGTTGAAGGCCACATCGCTCAACAACTGACTCAAGATTGAGCGTTGTCGATCGCCTTCCACGACGGTGGACCTTCCCCCAATCTCTTATGACGCTTTCTTTATGTGAGCCCCCGCCCATATGTAAATGTGCCTTCGGTACGTTACTTTACCTCTTTCTTATCTATGCTACTCGCCCTCCGATTCCGATCTTTTGCTGAGTACGTATCTAATCGTGGTCTTTCAAGTCGAACAGCCCCTCGCCAGCCTTTAAGGTCTCTCCTACCGCGACTTGCACTCCCGACTCATCCGTCCAATAACTCGTGTCAAGCTGGGAATTCCTAGAAAGCTCTGTAGGACCGCTTCTGGGTGAGTGTCATCTATAGCTTTTCATATGCTTCTTTCTTCTGTTGTCGGTACTGCTGCCGGTCCTTGTGCCTTCATGTACTGTATGATACTGTAATAACCTAGGCTATATAAATGTCATATTGTTTACCATATCCACCCGTCTGAGCTCGCTTGGGGCTGGGAAGATGCCCATCTATTGGAATAAAATACAACCCGTTCGATTATCCAATGCAAGCAGAGGGACAACGAAAGGGTTTTATTCAACATTTCAAAAGAGGTGGAAGTGTCCAATTACCAGAAGTCGAAGATCACCCCATAGTAGGTGGGAAATCAACCTCTCACAGCACGAAACTGAACTGGTGAAAAGGAGCATAGGCGGGGTTATCTTCACCGTCTTTGTTCACCTCCTGCGACATCGAAGATCACCCTGTCGAGCCGCGACAGGGTGAAGATCGACCACTCTAACGTCGAAAACCACCTAAAACCCGGTTGATTTTCCGGTGACTTTCACCCGCGGCGACCTCCGTAGTGTTGCTTCAAGGTCCTTCCAACCCCCGTAACCTGCAAATCCGTTGCCAAAAACAAACATGTACAAACAAACGATGTGGCGTGGCGCCACACAGCGCATCGTCCCCGATGCATTTGCACGAAGTATCTACTCGACTTGCAGTTGCGACTCCGCAAACAAATTGTATTAACAGCATAATGTCTCAGACTTGAGCTAGTAGAACAATACTAAACACACTGGGCAGCTCGGTTTGAGCAATGGCCACTCACTCACCTTATAAACTGCGAAACTTTGACGAAGCAGGGATCGTCTTCGTGTAAGGAAAATTGAGCCCCAAGGGTGATTATCCGGGAGAACCTATGATCGCCACCTAGGCAATAAAAGTACGACCTGAATGCCTCTCAGTTCGCGTGCGCAATATCCCTCACACTTAGCTACAACAGAGGAACCTATATGCATGAATACTTCAATCTCCAGCGTATCGGTGCGATGCATGGGACGAATGTGAGGACTGTTTAGTCGGATGACGTTATGATATTGGTACTCGAGGTTGGCATATGTGATATATGTACATACTTCGGCAAACCTATACACACACCGTTCGGAAATCTATACATTATGAACACACGAATTCTTCGTAATCGAAAGCGTTACCTACAGAGAAGTAGCGCAAGGTCTGATAAAACCAGAAAGGCAAGCGACTACGCGGATGGAGTAGAAGACAGGAGGGAACGAACAGGCTCGTATATCCTCTCCCTGTTGATCTTCGTCCTCAGCATCTCTACGGCAGGCGACTTGTTTGTGCTGTCCATGAGCCCACGTATCGCCTGCATGTCAGCCGGGACCATTTCCGTTCGCAACTTGAACCGGTTGTCCTTGTCTGCTCGGATTGTTCTGTTCATTTTTCTGCAGAAACAAGGCACATTTGGATGAGTATCGTTACGGACATGCCAAGAGTCAGAGAATAAAAAGGACGTACTCAATAGTATTAGGCTCGTTCATAGGCACCTCACATTCCCCCTGGACCGTAGAGATGATGTCGTAAGGGACACCTAGGCCAGCAAGATAAGAAGCGGCGTGCGAGAGAGGTAGGCAATAGGCCCAGGAGTATGAGTATCCGCTTCGCACGAATTCGAACAGGAGTACCCGAGTGCCCTCCGGCTGTTTCGCAACGCCTTCGCGCCAACTGTGCAGTGCTCTTTGAGACAAGACGCTATCCTCCGTGATCTTCGCGATATCATTGACCTGTACCATTCCTTCTATCGTCTTCGAAGAATCAAGCGTCGACTCCATAATGGCGACGAATTGTTGGATATCAGACGGTTCAATAGCGAGGTCGACGCGCATTAGGATGGGCGAGTCGGTGGGTAGATCCTCGTCCTCGAGCAAGTCAAACGCGAGGATAGCGTATATTTTAAGGTATAAACGGACGTTTGGGTTGCTCAGAAGAGTTTCGATATGTTGACGGAACCCTATGCCTTTGGCCTTGTGACATTCCGGCTTGTGCGTAGGCCTAGTGGAGGATTACGACGGTTAGACTACTCTGGTACGCGAGAATATGAAGCTTTGGCGACACACCAATGTTTCGCCTGACACTGCGTACGAACAGGAATCAGTCGCATATTTGATTCTCATAAAAATGATGAACGGGTGACGCACTTTTCTAGAACAATACCATGGGCCCTTGCACTGTATAAAAGAACTATTGTTAGCAGATGTCTGGAATATACGTGTCGCAAGTGTAAAAGGAGTACCCTAGAGCATAGCATCATGGTTTGTCCTTGCTCTAATTGGCCTTTTGATTTCATACAGTTTGTGCATAGTGTAGCCGTAACAGCCCAATCATCCCGAATGGCAAAATTTGGGAGCGAGCGAACAGACTCCTCCTCGTCAACACTGGTCGAGGTCACTCCGAGTCGGTCCATCTTCCGCTGGCAAGAATCGATGTCGTGAAGTCCGGCGGAAGAGATGATGCAAGGCACTGAAACGGTGCCAATGATGTTAACCTCTAGGAAAGATAGATGCTGTTCACAGCGAAGGAAGATGGTCAGGTAGAGAGTAAAGGTGATCGCTAACTGACACTGAGGACGACGTTTTATATGGCAGTTCCGTGGGAATCAAACAAAGCAACTTCGGCTTCTGCCGAATCACGCTCCGTGTCGTGTCAGGGGCCAGCGGAATGTGGCGCAAGTGTGGCGTGGCGCTCCGCAGACATGGACTTTTCAAGGCTTCAGTGATACTTACGACTTGGAAGCCTGGAGGGCATGCATACACAACATACAACATACTGCTACTGCTAATCACAGAAGTATATGGGAACCATCGAAAGGATACGAGCCTTTATAATATGTCTCTTTTTCTTTTTAACTCCAGTTCTTCCAGCAGGCTCCCTAATCAACCTCACTTTCTCTGTGGCACCGTGCTAGCTCTAAGTGACTACTTGATGAAGACGATATATGCGTTCCCTGTTAACCTTAGCCTGCAGATCCTTGACCGCCTCTGATTGATTGCCCTCCTGTACAAGACCCCGTATCGCATCGATATCATATTTCATCATGTCCAGTTGAAGTCTGCATCTGTTTTCGTGATCCCAGCGAATGAACCCATTGATGAACCTATAGGGTAAAACCGAGGTTGACGAGGGATAAGCACTGATAGAGACTGACAACGTACTCGATAATGCTCGCTTCGTTCATCGGCACCTCACTTTCTCCATATATTGCAGAATTTTGACGGAGTGGAGGCCGTTGTCGTGCAATTGCGAGTGAAATCGGAGCAATGGTCAAAGTGGTAGTCCAGGAAAACAAGTGACCGCTGCGCTTGAACTGGACAAGGACGACTTGAGTGTTTGGTGGTTCGCGAGCGCGGGCGGCTTTCCATGCCACAATTCTCTTTTCCTCAATCTTCACATCCTCCGATATCTTCTCGATTGTGTTGATTTGGAACATGCCATGGATCGTATTGTCGGGGTTATATGTTGGTTGCAGGAGCTTGAAAAATGTCCGTATGTCAGTAGGCTCGATGCCAACGTTCACGGTGATCATAAGGGGATCGTCAATGCGAAGGCGTTGGGGGAGATTGAATGCAAGTGCGCAGTAAACTCCGAGGTAACCGAAGAGTAGGGTGCTCGACATGAAGCTTGACATTTGCTGGTGAATACCGGGACCGTCGACAGCATGGCATGACTTTTTATGTCTGGGCCTACATAGATGAGAATGCGACGTATATATGCACCATTTTAAAGCTGCGCTTACCAGTCTTTCCTCTGGCACTAGTAAGAAGCACATCTGGGTTTTCACTCTAGATGTTGGTTACAACATAAATTAAAACATACCTCTTTTGAGCAATACCACGATCCTTTGCACTGGTGAAATGTTTCCACAATCAATATACTTCAATCGGGATGGATAGCTATAAATGAGCAATCATTTTACCTTGGCACATTTCTTCATCGTCACAGTCTCTGCGTCCTTGTCCGTCTTTTGGCAGAAAGTACAGGACGTATGGACGACTTCCGCTCGGGTCTCCCTCACATCTGGCATCAGCGCAGTGACCACACGCATGTATGATTCTCTTTCAGCCGGTATTGCGCGAATCATAGGGGATGACGGGTCGAAGGTGAGGACTCTCTCAGTATTAGGTGGCATTTCGAATATCGCCGGTAGAGTGTAATGGAGAGATGTGTGCTTGCTATAGTGGACAGCGACAGAAAAAGCTCGAGGATTGTCGAGTTCAACCCGTCTTCAAGGTGAGGGTCCAGGTTTAGGCAGTGTGAAGAAGGTCGCCGGCACGCGCCTCCAGTATTTATGTGGCGTGGTGACTAGTTGCTAAATCGAATAGGCCAAAGTCAATCAGTCAATCAATGATTCCATCGTTTCGAGGAGGTGCTTTCTACGCCTTTGTGATTGGAACGGCAGGAAGCGAAAAATTCATCGTAGAATAAGTGGCCATAGCTCACGGACAAGGCTTGTATGGTAGCAATTGAGTATTGACACTGTGTAAATAATACCGAAGCAGCCACACAGTCGCATGGTTAGAGCATGGACATGATAACTTCAAGTTATGAAGCGGTCTGACACGGAGCTACGTAGAAGGCCCTGAAGAAAGGAGCGCACGAATGGGCTGATATATCCCTTCCCTATTAATCTTTACCCTCAACATTTCCACAGCGAGTGACTTATTGTCACTATCGACGAGACTATGTATCGCCTCCATATCGAACCTGGTCATGACCGGTCGCAACTTAAAGCGGTTGTCGCGATCTCCACGGATGAGACTGTTCATGGTCCTATGAAGAGAATGATATTATATGAGGTCGAGTGACGATACAGGTAGGCAGTGAGTACTGGCGAAGATCAGCAGAACGTACTCGATGGTGTTCGGCTCGTTCATAGGTACCTCACGCCGACCGTGAATAGCGGACACAATCTCGTATGGCTGCGCCTTGCGAGCGGTCTCAAAAGCGCGATTCGTGATTGGAAAGGCACACGTCCACGAAAATGATTGACCGCTGCGTTCAAACTCCACCAAGACGAGTTGAGTCCCCTTCGGGTACTTCGCACGGCTTGAACGCCAAGTGTGCATTCTCATCTCCGTCAAAACGGTGTCCTCCGGGACTTTTTGGATCATGTTGATCTGCACCATACCCTCTATCGTCTTTGACTCCTCGGGCATCGACTGCATGATAGCGAGGAATTGGCGGATATCAGACGGTTCGATGCCGAGTTCGACGTGAAGCATGATAGGAGTATCGATGCGGGGCTTCTTGAGCAAGTCGAACGCGAGGACAGCGTAGAGCTCGAGAGATGCAAGGAGGTACGGGTTACCGATAAATGTTTCGACATGTTGATGAATTCCGGTACCCTCGACCTTATGACAGTTCGGCTTGTGCGTGGGCCTGGATGGTGAAAGTGAGCAGGCTGATGCATAAGTCGAGTACTGTGCTGCATACCAATGGTTTACTTGACACTAAATATAGATTCTGATTAGTAGGCCGATATGATTTCCTATAAAAATATCAAATAGATGGCTTACTTCTCTAGAGCAGTACCAGGTTCCTTTGCACTGATAGAATGGTCAGAGGGTCAGTTCAACGCGTCCATCAGACGGGAAACAAAACTTACTCTAGCGCATTTCTTCATAACCTGTCCTTTCTCTAGGTCTGTCTCGAGTTTCAAGCAGTTAGTGCATAGTGCCTCCATCATGTTTCGCGACTTCTTGAGATCAGACTTCGAGAACGTGAGAGAGCGAATGAACTCGTCGTGTTCAGCTGAGGTCACTCGAACGATCTTGGAAGGGTCGATATCGTGGAGTGCTGGGTTAGACGACATGATAGATTGTGCTAGCTCGATATCAGATGCAAATTACACCACCGATGAGTGAAGAAACCTCACCACGAAGGGAGAGAAGGTCAGGTTAAGAGGACGGACTTGAAATTGAGTCTGCAGGCCGAGGTCGCGGTCTCCAAAGACGGCAAACGCCGCCCGCGTCTCCTATTTAAGTCTGAGTCAGCCGAGTGTGGCGCTGCCGTCTTGTCTGTGCCACTCTCCTACCGTCACTTACTTGAGCTTACTCGTAAGTAATACTTAGGACCCTCCTTATGAAGAAGAAGAGCTAAATATACTCGTGCACGGTAAGTAGTAGAGTCGTAGGTGAAACTACTTAGTGGCCGTGTGAGCCTTGTGTGTAACATTGCTGGAACCTGCTGGAACATTCCAGCGGGTTTATCTGACACAAATCTGACATCCGAACTCAGGCTTGGACGGTATGAACTTGGTACCTGAACTCTCAGTCAGAATCAACCAAGACTTATCTAGGCTCGTATTCGGGTAGAATCCCACCAAGAACGACGAACTTTGCTAGCTTTGCTCCTCTCCTAGTATAAAACTGCATATCTCCGCCGTCTGATTCGTTCACCTTTTCAGGAGGTGAGCCCACAGAATGATTCCGTGCGGATGCAGTGCAATGGCAGTGCCCAACCGGCAGTCCACTGCTGCAGGTTGTCACTGAATAAGAGTGACTAAGTGCATCACTTCTGACACCGCCGGACGTGCGTCCTATCTGTACGTATAGGATATAGGACCCCTTTCACCCCCTCCCGAGTCTAGCACCTTTACGCATCTTTGACCTCTTCTCGAAGGCGACATCATCGAAATGCCCACACATTCTCACCCTGCTCCCGTCCCTGAGGCTCAATGGAGATTATCTAAACTTTCGCCCAATAAAAAGGTATGTCTTCGTGGCCTCAACTTCTGAATCATTGGTTGAGCTGGACCGATACTCTTACTTTTCAAGATTAAACGTTCGAATGCCCTCGACCAGTATAGACTCAAGCTAAAGGATCTGGAAGACGCGGGCCTCGAGTTCGAAAGGACGAGGTGAGCGTCACTAGGCATCCACCGAATCTTTTCCTGATCGGTCATGGCATTTGCATATATTGACGATAGGAACGATCAAGGCGGCTGGATATACACCTATCGCGAGATTTCTGTAGAGCGTGTGGCCTGGCGCAAACACGGTGGCCCCCAAGGGTGGGAAGCGTAGTACGTTCCTCATCACTTCGCAGATAAATCCGCTGATATCTGAAAAATATTAGCCTCACGAAACTTCGGAACCGTTGGAACTCTAATCCCAAGAATGTCAACAAACATTTCCTTGAACCCACCGTACCTACTCCACGCAAACACGCTAACCCTTGGGAACGTACCAAAGGGCTGGCTGCTCTGAAGCCTCGTTTTACTCCCTGGCTATGGAAGGCTTGTAACGAGCACGTCGATAGCATAGACACCGGCGACTATTTTCCTCGCTTTACCTCAAAGCAGCGAGAGATATGCCTGCAATTCGCTCTGAAAGAACTGCACGGGTATCCCTCTCGTCCTGCAGAGCCCTTACCTTCGTCACCTACGGCTGACAATCTTCGCCGTGTACTTGGCGATGCGGTGACTATGGACACGTACGTGGAGGCCTGCACGGATGGAGCGAAGATTGAAGGTATGGTGTCGGATGAGGGCTGGGATGGTAATACGACCTGTCAGTGGTCAGAGAAGTTTATAGATCGGTTGTTCGAGGCACTAGTAGCCGTCATCGAGGCGCACGGAGTGGGTGTTGACGGATGGGAAAGTGCACGATGGGAGGTCTATGATAGGGTAAGCCCTTATTCTCTACATCCTTCGATATAAAATCATCGCTCACTCCTCGCATAGTATGCAGAATGCTTTGGGAGCGTTTCGTATTCGCGCGGCACGCAAGACAATGGCCACATTCCTACATGGAAGGATAACGCGCAGGAGTGGTTACTTGGAAAGCTACCGCCCAACGAATGGCGGCGTGCGAGGCACGACAAGACGCCCCTAGGGAAGAAGTACAACGACTTGCTTCCTAGTCCTTGATGTATTCTGTGCACAGTCGAATGTCATACTGCTGGTTCCGCCTTCTCTACATCAATGCTCGGGTCCGATATGGGAGTGGCTGTGGCCCGTCTCCGTCTTAATCCAGCCATAGAGAAGACGTCTCAACAGACTTGAAGACGATTAGAAACAGTGGTATAGTAACACAAAGACCGTGAGGCAGTCACATCTAGTACGTACATTAACAGACTGAGGATAGTAAGTTGGGGATACAAGTTCTAGCAGAGTACTCGATCTAAGTGGAAGTTCGTCTAAGGTAGAGTACTCAAAGCAGTATGTCAATGGAGATATAAATACATCAGGAGAGCAACGAGAAAGCAGGACGATCAGCGTGTTATTATGAGGACGGTGAGCTTTTGTGAATGAGCTGGGTAGTATAAGTACAACAGTGTGTTATTAGAACAAGCGGGAGAACGAGAGGACCTATCATACAATGGAAGAAAACTGTGTGGCAGCTCATACGTTAAACGTCTCTAAGGGAAGGTGTCGTGGGCCGAATAGGCGCAAAACCAATCGGTGACCGCCCGATGCCTGACAAAGGTGAACGAGTGATATTGGCCAATCTAGACACCAGCGTATGCCTGCTGGACTTTCGTCAACTGGAAGTCTGAAGGAAATCAGAAGTCGTTAGCGACAATGCCATGTGCATAATAGGGATTATACACGTACTCATGAGAGGACAGCATGGGGCGTAAATCGATATCGAGGTGACCAGCCTCTCCACGGCGTTCCTTAACTCAAGTTCTTGTTCAGGTTGAACGACAGGCTGCCCGACGTTGAACGCTCCAAGGGCAGCGATCTCGTCAATGATTACCCTAGCCGCGCTAGACCACACCATCTACAAATATGGATGGATTATCAGCGATTATTCGAAAATAACGGTGAGATGGAGGAAGGCAGAATACTCACCGCCATCAACGGATGCATGCATGAGAAGTCATAAGACCTCGACTCCGCGTTCGCATGAACGATCCCCATCGCCGCACCCAACGACTTCACCCTAGAGTTCTGATTCTGATCCGCAAACGGCCCGTGCAGCTGTATGGTCGCCGCGTGCGCAAGGCAATGGACGATGTGTAACGAGCGAAGCTGGTCGAAGTCGGTCGCGAAGTCGAGATTCGCGAGCGGTGCCAGTTGCGATTTGAAGTCCTCGATGCGTTGGTCGAGGGAGAGGAATTCGGTGTAGAAGCCGTTGACATTGGGAGAGCCTGAGTAATCAGAATGGGACGGGATGAAAACATCAGAGTACGATTCCGGTGGACCGGCGTGAGTATGGTGAGATGATGTACCAGGACGCCAGGAGGCGGATAGTCTTCCTGCTCTTTCAAAAAGGGCCGAAGCTTTACTCGTGAGGGCAAGGATGGATTGGTTTTCCCAAGGCCAGCTTGTGTTGAATCCGCTGAGGAAGATGCGCAGAGTCCCGCTTGTGCGAAGGTTCGGATAGATCTGTCCCTAGCTTACAGTTTCAGTATATCGCTTCCTCACAAAGAGACCTGGAAGTAATCTTACCCTTTCGTATGTTTCCATGTCGAGAGGCCATGGGGTATCGATCTGGGCACCGAGGAGATCGTCGTCGGAGATGATGGTAGGAGAACGGAGGACAACAGCCCAGCTTCTGTCCATCGAGAAGACCGTCCAAAAAGCGTTCAGACGCTCGCCTATGGATGCATGGAATCAGATCAGCTCCATTACTCCTGAACGGCCAAGTCGGAGATGCTTACCTTCTTCGATCTGGTCTAAAGGCTCTGGCAAGATCACACTCGCCGTCTCCAACAGGCCAGTCGTCCTGAGCGGCTGAGCTGACCTGATTTTATGGAGGCCACAGTCGAGGGCCAGCGACGTCGCCTCATCGCACATCTGTTTTCCCTCCAACAATTGCCCAGTGGTGAGAAGGTACAAGGCGAAAAGCACCTTCGCCTGTAGGACCTGTAGAACCTGGTTTGGCGTTAAATTTGAGAGCTGAACGCCGATGAGCGAGCGGACGCGGGTGGCGAGACCGAGCTCGCGGTCCGAATATTCGTGCGTGGTAGAAAGTCGAGACAATGTTGCAGCCCAAAGCCAGACCGTGGATAGGAGCAAGGGGATAGGACGATTTGGATTAGGTGGAATCGAAGGGAGTTGAGCCCCGGCGCGGAAGCGGGGTGCGTACAAGAACCATCCGAGCTGGCTCGAGTGGCGGAAGAACATTTCTAAACTGATACACGTGGTAATTATGGATATATTGCTCAACATGTAAGGTACTATGTCAATGCTCACAATTCTGGTACTAGATCGAGGGTGGGCTCTAGTTCTGAAGGATTGGGGCCGGCCAAAGAATGTAGCGATGGGCCTGTCACACCTTCTGCTTGGACGGACTGAGTCCATGGATCGAACGCGTGCAATGTCCCAGCACCACTACCGGAGTGCGAAGACGTTCGAGAATGGCTAGAGGGTGTCGGTGAGTGAGGGTCATGAAGTATGATAGACGATGCCTCCTCGTCGGGGTTCTCGAGCTCTTGGATGCGAGCCTCAAGGACGGCGATTCGTTCTTCCAATATTTGAGTCCTCGAACGACCTTGTCCATCGGTATACTCGCAGTCGTCGGGCTTACCAGCACGGTTGCATTGGCCACAGACAGGACGCACACCGTCGCATTTCTGTAGAAGAGTATTATATTAGTGTCGATGTAGAGAAGCTAAGTGGGTGCAGGTGCTAACCATCTTACGACGACGGCAGCTGAGACAAGCCTTTCCTCTCTGGAGCGAACCAGCGGAAGATCCAGCAGCGGACGAAGGGCCGGGCTGAGGAGACTGAGCCATGTAGAGATGAGTATATGAAGAAGTATAGGTGTTGAGTGAAGTTAAGATGGATGACTCGATAGGTCAACTAATTTCTCTTTGAGTAGAATGACCCATTCAACCCCGACACCTCTGGTCTTATATAGTCTTTCGCGCCCCTTGCATCACACATCCCGAGCATGACCAGCGCCGACATAGAGGCTGAAGGGAGAAAGGCGCCGCTGATTAACAGAGTTCGAGTCGAGTCGAAACGCAGACGGAGGGGCACAGCGTCCGAAGACGAAAGCTCCAAAGCACTGCGCAAGCGTACCATCCCGAACCGTCGAGACGCATCTGCGAATAAGACTAGTCCAATGGGGCGGCTCAGTGCTCACCGCGTCGCTGACGGACTTCGGCGAGCCTTGTTCATGAGCCGGAGGGCAGATGACAAATGGGGATCCGAGCCAAAGCCACAGGCAAGCCACAGGAAGCACCTCCTGAATGACGCGGATGCGATTTGTGGAGGCCGAGAATCAATTCCTTCATAAGGAAGGTTCTGGGTCCTGAACAAAGCAGATACGACCAACCATGTCACAACGTACTTACAGATCCAACCATACTACTCCAAGCATCATAAAAACATTTAGAAAAGTCCTTCAGCGAAGTATCGCGTCGTTTGCGCGTCGTCCCCAATGGCAGCTCGGGTCGAATCGGAATTTGATCGGGAGGCCTAAAAAGGGAAGTGTCTAAATTTTCCAAAAGGCCTGGGAGCGTCGTTGTACGGGCTGGAACGGCAACTATGGTAGAGAACCAACATCGTTCAATTCGGCGTCGTTGTGAATGAACAAAGGAGAAGATGGAGAATGCGGAGAGTATGTCGGAAAATGTTTGCGGAGCTTGAAAGGTGATTAGATTACAAGCTGCCTTGTAAGGTATCTTTCCCGGCTGGGACCGGTCTGATAAGGGGTACTCCCCGATTAGGCATGCGCGGAGCACGCGCGCTCAGCCACCCGATCCTAAAACACCTCCAAACTCGCCCAAACGAGCACTTGCAATGTCGCTCTATGGCCACAACCTACGAAAGTGACCATTCAACGTATTGTGCACGCTCGCTCAGTCAGGTTGGGGACGACATGGGCATCAACGACGTGGCCCCCCTCCACCTTACGCAGGGCCACGCCGGCACGCCCGACCGCCTGCCCAAGCCCGGCCAGCCCAACGACGCCTAGGCCCACTGCCATCACCGTTCATAAACCGGATCCCGGCGACCTTACAAGCGGCCTTACAAGCGGCCTTCCCAGGGAGTTTTTCCCCCCTTTCAATCATTGCCATGCCGGTCCGGCCTGATATACCTGATATAGCCTTGTAAGTACTTAAAAGGTCCTGGAATATTTTCCGACATAGTGCAGAAGTTCGCGGTTCACCGACGCGCCCCCGACACGACGCGCTTGCGCCGCCGGCCGTTGCCGGACGATCCTGACTCCCACCAAAAGCGTTTACACCGATACCCACACCTAAGTATTGGCATCCACTCTCATTGAAGGTTCACCACGCCAGCCTATCAAATTAGAGCCCACAACCAGTCCGCGACGCTCTCCTCAAATTTTTGAAACCTTCTTCATCTCGCTCTTCCTTCTCCAACTTGTCCTGACTCAGTCCAGCAGTGCTTGGTGATGTACAGCTCACCCATATAAAGGTATTGAGTTGGGGTTGAGTCATCGTCTTCAAGCTGTTCGTTGCTCTGAACTCTCGGTCAACGGTAAGTAATCCCTCAACGCGCTTGGTCAGTTCTTTCTAAGCATATCTACGGTCGCGTGCTGGGAATTTTGGATGGCAGCATGACGACAGTGCCACGAGTCTGGTCGGTATTTCGTCTTCCTAACTTCGAAGTCTTTCGAAACGTTATGTATATCGGGGCAACGATTCGCTCACGCAGAAGCTCTACTTAGAGCACCCGTATTCCTCCGCATACTTTCGTTGCAGAGAAATGATCCTCGATATTCCTGGATATCTTTGTCGTCGTGGGTGGCGCAGCGCAGAGCGTTTACGGTGTCGAACCGGAACGAGCACGCCTAAGGAAGTTATGACGACCACACAATGCAGATCCGCAGATGCCGCTCAATGTCGTACACATAGTACGCTCTGCTCCATCTTTCCGGAAGTTTTTCTGGTCAAACTTGAAGGTATGGCATTCACAATGCGGCATCGGACAAAGGCTACGCCCTGTGTACTGCACGCTATGAAGCAGCCGTTAATATCCGAGCCAAAACACATACCGGAGCGTACGACACAAAATGCACCGGGTTTGGTACGGTCGTTTGGCTTTTTATAGTTCGAGAGCTCATCCTGAACTCATAATTTTGTTGCGTCGGTGGCGAAAGACGGACATGAGCCCAGCATGTAACACTTGGGATACGGCATCGAGCAGTGCGGCATGAAAAAAATCCTCACAGAGATCGAACTGTTCATGCTCAGGTTGTCATGGTTCGATTTTACCGACTCAGACCGGTGTCGTTGAGGTGAGTCTCGCATGCGCACACGACAGAAATCGTAGGCCTTGTGGCGTTTGAGCTCGTGTGCTCGGGACGGGGTTGGCTACAGCACTTATTCTTCGATCGCTAGCGAAGGTGTTAGCCCAGAAGACCATACCCAATTCGTGTTCCCATAGTGGCTTTCAGTGAACATCTAGTTGCCGACGGAACAAGGTCCGTTCTTCAAATGGCCCAAGCTGCAACTTGGCATGATCTGTCAAGGACCGACAGTGCTTTTTCCTAGTCTTTAGGTGGACTCATGTGTTTCCGCCAACATCATTTCGGAACATCAACAGAACTGCATGCTGGCTTGACACTTTGCCGCCTTGCTAGTCCATCTTCTAGAGAACCTTTGTGGCACTCAGGCATGCGATATTAAATGACTGGCGTCTTCCTCATTGTGGACTCAGAGCTCATCCAAACACAGTGAAGGGAAATATTTCAATCTTCATCTATGATTTCTTAATGGAGACAGCCAATTCGTACCATCTATTTGCAGCATTCCACGGGTATAAATATATCTATGCATATAGAGAACTGTGCTCGTCTGCACGGTTCGGACCTTCTCTCCGTTTCTTTTCTCTTCCGGACCCGAGGAACCTGAAAATCCGCCAACCCTTCCCGATGCAAAATAGTTTATTGCTGGAAGGGGTTGCGGGGATGTTGGTGGCGTCTTCGGGACTCGATCGACACTGCCTCCCCCGCGCGTCTTTGGTCCCTTGTCCCTAACTTTATTACAGGTGCACCCGCTCGTGTAGGCCAACGATGAAGTGAATGGATATAACAGACTGACACACTTTTGCCTTCATTACCCGCAACCTACAACGGTTCATCACCTCCCCCGGTTCTAAATATGTGATTTTGGGTCCTAGTGCTTTCTGTGATCCCGTAGCGGTGCATAGTGTTTGGACTAGGGCTGCGTCCCGTGCACATTAACCTCAGCAATCCATTCGACGAATTCTTATTAGACCATGCCCGTACTCTGTTTGAGCTCCATGCTACAACTCTGCGTTTGTTGACTCCTGACTTTGTTCGGACCGTCGTGCTCGACCCACACAATACGCCATGTCGAGTCACTCGAGAACCCGCTGTTTTAAAGTTTTAAATGCGTGTCCACTTCGAGGAAGGACACAGTCATCCTCCAATCAAAAGTATCTGCTATGAGTAATTCTTTCGAAATAATGAGCAGAGGATCTCGCCATCTTGGCATTGACGGGCTATGCATGACGCTGGGTAATCCGCTCTAGGCGCCCTCGGGCTCGTCACGCTTATTCCTCAAGGAGCCGACTCACTCTTTGATCCATGGAGTGAGGCACCCTTGGGCATTGACTCGAATCCTGTGCTGATGGTCTTCTAAGTCATAAGTAGTCTCAATGCGCAAGCTCCGGGTTCCTAACGTTCCTAGTTGCCAATGCTAAGTATTGGCTTTCGCTCCTCCAAAATGACGTGTGGCGCTAGAATGAACGTGGGCCACATTGTGGGCACATTGGCGCTAGAAGTAGAAGAGTATCTCCGTAACTCCGATGAGTCGTCTTCGCTTTTGAAGCTTGACTGGAAGTCCGAGCATTAATTTTTAACTGACCTGAGTCGGAGGCACATTCCTTCCTTCCTTCCTTTCTTCCTGCACAGCCAGATTGTGAGGTCACTAAGTTTAACTAGACCTCGCTCGGTTCGGTCCAGTTTTCGAGCGTCCGAGCGTCCGTCCGTCCGTCACCACGCTTGAGATTGCAGAGTACTTCACGTAGTTGTGCTATCTCCATCGGTCCGTTCGTCCAGTGCCAATGACGTGTCTTTTTAAACTTAGCAGCGAAGATCCACGCGACTCCATTGACCGGGACAGAGCGTGAAAGCGTATGAGAGTGTGAAACCTCCGGACATTGGCAAGTCAGTCCCCAGTCAGACTTTGTTAGAGTATACACAGCATGGGGTACTCGTACATACAAGAAAGGTGTACTGAGACGCGCTGGTCAGTCTGGGGATGATGGATCAACGGTGGGGCATTGATGTACCACCCCGTACTGGCTACCGAGACGTCTCTTCGCGCGCTCGGCAGCGACGAAGTTCTAATGTTCTCACCATGAGCGAAGTTACAAAAACTTCTTGAGTTGATAAGTTATGCGTCAGAGACTCCATATACTTACACCCACAGTCGGCCTGCCGAGGCGTCAAGTCAAGTCCGTAGGCACTGCAGTGCCGAGGTCGAAGTGTAATACTGTAACTTGAAAGAGATATGTGCCTTAATGCTCTAGTGTATATAAGCCAACGAAGTCATCGCTGAGGTGGGTCTTTACCAGCATCTTCTGAGCGCATTTTGTGGGGTTGGAGGGACGAGTCACTTCGCAAGTGGGTGTGGGTACGTGTGGGTCCCAACTGCGGATTCGGAAGTTGAATACATCAATCCGCTCGGCGATCGCCACAGACCCGCCACAGCAAACTGATAAGATAAGATGAAAGTCTATCAGAGGGATCAGGCAATGATCGTCGAGAACGAGAGTGAGTTAGACTTTCTCCGTTGACGACTGTTGACGATGTTCTCCTGGGATTGAACTCTCAAAATGCTATCATAGTCTTCCTGGCTGGTCAGACGACGAATTCAAACATAGCCAGCTCCTCCCAGTAGATAAGTTAGACGAGGCACACGTCCTAGTAGGCGATTCGCTCACCAAGTTCGCTCACATCGTCACCGTCGTCGACTTTCTCTCCTCATCCCACCGTAGAAACACTCACCCGTCAACATTCGGAAAACGAACTCGCAAACTAACCTCACACATACCAAACCTCGTTGCATACCACGAAGTCCGCGAATGCCAACGCCACTTCCCAACCAAGGCCGCTACTCCAACCTCGGACCCCCCAACCTCGACTGGATCTATCCCGACCCCGACTCTCCCCTCCCCATCTCCCTCCTCGTCGTCCCACCTCCCCAACCCCGCCTAATAACCACACCCGCCACATCCTCATTCCATACTTCGAAAGACAACCACTGGGCGCTGTACTGGCCCGTTCACCCACCCACGGCTTGGTCCCAAAGCCGGCGCATCATTCGTCGTATACACGTCCAGCACGACCCAGGACGAGATCATCTAACGTTCTGGGGCCCGTTGACGGTGATCGAAGAGGAGAGCGCGGAGGAAGTGGAGCGGTCGACGAGGATGAGGAGGTTTGAGATGGGGGAGGTGGGGAAGATGGAGAGGGTGCTGTTGGAGGAGATCGCGAGGGAGGTGGATGTGATGGAGCCGGATGGGGAGTGGAATTGTCAGGATTGGGTTAGGGAGGTGTTGAGGAGGGCGGTGGAGAAGGGGGTGCTTGAGGGGGTGGTTTGTGAGAGGGTGTTGAGGGAGGCGGAGGGGGTAATGCCAGCGAAGGAGGGGGATAAGGGTATTGTGGATCCGAGTTATACGAGTGTGTTTTCGGTTGGGTGAAGGACACGGGATGAGTCGCTGGAGTTGTGGCGTGGACGGACAATTTCTGAATGACGGTTTGCAGCTTGGGAACACACTTACAGTAGTAGAATTTGCATCTACTCTCCATACCATTGATTCCGCTTTTTATTATTATTCGCGACGTGTCCTGCGTGATTGTCGACTGACGACCGTGGATGGACGCATACCCAGCGAGAGGACATGATCGAAGGTCTTACTCTGACTGAGGAAGGAGCGACCAGGGCCCTTGACCAATGGCCCCTTGCAATGCTATCCACGATGGCTTGAAGGCATTGTATTAAGTGGCACACAAGGGGGAAAGGCCCCGTTCGATGAGTTACAAACGGTCTCACATTTGACTCACATGCTCGTGTCGTCCTTGTGGGCAGAAAGAGCACGTGAACGATGGATGAGATCGGGATACACACCTTCTACATACGTGCGCAGTCCTATGTGTATCGCACGCAGGACCCGAGAGGGAGAGCGGACATCCATATCCTGCAATAAGCACGGGAAAGGCCTCGAGATCGAGTTGAGAGCAAATGTTTTTGACAGGTGGCATCTTTGTGTGGCGTTCTGTCGGAGCTTGAACCATCTCTTTTTTCAATCACCGACACTGGGCCACTCGGTAAAAGTAGAATTCAAGTCAACCATTTCCTAGAGATACACCCAGGGTTTGATTAGTGATTTTTGTCCATTTGTTTACGCCTCATCATCCTGGTAGCATCGTCTAATCGTGCTCCCTCAGCGTCGCATATTGATCCCGTATATACTGCGCCCATCCTTCTGCAGCACCTGTTCCCGCCACAATACGCGAAAAATCGCACACAACGCGCACGTCAGGCATGAGAAATATCACGAAGTGAATGTCCCGGAATTATGGCGAAGAGACGGCAGATATCATGATTGAAACGAACCGACGGGTCGTCGTCTGCTGATATGTACGTACGTCTCAACGTATGGGTATTAAGGAGAAAGTTCGTACAAAATTGGACCTACATTCTCCACTAGCTTCCATGGACAAGAGTAGAGTCTGTAGCGATCTTCGAGAGCTGCTTCACACTCATTTATGCTCATATTACCGCTGTCTGCACCAAGCAATGAAACTCGCTGATTAGCCAATGGCCATACGAACAGGTGCTACATATCTTGACACAGAATACTGGAATGACATTACATATCAGAAGCAAAAGAGAACAAATGAAACGACGAAGATGTGGTCGCAGGGGTGAAAGTTCGAGTGGGACGACTATTCCAGGATACAACCCCACACCTGCACACGTCCTTCATGGCCGCGACCGAGCTTGACGCCCTCCAACTGGCCTGAAAACCGCTTCACGAGCCCATCAACTACTCCTACGTCAGCTCCGACGACGACCAAGTGCCAGCGACGGCGCGCTCGAGTGCTCGAGTCGACAGTAAGCCACGCCTGCTTGAGCCCCTTCACGGGACTGCTATGCTCCGACGCGATAGTCGCCTGCACGGCGTAGAGGTTGTTGTCGGTATCGCCGAGAATACCGTCGATTCCTTCCCAAATCATCACAGATGGCATCCAGTAAAACGCTTTGGAGGCACCAGTGTGCTTCAGACCGTCCACTGTGCCAGGAACGAGCTCGGCTGATGGGCGCATCTGCATATTTCGATCGTGGTTGAAGATGGTGAGAGGTGGTGCGCCAGCTGTGCTGAGGCGACGATGAACGTCCTTTTCATACTTCCATCCGGCGGCGGTCCGAGTCAGGGAGTGGGAACTGAGGGCGATGAAGAGCTCACGGGATTTCTCGTTGGAGAAGTTGGTGCAATGTTGCGTAAATATTTCATCGAGGAATGTCGTCGGGATAAACCAGATTGCTCGAGATGACGCTGCGATTTTCCCGCTCGGTGTGATTCTACGGTGAGGGCGAACGAAGCCGATGGTGGAAACGAGACTGTCTAGTATACCGTCGCCGACTAACAGCAGACCAACGAGCGACGGATCAGAGCATATTTTGTGGACTGCCTGGTCTGCCTCGGCCTGCAGATTTCTTTCCATGTCTTGGGCTTCCTCGGGACCCTGGACGACGGCACTCGCGATGTCGATGATCGTCCTAATGGATGGTCCCCACTTAGTCACAAGTGGAAATGCGGAGGATGAGACTGAGTGGAGCTCATTCCTGTGCATGGCCTTCGTGAGCAAGGATATCCCAGGGACGAACACTGAGTCAACTTACAGGATCGCGGCGATCTCCAGCACGGTCGGCAACTCTGCGTAGATACGCTCACCCCTCTTTTGCTTCAACCATCCCTTCCATCTCTCGGGTTTCGGCGATGACGCCTGAATGACAATCTTGGCCGAGCTTACAAAATCTGAGCATGGCTGGACAGCATAGGAGTTGCTGTCGGCCAACGCCCAGCACGAACTGAGTCGGGGATCGACTGGACCGCCGAGAGTATGCCGCGAGGCGCCCTCGCCATCGAAGACGAAGTAACGTTCGCCGTCGAATTGGACCGCAGTCGGAAGTTTGTGTTCAAGGCGATACAGAAGAAGGTATATGAGGAACACAGTTTTGCCTAAGAAAGCAAAAAACAGACGTTATCGTTTCGGTTGAAGCGACAATGACTGGCCTGCGAACCAATCCCTGGCTGTCCCGTGACCACGAAAGCGCGTGTCTTTCCAGTGCTCTTCTCGATCAACTCCCGCAGCAAGCGATATTCAGAACGAAGAAGAAGAAAATCCATGATTTCTGTCGTTATACCAAGTGCAATAGCGATGCTTGCAATGTCATTAAGGCAAGTGTAGTCCCAACGATCGGGAATGTCAACAGCGACGCCGTCTGAATCGGGGGGTTCGGTGTCAGAAGGGAGACCGATGTCGGTCTTGAGTATTACGCCGTCGTGGCGAGGCCATTGACGGCCCCAAGCTCGCTGATGGATGCTGTTTAGTGCTGGAGAGGAATTCATCAAGAGGGGTACGCAATTGAAAGCTGTGAAGGCGACTTTTTCTGGAACGGTTGATCTATTTCGTTCTTGTCGAGCAGACCAACGAAAAGAAAAGCAAAGAATAGATGGAGGGATTGAGCCGACAGGACGCGACGACGCGCAGAACTCGTCGATTTTTCGATGGGCCCAATCTCGGTCACGTGCAGCGCGTCACGGTTCGAGTAAGATGTGCCGCGTTCGGGCAATTCCTCTGTTGCTTTGCTCTCTTCCGCCATCTCCCCACTCCATCTTCTCGTCGTCCTCGACATCTCCCCCAACACGACGCTCACGCCTCGGCTATATGCTGCATACGATATCGTAACCCGATACCTCACAGTCGTTCAACCATCCACCAGCCCACCCCATCTCTCTTTATTTGTATCGGAGCTGGAAAACACTCGGATAGAAACAGAAACAGAAGCAAAAGCAGAATGTCGTCGTCGTCGTCAAATTTCTTGGACTTGTACGAGCCGCTCGATATCATTGGCAATGGCTCCTTTGGAATCATCAGAAAAGTACGGCGGAAGTCGGATGGCGTGGTGCGTACAGATCCACTCAGTCTACGCTCATAATCTCTGGTTCTTACATGCAAATCCTGGTGTTGTTGGTGGTTGTGTCTTTCGTGTCTGCGGTGGATCTGACGATGGCTTGTGCTCTGTGGGTGGTCGGCGTTGGCTCTCTATGGTCGTCGTGGTCTCCTTGGGGTGCGGCTGTGGTTGCGGACGCGGTCACGCTTGGTGCGGTCATTGCGGTGGTGTAGATCTTGGCTCGGAAAGAACTCAACTTTGAGAGAATGAGTGAACGAGATAGGAAGCAGATTGTTGCCGAAGTGTACGTGACTTCTCCTCTTTCTATCTCTCTGTGCTCCTCGCATTTTTTTCTTGTCTCTTCGTATTCTCCGTCCTGCTGTGTCACGAGAAAGAAGGCAGCCTTGTTTGCCTCGCGCCGGCATGCATGCTCTTAGACGTTATACATTCATGCTATCTTTGAAGCATGGTCGGAACCATGCATCATGTCCAGCCGCCCTCTGCATCGCGCTTGACCTTCTACGGCGGTGTGTCGGGCGCGCATCATCATCTCGCGGACTCTGCGTCAAACCATGGCATCTGAGAACTCCGCCCACGGGCGCTTACCAAACCCTCCATCTCGCTCGACGTGTTTTAAGAGAGTGACTTTCCAAGTTCCGTATTGCTGCATTGTGTGTGTGCTTTGACGCGCCATGCCCTGTCCAGTTGCTTTTGGCCACATATTTTGCTTCCGTTGTCCGAATACGGCAACTCGCGGATCTTCCTTCCACCCACCTCGTGCTACGAAGTGCTCTTTGCCTCGACGACGACTATGGCAACGACTGGCTGAAGTGCAGACGAAGCCCCTCGGCGAACATAATTGCCATGTCCAATGTCTGTGATTGCCGGGGCCTGGCGAGAACAACTACGGCACACCTGCATCGGGGTTTGAGTTGAGACGCTTTGACAGTGCCACACGGACCTAACCTAAGGATATGGGCTATGGTCCGGCCCTGGATACGACGGCCTTTTCGTCCGTTCGTTGGCTATGCTGTGTGTATGAAATGTGGGAACGGATCCACGAGCCATGATCCATGCATAGGGGGTCGGTTCGTGTTTGTTTCTGAGTGATGCTCGGGTGTTCGGGTGCTCTGGCGATCAGTCGGGCGGTACCGGGTCCTTTCCTTCTTGGTGGTTCTGTGTGGTTCTGTGGCCTGGATGGGTTTCCGATGTGTTGGGTGGGACGTCGAATGAGATGGGGGTTTTCTCGACTATTTTGTTTGTGTTTTTTGTTAGTCAAGTATACATGAAGCTGGACTTTCGGGTCTTTGCGCCGTTAGGTGTAAGGAACGACTGCACAATTTTTCTCTCTTGCGTTGTCTCGTATCCTCGGCCTATTTTTCTCCGCCTCCTACCTCATCACCCCGCATAGCATCCTAGCCATATACCCACGTCCTAACCAATAACCTTTCCACCCTCATTCACGCAGTAACATCCTCAAAGACCTCCACCACGAACACATCGTCCGCTACCATGACCGCCACGTCGACCGCGAAGCTGGCATCCTCTACATCCTCATGGAATACTGCGGCGGCGGCGACCTCTCCACTGTCATCAAGCAGGCGCAGAAACACGGCGTGACGATCCCCGAAGATACGGTGTGGAATTATTTCATGCAGATCGTGTTGGCGCTGCAGCATTGTCATCATCCGAATGGGGGGTCGGGAGGCCCTGGCGCGGGAGGAGGGAGCGCGAGTGCGGTCGGGGGGTTGGGGCAGGGACATGCGAGGAGTTATTCGGATTCGGAGGGGGGAAGTGGGAGTGTTACGCCGACAGGGGGAGGGAGTGGGAGTGGGGGGAAGGAGAAGAGGGTGCAGATTTTGCATAGGGATCTGAAGCCGGATAATGGTGGGTTTCCGTTTCGCTGTGTTTTTTCTTTTTTCGAGAGGTGGGATTGGCGAGGTTTTGATGGGTCGTGCTGATGGTGGTCTTCCCGCGCAGTGTTCCTGGACGAAGCGTATACGGTCAAGCTCGGCGACTTCGGACTCTCGAAAGCGCTCGCGCAGGCCAGTTTTGCGAATACCTACGTTGGCGTAAGCACTTTTCCTCTTCTTACTCTCGGGTAGAGCTCTTTCGCTGACGTATGATGGTGAGGACAGACACCGTATTACATGTCGCCGGAATTGATGCAAGAAAAAGCGTACGACTCCAAGTCGGATATCTGGTCCCTGGGATGCTTGATATACGAACTTTGTGCGCTGAAACCGCCGTTTCACGAGGCAAAGACGCATTCGGAGCTGAGCATGTTCATCCGGTGCGTTCGCCTGTCCAAAATCGGTGTTTTTTCATTGCAAAGTTGGCTCATTAGGACTATTGTGCTGTGGTGTGATAGGAACGGACGAATACCGCCGTTACCGAGAGGGTACAGTCAACAGTTGACGAATGTGATCAAGTGGATGCTGAACCAGAACGTACGTCGTCCCTCGCACCGTCTGTTTGTCCGTGTTCGCACTCATGAAGCTCACGTCCGACATTTTGTCCTTCACACATTCAGCCGGCAATGCGTCCGTCCGCGACACAACTTCTCCAGACCGAGCGAATAGACTTTTCCCTGAAAGTCTTCCGCGCAGAGAAACAGTGCGTTCACACCCTCCACTCCATTCGTCTCCCTCTGCACACTATTATGATCGACTGACGTTGGTTCGACGGTATTAAGGATCCTCATCGCCAAGAACCGTGAAACGGTCTGCATGACGAAAGAGCAAGAACTCCTCGCTCGCGAACGCGCCCTCATCGCCCGTGAATCCCATCAATCCGCCCTCCTCTCCCACCGCGACCAAGAGATCGGCAACCTCCGCTCAAAGATCACCGAGCTCTCCACTCAACTCTCCGCCACCTCCGCGCAACTCGTCTCCACGCAGGCCTCGATCGAGTCGCGGATCCAGGAGGCGATGCAGACGCGGATGCACGAGGTGCTGAACGCGAGGATCCAGGAGGCAATCACGAAGAGGGAGGAGGAGCTGAAGGTACTTGTGATGCGGCGGGAGGAGGAGGTGGCGCAGGCGATGAGGAGGAGGGAGGAGGAGATTATGGATGCGGTGAGGAGGAGGGAGGGAGAGGTGGAGGAGGCGTGGGAAAGGAGGGAGAAGGCTATGAGGGACGAGATGTGGGAGGAGATTAGGGAGGATGTGGAGAAGGATGTGGCTGAGAGGTGGAGGGATGAGTGGGATCGATTGGAGGAGGTTAGGGGGGAGGTGGAGAAAATGAGGGAGGAGGTGGATGAAAGGATCAAGAAGGCAGAAGAGGGGGTAAAGAAAGGTTAGTTCTTCCTTTCGTTGTTTTCATTCTTGCCCGACTGACTGGTGGTTCATATAGGCAAGAAAGAGAAAACACCGTTGGAAGAAGTCAAGAACATTCTCGCGCCATTAGCACAACTCACGAAGGACACCTCACACTCGCATCCTCATCCTCATCCACCACTCGCACCCTCATCCGCCTACCAAGCCACCCCTGCGCGACCCGCCTCCACCTCCTCCGCCACAGCACGTGATCGCCGCCCTTTCGAGACCCCACTAAACCGTGCGGCCGGGCCCTCCCGCGCCTCCAAACACGGTCAACCCGCAGTGCCCGCCTCCGCCATGAAAGGCGTCATCCTCACCTCAACGGGCGAAGCCCTCTCCACACCCACTCCATCCGATTTCGCGAAATTCTTCGTGGAGTCGCCGGTCGTCGGCCACGGTGGACTTGGCTTCTCGAAGATATTCGATTTCGAGAAGAGGTTGGTCGAGGCGAGGGAGGAGGCGGACAGTGAGGAGGATGAGCTGGAGGAGCTGGATGAGGGGGTGACGGTGACTATTCCTGCGAGCGGAAGTGGTGGGAGTGCGAGTGCGAGTGCGAGGATGGCGAGTAGTAAGAGTTCGAGTGGGAAGAGCTCGAGTGTGAGTACGAAGGTGGATAGCAGGCCGCCGAGCAGTCCTTCGAAGGGTAGAGAGAGGGAGCGGGATAGAGACAGGGACAGGGATAGAGAGCGAGATACTGGGTCGAGTGCGAGGGAGAAGACGAGGGCGATCTCGGCTTCTGCGTCATCTGCGTCGACTACGACTTCGAGCTCATCGAGGGTGAAGACCAGGAGTCAGAGTCAGAGTCAGAGCCAGGCCTCGGCTGCACGCGAGAGGGAGAGGGAGAGGGAGCAGCGGGAGAGAGAACGCGAGAGGGAGCGGGAGCGGGAGAAGGAGAAGGAGCGGGAGCGAGAACAACGAGAGAAAGAAAAGGAAGAGCAGGAGAGGGAGAGAGAGCGCGAGAAGGACAGGTCGGAGAACAAGACGATCCCAGCGACGAGGTTGAGGAGGCCGTCGATTAGGGTAGGGGGGAGGCCGAGCCTAGGCAATAGCACGGAGAACCCTGGTCTTACCTCCGCCAGCAGTGCCCACACCGCCTCGTCATCTTCCGCGGCATCATCATCCTCAAGTTCGCATACGCAGACAATGTCAAGTACGCATGCTAACGGACGCCCACAAGCGAGTCGGTCAGCTTCGACACCTGCGTCGCCACCGAAGTACGACTTGAACGACGAAGCAAACCTTCCCTCACCCTTCCTGAAGAAAATCGACCGCGAGAAGTTTGCGCCCACATCACAATCTTCATCGTCTGCCTCCTCCGCTATATCATCCTCCGCTGCCACCGCTTCCTCCGCCGTATCGAGTGTCAGCGCCACCGGTGCACTTCCCAAGAAAAGACCAAGTGCGGGCAATATGTTGAGGGCTGTTGCTGCGGCCAACAGCGCGAAAACGACTTCTGCAAACGGTATCGTAAAGAGCTCGAGTGTGGGGACGATTGGCTCCAGAAATAATGAGCCAACATCTAGTCGGCCAGCACCGACGAGTACACGTAGTGGACCGGTGGAAACGAGGTTAAGCAGGGCGAGAGCGCAGGCTGCGGGTGTTATGGGCTCGTAGTTGTGGGAGTATACTTGCTGCTGGACTCTTTACGTTTGGCCTTTTTCTTTTCTTTTCTTTTCTTTGTCTGTGGTCTGTCACTTTCGTTCCGATTTATAGGTATGGCTCTCCTGCCTTCTCTTCATCTGCCTTTCCCTTCTTTTTACAGTTATCTCGTCTCATTTCTCGCTCTATCAGTCTCGTTGCCTCTTTTGGATGACTTTAGGTTCTATGATCATGACGCCTTCCAAGCCACCATTTTTTTTTTCTTTCATGTCGAATCCCAGTCTCAATCACATTGCCTCTTGACTCCGCAGACTCTGCCCGGTGCATACTTCAGTGACTCTTCATACCAGCCCGTTCATGATACACATGTGCATATTTTTTCTACCGTATCCTTCATCGATTTATCCCATTGACATCGTCACCATAGCCATCCCCAATTGCAATATTCCCCTGGATTGACATATCTTCGCACTCGTTACTCATGGTAAATACTTTATGATCGGTGGTATCCCTTGTTCTCAAGCACGAAGCTCGGCCTCATCACACTCTACACACTCGGTCTCTTACCATCCACCCACGCGATACACCTTTCAATGGATTGCTCGCTTCTGGTCAATATAATGGTTCTCGAAATCCAACATGGATCAGTGTTCTTTTTGCGATTATCGTTGACTGAATGATCGCACAAGACTTGATTGATCTCTTGAGAGCGTCTCACTTGTGAAGTCCATGTCTGCGGAACGCTACGCCACGTTTGCGCCACATCCCTGACACAAACCGACACGGAGCGTGATTCCGAGTCGGCATAAGCCGAAGTTGCTTTGTTTGATTCCCACGGAACTGCCCTATAAAAGGTCGTCCTCAGTGTCAGTTAGCAATCACCTCTCTCTCTCTACCTGACCCTCTTCTCTTCGCTGTGAACAGCATCTATCTTTCCTAGAGGTTAACATCATTTACATTGTTTCAGTCCGTTGCATCATCTCTTCCATCGGACTTCACGACATCGATTCTTGATGGATCGACTCGGAGTGACCTCGACTAGTCTCGACGAGGAGGAGAATGTACGCTCGCTCCCGAAATCGCTCATCAGGCATGATTGGGCCATACCGGCCACACTGTGTACAAGCTGTATGACATCAAGAGATCAATTAGAACAAGGACAAACCATGATGCTTTGTTCTAGGGTACTCCTTTTTCACTTGGCGACACACATGTTCCAGCCATCTGCTAACAATAGTCCTGTTATATAGTGCAAGGGTCCGTGGTATTGCTCCAGAAAAGTGTGTCAATCTTTCATTCTTTTTCGTCGAAAATTAATGTGCGACTGTCCGCGCGCAGTGTCAGGCGAAACATTGGTGTGTCGCCAAAGCTTCATATTCCCGCGTACCAGAGTAGTCTAACCGTCGTATTCCTCCACTAGGCGTACGCACAAGCCGGAATGTCACAAGGTCGAAGGTTCAGGGTTCTGTCAACATATCGAAACTCTTTTGAGTGATCCATATGTCCGTCAATACCTTGAAATATACGCTATCCTCGCGTTTGATTTGCTCGAAGACGAGGACTTACCCATCGACTCTCCTATCCTGATGCGCGTCGACCTCGCTATCGAACCGTCTGACATCCGGCAATTTCTCGCCATTATGGAGTCGAAGCTTGATTCTTCGAAGAAGATAGAAGGAATGCTACAGGTCAATGAGATCGTGAAAATCACGGAAGATAGCGTCTTGTCTCAAAGAGCAATGCACAGTTGGCGTGAAAGCGTTGCGAAACAGCGGGAGGGCACTCGCTTATTTCTGTTCGATTTTGCGCGAAGCGGATACTCCTATTCTCAGACCTATTGCCTACCTCTCTCGGAAAATGCTTTCGATCTTGCCGGCCTAGATCTTTACGACATCATCTCCACGGTCGACGGTGACTGTGAGGTGCCTATTAACGAGCCTAATACTATCGAGTACGTTTTGTTCATGCACGGGCCACCCTTGACATGTCCGTACCGATACTCATCCAAATGTACCTCCGTCTCTGCAGAATAATGAACAGGACAATCCGAGCAGATAAGGACAATCGGTTCAAGTTGCGAACGGAACTGACCCCGGCTGACATGCAGGCGATACGTGGGCTCATGGACAGCACAAACAAGTCCCCCGCCGTAGAGATGCTCAGGACAAAGATCTGCAGGGAGAGGATATACTGGCCCGTTGTTGCCCTCCTGTCTTCTACTCCATCCGTGTAGTCGCTGGCCTTTCTCATTTTTTTCAGACCTCGCGCTCCTTCTCTCTCGGTAGCGCTTTTGATTACGCCAAGAACATACGTCCTCACAATGTCTAGAATTCAGAATGATGTGTGTATACGTTCTCCGAAGTATGTACATGTATGCCAGCCCGTCCCGTCGTTGTACTCCAGTACCATGCTACCAATATCAAAATTGCTATCCGACCAAAAAGTCCTCGTTTTTAACCCATCTAGTACAAAAGTACGCACTTGAAGACTCAACATTCGTACATGTAGGTTATTTTATTGCCAGTAGCCAGATGTGACGAATATTATATTCGAATAGAGAGTCAGAGATTACGCGCATGTGAGCTGAGATGCTTTCAGGTAGACCTTTTCCTGCATCACAAGTTCTCCCAGATAATCACCCTTGTAGTTCAAGCCTCATCACACGAAGATGGTCCCAGCTCCGTCAAAGTTCTGTAGTTTAGAAGATGAGTGAAGAGCCAATGATCGAAGCGAGCATGATAAAGTATGTGGTGAGGAGTCGCACAATTTCACACCGACGACGTTGTCCTGGGACCAGTTTTCATCCAAGTTGTCCATCACAGTTTTGTCGTATAGATTTATATTCGCTGAAAGAAAGAAAACAGAAGCTGGACATGACGAAACACAACATGGATGCGGTGAGAGGCCTTGCCAGGAGCGGCGACCGTTCGGAGGGCATGGCTCAGCAAGGTTACTGATAGTTAGCATGACTGTCGTCTGTCCACAGCATTTGCTCACATAAAAAGACGTCAAGTGAAGCACTTCTCTATGATATTGGCACATGTTCTAAGGTTGTTGTGGTATTTCCCCTCATGTTTGATCCATTGGTGAACCCATCACTCTCAATCTATCGGATATTCGACATGGCGTTTCGACTCAGATCAGCAAGTCCGCCCATCCTTCCTTATATACCCAGACATCCAGGCCCTCCAGTCAAGTAAACACTTGAATCGCCAATCCACAAATCCATCACTCGCCAGCCGTCGTCATTCTTACCACCACCGATCAATCGCTCTAACTCCCACCCCTCACCCTTTTCACTTCCGTCTTGATCGCCCAATCCACCGCCTCTCCGACGTCCTCAGCGATATATGTGGGTTCGTGTGTAGGTGGGCCTTGCTCGGGGTCGTAGACGCCTGTGCGAACGAGGACAGATGACCAGTTGGCTGCGTTGGCGCCTGCTATGTCTATTTCGTTTGGAGAGGATTGTCGGGCAGGGTCAGTGCGAGTGAGAAAGCTTACAAGAAGAGAGGGAGGAGGGAGAGGGAAGAAAAAGAAAGGTGGAACATGGGAGCATACCTGATTCGGGGTTGTCTGTGTCCGTTAAGACGGAATGGGAGAAAACCGCAGTGCAGTTAAGTCAGCTATGTTGGATAGTGTGTGAGAATATCGCATACATACCTCCAATCATGTACCTAAACCATTTCGAACCGTATGTTAGCGCATCAAGGAGGTACTTCGTAGTACCATGGGTAGGGCAAGACAACAGACGTACACATTCGGAAGCGTCTCGATCTTCTCTCCAGTCAGCGTCAATATTCTCTCCTTTAGTACTACCTCTCCAAACTTATACGTCGCCTCTGTAGGCTTTCCGTATTGCTCCACATGAGGATATGTCGATCCCGTCAACGCCTGAGTGTATAACGCAAAGCCATAGCACAGTCAGTCCACAGGCTCAATCATCATTCACGCCGACCGAGAAGGAGCGCAGTGCGGTCGGAGTCGGAGAACGAAGAAAGCACGAAACATACCTTGAACACAGCCTGAAACGCCTCCTTGAACGCCCCCTGCCCCAACCTCGGTCGCTCAAACTCGGCCCTCCAAAGCAAATCGGGATTACAGAATACCATCTTCACGGGTTCCATACCCTTTTCGACCTGGTGTTGTGGAAGGATGTAAGGAGCACCGATGAGGCCGTTGGAGAGGATGATGTCGATGGAGAGTTGGATGTCGAGGGCCCAGTTTCGCGGGTCGTGGAATATGAAGATTCGACGGAGGGGAGTGGTCGAGAAGTCGGTTTGCTGTGAGAGGAATGAAGGGTTTAAGAGGGTTGGGATGGTAAGAGAAGAACAACGGCAAGGACGTACGATTGTGGAGGCGAGCTCTTCGGACGTGAGGTCGTAGAATGGCCAAACGCTATATGTTGCGGTCTTCAATACAATGCGATCGAACACAGCAGATACGAATTTCCCACCTCGGTTGCCAGGCCTTAACATCCAACGGAGTATACACCTTCTTGAATCCATAGCTATCATCGCGAACTACCTTCAACCCGCTATTACCTATCACATGAAGGAGAGACACATACCTTTGAGCAACTTTCCTCACAGTATCACGTTTCCCTCCAAGAACCATAACAGGTTCGTCCAGATAGTCTTTACCTAGTAACTTCAGGACCGTATGGGATTGAATAAACTGAGTGGGCGGAATCTGACCAGGATATATGGAACACGTCGGCAAAGTGACAGATAGAACATAGGAGCTAAACGCACCTCATATCCCAGCTTCTCAGTGAGTTTCCGACATCTATCTTCTTCACTCTGTCCACCTCCGTTCGTCATCTATATGTACGCCGCATGAGCGTCCCGTACAGCTCATACTTATCCAGATGTCATGCCTCACCAGAATGTAGGGGATCTTTCTTACCATATCATCAGCCTCATATTGATACCAACAGACCAGCAAGGGTTGGAACGCACATTCCCCAAGGATTATCACCTTCCAGTCTCTCCAGTGCCCGTTTCGCAGAAGGAATAACTGACGAGCCGCGTAGGAGGACACCATCCTGAAAAACATCACCCAGAATTTGAGTGTCATCTCCCCAAAGGTTCGATAAGAGGATGTAAAGTTATATCGATACTTACTATGTCAAAGCAAAATGCTAGAGGCGGATGCCTAGGTTTTGATGCATCTAAACAGAGCAAAGAAGTAAGGATAGGCAGACGATGTAATTATCTTACTTACTAGTGATTGAACGCCTAGTGTTTGGTCCAACAAGCCGCTGAAGTCTCAAACGTTGAGCAGAGGTATTTCCTGGACATCGTAACGTCGATAACATCTCGTCTTCCCCAGAGGATGTGGTTGAGAGGAGCCTGACCACTGTGGCGTCGCTACGCTGGATGCCACATGCTGACTCAGCAGAGCCTTGCTCGCCGTCGGTGTGGCGCTGTCGACGCATCCTGTTCTCAACCGCCACTCTTTGAAGGCGGTCCCTTGACCTCACCACATATCCATACAATCAAGTCTTCACTATCGTTCTCGATACCTGTCTGAAAGCTTTATTTGTGAACTCGCAGCTTATAGCCTCTACGTGTCCAATCAAGTCTCGATGGCTCCCAGTGGGAATCACCAGGCCTAGCACGATGCTGGCCAGAGGTTGATCGACCGGCACAAGAACTATCTTCCGAATTCTTGAAAGCCGAATGGCGAGAGCTATAATTGCTAGAAGATGGTAGTGGACGATAATAATAGGCTATCGCGGCAGAGTCGAGTGGGGTACGTCGGAACCATGGTTTATGACATTTTACTGCAGGTGATACTTCACCTTCCTGAGACCCGTTGAGCAGTAACTTACTTACCTTTGTTCACGTCTCATTTGCGTTTCATGATAAAAGTTCGCACTTAGAACCCCGGAATCGTCCGGGTTGCGGTCATTGCGAGTTGAACTCTAGGAGTACACTCATTTTCGGTGTCTACGCGCATTCAGACATACTGCATCCAAGCTTCACAGCGAGTCTGACTTATCTCGTGAAGGCATACATGTAATTCTTTGCTCAGTCAGCAACAGCACTGCTTTGTCGGTGTGTGCGCTCCGACCGAGTTTGGCAACTCCAACAAAACCTCTGCTGAGTACACTGGGTATCGATTACCCCTTCGAGACAGATCTTCATCATCAACGATGAACTAGAACCGGCTCCGTGGCTCGGGAAGGAACTGTTCTGACGATGTTCTTCCTTACGATAGGTAAGCGTCAAGTGTCCGTTACAGTCAGGTCTCTGACTATGATTGACAGTCTATGAGACTGGGACGCTTCAATGCGGAAGCATTCATGGGTAACACGGGCAGTATCGAAGGCAAGGAGTGCATTAACTTGGAGTCAACGCCTTGCATCGACGTCTCGACATTTTGGAATAGGCTGTGAGTTTACTCAGCTTGACAGTGCGATGAATGGGTCGGACGGCATCCAGCTCTATATAAATGTGCAGGTAAGGGTACTCCAGTCGCAAACATCTTGTGAAGACATACCTGTTCACCTTCATCCTACATTTCGTCGATGTCTCAACCTACAGAATCAGGTGTCCCACGTAGGGTGCCGCCGTCACGTCGCAAGGTCGAAAACCCTGCTCCTCCTCTAGACAGGGGCAAAGCATGTCTCACCTGCCGGCGTCGTAAGATGGTGGGCGAGCTTTTCCTATTCCGACCTGCGGAGCACTGACATGCTACTTATTCAGAGAGGTGATGGGGCCCGCCCAGTGTGCGGCCAATGTAGCCGCGCCGGCAAACCATCGGATTGCGAATACCTCAACGCTGAAGGCCGATCCCGCACAATAATCCTAGAAGAGAGGATCGCCGCGCTTGAACACCGAATCCGTGAATTCGAAGACCCCGAAGCCGTGTCCGCCTCAGAGATCCTGCTACACGACCCTCTCCAAGGTGTTCCCGTCCCACCTTCACCTTCCATGTCCGCCCATTCCAGCAGCCTCTCCCATAGCTCGACTGCGTCAATCGAGCCTGCTCCGTTGCTCGATCACTCCGCTTTCGATACTTGGTTTTCAAGCGGGGAACAACGGGCATCGTGGAATGTGCCGTTGCATCTTCCAGCGTCTCAGCCGGGGACTTCGAACGTGGGGCCGCGGGATGAGCAGGGACCGGTGCTGTATGTTGCTGTTACCACTGATACACCGGTGTCTCATGTTGGGGGTCCATCACTGATTCCTCTTCACTGTATCCCTCTCTATATCCTCTGGTATGCAACTGTTTTTCGCGCACAGCAGTCAGCTTGGCTGGTTTCTCCACACAGACCGATTCCACAGCGCTGCTGCCCTCCCAGCGAACCATCAGGGCCGACCTATCCCTCTCTTGATATCCACCGTTTGCCTTTGGGTCGTCGCTCTCTCGACCACTGAATCTACCGATAGCGCCTCTAATCAGGAGCGGGCCCTCGTGGCACGGACCCGCTCTTTACTCGGCGCCGATCTATCGAAGATCACCCCACAACAGATCATACAATTCATCCAGGCCAAGGTTTTATTCGCGACCTATCTTTTCCATATGGGTGAGCTCCGCGAAGGTCGACACCATTGCAGCTCAGCAGCGACGATGGTCGTGGCCTGCGGTCTGCACAAGATTCGGTCGAACCATCCGCTACGCTTGGATGACCCCTTGGATACCACGGTCATCACACTCCCTGAGCCTATAGACTCGGTCGAGGAAGGTACGTTACGCTTGATTCGTAATCCCTATACCTTTATATATGTCTTCCAGCACGCTAATCTGGGCGATAGGCGAGCGCCTGGATGCCTTCTGGACAGTTTTCACGATGGATAGGGCTTGGGCGGTTGTCCTCCACTCGCCCACCATCATCTCGGACGATGACCACGTCGGCGCTCAGGTAGATTCACCGTGGCCTTTGGACATGGAGAGCTACGAGAATGTGAGCCCCCCGTGCCATTCGCACCTTGTTAACAATAGTACGGTCTGTTGACGCTGGCAGACAGGGACAGATATATCCTAATCTTCGCACGAGCGGTACGCTCCGCATCTTCCTCAATGGCTTTAACACGAGCTGGCCTTGGGAGAATCAGTCTACTCTTGCACTTCTGAGTAAAGCGTCTGCTTTATTTGAGCGTGCTTCGCGTCTCTCGAACTCTTGGAGACCTGGTGCGCATTCTGCTCCTCTCCTCTCTTCCTTTCGTCATTGGTCTGATACTTTTGGCGGCCCCCTCTTTACTCGTACCCGCCTCCTCATGCGCACCAGACTCGCCAAACGCCACCGCCTTCTACGCAGAGTTCCTCGCCCTAGACCAACGTATCGACGACTTCAAGACCCAACTCTTCCCACTCGCAGTCACAGCCGCAGCCGCCGACATCCTCTCCGAAAACCTGCGCATGCACCACCTTGTCCATTCTCTCGTCCACTCCGCCACAATCCAACTTCACCTACCGTTCTCAGCCCACTCTGAGGCCTCGAGGGCGAAGTGTTTGAGTGCGGCAATGGGAATCGTAGACGCTAATGTGGAGGCGAGGATGGGCGGTTTGCCTGCTGTGCACCCGTTGCTGGCGGTGAGTCTGGTTTCTTTTCCTGCCAACAAGATGCTTAACAGTCGTCATGGCGCATCAGATGATATGGTCGGGCGTGTGTCGTGTGTTCATTGACAAACTTGCGTCACTGCCAGCGCTGGCAGCTAGTTCATCCTTCGCTGTATCGGACGGAGGACTGGAGCTCGGGGCAGCAGTCGAGAAGATCATTGCCACTATGACAGTTTTCGCCGTGTCTTGTCCCCTGATGAGTACGTTCTCTTCTCTATACTATATGATTGGTGGGAATGGTAGTCTATAAAGCTCACTGCTGGTCTTCGTTTGTAGATATACAGCTCGCTAAGGTACAACAGGCCTACGGAGCGATTTGAAGGTTGATGAACGTATATCTTCAGAATTATTTCCTGCACCATGACCGAGCGCAAGTGTAACATCTTCTGTGACTCTGAGAATGTATCGTGCCATGTATGACGAACTACCGAATTTGACTCGTGTGGGGCTTCGAATACCTGTATCGCACTATGCATTTTGCGGCTCTTTTGGCTAACATTACATCAAATAGACTTCTTCACTCATACTCGCAGTTAACTATCCCTCCAGAAACGCTCTTGGAATCGCCTCTAAGACCGTCTGAGGCTCCACGTCGTATGTGACCTCCCCTTCCCATTCATCGCCTTGACCAGCCTCAAGCGCTCCCTCTTCCTCCGCCCCTTCGTCATCCTCCCATGGCACAGCCTGTCCAAACGGGTTTCCTCCCTGCATGACGACCGGTATCTGGACCGCACAATTGTCGAACTCCCACTCTGAGACGGTGACTGTCGTCGTCGACCTCGAAGGAACCCCGGCGTTCTCGTACACTCTCGCCATCCTGGCCATCCAGTCAGGGTGTGTTCGTGCCATCGCCTCTCCGAGGATTTGGCCAATGTCATACAGGGCGAGTCGTCGTGCGGGTCTTCCGGAGTCAGGGCAAATAATTCTAGTTGATGGTGAAGTGGGGACCACGGCATACGGGGGAATAAGCGGGAGATCGACCTCATCTTCGGAGTCGTCTTCGAGCTCTGTTTCGGCCTCTACCAGATCTAATCGATCTTCATTAAGTGAGACGGAGGGCTCATTGTGGTCACAGGCAGTGCTATAGGTAGTGTTCGAATGGCCGACATCGGTTTGTTCGATTGCACTGCTGGACGCCAGGATATCCACTTGCGCATTTGTTGCAAGACGATTGGCCAGGCAAGAACCATGATTTTGGGTTCCTTGTGGATGCAAAGTGGCCTCGAAGTCCTGAGGAGTATTCGATGTTGATAATGCCGGGGCAGAATGAACACGACGAAGACGAGAAGCCCGACGAAGAGCACGAAGAGCGGTTCGCAGTGGGTTACTGAGCATTCTTCCTCTGTGAAGGGTTTGGGTTTGATAGAGGCGAGTGTACTGCCGAAAGAACTGCGATGAGCGGGACTGGCACGGCGAGAGGTTGTGAGGTCCTGGGACGTCCTTGGGCCGTCACCGCCTGCTCTTATATACCTTCGATGCCGTTACTTGGATCTCGGCTAATAAAGGGTCGTGCCAAACTGTTTCAGTTGCCTCATTGTTCGAGAAAACACCAACTTTCAAGGCCTCGACCTATTCAGGAAGCGTCAACGGTTGGATTTTGTTCATCAGCTGATGATACAGAGCCTGAGACGTGTCGTCAATATAGTCTCATGATCCTGAGGGCGGGGCTCCCATTGATCGCGATAAGCCTAAGAACGAAGATCTTCCCTACTATTCCGGTTCTGATTCCTGAATACGATGAAGGGACGGGGCAATGTCAAATCGAGAACGAAGAGAAAGCCGATTCGAAAAGAAAGGCTATGGATGACATTTTGTATGCTACATAGGGAATACGACGCCGGTTTGTGGGACCGAGGGCATTGACCTTTTGGCAACGATCTTACACAAAAATCAGCGGGATGTCCATACCATCGGATCTGCTTCGAGTTCATCTCCTCACCTATCATTGACTAGTAAATCGTGCTCAGGTCGTCAAAGGTGTCCATCTCGTCCTTTCTTCGGCTCAACTCAGATCTCAACCGCTCCGCCTCCAGCTGCAACAACGACAACCTCTCCTCCATCGACCGCGCGACTTCCGTGCGAGTGCGCCTCCTCTCCTCTGCCACCAATGACACAGTATTCTTCACCTCCTTCCACGACTTTTGGCCGTTCCAACCCGTCGATGAACCGTGTGAGACGACGAGATTCGTGATGGTATCGTCACCAGCCGCCATTGCGCAATCGTCCGGAAGCGAGCGAGATAGAAATTGGGCTACAGGCTGTGTATCGGAAATGGAAGAATAGCCGAGGTGAAGCAGTTGTAATGATTGGAAGGGGACTGCGTTGGATGCTGCGGGAATGTCGGCCGAGGCATTGACACAAGTTTCAAGATGGTGCAGGTCAGGGCAAAACGCAGCGAAGGGAATAAGCGCGCCCAGCGTGAGGGAATCGTGAGGTAGGGTAGCTCGTCGGGTGAGTCGAAGGTGGCGCAGTTTGGGAAGCCCGGCAGCGAGCACTCCTGCTTCCTCGTCTGTCATCTCGACAGACAAAGGACTATGGAGTATAAACTTCGTAATACGCCTCAGGTTGAGGATAGGTGCGATGTCTTGAAAGCGAATCACAGGGACGTTCTTCATCCCTCTAGCTACGATGAGGCGTAGAGTATCAAGGTGAGGGCACTTGATGGCCAAGCTCTCCAAAAATGTAAAGAGATCACTGGGTGCGTGGGCAGCGTAGCGTTTGGTGTCGATGCTGAGACCCAGAGCGCTGAGTTGTTCGAGGTGAAGGTGGGCATCGTTGATGAACTTTGTGGCTTCCGATACCAAAGCCGCAAAATAAAGGTTGCGAAGCGAAGAAAACGCTCCAGCTTGCAGAACAGGTTGAAACGTTGGCAGTTTTGAAGTCGTGTTAAGACTCCCGCGGTCCCCCAAACAGCGGAGGTTGGGTAAACGTGAAGCCACGGAGACGATAGGTGCGGACAGAAACCGTGCAGGTACGGCGATAGTGGTGAGCGAAGTTAGCCCCGGTAAGAGTTGACATACGAATGTATCCCAGAACGGGGTTGATATTTTTGTGGTCGACAGGCTGAGCTTACTGATATTTGGCATTGACTCGATTATCTGTTCGGCCTTGGAAGTGGCGATGTCATCTGCCTCACGTCCATTGTGAGAGTCGATGGAAATGGTGAGTTTCGTGATGGTGGAAGACGTGAATGTAGGCGATAGGAAGGGGCTATCCCAGCGCACAGAAAGGGTCCGTAGATTGCTGAAGATTGTCAGGGAGGGTCGGGTGGCTGCAATTTCGTATAGAGCGTCCATTGAGAGCGGATGACTTGATTTACTGCAATCTAGGCTGCGAACACGGCTACAGTTCCTGAGGAATGGCGACCAGTGGATTTTTGTCAAGCTACATGGTAGGCCCTTTGGTGACACGGGTGAAAAAAGGCAAGGGCGTAGGGAAAGTTTCTAGTGGCGTACCCATTCACCGTGCCCATCTTCTTTCAAGGCACCAGCGAGAGAAATAATAAGATCTCCAACATCGATGATGTCCCTCCATAGACAATCCAATGCAATTGGCGACCACGTCTTGCAAACCTGGGCATTTCTTGCATTACTTTTGTGGGGCAAGAGGACAAATATCCCCATAAGGACCTCATGAATCGAAAGTGCTGGATGCATATTCTCGCCGGAACACGCTTCGGGATACACAAATTATTCGTGGATAGAAAATGCGAGGAAACTGTCATCGTACATACTGGTCGTGCTAAGTGCTACGCAAAGAACGGGTATTCAATGCGGGTCAAATGCGGGTACGCCGGGATTGGGTTGAAGTCGACGGGCGCCTGTCAAAGCATGGGTAAAGGTCAAGGGTGGAAGGTAAGTTTTACACGTCTATCCCAGTAGAACTGAGGCTCACACTGGATCTGTCCAAAATCAATTCTAAACTTCGAAGGCCGTCGAAGATGGGTGGTGGTTTATGGAGGACGCTAGCATCGGCAGGCACAGATTGAAATTCGGCATGATGCACGGCAAGAACCGGATTTGTCCCGCAGCTCATGTGGCGCGCCACTCTAAGTCCTGCACAGAGGTGACCTTGGCGTGTACTGACATCCCAATGTATGTACACATGAACTCCAGAAGTTTAAGCGAGTCACTCATCGGATAGCAGAGACATTTATTCATTTGGAACTCCCCTCAGTATCTCGAAGTTTCCGACCTGATGGTAAATAAAATAACAGAAAATGCAGGCGAAAGTCGTCGTAGAAGGGAGCGTACAGCCAGCTCGAGCTCTTTGCGTCGAGCGACTGTGTCAAACAGTAAAGAGCGTAGGAGTGCAAAAGAAGGTAGTAATGCTAGGAGTCAACCGAGCTAAAGAGATTTCACGACGAAAGCGGGGCGTGGTAAGAGAGAATACCGAGGAAGGTTTGGCGAGCGCTACAGCCAGAGGTGTCGTGCGATCATGTAAATAACTTAGTAGGTACCACCAGAGATCTACATTTCGAGCGACGCAAGGAGAAGACAGAATTTAGTGGTTGTATTGAATGTGTTGTGGAAAGATGCTTACAGTGGCATCATCCGAGTCGATGTCGCCTTCATCACCTCCAGAGGCCTCAAGGGCGCTCCAGTCCCAGGTGCCTGAGCAAGCACCACAGTTGACAGCGACGTTAACAGCGCCACTGTCGACGGTGACTTTGGTAGTATCACCGGTGAAGTTGACATCAGAGATGGGTCCTCCAGTACCAACGGTGCCAACGTCATCAGGGCTGGAGAAAGAGATATTAAGCGTCAATACGCTAAGGAGAAACTACAAGATATACATACTAAGACTGAGAGATCAGGACACCGTATTTGCTGATACCGGAGATGGTGTTACTGGTGGCACAATTCGTCAGTACGATGAGTCTGAATGCAAGAATACTACACTTACCCGGAGTAGGTGATACCGGAGACCGAAGCGTCGGTGGCGGCTGCTTTGACCTTGATTCTAGTACCGTACATGCTACGAGACATTTGTATTTTGAGACACACAATAATACGAAGAAGTAAAGAGTACGAACCTATTAGTAACCGTGTTGCCGGTGATCGTCACGTCGGAAACGCTCTTGTCGGAGCTAATTGAGCCAATGCTGATGCCTGGATCGACGACTGTCATGTTGGATTCTATGGAAATGTACAGGGTTAACATACCATGTCCACCAGAGCAGGTGTTGTTGGAGAAGGTGATACTGCCACCATCGTTAATAGCAATGCTACGAAGACACACGTCAGATCGTCGTCGGAAAAAGTGATAAATTCCGAGGAGCTCACCAATCGTCTTGATTCTTGACTGTGCAACCTGTGATAGTCACGTCCTCAGCAGAGACATCGAACCCATCCGTATTATGTCCGAGTTCGTCGACGTCACCATCGGCTAGAGTTGATGGGTATGAGCTCAGCTAGGCCGAAGGGACAACTTCAGGGGACATACAGTTATCGATAGTGACACCTTTGATGGTGGTAGTTCCATCGGTGCCGACTGAGACGGCCTGAGCAGGTGAGTTCAAGACGGTGAAGTCGGAGAAGGTGCCAGATCCCTTGATCCTGGAGCGAGAGCTGCATCAGTCGCCGAACTGAGTTAAAAGAGAGTGAATAACCTCACTTAATAAACGGGTGAGGTTTATCAACGCCACCGTTGGTGCCCTCACCGTCCCAGTACTCTGCACCTTGCCCATCGACAGTGTAACCATTGCCATTGAAGCTGTGGAGAGATATCAGCATTTGAAAGGGTTACTTGAGAGTGTTTAGCTACGCACGTTACATCATCGGTATCAATCGTGAATAATGGGCCATCAGCTGCAGAAGTTACACAAAACCCAAACATAAGCACCATATACCAACACAGAAGTATTCAGGATACTTGCAGGAGGTTTTCGAGAATGTGACATCTCCGCTCATCGTGATTGTGGCGCCAGAGGCCGCTGAGATAGTAACAGTGTCTATAAAGAGAATCAGTTCTGGGCATACAGAGAAGCTCTTGCCTGCATCAACGCACTTCCTGAGCTCACTGTGAAAGCTTCGATGACGACAGCAGAGCAATCCGACAAGTCTGAAGCGGTGTCGACGCTGTTGACTGTGCAAGTCGCCCGCTTGGCAGTACTGGTGCCACTGGGCAGAGAGAATGCAACGCCGGCCATGGCGGCGGTTTGAACGAACACACGGAGAGAGTGCATGCTGACGACTGAAGCGAAAACAAAGGAGTGAAAGATTGAAGGAAAGGGAAGGATGAGGATTGAATGATGTCGCAAACGAGAACACTGCGACCGAGCTTTATACCAGCGCAAAGCCTGGACAAAATCTTGAGCACATGTGTCAGATGAAAGTCGCGATGTCCACTAGAGCGATCAACGGAGCAAGTCGAAGGAATCCGACCTCACAACCGGAAGATGTTGTACTCAAGCCGCCAGGAACGTTAACATCAGACGAAACTGCGGGGTATACAGAACAACAAACATGGCTGCGCGCAAGCCGCGGCGCGAACTGAAGGCGCCAAGACAATCGGATGACGACATACATATAGAGCAAGTACTTTGAAAATATCACCTGTTGCTGAGATGGACCACTCAATACTAGAGAAGAATTATGGAAATGTTAATGCAGGAAGACTTAGCTTGGAAAACAAGGGAACGGACCAGTCCTAATGGACTGACATGTAAGCTCAGGAGTAAGTATCCGAAATCGACCCACCGCAGGCATATACGTCAAAGCGCCGGCTGGGAAACATCGCGAAGACAACGACGGCTAGACGATGACGATCACGCTGCAGTCTCTCCGCCTAGGAACGATCTCGGCACGATTGTGATCATTGAATACGACAATGAAATTTGTTCCGATAGACCCGCTCCTGACTCCGAAGGTTTTAGAGCCTCAAGCTGGTCTGTATGCGAGTGCACGCATACGCCAGGTTGCTACCCATTATTATCCTACAAGGCTGGATGAAATGCATAATTGCTGCAAAATATAATGAATAACTCACCTGCTAGAGATGCACAAGGTCCATGAGAGCTAGCTTCATTGAAGAAAATCGTCTGAGGAGAGGAAGACTGCCACGACGCTACTGCCCCTTTTCATGACCTTCCGAGTCGCACGACAACCAACAAAATGTACCTTCACCGAACAGGCATTCTCCGGAACGAAATGTTCAGTGAGGAACCCCCACATTGACCGTACGTTGTACTCATGGGCAACGATACATGTCATATCAAACTGCAAGCAATAAGTAGACGCAGGAATCCATGCCTCTGGAGGAAATCGTTGTGTCGACCCGGGTGCGGGTACCGTAGATTTTCTGCGTAAGCTTAAACACTCGTTTACTGCGTCTTAGCTGCGTCCGAATATCGACGCCTAGAGGGCGGTGAGGGGAAGTTCACAAGTGGACTTACGCCTGCAGAACACACTGAAGAACGCACGTGGAGAAATGACCCATGATCTCCCCGAATTCGGGGATTCGCACAAGCAATGCCCTCCGAGCTCCCGCACGGTGAGCATGCCGGATTCCCTCAAGAATTGCAGCAAAAGTGGACCTTCCGAGAATCGAACTCGGGACCCTTGCATGAACGATGCATTGTTAGGACAGCCTCATAAGTACAAAGCTCTACCGATTGAGCTAAAGGTCCGACCTCGAAATTCTCGAGTGAATATAACAGATTTGCAACAGTTGGACGACAAGGTACACACTCACAAGATATGGAGAAAGATCGTAAGCAGAAGTTACAGAGGTACAACAGCAATGCAGAGCGTGAGGCAACGAGAAGCGAAAGGAGACCAAAAAAATAAACAACGACGTGGCATATGGATATCTCGCAGGTTTCTGGCTACTGGGCCTGGGCCTCCTGCACAACCGTGCATTTCGTTAGTGACCGTGTCGTAAGTGTTATTTGCAAGAGCAGAAGACGAACCTGGTCCACGAACTCCATCGCCTCCTCCCGCTTGATCGACCGGATAGAGCTGACCTTCTGGTTATTGAACAATACACCGTAGAATTTGTCGGCAGTAACCAGCATCTCTGGTCGGAAGGTGGTTGTGATGAATTGTGCGGGACCTTCAGAAGACAAGGTCTGGATCATGGCTGATGAGAGTCAAGACCGGGGAGTAAGCCGTTAGTCACAAAGTAATCGTCTAAGGAGAAGCAAGGCCTACATGCAACAGCCGTACGATATTGGGCATCGAGGTTTGCGTCAATCTAGAAAGAGCGGCAGATCAGTTTGAATAGTCAAAGCCGAGTTTTTGAGGAACGCACCTCATCGAAGAGATAGAACGGCGCCGGATCACACTTTTGGATGGCGAAGACTATACAGGGGTCAGGAAGGAGCATCGATGCAAGAATCAGGAACACATACCGAGCGCAAGGGCCACCAGGGACTTCTGTCCGCCGGACAATTGCTGGATGCGCAATCCTTCATCAACCTTCGAATTGAAGGAGACCTAACGAAAGACACGTTGAACGTCAGTTGCCACAAGCTTGAGAAATACCACTGTTACACACCTTGATTGACACACCGGTATAGTTCTCGATGGTACTTTGCTGCGTATCTTCAGCCTCGTCTGCCTCATCTTCATCCTACATCGAAGTAAGTCCATGATTAAACAGCTCCTGCTTGAGCATAGTCGACTGGTGAAGAACGTACTTGATCAATCCTCTTCTGAATAATTAATTTCCCCTTGCCCGCAGGAACAAGCTTATCGAACACATCCTCAAAATTCTTCGCCACCTGTTTGAATGTCCTCTCGATCGCCTCGTCTTTCCTCTGATCAAGCACCTCAACGAGCTCCTCAATAGATTTTCCTGACTTCTCGAGGTCTTCTCGTCGTTTCAGTAGCTGGTCGCGCTGCTTCGTGAAGTTGGAATATTGTTCGAAGGCTTTCTTGTTGACGTGGGCGAACTTCTTGAGAGCCTCGTTGACGGTGTGGAGTTTCTTGACAAGCTATGTGCATGCCAAGGTTAGACCGTATATATACGAAGAGGGAAATTCGAAACCGTACTCTGTCCAGTCGTTCACGTGTGTACTTTTCGAAGGCTTCCTCAGGCAGGACACCAAGATCACGAATGTTACGGTTACACTCGTCTTTCCGACCAATAAGGAGTTGACGCTTTGCCATGTAACGCTCCGTGTTCTTCTGTTGCTTGCCCATCGCACGACTGTCTTCGGCCTGTTCGTTCTGTACTCTCTCGAGATCATTGCGAGCTTTCTGCAATGTGGCTGAGACCTTCTCCTGCTCGGCCTCCATATCTATACTACATGTCAGTACAGTAACGGTAGAAAAGGGTATGACAGGCCTCAGTGTGGTTACATACCTTGAACGCGCCTGGTGAGAGCGTCAATGGAAGTGTTGAGAGCTCGTAACTCTCGCTCACGAGCGTCGAGGTCTGCACCAGCATTGGCGTCGCCTGTCTCAGATTTGCCGAGAGCATCGATCTTAGTACGTAGTTCTTCTCGTCGGCGCCGGAGGTTATCGTTGATCTCGATGCTCAAGAGATTCTTCCTACTTCCAAGCTACGGCTCAAATGAATGAGTCGGCGGTCCGGAGCACAGAACACGAATGGACCTACTTCATTTTTCTTCTTTGATAAATCCACCATCTCTTTCTGCTTCCTCTCTACCTCCTTCTCCAACTCATCTACCATGTCCTCCTCCTCGTCCGTCAATCCGTTCGTCATCTCCTCCCCAATCTCCTCTCTATATCCTTCAATCCTCGCCCCCAACCCTGCAATCTCACTCTCCAACTCCTCCAACTCCTTCTCCAGCCTCGCAACTCTGCCTTCTAGTCTCTCCCTCTCTCTCCCCAATGTTTCCGCCTCCCCAGCTGCTCCTGTCCTCCCAGCCTTCACCTGATTCACCTGATTCGTAAGCACCTGTATCCTCCCCGAGAGCCTTGTAATCTCCTGATCCAACCTAATCGTCTCATCCTTGACCTCCTTACTCCTCTTCTCCTCCCCTTCAAACTTCGCCCTCCAACTCGTCACGCTCTTGATAGCCTCAATCCTCGATCTCCTCACATCATGATACCCACCAGTCAATGCTCCCTTCCTATCCACTTTATCTCCATCCAACGTGATGGTATTGATCCCATGCGACTTCACGTACGCAGCCGCGACGTTCAAGTCCTTGCACACGCACGTCTTGCCGAACACCTGTTGGAGCGCTTTGCTGTGTGTATTGGAGTATTTGAGTTTGGAGAGGAGAGGGATAGCATCGGAGGCGTTGGGCGCTTCCGGGTTCTTCGCTTTGAGACGGTTGAGGGGCATGAAGGTGACACGACCAGTCTTTTCGGAAAGCATGACGTCGAGGACGCGTTGAGCGGTGGCGTCATTATCGACTACGACGTGGAAGAGACTATGACGGATGATTCTTTGGTTAGGAGGGGAATGGAAGGGACCGAAGGGAGGAAACCCACCTATTACCGGCGGTGAGCTCGATGGCGATGTTGAACTTCTGGTCTGTGATTTCAAAAAGTCGGTAGAGAGGACCATACACGCCGTCGAGCTGGTGTCGGGCAGCGATGCTATCCACAGCCTTCAGACCCATGCCCGTATCCTGCACAGCCAAATCGTTAGCTGAAGCTGTAGCCCAAGACGATGACCACGAACCTTATCCATCATACTCGCCAGCGTCCTTTCTGCCGTCCTCAACTCATCCCTCGCATGCGTCTTGCTGGTCTCCAATTTCGCATCTTCCCTCCACAGATCCTTCCTCTTTTCCTTCAGCATCACACTCTCCTCCTGCGCCTTTCCCATCTCATCCATCAATTCCCTTACCCTCACCCTCGAATCCTCGCCCTTCTCCTCCAACCCCTTCAACTGCTCCTCCACTTCTCTCAACCCCGTCTTCGCTACCTCGAGTTCCTGTTTCGTGGTCTGCAACGCCTTTCCCTGGACAGTCCTATGCGCCTCGATGGACGCTATCTCCTGCTGCAAAAACCGATCCCTCTCAGCTCTCGTCCTAAACCTATCCAACCTCCCCCTCTTCGAATGCAAAGCCTGCAATCTCCCCCTCGCCTCGTCCAACGCCCTACGCTGTTCTGCTTCCTGAGCACGGTGTGCCTCCCAACGTGGTTGAAGGGCAGCGAGGTCGGATTCTTTGGAAGCGATGGATTCTTCGATGTGCGTGAGTTCGGACTGGAGAGTGGTGCGTTGGCCGCCGGCGCGTTGGTCTGCGGCACGGAGATCGGTGACAAGGCATTCGAGTTCGGTGCGTGTGCGGACGAGGTCATTTAGTTCGCTGGCTGAGCCGTGTTGCGTGAGTTTGAGCGTGCTCAGGGAATGTTTCGATTCGGAGATCGTCTTCTCAAGGCCCTGAAAGAACAACAAACTTCAACATAGCAACGGTTACGAAGTGGGAGAAGAACGTACCTGTATCCTCTGCTCCCGATCAGCAAACTGTTCTCTCCTCACATTCGCACCATGAACCTCGCCCCTCCTCTCCTCCTCAATCTCCTCCAACGCAGCCGCAACTTCCTCCAACTCCCTCTGATAAAGCGCATACTCCAAACACCGCCTATCCTTGTCCTTCTCCTGGAACTCTTTCAGCTCCTCCTTCTCCTCCTCGAGCTCTGTAAGACGCGTGTCGATGTAATCGAGCAGCTCGCTGATCTTGGACCGCTTGGCCTCGGTCTCGGACATGATGCGGAGGGATTCGGTACGGCGTTGTTCATAGACTTTGGTGCCGGCCACTTCTTTGAGAAGAGCGAGACGTTCGTGGTCTTTCGCATTAGTCAGGGCGGTGATCTGACGTGTATTATATATCAGTCAATAAGTGATCGTGTCACGGAGCAGAGAAACAGTAAAGGGAGACATACACGGCCTTGGGGGACGATATAGTATGGGTTCGATTTGCTGAACCCGGCACTCTCAAGAAGGTTCATGACGTCGGCTTTGCTTGCGCTCTTCTTGTCTAAACTGTATTCGTCCTTCTTCTGGCCGATTGTGCGTCGTAACACCAGCTCATCTTTCCCCGTTGGGAAACGATTGTCGGTATTATCGAAGACAATTTCAACTGCGGCGAGAACCAGGGAATGTATGGGATGGATGTACCAAGAGAATTGTCAGAATGGATTGTATGGACGAATAGAGAGAGATGGCGCACCATAGGCTGACATTGTGTTCTGCGTGGAGACACCTTCGTGGAGCAGTGCTGCCCGCTCTTCTCTGCTCATGGAGGTATATGCATCTGAGAGCACGAATCGGATGGCTAGAAAGGGTGATACTTGTGTCAGAAGATGGACACACACGTACATCATGTTCGAACAGGCATGGACGATGCGCTGAGCCACGAAGTTTCCTTGGTCTGCTTGAGGCACTATACAACGTCCAACCTTCGTCTACGTGATGAACGACTGCAACAAGCAAATATCCAGCAGAATTTTACCACGTTCCACAGCGTGTCACACTTCAAGCACCTGCGACGCCACAACTCGAAAAGCGAGGACAAGCCACACTCACCCGCAAAGAAGTTACTCTTCCCAGACCCATTCCTACCGACAACAACATTATGTTTCGGTGAGAACGGTTCAATCTGCGTCTGATCACGATCTGTAGGACGAAAGCAAATAATCAGCAACTGGAAAAAGGAGCAGAAAAGCGCGGCCTGGTCGTGGCACTGCACATACACGACCTGAACCCTTGAATCGTTAAGGTCTTGATATGCATAGCTTCCCCTTCCTGCAATGGAGCTATAATATAATTTTAGTTTCTTGAGCGTGCTAGATATGAGCAGAAACACAAGAAAGCTTACTGAAAGGTGAAGAGGTTGTGGTACAAGGCAAGTGTTCAACGCGCTCCGAAACGCGTCCAGTCGCGACTCGCGTCCCATTTCGAAATCAGATTTCAAAGTCCGCTCACGTGAAGAAATTGCCACGTTTTCAACGAGGACGAGCTATCATCAAGCTCATCCTTCAAACTTCATTTTTAGGCAGTCAACTAACCTATGGATTGCAGCTATGTATGTGGACTCTCAGCGGCGCTGCGCTCATCCAGTTCATCGAACGCAAGACTCTGCAAGGCTTGGTCAGATCCAGCTCTTGATAGCCTGTGGTGCCACATCGACGACTCGCTTGGCCACACTGTTTCTTTCGCTGGCCTCTATGAGATTGAACGAGCAGTCAAGCGAGCTTGTCGTTGTACTAGTACTGAACCGAGAACAGACACATATGAAGAATTTCGTGCATCCTCCCGCGTTGAGCAATTGCGCCACATCGACGCCGTCTTCGGTGTCTCGACATTCTTTCAAAGCTCTGACTATCGACGGAGGCGCTCTACCGGATTGAATCGATTCTCCCTGTACTCACCATTTTTTGTATGCTAGTCGTCACGCTATGTCAGTCCTATTGGGGTTGATACGAGAGACTTGCAAATCGGCATGCTGGATTTGGACCAAATTGGTGACGAGGCTACTGTTCTATGGGTCGCTCTAAACCTGGCTATTCGATATTTCTACTTAAACCAATCCTTTTCTCAGTCAGCTAACGACTCTCATTCTCATGAATTTGACGGCCGAAATTACGAACGACAACGATTCGAAGGCAATCGCGCTCTCTGCCTCAGCTTCGAGCTCTTAGCCTCACTTGTCGTACTGTCACTCTCACGCAGTCAATCGCTGTCCTATTCTCGCGCCCTCATACAACTAGCCAAATAAGTACTGCCTCCGTTTGGCTGCCTTGGAAACTCACCTGGTTACGGCGGCACTAAGCGCCTTCCTATTCAATCGCTGTGGCGCGAGTCGGGCGGAGGCTGGCGAAGATCAACTTCCGTTAATGTTTGCGCTGTTCAATGAAGCACTCGTCTTCCGAACCATTCCTTTCAGTCGCTGAGCATCACTTCTGGCTTGCGTACTGCGTTCTGGCTATGTTTTGAGTTCCCCGGTATCTGCTCTCCACGCCCGGAACTATCCCAGCACGCCTTTCTCTTTCCAGCGTCTTACTCGTGAAACACATATCCAGAGCCACAGACTATAGCGTTGGTATGGGACAGGATACGAGCGAGGCCATAGCCTAGCCAACATGTCGCAGAGGGGAAATTCGGAGACCGGTCATGCGAAGGAGAGAGATTGCCTCGAACCTACGCCTGTGGGATTTTGGAGCTCAGGCCTTGCAGACGTGAGGAAGCAAGTAGCGGGAAAGTGGCTCTCAACCAGTGCGTGAATTTATTACGTACCGAGGCTTCCCGTCTTGGCTCACTGTTTGCATGGAGCCATCAAACAGCGTTGATCTTGCTCGCTTTTATTATGGTGATACTCTCCCTCTGTGCGTTATCTGACTTTGCGCGAAATTCTACTCAATTCATCGCATCCCAATTCTAGACTGGGGTTCTCAGTTCAACACTGTCAAGAACTATCACCTCCTTAACGTATACATCGCGGACTTCGATGGCCAGGTTGAACCATATACATCCACTACGCCGATCATCGGACCCGCCGCCGTAACAGCTGCTCTTGGGCACCAGAACTCCAATTTCCCGACAAAACATATCACCAGATGCTTTCGACTACGATCCCATGCGCGTCTGTGTCGCAATTTACGATGAGCAGGCCTGGGCCACCCTCATCATCAACCCGAACGCTACAGCACTTGTGATGCAAGCAATTCAGCAAGGAAACGCATCGTATGGTCCTGCGGGGGCGTTTCCGTTGGTCATCGCGAGTGCGAGGGAGGACACAACAATCTATAGCTATGGTCAGCCGCTCGCCGAACTTCAAGTCCTATAAAGGTTACGGGGTTAATGTGTCCTGATCTAGTTTTGCCCGATTTAACGACAACGATGAACTTGATGATTGGTCAAGTGGGCCAGATGTGGGCAGGTTTGGCGTGAAGTATGGCGGCGGGAAATGATACGTTGCTCAACAACTTGCAAGCCGTGCCTCAAGCCCTCAGCCCTGCCGTTGGATTCTCCACCATCGATCTTCGGCCAGTCCTTCCGCCTGTCGCTACGCCTACCGTCTCGGTCGGCTTGATATGTGAGTCTCAGCCGAAGGTCTCCGCAAGTGTTAGGAAATTGACGGAATTGTGATCATATCCACAGATCTCATTATCACCTCATTCTTCGCCACAACCTTCTACATGCCCGTCCACCAGCTCTTCCTTAACACTTCCGCCGGCCATCCGCCTCTCAAAAAATGCCAATGGATGCTCTATCGCTATATCTCCTCCATCCCCGCCTACTTCCTTCTGTCTCTCGCGTACTCCCTCGTCTCCCTCGCTTTCCTCATTCCTTTCTCTCTCCCCTCTTACTCCCACACCTCCCCGCGTCCCGTGGGGTCAGGCCATTTCCTCAGAGTTCCCCTCCAGAGCGCCACACGGTATGGAAAGGGCAGTTTCGTCGTGTTCTGGATCTTGAACTGGGTGGGAATGACGGCTTTGGAGCTGGCGAGTGAGAATGTCGGGATGGCGGTAGGAATGCCTTGGATGGCGTTCTGGTTGATATTTTGGGTCATTAGTAATATGTGTACGAGTTTTTATACGATAACTTTAGCTCCCGGGTTTTATAAGTGGGGATACGCGTGGCCTCAGCATAACAGTACGTTCGCTTGCCTTTCTTTCTTTTGTGGGGATTCAGTATGAGCTTCATCTAATAGGTGCTTTAGAACCTTGATTTAATAGTCGTTCAGGCTACGGGAACCATCGTCTTTGATCGCAAATCCCACTGAGGCCGCAATCAATACCGCGTTGTTCCTACTCGCGTGCATGTTCTCTGGATGGAAGGCGGGGCAGTAGAGGAAGAAACAGGGGAAGGTCAAGGGGAGGGAGCGACCGTGATGAATCTGATGTGCAACAGTAGTATCAAGGTAGTATTCCACCCGGTTTGAGGCGGCACATCGCAAGACGTGTCCGCGGACGTACGAGTTCTTCCTCTGTCCCGGGCATGGATCGTGGCGTATGACGAGAAAATAAGTAGTGTAAATATATTGATGGCGGAACGAACAGACGATTTGCGGCATTTTCTGTATATAGTCTACGCGAGCAAGAAAAGGAAGATAAATATGCGTGTATATGACCACGCTCGTGGGTGGAGATAACGGAGGTGCCGATAGGAAACAAGAACGCGATTCGATCGGGGGAAACCGCTGCATCGATTTCAAGAGAGGCGACACGGAGACCTCCAAATGATAATGAGGTGGTCAGACATATATCGGTCTGGATTAGAAACCGCTTATGTGAAAGAAGCTGGTAGTACAGTTTCAAGCCACCTCCAACGCACAAGATGGGTTGGCAATAGTAATAGGCTCTCGTTGCATAGCCATCATTTCGATGGGCTCCGTGCCCGCTCCCTCGTAGACCTAATTGTGATAAGACATGTCAGGCTAGGTATCATGTAAGTGGGAACTGCACACTCACGACTGGGACAAGAGTTGTCAGAGGATCGCGTACTCTACTGATATTTGTGTCATTCCGGACAGCCCCGCCATCGAGCTCTGCGTCTTCAAAATCGTCATTCCATTGATCATAGTCGATGGGTTCGCCGATGTTACCAAGGAAGCGGTTTGGGCGATTCTGAGCGAATGAAGGCACGGGAAGTGGAGTGTCGGATGATGACAGCCCATAGCCTGGATTTCGAAAGCTTCGCAGGTTAAGGAATAAACGGTGGACCAAAATATTCGGTACACTGTTGTTCCATGCTGCAATGAGCTAACATTCAGAAACGGAAAACTGTCAAAATGATCGTACACAGAAAAGAATGGGGACAATATGGTGATAGATGGTGAACCGGCGAACTATGAGGAGGACGAAAACATGTCACAGCGAAAGTATAAATGAATTATAAGATTGTGCGGTCCTGACTCACATTTAAGTCAACTACACCAGCCTAAGGAAAATAAATGTGTTACATCTGGTGCAGGTAAGGGGCAAGCCATATATAAACTCACAATAAGAAGGGAGCCATTCGCAGCGGCGACTACGAACAAACCACTGTGAAGCGGGAATCAGAATGAGGTATATTTTTCCAGGGAGCAAGGATTATGACATGTAATAGAGAATTCCTGGTAGTAAGGAGCCCGTTGGTAAGTGGAAATTCATGATGATATCTTCAAAGGCATACCGTCTCGCAATATTGTCTGTGAGATGCTATTCTGTCCCAGTCTGCGCATCTCTCCAAGATGAGATGAAAGTTTCCTGAGCGTTAACAAAAGCATGATAGTGTCGAACGTGAGCGGAAGGGCTACGCCTGTGAGAATTTGTGTGACTGCTAATGCTGTCAACTCTGTATATCACGCAGGTGTGTGGCGACATCTCACTGCAACAGCCAGTACACACATCAGAATCAGAGATCACAGTGGCACTGGTTGTATGATACTTGTCTATGGAAAGGACGTACCCGTTTACAGCGGCAGTAGGATATACAAAGCCGCATCGAGATATTCCTGTGAGGATTGACCCTTTGGTGGAGAATGGAATCTCGATGGCAGCGAGCTGCGGAGAAACTTAACCTACTCGTCACAACACATGGTGAGATTAGTTTCTCACATAAATGTCAAGTGCCGATCTCGTCAGAATCAAAGCAGCAGTCAAGGCCAATACATAACGACTCCGGGAATATATGCTGTATACGCGCAAAGCAAGCAACGCTGCGAAAATGAGAGTCATGGTTATTAGCGCACCGACCGAGGTTTTGGATGTTTTAAATACAGCATACAGCTGGTGCTAGCCACGGTCAGAATCGTCAATGCATCCGAAATCTCGAGGGCAATACGGCAACTAGATCTTACAATCAGGAATTATTATCTTGACATAAATGATACAGAACTCACGAACTATCGCTTGCAGTCCCTGGAGTGCCGACGTATAATTGGATCATCTGGGATGCCAAAAAACCATACCTATTGATAATGAACAGAATTGAAGTTGCTGATCGTATGTTTCCTGCCCAAAGAACAACGATCTCGGTCGCGAATGTTTGAAGGTAATCAAGAGCCCAGAGCGCTGCATGATCCAAATTGACGCATGAGGTGAGTATGCTACTCTCAGCACTTCTGCTTGGGCTCCCCCGTCCTAGATGTACTAGAAGTAATGACGTACTGAATGCGGCTACAGTAGCATAATCGGAAATAAGCCTAGAACAAACCGACGTTAGGCACCGTCCACCACCGACAAAGTTAGAAGTCACATACCATATGGTTTCGGCTACAATAACCTTATGCAATATGGATGAATGAGGCATGGGAGGTTCGATAGATACAAGGCGCCTCAGTGGATCTTGTTTATATACGGTTGCAGATCCAGCGAAGGGCGTGGACGCCCGATGGCAGGAGATATCGAAAGAAGATGAGATGGCCGTCTGCTTAGACGATGGCAACCAACTGTCGTGCTTACTGAAAGGGTGCAACCCTCGTCTGTGAGACATTCGTAGACTAAGACACGATGAGTGATGATTGAGAATTCTGTGGTCTTTTGCGCATGGGTAGTGACAGGCCTGGACCGTCAGCCCATTATTGACGGTACTACAATCATGTCTTGCGGTTGAGACGCACCCGGCGCTTCGTAGAACAAGCAATAAGTACACCAATATGGGATGAACCAGTGTCCAAGACACCCATTCCTTTCTGGCAATCCATTCTTAGATCCGTGTCTTGGATAGGAAATGGGAAAGATGTAGGATCAGGGCATGCTAGTGCAATAGTGTGAGTCGACTCTGTGTGCATTCCCGGTGGCTTAGAAGCGGGATAAGAGGGATCATACCTAGGGCGCCTGCAGGCGGAAAAGTACGTGACTATAACTTAGTCACTCCATAGCCATTTTAAGCTCCTGGTCTGTATCTCGTCGACCACGCATCCCCTCTTGAACATCTTGACATCATCGCCACGGATTAATCACTACGAAGATACTACCATGCACTTGAAACGCTGTCGGGGGCAACCATCAGATCTATCCGTCGCTTCATCGCAGGTAGGCCGATGACCGAGCCTAAGGAAGCCTAGCGGGAGGACCTATGTTATACGCAGCATTATGAAAAGCATCATAATGAAGTTACCGTTCCAACGAGAGCGAGGAGTATCATATGATATCCGACACTCATCGTGAGATAGATCAGCCGCAGCGCAACGATAGAAACAAGATGAGTCCAACAGGGAAAGACAGGCAGGAGTCTATCACGACAGAAATGGACCGCAGATGAGATTTAAACGGATCATATGCTCCCTCGGCCGACTGCCTGGAAGGCTACGATCAGTACATAGGCTCTCATCTTCCTCTGGATACTGGCTCCTGTCGCTGTTGAATTTAGGTCTGCTTCTACCGTACGCGAAAAGCCTTCGCGAGCTCCCACACTTTGAAACGCATATATGGGGGGTATAAAGGTGAATAAAGGCGAGGTGGAAGCGTATACCGCCACTACCGTGCCCCATCAAGGCCTGACGAGTCTCGCTAAATCGATCTCCAAGGACAGGACTGGATTTAGGAGCTGGCGGCGCATCTACCCGCACGTGAAGTACCGTCTAAATCCGGCGATATCAGAAGCCTAAGGGCTGTATCTCGACATCTTCGAATCTTCGATCATCCCGAACGTCTCCCCCCTGCTTTCAGTTCACTTACCAGCTGGACCTTCAACACTGCAACTTAATCCCCGTGCAGATGCACGTCCCCGAGCGGGATGGTCAGTTTGATGGGTTCAGTGTCGGTGATCTGTGAGATATCTCCATATAATGATGCATCAACTTGAAAGTACGAATATGCGAATCCTGTTGCCCATGGGACATACCAACACTGCTGGCTATGATTCCCCTCTGCGGACCTCACAATTTTCTGCTATCGTTTTCGCCCATTCCCCCTCGTAACTCAGATCGCGATCAACATATCCGCCCTCAAAGCTCTCCATTGAGACCAACAAACTTGCTCCAAGTCTCCCTCTCTTCGACATCCCGACCTCCTCTTTCATAAGACTCCACCGACCCGTCCCGGGCTCAGCCTCTTTGGATCGGTCAGACCAATCAAAGACCAGAGCAGTTGGTCGATGATACCATGGACGAGTGTAGGTCGGTGATCGAGAAGCAGAGCAAGGGAGAGGCGAAGCGGGAGCTGTCATAAGTTCTTGTGCGGTCTCAACACGACTCACTCGTTGCGAGTTACCATAGTTCATCGTGGGGTCGGTTCTCGGTCAATTTATGATTGATTATAACCGATAAATAGGGCGCGCAGGGCAGATTCCGGCTGGCGAGAAGCGCCAGAGAGCCATCTTCAATAAGACACGGTCCTGGCTCCTTTTGCCCAGTGGAGAGATAACAAAACGTTAACAGACCACGATTTTTATGACTCGTACTTCAATGTAATATTTGTTGGCTTCCATACCCCAAACTCTTGCGAAATCGAAGCTGGAGGAACAAAGAAAGCCACTCACCCGAAGAAAATCGTCATTCTGTCTCAGACTCATTCTCGTTCACGACAGTACTATGTTCCGATGAGAACGAGTAGATAAGTGTCTGACAACGACGCATCTATGCCAACACCATGAATTGGATACGTACCTAAGGTTGCGAACCCGGATCGTGAGGGCCTTTATATGAAGCCTGTGCCTATGGTAGAGCTATCCTTATCGTTTATGCATTGCATATAATGGAGTGGGGATAGACCTTGGTGCAGGACTTTGCATGGACAATGCTCAGGAGATGTGGTTGAGAATAGAAAATCAATAATCGCGTTTGATGCGCAAGTCGCGCGATGGCAAATTCGCTCGTTCCGGTCCGTTGCGGACCGGAAAAGTTCTCGGTGATGTCAACCACGACGTCTCAATATTAGGTTAGTCACTTGTCGTTAGAGATATATCTTTCTTCTCGATTTGACCCTCTGCGCGCCAGCAACAATGTCTGATACCACGCCGAAGAAGCGTAAAGTGATTGCGGAAGGAAGATCTCCGAAGAAGAGAAGGACAGTGAAGACGGACAAGCCAGAGCCAGAGCCTGAAGAGGATTGGAGAGAGTCGGTCGTCCCAGAGGATGCAAAGGTGCGAACAATTCAAACCATATCACGACTTGATATTTATCTGAGTTTGTTTTTATGCCGCTGCTCGTATAGATTACAAAGACAGATGCGCTCGATCTCTACCGGTTGAAAGCCGAAGATTTACGTGGTCTGCACTATGTGCCCGACGTGTAAGCACCGTGCCTTTTGGGTTTTTTCGTCTCTGTTGGCCATGAGATTTCCTATCACTGATGCCATGTACGTGTATACCTTTACCGTAGGAACCTTATGGGTCTCAAATACTATCTCTACAAGGAAAGGGATGTAGAGCGTAAAGCGTGGGCGAAGCACGGGGGTCCGAAATGTTTCGAAGCATAGTCAGTTATGTTTCATTCACTATTTCGTTCTCCTTACAGGAAGACGTCCCTGGTGATTTTCAGTCATTGCTAACCATTCTCGATGTAGCCTTTCAAAGCTTCAAAAAACTTTCGAAGCCAACGCTAGACATCGAGGCATGCTTTTCAAACGTCCATCCTTCTATGCCTCGAATTTCACCGCGGGCCCCTCTCAATCCAACGCTCCTCCAGCCCTAGATCCTCTCTTGTCTCTCTCAGCTAAATTCCCTCCTTGGCTTTGGACTGCCTGCACCAATGCTCTCGACAGCCTAGAGGATGATCCAGAAAACGACATTCGCTTCACCACAACTTCGCGTCAAGCCTGCTTAAATTGCGCTCTCAAACAGCTTCCTACATATCCTTCCCGACCATCTGCAACACTTGGCCTGTCTCCGACATTGGAGCGTTTACGATCTGTGTTGGCCGAGGCTCCTTCACGGGACAGTCCGAAGGGGAAAGACGGATATCCGGAGGGCTTGCGGCTCAATGAGACGGACTATATTGACGGAGAAACGTTTTGGGAGTGGACGGAGAGCTACAGGGATAGGGTATTTGGAGCGCTTATTGCACTCATTGAAGAGCGGGGTGTAGGCGAGAATGGTTGGGAAAGTGTGAGATGGGAGGTATACGACAAGGTACGTTTCTCGCGTTTAGAAGGTCGCTGTCAGATTCTGCTGTGTCGCTGCGACGACGGCCCTCGTGATGGCTGATTGATCCAAATTTGACGATCCCAGCACAGTGAATGCCTTGAGCCCATTTCCTATCAACCACCATCTGAAGGCTACAAGTCCGGCTTATGGAAAGACTACGCCTATACTTGGCTTTTGGGAAAGACGCCAGCAGACCATTCAACCACATTTGGAGTTTGGCCAGGGCGAGCTAGTGAGGTCGGACGAAGGTACGATGAGTTATTGCCAGACAATGTCGAGGAGTGGGGTGGGAGGTATCCGAGGCTGAAGGTGGTTTAGGAGGAGTGGCCTTGTATTGAAGTGTATGGTGTACGATATGGCTCTGCTTTCCAGTTTGTAGTGGGTTATCGTGCTCTTTGTTTACTCTCTAGGCCTTCGAGATTCTGTACGTACATGTTAGCATAGTCATGAATATATATAGTGCCGAGCTCGGCTCGCGTCTCTGTGTACTTCTCCTTGGCTTGGTCGCACATCATTCGTCAAGACGAAACTCATTGACATTGTGACTGGGTGTCGGGTAAATGTGGGCCACAGACGCCACAATGATGGCGGAAGTTGAATGTTGAGCTCCGACCCCTTGGAGGCAAAAGGACGTTATTGTCGCCATGCTCTCTACACCTGCGTACCACTTTTGCGCCTATTCCTCGTTACACTCCAGCGGCTGAGCTACTCACAGAAGAAATAGTCCAGGGTGAGTGGAATGTCCTTCCGAATACTTACTGTACTTCACTCGCGAGGCAGTTGAATAAGTAGTTGATCTGTCGAGCTCGTTTGTGTCTCCTCAAAATATGCTCGGCGTGGGGCCCATTCGACGACAATATTTGCTCATTGCATGTGTATACTACTCTGGAATTGGAGATTCTGGTTTCATTGGGTCAAGCATCAGAGTACAGCTGCCCGTGCGGCGTGACCGTCCTTGTGTCGTCTCCCTCTACTACTATGGAGACAAGTGCAGCATCTCCTCGCCAATACTACTGCATCAGAACTCCTGGAAAACCCTGAACCGCCCTGACGCGGCCTGACCGGGTCTGACGCGACCTGGTTGAAGTTACGAGTTCCGAAACTGTCCGCGTCAGGGCGGTCAGGGCTTCTCAGGGCGGTCAGAGCGGCTTGCCACTTATCGTGGACAACGAGAATTCGAAAATAAAAATAACTAAATTGTAATGACTCCGAGAGAGTTGTGGTGGCACCGGGCAAGAGAGCAGAGTTCGTAAGAGGGAGATGAGTGTCAAAGGTCGAGGAGGTCCTAGGTCAATAGTAAAGAATTGTACGGAGTATGTAGAGAATAGTGGAAAACATTCTAATCGAGAGAAAGGACGGAGGCCGAGGAGGGCGAAGGTGGACCTCGGGAATTCTGTTGTGGCTCTAAAGAGCCATCGCGGGTGATTGGCAGAGAAATAATCTCGAGTCCGTCGACCTCGAGAGTCAACGCGCTCGTATCAACACTCGGTGGGCCACTTAGATCATCGTCGTCATAAAACAAGCCTCCCGGAAACCCATATTCCTCACCAAGATCCTCTGCCTTTACCGTGATATCTCCGCCACCCGCATGCACTCTCTCCTCAGTGTCGTCGTCACCATCATGCATATTCACATCACTGCCATCACTCTCTACATCTCTCCTTTTCACCCACCCATCTTCAACCTCTCCGACGTCATCTTCATCGGGCTCGGCGTCGCTACTCGGCTCTATCACGACTGCGGCCTTGTGAGTCGATGCCTTCATACGATCTGGGATGGACTTGGAAGGGGGTTCGGGTGCCGAAAGCCGCTCGAAAGCCGTCTGGATGAGATCGTCGAAGCGATGCGGCTTGTCGACAAGAGCCTGGATGCTCGGACCGTTAGCATACTGCTCTACAAGGTCGCTTACATTCTGTTTCGAGAATGGAGGGTAAGCGTCAGGCTTGACTCCCGGAAGCCAAGCTTCAAAACAGCGTTGCACCTAGCGGAACATGGAGGGTTAGCGCAAGGGTCAGTAAGAGAGTTTAAGTGACGGATGTTGCACGTACGGCTGCACAAGATAAAGCTAAGGCCCCAGTTGGGTACTTATCCGTGTACGGCCGGGCAGAGCCCTTGATGTTCTTGAGGTGAGTGGCTAATGCCTCTACGATGTACTCGGAGCGCAGAGAACCTCGCGCACGTTTATCCTGTACAAGCACGTATAAGTAAATGGTGAGAATGTATGGGCGGAAGACAGCAAGAGGGAACATTGAGGCGTTATTACGTCAATTACGCACCTCGGTACCAGGAGCTGACCAGTATGCTGCCCCACTGTCCGGCGAAAGAGCGTTGCGTACCCAGACCTTCATTTTCTCGGTACCCAACTCATCAAGCACTTCGCCCAAGTTCTTGTTGGCCAGCTCGGTAGCGGCAAGGTAGAAGTGTTCGCGCCACTCGTATATGGCCTGCCGGCACTACGTTCAACACCAATTAGTACGTAAAGCGCACGAGGAGGTTCAACGATGGGTCATGGAGAGATCATAGTTGAACTTACTCGGCGATATACTTTGTCGCTAGTCGAAGTCACCTTGAAGTCCGCTTCGCTAGGTACGGCATTACGGACTGCAGCTTCGACGTCGGCAACAAACCGACAGTCATTTCCCTGACCGAGCTTCCACGGACGACTGTCTTCACCGTATGTGTCGCAGATGGTCGCCCTCAGCTTCCACCAATTATCTTGTGCCCACTGTGGCATAGTCTCCAAAGCGAGAGACTCTTTCGCTGAAACAACCGACTTCGGGCGACGATCGCTCTTGTTCTTCTTGGCCTTCGACTCTGTCTTGGGCTTGAGAGTGTCGTTGTCTACTTCGAGGATGTTGACCTGAAACTGATACAGGATATCGTCGGTGAGGTGAGCAATGTGAAAAGTCGTGATTCACGTACCTGATCAAGCCCGGATGTACCTCCGGGAAACCTCTCGACTGCCTCATCCTCGATCCCAGATTCCTTCTCTCTGAGCGCACCATCTTTATCGTCATCCTCCGACTCTTCAACTGCCCTCGCCTTTCCCTTTGTGCCCTTCGCCTTCTCTTTCGCCGGTTTCTTATCCTTCGCTTTGCTTGCCGACCCTGTCTTGCTTGTCAATGGGGTTGCTGCACCTAGGTGGTTGTCTCGCTGAAGAGGCTGTATATTCAGACGCCAGTCGCTATTGAGGGTCTTCTTAGGCTGAGTCGTGGCCGATGGGTTACTGCGTGGACGATTCGTTGGCGTAGAGCTGTCGTTGACGGTAAGCAAACATAACAGACAAGATCAACGAACGGACTGACGACGGAGTCTTCGGCGCATCGACACCATCTTCCCTCTGTCGATACTCGGAGATGTCGGTGAGGAAGTTCTGCGTACGCAACTTTTTCTTCTCAGTGGCGGTCAACGGGGCCTGTGACGAGCATTGAAAGTAAGAGAGTCAGTCAGGAGAGAGAGCGCGCGCGCGGTGAAGGTCAACAAAAAACGCACGGTTTGAGCGCTTGTGGAATCCTTTCGCACGCCGGCGTGAGCGTCGAACCCTCCGTTAAACGCTCGCACCTCGACATTCCCACCAAACGGCAGCCTGCTCTTCTCGTCTCGCTCCCTCATCTCTCGCTCACTCGCATTCATTGCAGCTGCGATCTTCATCTTCCCAGTCTCCTCCTTCTTTTTCTTCTCTAGCTGCTCTGCTTTCTTCGTCTCTTTCTTCACCTCGCCTTCAGCTCGTCTCCCTGCCGCCCTCGCTGCAATCTCCTCTCGCGGCTCGTAAAGCTTCGTCAACACGCCAGGCCGTAATGCGGGATGCTCGTTATTTGACGAGCGAGTCCGCTTGCTTGCGCCAGCAGAATGATTAGGAGCCTGACCTGCAGGCTCAACTTGGCCGTCGTCATCTGTGGTGCGTGGTTTTTTCGTTGTAGCGTTTGTGGTCGCAGTGCTTGGCTGAGTGGCTGGGTTTGGAGGTTCTACTTGGGACACTCCTCGCTTGCGGTTGACTCGAGGGCTAGCGGACGCAGCCAGACGTTTGTCAGAAGAAGCAGTATCAGTCGGAGCTGTGTTTGACGTGGAGCGCAGAGACTGGAGACGAGCAGACATGGTGATTCGACTAGGAATACTTGATGGTGCGTCGTTATACGTGTCAGCCTTCGTCTCCTTTGCGCGTTGCTAGTGTGAACCTTAATGTGACGGGCTGTATAGTTACCGCCGCCAACAAGCCGCCACTCGCCATAAGGCTTTCAACTCCGCAACGGCTTCGTTCAGTTTATCATCGGTGCCTCACTGGCTTGTCGATGTCGCCTTGAACCTCCGCAAAACGTTACCTTTCCGCTCCCTCGGCCATGGGTTTCTATTGCCGCCTATGCCTCTCTTCATACCCCACCAGACGCTCGTTTCAGCAACATCACATTCGTTATCATCGACATCCCAAACCAGATCCGCCACAGTCCACCATTTTCCGCCACCCGCTCATCAATGGTAAGCAACTTTCTGCCCTAATCTTGGTCTCTGCACATTTTCTAACGTCACATTTCTAGCCCTTCCCTGCGATGCCGATGGTGTATTCTTACCACCAGACACCGCCCCACCAGCCCAAGATCTAGCGCCAAACTGGGCCCCGTTCTACGACAAACCTTCGTTTGAGTTCTGTGAGCTCAAATTTGAGAAGACAAAGACCGCCATAGACGACATCAACGCCCTTCTTCGTATCTTGCGCGAGAAGAACCAGGTCGACGGCAATAACAACCCCGCCATATTTGACGACCACGACCATTTCCTGGAGTTCATCGATGCGATCCCATATGGCGAGGCGACCTGGCATACGTTCGCCATTCGCTACACCGGCCCCGTCCTTGATAACTCGCCGTCCTGGAAGCGTCGAACGTTTATCATTCACACTCGCGATCCGAAAGTTGTCTTCTCAAACATGATTTCCAGCCCCGAATTTGTGAAGAGATGGGATTACGAGGCCTATCAGGAGTAAGTACCACTTATCGCAATCGTCTGCATCTTCTGTCCATATTTCTCAAGCCTCTTCTTGTTATTTACAGATTTACCAACCCCCAGAACCGACGGTATTCGAACTTCATGTCCGGCCAGTGGGCCTGGGACGAATGTGTACGTTCCTCATCTGGTTTTCTAACAATGCTCACCTTTCAAAACTTACGGTCTCTCAGGACGAGATCGCAAAGGACCCGGCAACACACGGTTCCATGCTTGTCCCGATCATCCTTGGTGCCGACAAGACAGTAGTCTCGGTCGCTACTGGCAACCAAGAGTTCCATCCTCTATACGCATCGGTCGGGAACGTTCAGAATGATGTTCGTAGGGCGCACGGAGAGGCCGTCGTGCCTATAGCGTTTCTGGCGGTCCCGAAGAGTACGTCAACTATATATCCTTTTCTTCTTCTCTATCTATTTTTACTGTGTCTCATCCGAAATTCCCTATGCATCTAGCTGCCCGAGGAGAAAGTGACACGGCGGAGTTCCGTGTCTTTAAGAAGCGGCTATATCACGCTGCGATTGCCCATATACTCTCACCACTGAGAGATGCAATGTCACGTCCGATTGTCATGCAGTGCTGTGACGGGCACTACCGCCGTGTTATATTCAGTATCGGGCCTTTCATCGCAGACTACCCGGAGCAAGTGGATCTTGCAGGCATTGTACAGGGCTGGTGCCCTAAGTGAGTCTTTACTACATCCGTTGTGGCCCGGATTCGGCTCATAAGATATTCTATTTACAGATGTCTCGAACGTCCACCGCTGGAGGGTACTGGCTGCCCGCGGTCTCGCGAACATCGAGCTGCTGCACGGGACGCGTTCGCTCACGATGCTGGGATATTGTGGGATGCACTTGGTATTGTGGCTGGTGTCACGGTACGTCGCAATACTGCTGTTATCTTTCTTGCCCTTACGCTGGTTCATTAGCCTTTCACCGATCATTTCCCGCGTGCCGATATCCACAAGCTCCTGTCACCCGATCTTCTCCATCAAATGATCAAAGGAACCTTCAAAGATCATCTCGTCGAATGGGTTCATCAATACATCAAAGGTCACCATTCTTCGGCGGACGCAGAGCGCATCATGGACGACATCGACAGAAAGTACGTCTATTTCTACTGAATATGCCTTCCGATTTTCTGTCTAATCTTTGCCTATGCTAGAATCTCTTCTGTTCCGGCTTTCCCAGGGATCCGACGATTTGCAGAAGGTCGAAATTATGAGAGGTGGACGGGTGACGACACAAAAGCACTTATGAAGGTATGTCCCGTCGAGATTCACATCCATCAATATACAATCTCATGCTACGGCGATAGGTCTTCATACCGGCGATCCGTGGTCATGTACCTGACAAGATGGTACAGGCTATCGCCACGTTTATGGATTTCTGTTACATGGCCCGTCGTACGTCTCACGACACGGCTTCTCTCACCGCCATGAACGATACCCTTCGGCGCTTTCTCGACCTCCGTTCCGTCTTTGTCGAAACCGGGGTTCGTGTTGATTTCGCGCTGCCGCGCCAGCACGCTCTGCTCCACTACGTGTATGGTATCACCCTATTCGGTTCACCGTATGGATTGTGCTCCTCCATCACGGAGTCGAAGCACATCGCGGCGGTCAAGGATCCGTGGAGGCGGTCAAATAGGGACGAACCTCTCGTCCAGATTCTCCAGACCAACACCAGGATGTCCAAACTTGCTGCTGCACGAGCCGAATATGGACGGCGTGGAATGTTACCTGTCACAATACATGGCAAACTCCTCGCAGATCTTGACGGGGAAGATGATCGTGATGTCGCTGATGTGGCGGGGCCGTACTCTGCGTTGGTGGTGTCACTGGGAAAGAAACCAGGTAAGCATGATCTTATCTCTCTGCTTGTTATTGTCGATTGCTTATTGTTCACATTGCAGTTCGCACTACAGATCTTGAAGATCTTGCTACCGAACTCAATCGACCGCTGGACGAGTTTCGATTACTGATCCGACGCTATCTTTATACACAGATCTTCCCTGACGAGGATCTGCCGGTTGCCGATGTCGACACCGACGACCTTCCATTCCTTTCCAACTACACGAATATCGGCATCTTCAAATGTGCACGAACAGCATTCTATGCTCCCAGCGAGGAGGCGGGACCTTGGGGCATGCACGCAGAGGTGATTCGGTGTAATCCGTCTTGGTACAGACAGTACGAACGCCGGGACACGATGCTCGTGCAGACTGGTGATGAGGGTGATGTGATGGGCGGTATGTTGGTAGCGCGCGTTGTGCGCTTCGTTAGAATCAAGTACGGGGATATCGAGTATCCTTCCGCTTTTGTTGAATGGTTCCTTCCTGTAGATGATCAACCTGATGCTGTTACGGGGATGTGGATTTTAGAACCGGAAGTCGACGCCACCGGTCGTCGTACACTGGACATTATCTCCCTAGACTCGGTTTTCCGTTCTTGCCATCTTATTGGAGTTATGGGGGCGGAATTTTTACCTATAGACTTCGACTTCTCCTTCTCTCACGACGCTTTCGATTCTTTCTACTTAAACCGCTACAGTGATTACCATATGCACGAGTGTGGCCCTTTGTAGCCCCCATCCACAATGTTCAGACTCCGAACTGGTATCAATAATTTAATTAACTTATCAATGGTCTTATCCGAGGTCTTGTCAGCGAGCACTTGCCCTGATGAGCCTGACGGCCCTGACAAGCCCTGACGACAACCTGAACCGGCGGGAGCACCAACTAGACGACGGTCAGGGCGGCTCAGACCGGCTCAGACCGGCTCAGGGTTTTCCAAGAGTTCTGATGTGTGCCGCACGATGGTGTAATATCTTGGTGTAATATTTATCTAAATTTTACCCCAAGATTCGCATTTCTAGTTCCTTCTTGAACAGAGGTTGATAGCCATGCAGATTGATGCGAAGCCGCCGGTCGACACGCAAATCTAGTTTCCAGTCTCCAGTGCATGCAGTTTTGCCACATACCCTTGCATTCCTCATCCTATGATTGACTTTCGTTTCTTTTCCGTAGATTCAGCTTTCAACGCCGACGATCAATTCCAAGTTCTTCTAACCACGTACTCTGAGCTCATCGTGAGTCGCCAGTGCACACTGTATCATCTTCGTCGTGTCGTTTACCGTCAAACGAGACCTCACACCCGTCCCCCAGGAATATGCATCGGGTGCTTTCAATCCCCGAAGTACTCTTGCAGATATTTGCTCTATTATCACCCTCGTCCAATGCGTCAAATGCCAGGGTCTGCAAAGCCTGGTCAGGTCCGGCACTCCATACTACATGGCGCTGTATCGAGGACGTGGCCACATTGTTTCGCTCGCTCGCACCTATGGTACTGAACAGCACAGAGACCGAACTCGTGAGTGCTTGCCAGCCCCATATGATCCTAGTACCGAAAACAATTGCATTCGAAGGATTTTGTGCGATCTCCCATGTTGAGCGACTGGACGGCTTTCATAGCAAACACTCGCCGTGTTCATCGCCTCAATCTTCGTTCAGGTTCCCGACTATCGACCGACGCAACATACCGCATCGCAACTACTCGTTCAGTGCTCGAGATCTTTCCCAACATTCGTTCGATCGACGCGTCATGTTTCGATGCGGTGTTCGACCCCTTGTTCTTCAGCACCTCGGTCAAGAAATTACGGCTTATCCTCCACAAAGAGCCTGGCGTAATGTTCAACATAGATGAATTGGCATGGAAGTTTGGAGAGATCACTGGCCGCATGCCAAACTTAGAAGGATTGACCCTGCTCTCCAACATCAAAAGCTACGATACCGTATCACCGTCCTTCAATCGGCTTCTAGAAGGCCTCCCGGGCCTTTTGAATGTCGATCTACCATCCAGAGCTATGGTATCCTCAACATTGGAAGTTTTGTCGCGCATGAAACAACTCCGCGCCATCGCCGTCGTCAATCGAGCACCCTCATTCTATGAACCACCGATTAGTTTGTCACCGGCATTGGCGAGCGGCTGTTTCCCGTCCTTGACCTCCATAAAAATTCAAGCAACTGTCTCCGACGCGACCCGACTCTTGCAAGATCTGAACTTCCCTTCTCATAATCTCATCGCTGTGACACTACATACCGCCCTTCCTATCCAGCATGTTCTGCCACAAGATCATCTTTCTCGCTTCATATCCATGGTCGTGGAGCGCTGCCTTGCGATCGAAGACCTGCGAACCATCTTAAACATCGGCAAAGAAAACGCACCCGATGTTTTGCCTCGCAGCCCAGTCATACGCTTCACCGACATTGTGCAGGTCCTTCAGCTACACAACTTGACAACACTAGTAGTCGATAATGCGACAGCCATCATCATGACGGACGCCGATGCTCAGGCTCTGGCCCACGCGCTACCAAACTTGAAGGTCCTCAACCTTACCCGCCGTGCCCTCGTCGCACATCCCTCCGAGCCGAGCCTCACTCTCCGCTCCCTCATACATTTCGCCAAGAAGTGTCCTGATCTACACTTCTTGGGGCTTTATCTTGATGCCTCGGCGAGCGTACCACCCCCTTCCGAAGCCATCGTACTCAAGAATCTTTGCATCCTGTACTTGGGATACTCCGTTATAGTATCGGTCAAGCCAGTTGTCTGGTTCCTCTTCCGCTCCCTTCCCATCCACTGCTGTCTCGGTGTTCTTGGTGACTATATAGAAGACTCGACTATGCTCCCTGAAGTGAGCACAACGGATCAGCATCGTGCATGGAGGGACGTACAGAAAGGTATATCGTGGGTTCAGGACAGTAGGGAAACATGGCGTGAGGAGGAAAAGTGTATGAAGAGCCGGGTTGAGATGTTGGAGAAGGAGGTTGCGGTGCTACGGTCGCAGACGAACGATAAAATCGAACGTTCATAGAGCTTGCATATTCACGGATTGGGTCGTCGTGAGGTCTTCGTGGTGAGTTGTGTTCTTTGTTATGCTATTGTCTTATTGATGTCCTCTTCGTTCGAGTCATCGTTCCGGCGTGATGCCGTTTCCTATTTTTGTTTAGCATTTACAATGAATTCATCTTCTCCTACGTCCTTGAATTGAGTAATGCAGATTATCCTGGTAACAGCGAAGGAGAGACGCGAGAATAGACGAGCTGCGCTGGCCTACCACTGCATATTAATGGACAATTTTCTCTTTATTTTCCGGGTCATTGGGCTTCAGAACATGTTCACCCCCGATCCTTCTTGCTCTGCCCGGTTCCTTTATCTGGAGAATCATATGTATGCGTCAGCGCGTACCGCTCCCACAGCACTGCTCTCTGATTTCTCATATTTTTGCTGCACTTCAGAACCGTAAAGCCTACTCGGCGACTGTCATGTCGGGCTTATACAGCCCGTCGGGGTCGGCCATGTCTCGTCAGTCCCCGCTCTCCTCGCCAACACTCCCACTAACACAGACAGCCTTTCTGTTGGTCAGCGTCGTACTTTGTCCCGCACGTATCCCGGATCGCAGGCTCTATCGCCAATAAGACGTATTAAGATACGAACGAGACTATCCGCCTGTCCAAAATGTCGCAGGACGAAAGCATGGAGACAGGTCAAAGAACAAGTAATCTTCCCGACCCTGTGCCGGTAGGATTCTTGGATTCGAGTCTGGGAGGGGTGAGGAAGCAAGTGCTCGTAAAGTAGCTTTTTACCAGTACGTGTAACTCCGCCGGTGTCAGAGCTTTCATTGTGACTTACGATTTCCGTTCAAATCTGGTCATTATGCAGCGTCAATACTCTTCGCCTATATCGTGGCTCTTCTCTCACTCTGTATGTATTTTCACGCCGAATCTCGAATTTCCTTTGACCCATCGCATACGAATCGTAGACTGGGGATCTCAGTTCCACACCTTGGAGCACTTTCACCTACTCAACATTTTCGTTGTGGACGGAAAAGTCGACCCTTATACGTCCACTACACCCATCGTCGGACCTGCAGCAGTCAAGGCCGCTCTCTCACACCAGGACTTCAACTTCCCGACGCTAACGTACCAGAACATGTCTCCGGCGGCGTTCAACCACGATCCCATGCGCGTTCGTGCAGCCATTTACGACGAACAGGCCTGGGCTGCTGTCATCATCAACGCAAACGCCACAGCGTTGGCTATGCTGGCTGTTCAACAGAAAAACACATCGTACGATCCAGCAGGCGCTTTTCAGCTGATTATAGTGAGCGCGAGGGAGGACACCACGATCGTTAGCTACGGCACGCAGCTCTCCATACTTTAAGTTCCCTGCAGTTCACGCAATTGACAGCCTGACGTTGAGTCTTGCCCGATTTAAGGGTCGACATAGAATTAATCACCAGTCAAGTTGGCCAAATGTGGGCGAGCGTGATGATGGATATGGCCGCGGATAACGATACATTTCTCGCCAATCTTCAAGCGGTTCCTCAAGCCCTGAGTCCTGCCATTGGATTATCCACCATCGACCTTCGACCGTTCTTACCACCTGGGGCTACACCAACCGTCTCCGTTGGATTAATCTGTACGTCCTACTTCAATTTATCTCAATAATGGATATGAGAATCGGAGCCTGACAAAATCGTGCTCATAGATCTTGTCATAACGTCCTCCTTTACCACGGCCTTCTATATGCCCGTCCATCAGCTTTTTTCTAGCACTTCTTCCGGACACCCACCTCTGAAGAAATCACAATGGGTGGTCTACCGCTGGATCTCCTCTATCACTGCCTACTTCCTCCTCTCTCTCGCGTATTTTCTGGTATCCCTCGCATTCCTTATCCCCTTCTCCCTCTCGTCATTCTCTCACACCTCAGCACCGCCCGAAGGCTCAGGCCACTTCCTCGGTATTCCGCTGCAAAGCGCAACTCGTTACGGTAAATCGGGCTTTGTCGTGTTCTGGATGTTGAACTGGGTCGGAATGGCGGCACTGGGACTGACGAGCGAGAACGTGGCGATGGTGGTGGGGATGCCCTGGAGGTTTTTCTGGTTGCCGTTTTGGGTTATAAGTAATGTGTGTACGAGCTTCTACTCCCTCACGCTGGTGCCAGGTTTCTACGGTTGAGGGTACGCCTGGCCATTGCACAACAGTACGTTCCATTCACTATTTGGTGATTGGTTGAGTCTCAAAAGGCGAGTACTGACTATCAGTGCACGTGCCGCTCAGTTGTTGAAGCCACGCGTACTATCGTCTTCGACCTCCACTCCCACCTAGGCCTCATCTTCGCATGGTGCGCGGTTAACGCGACGCTCTTTCCATTCGCTTCCATGTTTGCCGAATGGAGAGCCGAGCGACAGAAGAACAAGCAGGAGCAGGTGAAGGAGAAGCTATGACGAGGTGACTCAAGGATGGGCCGGAAACAAACACCATCTTAGGTTGGCTTGGATATCTTTACGGTCCTTGTCCAAAATACCGTTTATCCATTGACTTGGTTGGGCCACCTGTACGCGTCTTGCGTGTGCCCTTCAATTTCCTGATATTCTCCAGTGAGAAACACGAGCATTGCAGCGTGCAAAGGCTCATCAGTGAGCAGAAGAGCACTCGAACGGAGGAGATCTAAAGACAAGAGGAAATAATGTTCAGCACTTCGCCGCGAATCGACTCGGAGACTACCGAGTCCATTGAGGACGTTCGAAGTGTGGCGTGTGGCGTTAGCGAATACCTACCACATGAACCACTGGTCGAAGGATTTTCAGTTTTCAAGGCCACCACGTGTCCTATGTGAGTTGAGGTATCCAGTACTGAAGCCCTCCTCATCCGCAACATATCATACCGAAGTCCATATCTTCTATCACATACCGCGAACTCTGTCCTACTCCCTCTTCACGCCCCCAATCTCCATCGCCGGCTCATCCGCACATCCCCCATCCAGCTCCACGTCCTCCAACTCTCCCTTCCCCTCCTTCGCCTCCCTCCCCTTAACCTCCTCCGCATCCCTCTTCGCCTTCTCCCTGACCTCCCGTCCCGGCCGCTTCACCCGCGCCCAGATCCCCACATTCGGGTCCCGGATGAAGTTGACGGTGATCATGGGCCAGGATGGATGCGAGGGGAGGTTATCGTAGAATTCGGGGGCGAGGGCGCGGAGGGTAGGAAGACGGGTCCACGGGACTGAAGGGAAGTCGTGGTGCTCGTTGTGGTAGCCGACCTGTATATCATAGTCAGAGTCAGTTACAAGCCGAACAGCGGAGAGACGATGCGTAGTGTGACGAGAAAGTGAAGAGAGGAAATGAGGGAGCGTACATTATAAGCGAACCAGTTCAGCCAGCCATAATAACTATACGTCTCCTGATCCAACCCATCCCACACGTAATGCTCCGCAATAAAGTGTCCCGCGAGAGGATGCAGACTTCCCGCCCAGAAACTGCTCATTATGAAGTAAATCAGCATTCTCGTGCCTTCACCACCCGTCACGCCCAATCCAGCGCCCGTGGCTCCCATGAGATCTATGCCTCCGCCGCCTAGGACGCTCAGGCCGCCCGAAATCAACGGGTCGAGGGAAGAGAGGACGGTGGGGAAGTAGACGATGAGGAAGAAGTCGAATATAAGTTGGGTGGCGATGTTGATGCCGTGCCAGATGGAGGGTTTTTGTGACCGGACGAAGCCTGGACGGAGAGCGTAGAAGAGGATTTGGAAGGTGCTACGATGAAAATATAGAATGTGAGTACACATACTCATGATGCATGTAGCAGAAAGGAGAACGTACCAGAAGAAGACCTTTCCGAGGACGTTGTTGAGGAGGACGAGCTCTATCTGGGTCGGAAGGTCGGTATCCACACCGTCCTCGCCCTGGTACTTATGATGCTCTAGGTGGTATCCCTGTTCCATTTCACAGATGAGCTCCAGGTCTACATTTCAACTGGTTACTAGACCCAAGAGCCCACCTTGAACGTAACAGCATACGGAACTCCAATCGGCAGATTTGCGAATATCGCAAACATCTTATTCGCTTTAACGCCTTTGAATGCCAAATTATGCGTGATCTCATGTATAGCGAGGAATAAGTTATGGTTTGCTGTTCCGCCGACGATGTAAGCTGTGAGGAGGAATGGAATCGAGAGAGGATGGGTGTTGCGCAGAGCGAAGGCGATGGTGAATTGGAGTAGGACGACGAGGGTGACGACATATTTTGTGAGAGGTTCGTGACCCATCAGCTTTCGGACCTAGCGAGCGGGAGGGTGGTACGTTAGTCAACTGAGTAAAAAGTGAGTTTTGGGAGGACGGGACGAATAGTGATCGATAGGTTGTGGTGCCACATGAACGACGAGTGTGGCACCGCGTAAACTGACAACGACCATTGGTGAAAGAGTGCCTTGATAGTCGCGACCGTCATACAAAACAATAGGCCAAGACAGGTGTATGAGACCGGCAGCTTACGATAAACACGCACGACGGTTCCAATCGACGTCAGCACTCGATGCAGCTTGCAGTGCAGACTTCCCAACCGAATGTCATGCGTTCAAAGCAAAGCTCACCACGAGACTACAGAGCATAGTAGATGACGGCCGAGTATATCAACGCTAGAGCCAGCTACATTACAAGATGCGCGTAGAATGACTTTTGAACCTCTGACCGACACACGTTCGTCATACCACTGTTCGGTCTAATGCACGGCACACGCCATGCAGCAAGCACCACCATAACCAACACATTCCATCCACAACAGCGAAATAGTTCACTCACCTCCGGATGTTTCTTCATAATAGCCATCCTCCTCGACCTGTGCGGTTCCTCCGTCATGATCCATAAAAAGTCGCTCGTATCCCTCGGCGGAACGTTATACACATCTCCGGGATTGTTGGGGTTAGCGATTACTGTCCTTCGAGGACTTTTATAGTCTACGCCATTGATACGAGCAATCGACTCTTGTTTGGAGTTGGAATCATGTTGGACCTCGGTCTTGCAGAGCCCCGAGTTGAGGAGTTGTTTGCCCTCGTAGAGCGTCTCTGCGCCTCCGTAGAGACTGAAGTCTATGTTCCGAACAGGTAAGAGAAAACCCAGCAAATTTCGCGAAAAGTGCAAGCGCACCGACTTCATCTGGAATATTGGGGGATGGGGCCATCGCGAGGGATGGTGATGAGCGTCGGTTGAAAGGAGCTGAGGACCGTGAAGAGCTCCATGTCAGGCCATAATTATAAGTATATCGCTACGTGCTGTGCCTGGGTAAATGGCCGTATTACATAATTGACGCGTTGCCAAACCACGCGTTTTTATTTGTTCAGGCGCGTCGCGTCTCGAGTCCATTGCTTGCACTAGCTCCACGTACTTGCTCCTTCAGCACCGTCTCTCTCACTGTCTATTATTTTGTTATCTGGTATGGCTGTCGAGAGTACATCGGCGACAACGACGGCGGCGTCCAAGAGACCTCACGATGAGCTGCAGTATCTCAGCCTCATCCGCACCGTGCTCGAAACGGGCGAGACGCGTCCAGACCGTACGGGAACTGGCACCATTTCGCTTTTTGCCCCTCCAAATCTTCGCTTCTCGCTCACCGACTCTACTCTACCGCTCCTGACAACTAAGCGCACGTTCTTACGCGGTATTCTCGAAGAGCTTTTATGGTTCGTCAATGGTCGGACCGACTCCACTTTACTCTCGAATAAGGGAGTGAAGATCTGGGATGGGAATGGATCAAAGGAGTTCTTGGAGAAGAGGGGGCTGGGGCATCGGAGGGAGGGTGATTTGGGGCCCGTTTATGGGTTTCAGTGGCGACACTTTGGGGCGGAGTATGTGGATTGCGATGCAAGCTATGACGGGAAGGGAGTGGATCAGTTGCAGGAGGTCGTAAGGAAGATCAAAGAGGATCCTACAGATCGGAGGATTATTCTGAGTGCTTGGAATCCAGCTGGTATGTCGCGTGCGATACGTCCGCCTCTCTACCTCTTTGCTGTGCGACTAACTAACATGACTCTGTATGCAGATATACCGCAGATGGCGCTCCCGCCATGTCATCTCCTGTGTCAATTTTACGTTCATCTCCCGCAATCCGACTCGCCACCGGGCACGAAACCCAAACTCTCATGCCTTATGTATCAACGCTCCGCCGATCTCGGTCTCGGTATCCCCTTCAACATCGCCTCCTACGCTGTCCTCACACACATGATCGCACACCTCACCGACACCGATCCCCACGAACTTATCATCCAGCTCGGAGACGCGCACGTGTATAGAGATCACGTCGATGCGCTGAAGGTGCAATTAGAAAGGGAGCCGAAGGAGTTTCCGAAGTTGAGGTGGAAGCGGGGGAGGAGGGAGAGATTGGAGGACTTTGAGATGGAGGATTTCGAGGTGGTCGGGTATGAGAGTTGGCCGAGTATTCCGATGAAGATGAGCGTGTAGTCCAGGAATAGTGACGGGGCAGTGGAGAAATGACGGAGAACTCATGCCGTTGTACGTTTCGTATGTATCTCGTCCACAATCTGTTTCTGTAGTCTTCCATTTATGTTATCATGTTTGACCTCCCTTTGCTGTGCTCGTTGCCTTGCATCCTCCTCCTTGTTCAGGTTCGAATGGACGGTCTCTTGATGCAATCGTGTACAGATCCTGCGGTTGCTCTAAGTATACACGAGACGATCTCTCATGTTTCCCTGTGACGGTTTCATAACTTTGCGATGGTGTCCAGGACTATCAAGGTGAATGCGCCGGTGATGGTATACTTATCGTTCGCGAACCGGCTTGAAGCTAGAGCGAAGGGTTTTGATAACTGAACTAGAGCACACCAAATCTCGCTCGCGTCACGCCACGAGGCTGGCTCGCCCACCTTCTAACATCTCAACTTACACCTGCGGTGGTCCTGGCGCCACATAATTCTGAGGTACACCCACGGTGAGTCCATGTTACACGGTCATTCGATTCAGAGAAAGCCCCAGGATTAGACATACAGTAGGTGTCTTAGTGTCTATAGACCTCTCTCCCTCGACCAACGTGCATATTTTCTTTCTACGCCTTTGCTGCATGTCGCCATGAGCGTGAACTGATACCCCTCATTTCTTCTTCTTTTCTCCGCCGCACATATAGAAAGCGCTGAATGTCCGTATCGTTTGACTGACAGTTGGTTTGCCATGTTATATCTTCAAGTTTCCCCCTCAACTCTTGGTCGTGTATACGCAAACAACGGTGTGTATAGACCCCGCTTGACAGACGGCTGCGTACTACACAATATTTGTTTGTTGTATCCCTCTTCCCTCCCCTTTATTTCTTGGCATAGGCGCCTACGTGAAGTTCCGGTTCTGCCCAGCAAATTTTAATTTTGGATTTCTTGGTACTTCCCTCGCAATATATACATATTTTCGGAAGAACTCCATGCCTCCCTACTGGGGCTTGCGGGCCTCCAAGGCCACGATCACTGTGGCGGACACAATGCAAGTATATTCCCACTGTATTTCTAGAGAGATTCAGCGCATCAATTTCTGCCAAGGTGCATACCACATATAGTTTAGAAGGAAAAAGCAGTCAAGTTGTGAGACGTATGAATGCACTAACTCCGTCTGGGATGTTGGGTCGGTTGCAGCCTTGCAGGGAGTTCGAGGTGTGGCGAGCTTCAAGCTTACATAATTGACGCGCGTCGCAATCCTCGATTCCTCTTACAGCGCTCAGAAGATCTATTCGTCCTGACCTCCTTATGTCTACACTGTCGTACTGCTTTACTGCTCGCCGTAGCTGTCAGTTGTATATCTTTGTCGACTGAGGGATTTTATGACGGTCCGCAATACCGCAACCAAGTCCACATCAAGTCCACTTGGTGCGCTCAGGCTCGAAATAAGAAACGACAGCGCTGTAATCGGCCCCATCTCGCTCTTCGCCCCTGCTCACCGCCGCTTGACGCTTGTTGGCTGCTTCATATCACTTCCCGAAAAAGGACCCTTCGATGCGGTCCTCTACAAGGACTTCCAAAGCCCATCAATGGGTGTATCAACTCTATGTCACTGTTCTTCTCGAGGACGTAAAGATGTAGAAGCGAAAGAGGTCAACGGACCTACTCTGCTATACTTAGAGAGTGGTTGCCAGTCTGCTTCGGGACGAGGTACGAGTGGATCGGATGCAGGGCTGAGCGTTTTCGGCGCTTAAAATCCTACAGGTACGCCACTGTGGCATATGCGGTGCTAAGTATCAGTCTTTTCGTCCGAGTACAATATGCGGTTAATGCGTCCATGTATGTACTGGAGATACATGAAAGAACTCTCCCCCGCCCTATTATCTCGGCCAACTACGAATCCGACTCATCTCCTGACACGAAGCTCAAACTTGGGCCTCGTCTATCAATGCTTTGTCAACCTCGGTCCTGGTATCTCTTCTAATTTTGTCTCCTATGTCTTCTTGATTGTCCTTCTCACTAATGGCGGACCACCCAAAATAGCTATTCTGCTCGTGTACGTGCACGTGTAGTATAGGGACCTCAAAGGTATAGCTCGAGAGAGAGCCGAAGGAGTTTTCTAAGTTGAGCTGAGAGCACCAGTGTGGGAGAGGAGAAGAGGGGAGAAGTCGGAGCAGTTCGAGGTGGCGACGTATGAGTTGAACGAGTATTCAGGTGACCATGTGCGCATAGGGCCTCATCGTGATGTCGGACAGCCTTTTGAGAAGGCGAACATATGTAAGTACGTCTTTGGTCCGTTGGTATCTTATTTTCGTCGGGATTTCGAACTTTCCGACTGCTACTCAGCCGCTTCTATTGTTCCATAATAATAATAATAACAATTTTTCATTCTGTGATTCAGTGCTTTCTTTCGGAGCTTTTGGACACGTTGTCAGATAGTACGCGATGTCTATTTGCCACAGTTCAGCTCAGAGGCATAAGTAGTCAATAACGGCGGTACCGCTTTGTCGTTCAAGTTGGATACGGTGTCGAAATGACCATGAGGGGTGATGCGCACGCAATGAGCGCTCACCTAGCGAACGGTACGCTGTTCAGAATCCGGTTTACATTGATAGCACTGAGCAGAAAGTTTAAAATATGTCCAACTTTACGCCATGTCTGAAATCCAGGACTGGCACCGCTATTGACATTCGAGATGTCTCAGTCGAATTCTGTATCATGCACAGCCTGGATCATAAGTAGTTCCGGCAAAGTTCCATCCCCTGAACCCCTCTACGCTCCAACAACATCCGGCCAAGTAGAGATAAATACATTGTATCGCGTGGAGCGTATGTGCACCTAGCTCATAAAATCCTGCAGCAACCGTCACTATGTTGCACTTTTTGTGTGATAACACATCGTTATGCACTCTTACCGGTGATATTCGATTTCTTTTTCCGTCCATGCCGCTTTCTCGACCAGAATGTGGATCTTAACAAGAAGCAGATGCTTCAGTAGAGCTACACTGACTTCATCAAGTTATCGCCCTGTTGTGTTTGTTTCGTTACATGGGCGCATCGCGATTGACGCAATTTCAACAGTGGGTTCCCCTTTCAGGCCTGTTTACTAACTGTATAAGGTCCCAGAATATCCGTAACGACAATCATATCCCGCTATAGAGCCAAGCGCGCTACACGGGATGTTCTCGAAGCTTAAGGCGCGTTCTTCAGCGAATCACAGAATCGTCTCAGCGCCTGTTCACCTCTCCTATCATCAGATGATTTCATCCCTCTCCAGACATATATAGGGATAGTAAATCTCTCTCTTATTTTCACATCTCGCCATGTCAGATTCATCTATCTTGCAGGACATTATTGTGCAAAAAACCACGTGGTATGTAGCCTCTACCCCCGCAAAAGGTGCACCCAATATGACGCACGTTTTTCTTTGTTCAAGGCTCACCGTTAATCATGCCGAAGCGTCTGCATCTGGTCCGTCATCTATACACACCCACCCACATCTTATTACTAGTATCCCCAAGTCGAGCCGCTGAGCATGACTCACATATTTTCTCGAATCCCAATCAACCAGCGGTTTTAGTCCTCGACTATATTCAAACCTTACCGACTGAGATGGCTGTTCTATGGTCGAAGAATATACTATCGGGCACTTCAATTCTATTCGTCATTAATAGATATGGCTTCTTGACATGGTGGGAAATGTCTCTGTATGGGGAGATGCCTGGAACTGCCAGCTACCTTTCGTGAGTCCCGTCCGGTCATCTCTATAATGCACTTAATAAAATATGTATTGATCCCGGGATCCAGTTGCCATATTGTCGCCAATCTTCAAGCAGTATTATCAATCATAACAGTGGCTAGCACAAGCTGTACGTCCATGTAATCAATCGAGAAGTCACGAACCTGGCGCTTGCGCTGACTCCATGTATTAATCCCGTAGCGTTGATTGCTCTGCGCGTATACAGCATATATAATCAGAGTCGGAACGTGCTCTTCATTTCCGTTAGCCTGATTTTGACCCGGGCAGCCCTCGACATTTACGTGAGAGTCTAATGTCCCTTGAATATATCAGTGAACGTTGATGAGTTAATCCATTGCACAGGAGGCTGTCCTTGAGGTTATAACCTCCACCACGGGTTCAATCTTCGCAGGATTGTCTCGATGTGGTGTTTATTATCCTTCTGACATAAACAGGTGTGCTATTCTATACTTTAGTCTCATCCATCAAGAGCTGTGGGGATTACCACTGATGCGACTATTGATCGTCACAGTGAGGCAGCATCTCGTACATTGGAGTTACCTTAGATCTCACCACATCAGCAGCTCTACAGACATTTACAACAATAGTCTTGCCGCTCACCTTTGACACCATCATGCTTCTATTGACAGTTAGGAAAATTTACTCTCATGTCGGAGAGATGCGTAGACTAGGACAGACTACTATCTCACGGATAATCCTGCGCGATGGTGCGTGTTCCTATGAAGGTTGACTTATGACCACCGACTCACCGACGTGTTTTTGACCACTAGGAGTTCTCTATTACATGTCAGAATTTAATCCTCCATGAACTGTGACTCGTTTTCACATTGGCTTTGCAGAGGTATATTCTTGATTGCCGTTGCAAGTGGCTCTCTTCGGATTGTAAGTTCGTACACAGATCATGGTAGATAAGAATTTAATCTTCCACCCACAGGTAGGCGTCACTAATCCCAATGTGAGTTTGTGGTGCACGTCTGGAAGACTATTTTTTACCATCATCTTAACTTCTTATGTATGCATAGTTGTTTGGGCGGGTATTCGCCGGCATATTGACCCCGTTCTTCTCTGTGTATGTTAAATTTGACCTCTGTTTTCAAATGTCGGTTGATGGGGCTGCGGAAGTGTAGAATTCCTAATGTCTTGGTCAACCGTCTGTTCCTCAACCTCCGGAGCTATCAGAATCCAAGCTACGGATTGTCCTCCAGTGACACAACACTCCCCGCACCTGTGTTCGCTCAGAATCGCCCAAACCGCTTTCTGGGCAACATCGGAGAGCCTCTCGACTATGGGCAATGGGACGACGTTTTGGATGAAGAGGGTGTTGATGACGGAGCTGCTGAGAATAAACCGGAGCTCAATGACATACGGGACCCATTGACTACTCTTGTTCCAGTCGTGAGTGTTACATTGCTATCTACGAGATGACTGAGCTCAAACTGTCTGGATCTCCTTAGGTCTACGAAGGAGCCGGCGCAGAGAATATTGAGATGGTATTTATGCAACGAGACACTATGCCGTCTGTTGGACCATAGCGTGCAATAGAGACGACTTGAGACTTCAATCGGTATGTGCTTTGCTATCAAATCAGGGTCCACATTTTTCTAGCTACTTTATAATCATCTTGTATATTTGTAGGTCTCCTTGAATCAATATTTGCTGCATCAGCCTCTCCGACTCGATCCTGATGTTCTTTGCTGCGCCGCTACTACCCGTGAGCATGAGCGTGTATCTGTATCTCATTTCTTTGTATCTTCTTGCTCCTGTATACATAAACAGGGATGAATGTAAACTCTAGTTGACCGTTGATTGATACACATATAAACTCGTTTATTCTTGTCCACTTGGCTCTCGGGCTGTCCATCGGGACCATGTACCATTGCTTCCCTGATATGTGCACCGGTATAAAGCTGGAAACCAATAAAATGCCCTTATTTTGGCCATTTGACGAAATAGATTCAAGTGTCATATCTCTTAGTATTAACCTCGCAGTTCATCTTGCCGTGGCCCCCTCGACGAGTGGTTGCCGTCTTGATCAAAAGCAACCATGTTTTCTCTAGAACGTTTGAAGAATAAGTAATCTATAATTTTTCTAACATATTGGAAGACCGGGCGAACTGGGCAGGTTAGTACCTTCATACCCAAGTCGTCCGACATTGCCACACGCCACACTTCGTCTTCACCCGGCAGTTTCCGTGCGTATTTTCGGCGCCGCTGCAACTTCGATGAGCACTGTTTCAAATTTGACGACGTAGAACTGTTTTCTGTTGCCCTCCTGCGTCAGGCTCAGTTCCTCTTTCTTTCTCGATAACTGGTGAGTCTCATAGTAGCTACATGTAGCAGAGCTCATTCCTGTCCACTTCCGCGAACTCCTTTAGCTAGTAGCGGTTTAGGCTTGACCTCGACTCCGTCGTCCAACCGTCGTCGTCACGCCACGTCCTATCGAAACATTACCTTCCATAATCTGGGCCTCTAATTCTTAGGTTCTTAAAGCGAATCCTCTGGCCGAGTGCTTTTGTTTCTTTGGACTAGCAAACGTGCCAATCTTGTCCAAGCCACATAACCTCGCCTGAGGGTCTGACCGCCTTCGCCTTACTTTATGCCATGTCATTCGGTCCATTTATCAGAAACGCCGCCTGGAGTGGTCGCTGGGCTGCTCTATGTGCGACTACTATCATCTCACTCGATTACCTCTACCGTAGAGACCGCATATGGCTTGATAGCGACGAGTTAACTTGGCGGAAACATGAGTCACCGCGTCCATCTTGCACCCAGAGCTTTAGTAGACCTCCGTCGAGGCTTCAACAGAAGAAACCGGTTACGATATTCCCGGACAATCCTTCTTCTGTCGATGAAAGTCTTCGGATGCACGAAGAATCTTATACGCCTGGTATTGGTGGTATCTCCAGAATCGATATCGTCCAATTTGCATGGTAACTCACTATCTCACACGCATGCATTTTCTTTATCGATCGCCTTCCTACTTCCAAGCTGCTGACACTGACCGTTGATATTTTTAGTGCGGAACCAACGGAGGACGATTTTTCCACGATAATAGTACCCGTCCCATCCGGTCACTGGTCCTTCTTCGCATTATTTGACGGTCACGTCGGCTGGGAAACGAGCGCATGGCTGCGCGAAAACCTCATTCCAGCCCTGATTGGCTCTCTCTCGGACCTCTACACCGAACTCTCACCTTCCTCTGACTCCATTGCCTCTACTATAAAGTCTACATTTGTAGCGTTGGACGAAGACATATGCAACCTCCCTCTCATGCGCGTATTTTCTTCTCCGGTCAACAGAACACTTGCGACCAACCTCCTCGGCCCAGCCTATGCTGGCTCATGCGCTCTTCTCGCTTTCTACGATCCATCATCCCATTACCTCCACACAGCATTAACAGGCGACCTTCGCGCCGTCCTAGGTCGCATATCCTGCAACAATCCGCTCACGTACAAGGCCCTCCCTCTTACTCGAGACCAAAACGCCCACAATCCATCCGAATTGAGCCGTCTCAACGCTGCCCATCCAGGGGAAACCGTCGTCCAAGACGGACGCGTTCTCGGCTGGGGTGTCTCCCGTGCCTTCGGCGATGCTTTGATGAAATGGCCAATAGAAACCGCTCGGAAGTTGTATAAGGAGGGATGGATGGGAACACGACCTTACGGAAATGTGAAGACTCCGCCCTATTTTACTGCTGAGCCTGAGGTTGGGTGTATCGAGATCCAAGAGGGCAGCGGTGATTTTCTGGTGCTGGCTACGGACGGGTTTTGGGAGTGTTTGACGAATGAGGAAGCCGTGGGGTTGGTAGGCATGTGGAGCGATGGTCATCGAAAGAGGGGCTTGGACGAAGGCAGGAAGGAGGGTGGTGCAGATCTGGTGAGGGAGGAAGCGTGGAATGATGATCTGCCTGTGCATTGGTCCGACGGACAAGAGAAGGGGAAGGATGAGACGGTAAGATGGAGACAGTGGGGACTAGAGAAGAAGACGTTCGTGTTAGGGGATAGGGAGAATGCGGCAACACATCTCCTGAGGAACGCCCTGGGAGGGGCGGAGAATGATGTCACTTCTGCGTTGCTGAGTATGCGCCAGCCGAGGAAGAGATCTTATGTGTGAGATCTTTCGCTGTCTTTGGATTTGACTTAGGTATCCAATGGGCACTGACGCTTCTTCAACCAGGGACGATATCACAATCATGGTTGTATTCTTCGATTAGCGTACACGTACCGTCATCGCATCGTCGACGTCTATACGCAGGATGCATACTGTTCTGTTGGTGGTATTTCTTCGACTCCTCGGCGTGATTGCTTCATTGCTACCGCCAGAATGGTGCCGACGTACCGAAACCGTAAAGAACAGTGGCTCTCCGGTATGTCACTCATCCGATGACGAGGTACAGACCTTGGCGTTGGCTGTCGTCGTTCCTTCTCCTACCCGCAGGAGGATTTGTCAATTCCTACCACGCTACCGAGGCATTCTGATAACGCATATTCTGCAGCCGCATGTCCCATCGATTACAGTATACCATGAAAGATGTATTCGTCCGCCCTACCAACATCGCGGCTTCCGGTATATCATTGTCTGACCTTCGATGCGCTTCGTGTAATTGCATATTCTCAAGCCATATCGCGCACAGCGCATTCTGGTCGTGACTAGTTTCGAGCCTGAAATGCTGACTAGCCACTATCACAGTCAACATCGCCAGCTATACTTCAATACTCACAACAATAGGCCGTCGCACCTCAAAATCTCCGACGCAACTCGCACGTTTCAGGTTCACGGTGACTTGACAAGCCTGACACATTTCCGTGACGTCGGTGGCTCAACTGGTTCATATCTATCTCCCTGTTCTCAATGGTAGGCATGGGTGTTCCCGGGGAAACCATACACTGAGCGTCTTGCCTCTTGCCCCATATTGAACGCTATTCGGCGCAGCCGATATATACCGATCTGTCTTCGAGCGCTATACTCGTATCTCTGGTCACACCCCGGGCTTTCGCATCTTTCCCGCACAGTACGTGTTTCTTTGTCATCGCCTCATTACAGTGAACTATAATGGCTCACTCTTCCCAAGTACATAGCTCATGATGTCGAAGCCTACGATCGCGCGACCGCTCCAGAGCGAGTTGACAATGCTCCTTCTCGTTAAGCTCTACCGCAATATCTTCAGGATGCTGCACACGCCAGATCTCAAGCAGCTATGTCTTGTCTCGAAAACACTCCGAAAAGAAGCGGAGTCCATTCTTTACGAGACATGCTCAGTTCCGGATGGCATGCTCGATCTTTTCTGTCGCACGTTGGTCGAACACCCAGAGTTACGTCGCCATGTCCGTGTACTCTCGTGCACAATGATGGGCCACCGGGGCATCATCGAGCGAGACCACGATTCGGCCCTCATCTCACAGGGCTTAAAGAGCCTGCATAACCTACGCGATCTTACCATTTCCGGCTCGCTCTTCCCTATGGTGGCATGGACAATTTCCATCAACGACATCGATATCCTGCGAAGTGCCACCTTCAAACTAAAACGATTGTCATGTATCTTTGTATACGATGACCGCCTCATCGACTTTCTATCCTCACAACCATCCATCGAAACCTTTATCCACTCGTGGGGTGCAGACGCAGACAGTGGTCCGACGACGGAGACGCCACTCAAGGTCAAGAAGCTGAGCTGCGTACCACACATCCTGCAGACCATGCGCGTCACTCCAGCGCTCTCTCATCTCCGCCTCGAGTTCCGATATCTTACTGCATTGCAAGAGCACCAAGGAGCTCGATGTATACGACAGTTCGGCCACAACCTCGTCAGTCTTTGTGTCCTCCGTTATGCACATCCAGACGAGTACTTCCCCATGGCCCGCATCATCGCCTCCTTCGCGTCATACACACCCAATCTCAAGTTCCTTTCTATATTTGATGAATATATCGACCACGTACGTGTTAGAAATATACCACATCTTCCCCGCTTACACCCCTACGCAGTCTGCTACAGGGAATGCCCGACTTCACAAGTTGGTTGCATCGTACTTCAAGGACTTGCGCATCATGATATGGGCGCCTGCGTACGGCAGCAGCGGCCCCATAACCTACGAATCATCATCGGACGAGAGGGACGCGAGCGAATCCGAGAAAGGTCGCTTCTCCGTGGACGACAGTGATGTTGCAAGAACCGACGAAAAAATCCGTGCCTATGCCGCTTCATACATGCGATCCTGTCCTCGCCTCGAGGTGTTCTCGGCACAACGTTGGGGAACGCTGAGGGTATATCGAAGAGCTGAAGGAGGTATGGATGGATTGGAGGAGGCTAGTGTATTTCACGGTATGGATGAGGAATCCTGGGAGCTCTTCGACGATGCAGAAGACGTATGGGAATGCATAAATAATGGTGCGCTGAGTCGGTTCGCCATGAGGACACCGATTTCTGCGAGCGTCTTTGAGACAGCAAGGATCAAGGAGTACTTATGACAGTTTGATGGACAACGGTGAGAGGATTAGCCACTCATCTTTCCAGCGACTGAAAGTTATATGTTTCGCCCGTTCTAGTGCCTCGCGCTTGTTGTTTTCTCTGTGTTTCCTGTTCACAGTCCGATTTCGTTAGCGCAGAACGTTCATTCGAAATCACCCATCCCCTAATCTACCAGTTAATGGCAACTGTTTCCCTAGCTGCCTTGCGCCTGTCTCACTGAAGTGCTCTGGTGTACCGCTCGGGATGTTCGCAGCCCCGAATCCCGAGATCTGGTGGGTAACGGAGATGATTGAGGCCCGGAGAGTGGCTCTCACCATACGCGCATAGCCAATCCGATAAAAGCGTGAGCTTATCCCTGGGAGAGAGATCACACCATCCCCGGGTTATCGCCTCGCTATTACATGCCTTCCACGCCTCAAGTATGATGCCGCAAAGTTGGACAACCTCGTGTATGGTCATGAGTCTTGCTTCCTGGGCTCTGTTTCACCCTGAAACACTGTACGATGTCCTGCGGGCAGTGCAAAGTTCGCTCAGTATGGATCACGAGGCTGCACTTAGAGCAGAACATAACCAAGAACTCAGACCCAGCGACCAACGACGGTGATGATATGATCCGGCGCATACTTCCGCGCTCTAGTCAATAGTAATATGCATAGAATTAATGCACATCTTTTCGAGACGAGAACGAACCGGGCCGTCAGCAATTCACCTGAAAGGTAGTAAAAGCTGGGAATGACCCTCCCCCATCTGAACCCGTTCTGGAGTTGAGGATCGAGATCCGAAGTCAGGGAGTGCTTAGTTCTCATCTTGTTCTCATCGCACTCATCCAGAATAATGTAAATAGAGTCCAAAAGGACCGAGCGAGTTTGAGAAGTACTCGTATAGGCGTCATGACGAACAAGCACTATGATTGATTGCATGTCCGGTAGGCAGTGGGTAGCTGTGTGACGAACCTGAATCTCGCTGAATGCAGTGAGAATACCGCTATATCCCAGATACCAGTAAGCTGACCAGTCGCCAGGTAGACAGAGCGGGGGAGGCTTGGACGGGTCATTGACGATTTACATGATCGGGGGGAAGGGTTTGAGAAAATGTGTTCACTTGCGACGTGGGTCGGAATCGGAAGAGGTCGGAACGCGTGCGAAGAAATCACAGTGTCACTGATCACACTGATCATGAGCTAGTCTCTAACCAGACCTTATATAAGAAATCATTATATAAGGTCTGCTCCAATTTCTGGGACTTTGGCGGGGCGACCCCGAAAGACCATATAAGGAAATTTCTGGGTCGCGTCGGATCTCTCAGTTCGGTGCCACACGGCAAGGGTGGCACAGCGAAGTTGCGTAGGTTTTCGTTTCTGCTCCTGTATCCTTCCTGCCCGTGTGTATCAGATTCTCTGCCATCTTATTCTGCATCTTTACTCTGTATTTGTCGGACCGAATTTTTGATCATAACACTCTAAGATACATAGCTTTCAAACCGGCACATCTGCATGGTAAGCCACACCCCCACCTGATCAGTGGAACTCGTCAACAATCTCGTCCACAAAGAGCTTGGTAAACTGACATCCAAGAAAATTAACCTGCGTCTCAAGGTGTTCTCGACTCAGAAAGACAGATGTCAGCAAATGGCCGGCACAAACTGAGGTGGACGAGCGATGCCACAATAATCAGGGGCCAGGGGCCACAGTGGCGGAAAGAAGGTGAATCGCAAGCGTCGCTTACAGATAGGCCACCAAATATTATTCTCAAAGGATTACCATGATCCAGCGCAAACCATGAGCGCGATTTGGTGAATGTCATCGAGTGTATGAGCTCGGGAGAGTTGCAGTTAGCAGTGAGGCCGCCGCCATCTTACTACTTAGATATTTGTTGTAGAATGTATGCAGTGAGACATAATATATGAGATCTAGCTGTACATGGTTAGGGAAAACACAAGGGCACCTCTCCTCACAGTAAAGTAAGAACAAGAATGGACATGGGTCGAGACAAAGACACGAACTCTGTGAACGCCTCTTGCGCCCCCCCCACGGTTATCGCTTCGCTTAGATGAGATCAGGGCTTCCGCGTTATCATGAATTTCCATATATGGTCTTTGGGGGTCGCCCCGCCAAAACCTCCCAAATTGGACAAGACTAATCATGAGCCGCGATTTGCCGATTGCGATTTTCGCTACATAAGCAGTACGAAATTGCTAAGAAACGATTTCCCAGCTACTGTAAGTACTTGCAGTTCGTCTACAAATAAGTCGACCAGTCTTAGGGAGGATGCATCGTCTGGACAAAGAAAAATGGTCCGAGAAATCTTGGTCAAGGCATACGGCCTAAAACCGATGAGAAGTCGCGGAGACCCTAGTATCGTACATGACCTTGACATGACCTCTACATGTACTGCATAGAAGCTTTCTCTTGTGTCCATGTGGTTCTTCTTTCGAAAGCGACATGGGTCACTTGCTTGAACTCTACGCTTCTACCGATATCCACGGTCCGAAAGACCGGACTTGTTTTTGGCTTTTTTTTGACATTCAAGCTTCTCGGCACGGTATCGGCCTTCTTCGTATACTTATCACGACACCACACGAGCATTGTTCCTAGCCATCTCTTTCAATCGTGCGTACAGCTCACCCGAGATTCTCCCGTATGGAAGGATGAAGCTGAATACGCGCGAGCATGCATGTACAGGCTGCTTGGTTCAGCTCGTTCTATGTTTTTTCCGTCGTATCCTCAAACTCTCAGGCCAACAATATCTTCCGACCCTTCTCGACCCTGAAGAAAAATACAGATAGCATACCTTACGTATATGCCGTCACATTGGTTTCTCGGGATGAAGCTTACCCGTTCTCACGCACCTCCTTCTGTTCGCCCAAAGCAGACAGCCCTTTGTCGACTGAAAATCCCTCCAATCGGAGATTCCTATATAAATCCGCAGCTGCTACTTTCATATTATCCATCTCTCTTCAAACAACCACTACCACCCACAACCATCTCCACAACATGTCCGCCCCTCTTCCTGACCAAGGTCGTCTCCCGCCTTCCGTCTGCAGACCGCCCTCCAACGAAGAACATATGTTTCCTGACTTCGAGAACAGTGGACCAAAGGCTGTGGAAATCTTCGTCGTAGCTGACTCCCGTGGCTCCTCATCGCGCGACAACAAGTGGGTCCTGGCATGGGAGGTCGGCAGCGTCCATCGCAGAAACCGCGTGATTCCCGTACTCCGCCATCTCCTCATCGATACCGAAAATTGGCAGAACCCCCTCTACCCCGCCTATACCCAGCAGCAGCACGTATTCTGGGGTCCGTACACACAGGAGATGGGGCAGACCGTGCGCGGCGATTGCGAGTCGTACACGATTGCGGAAGTGAGCTGGCAGGGGAGGCAGGCCTTAGAGAGGGTAGCAATGCAAACTCCCGTCATGGCGTTGGACGGACGTTGGGACGGACAGGCCTGGGTGAAGGACCTATTGGACAGGGCGGTGAAAGCGAGAATTTTGACCGCAGGCCATTGCGCTCCAGCGATCCGTGCTGCTCAGGCGACAGACTGGTTAATAGGATAAATCGTACGTTCACTCCCCCATCGATGCCCCCCACCACGTTTCCCGAGCTCACTGCCTTCTTGTATTTTGACTTCTGCTAATGCTACCACAAGCTCTGCCGCGGCTACGCATCCTCGCCGCCTTCTCTACGTCTCAGAATCCTCGTCGATCATGATTCGCTGCTGCGACCGTATAAACTTTCTATCTTGGGCATTCTCTTTATGTATCACCAATCCGGTCTTGGCCCCGTAAAGCTATGTAACAACTCAAATTGAATTCTCATTTCATCTACATCTGTGTGCAGTGGTCATCACGGTAACAATTTGACGATTATGATCGACGCCTGGTTAGACATGCAGGACCTGACGCTGAGCGCTAGACTGTACCGTCATCGACCAGCTCGTATATTGTGTCTTCGGAGAGTCCCTTGTTGACCATCGCTCGCCGTGTCTGGCATGCAATCGCATGAAGGGGCGTTGCCGTAGCGCTTTGTAACAAAGGGGAGAGCATTGGCCGGCGGGTCTTGCCATGAGTCAGGCGCGCTTTCACAATGGACTAGGCCTTATCAGGACGAGAACAAAGAGAATGGCACGGCACGATCGTAAGACATGTTCTATGGTTGTGACGGCAATGCCTACCACTGTGCCATGGGTTCCGTAGGATCAAAACAAAGGGCGGAGGGGACACGTTGGCACTGCCAGAGACGTATAAAAGGACGCTCCAGTTGGGGCTCAGAAACAGCCAACGATCACACCCACATCCTCCTCTCACCCGCATCGAACGCAGTATTCCATTCGCATCCGCCATGAGCACACCATACTACGTCCCACCGGCTCCAAACCATCCCTACGAACCAGACTGTATCACCCTGTCCCACCTCACCGACCCTTTATCCGAAAAGTTCCCTGACACCGATTGCTCCTCGACCGTTTGGATAATAACATATGGTTCAGACAAGAAAGGGGCGAATATTTGGAAGCTCTGCTGGTATGTCGGTCATCACGTCGAGTCTCCCGGGGGGCCTCGCGTGGATCTATTCAGGCAAATTCATCTATATTCCTGCATGGAGACCAAGTATGGTACTGCCGAGCTGCTCAAGCCCTCGGAAGAGGACGACCAATACGAAATGCCCTTAACCTATCACGGCGCTAAGACGCACTCCCTCGTCGAGAACACTATATCCGGTCTTACACGGGAATACGTTTATGCTAGTGTTGGGGAAACGAGTTTGCAGGAAAGGAAAAAGCTGGAGGAGTTTGCGGAGGAGGAAGCGTTTAGTAAAGGGTCGGGAAATGGGTTGAGCCCGCAAGCATTCATCGTAGGTGTGCTCTATCGGGCACTGCAAGCACACATTCTAGCTCCAGAGGACGTAAGTAAAGCGGAGGGTATACTACATAGGCATGCTTTTCGGGCTTCCTGAATACAGTGAGTTTCAATCGTTCATCTTGACTCTTGAGCACGATAAAGGTGATGCTGATCCTTTACTCTCTGTTCAGTAGACTTTTATCCGGCCGGGTGTCAGAAGACACGTTCGACACAGTAAAGGCACCCACCGACGACGACACACCTTGTAGCATCACATCCGACATTTGATTTGATGACCCGGATTAACAATACCTATGATGCTCGCTTGGTGTTTGAATTGATTTTTCTCGCATGACAACTACTTCCTCAGCCCCGGGCCTTTGCGGTCGTAAGAGAGCTTTAGGCACAATGCTGCCACCCTCCCTTCGATTCTCGTGTGGCCGTTTTGTGAAGTGGTGGTCAGAGTTGGACTTCGGCCGTTGCGAAGCATTTGAGTGATGTGGCGCTTGTCACCGTGCGCACAAACATAGAAATCCGGTCAGAGAGATCACCCCGAAGGACACGACAATCTTTCTCTTGAACTATTCTTACTAGTTCAATCACTAGCAATGAATGAGAAAGTTACACGCTGGTCATAGATATGACTCAGTTCTGTATTTGATCTGCAGTTCAATATCCTGGATCGCTGAGCCCAAAACTGGCGCCGCAAAGGATTGACGACCGGAGAGCGGAAGGCGGCAAGACATAGTCAATACCACAGACTGATAACGAAAGCCGGAGGCGTACAGAATGACCTACATCTCAGAGCATCTGAATCTCCATCGATTCCGGAAGTGCCTGTACTGGGATAATGGGCGTATATTTGTCTGGTTGAGGCCCATTGATTCCGGGACACCAAGGAGTGTAGGATGTAGTCGCAGACTGATTCCACGTCGTACGCTTCACTTGGCCGTCTAACGGAGTCAGGGATGTGGTCATGGAAAGGTGAGTGGCGGAGTTTCTCTGCGAATACGTCACGGTCGGTGAGGAAGATGATCTGCAACGGCGAAAATTTCACAAGTTTAGAATATTCGAATTCCCTCCAGATGAGAAGAGTTTGGAATGGCTCACGATGTTAGTGAGCTTGAAATATTCCATGTTCACTATAGAATCGAACGTGTTGAATGTCTCCATGAGGACTGACTACAGATGACGAACTTGGTCAGTCCTACTCTCACAGTTATCCCCAAAACAAGCACTCACCACTGCCGCGTCGCCATCCTCCTGTTCCCTATAGCAGTCATAGTCGCTCAAGGAAACCATAAACACGATCGCCGTAACACGCGAGAACTGATGTATCCACTTCCTCTCGTCGGTCCGCGCGGCGCCGCCTGGATCAATGATACGGTAGGTCCTACCTCCACTCTCGAGGATCAGTTCCTCGACTTGCGAGGTCCGATGAAGGCACATCATGACATCCTCGTTAGTTGGGACGTAGTCTGGTGAGAATATACGGTCGAGGCTGTCAAGGTAATAGATGCGGCGACAGCGGAGCCGAAGGGAAATCCACGGGTGAGTGGATGGCTCTTGTCGTTGTGGATGTGGCGAACAGAAGTGCGAAGATCCGAATCGGCCCAAAGAGCACGAATGGACTCGGAGAGCTCGTCTGTGATTGTAGCAAGAGGGTTGTCTGGCAACGACAGCGACAGGACACGATCACGATGGATATCAAGCTTCGATGGCAAGACAACGTCATGGTCGGGCAAAGCAGCCACGATGGTGCGCATAGAGTAGGATATTGTCCGCAATATATGCGATGTGGATGAGGCGCGCCCCTGTTCTGTGTATGGTTCGGCTTGAATTATGCATTTGAACGCATCGAGCGGCCTGTGCTAATCAAGGAGGATACATCAGATGGACTTCGAGGCTGGAGGTGCGACCACACGATAGACTCACCCGCTTGCTCGTCGAGTCGTTTAAATCAAGTAGCAATAGGTCCGTCCTAGTACTGACATCTATCTTATCCTGCGCTATACGCGAATCTATCTCCTGAGAGCCTGCGAAATGAGCTATCGGTCAAAAGCAATACTTGGGTAACTGAGATGGCACAACGGACGTAGAAGGGCAGCCTCTGCAGCTCGCGCTTTAGAAGAAGCTCGTAAGTTGAACATGGGCATGCTCTATTCCTCGTACTGACAGACCGGACGTCTATGAATTGTTGGAGTCAGTGACGACGGAGGGTTTGGTGGAGAAGAGAAACTGCATACCTGCATGGGTGAGTGGGACTGCATGAGTGTGAGATTTGATCACTAGGAAAGATGACGACCCCCATGTAAGCGCTCACGCAAATTACGATCGTGTGGCACTCCTACATGTGGGCAGTGTGGCGTAAACTTAGCCAATAAAACGTGAGCTCGTCCTCTGGTCGACCGCTCTCGACTAGACACCAAGCTAATAACCCCAGAGACACAAACGTCATATTTGACCAACAGATATCACAGAACTCGAGACGTTCGAGTGGCTTGATACCACAGTAACAGCTATGGGGCAACTTCGCCGACCTGATGCTGATGAACGATCAGCGATACCTCACATAGATCCGTAGAGAGTGGAGGAATGATGGCATGGAGAAACGGTCCGAGCCATCTCTAGTGATACTGATGTCGACGATGGCAGTCTGGCGGGAGTGTGGCGTGATTGGGCACGTAGGGGTCGTTGAGAAAGCGTCAGAGAAGCGATGACATTGATGGTTCATGTAGGGAGGCGAAGAAACGGTGGCCTATAGTTCGGGATCTGGTCAAAAGTTGTGGTTTAGACATGGGAGCAACATACGCACGGAGGAACACACCAAAGAAGCCTAATACACGAGAAGACCGAACAGTCAATAAGTATACGCCTCCCAAAACGAGCGGTCGTCCAAATCATATCATGAAACGACCCAATAATACTCCCAAAGCAATGCAAACCATATCTGTGGCGTCGCAGTCTTCTCCTTGGAGCACTGTACCCACAACACGAGCAAGATCACGCTCAGCCTTCGAGCGGCGAGCGCAACACCTTCCGTCAGCCGTCAACTCATTACCCGCATCCGATACGGGACCACGTACCTGTGTTGGAATTGGATCGCAAAAAACCGATCATATGTTGCGACGGTGGCGTATGTGGGCTGGAGGACGGATCTGGGATAGACTGGTATGTATTTGATAGCGCGACGGTGGATCCGACGAGGATCAGAGACCAGATGGTACCCCGACGAGATGTCATCGTATTGGTAGGACATCATGAACGGCTTGAATCACTTTTGGATGGCACATTATCTGATTAACAGCACTGAGTATAAGCGAATCGGGAGGTACTTAGTGTGGAAGAATCCGACGTACTTAGGTCATCACTTGTTGCCCACGCGATGGATGAGGTAGGGAGCTACTCTTCTCACCCTGCCGAATGCACTAAGGGTATTGTCTTTGCAGTACCCGTGCCACTAGAATGGTTCGACCATCAGCGTTATTTTCAGAACTACAATAAGAGAAGAAGAAGAAGAAGCACATACCTTTCTCAGCAGCTTGATGACGCGAGGAGCCGAAGAGAATGCAACGCTGATTGAAGTTAGAGGAGAGAAGTACGACGAAGAAGTCATGGACAGAGATAGATGCATGAATTAAGCGATATTGTGTTGAGGATCCAAGGAAGGACTGACATACATTGACATCGCAACAAGAGAATGCATATGAACGGGACACATATGTCTGTGTGTGATGATATGGTGTCAAGTAGTCCCTGAGGATGTCTACGCCGCTGGTAGACTCCGTCCTGCACGGGGTATATCAGAATCGTCGGCATGAGACTCCAAGAATCCATCCAGGACATCATGCCTCGATGTCGGGATTACGCCCTTGGAGCCACGACCAGGTCTAGGAGTGACATAACAATAGAATCTGCCGTGCTCAGAGCCAAAAGCGCAACAACAAGTGAAAACAACATTCTCACTCGAGCGCATATCATCTCGCACGCTTTCCATGCAGACGACACACTCAAAACATCCCTGGAAGATCTTCACGATACGGGAACATGAATGATCGGAAGGAAGTAAACGACGCCAGTTTAGCCTCGTCAAACCGCTGATACAAGGTTTCTGACAAAGTCACTGGTAGAGTGTAATATGGGCGCCGCACTGCGCGCATCCCTGCATGCCACTGTGTCAGAAAAAGACACGAAGATCGCAGAGAGTCGACCTCTGACCTCCTCCGACATGGACGAAGGTCATGCGTGGAAGTGCGCGAGACGCCTTGGAACCATGACAGAACTAAGAATTCAGCTATGCACGTGCGAGCCGCTATATGATCAAGCTGCACCTATAAGCATTGCTCTGCGCCATAGCCATGAACTTCGTCGCGTGAACCGGTAGGATTTGGGCTCGAGCGTGGCGCCTGTGGATATGTTTCAACCTGCCGCACAATCAGCGAGTAGGGAGCTAGAACAGCCCAAGGCACAGCTCAGTGATACTGCGAGAGTGACACAGAACGCCGGCGGTATGTACGAGCTCGAACGAGTCGCTCGCCACAAAACCCTGACATTGACAAGCAAAAGTCCCGAAAAGGGAAGCTCGGACTGGATCGGCAAGCCCAGAACACGTCATGAGAGAGCACAACAAAGCCCGAGAAAAACTTCCGAATTTGCCTATGGAATGTCCATATGGGGAAAAATGCAGGGCCTCGGAGTGGAGTTTTGGCGCTTGCCGACCTCCATCGGTCGGGATTGTCCCGCGCCTGACACTTCCGCCAGATCTGCATCCGATCGCGTTTGAGGTAAGGCAAAGGTAAGGTAAGGTGGCGGTCGGGTGGCGTTTGTTGTTAAGCTTTTTTCGAAGAAGAGAAGGCGGCGCGAGCGGCGAGAGAGAGGTCAGGAAGTTATGGTTAGTTTCAAAGCACGGATCGTAGGGGCTGAAGCTTCAAGCTTCAAGGTTGAATGGCGACGAAACGGGCGTTAACTTACAGAATGTACTGGAAGTACTTAGGTCGGCGTTAGGAGCATCAGCATGTGCCATCGTACCGGCAACGAAGCGCAAAGAAGATTCCTCCCTTGTGAGAATGGTCCCATCAGCTGAACGGTACGCGTTCAGCCCTGCAATAAAGGACGCAACACATTTAATCTCTGATTGTAGGTGAGGAGGTAGAAAATGATGGTCGTTGGAACTGATATTCCGTTCGCTGGACTGAAGAGCATCAGAGGAAACAGTGGCGAGAGCCTAGAGGCAAGCTAGTGACGTCTGGGTAATGTATTTCTCATGGGCCGAGATAACGCGGACGACAGGGACATTTTCGAAGACGCAGAACGTAACGCGTGGTTCGTCATTCGCAGGCGACTGTTTCGTGGAATAAAAGACAGATTTTGCGAAGGATATTGAAGACTGACTAGGAGATGAAAGGACCTCTGCCAAAACGAGATGAAACAATGGGAACTGGACTGAGTTTAGTAGAACGAAATGAAGCCGGAGGACAGGCCGGATGAACAAGTCGCCAAGGGGAAATTGGAATGGGTTGATATTAGTCAGCTATTTGGTGTTGTTTGTGCTAGGCCCCGCTTGGAGACCCAGCGCCTGTTTTCGGCCAACGTCCTCCTTTGCTCACCCCTTCGTCGCTGCCTGCAACGACGCCCAGCCGCTTTCTTCGTCGATCCTGTCGTCCTCCTCGCCCTTATTACTCTAAACCCCCCGCTCGTTACTTCGCCTTCTGTGTCCTTCTACTTTTCCCCCGCCCTTATATCCTTTCTGAGCAAAAATGGGTTGTGTTCAGTCTACCGGAGTCGATGATGAGGCCAAGGCCCGTACGTAGTCCAATCTTTTTTCACGCTGACCTTACTCATGACTGGACAGGCAATGACGAGATTGAGAACCAGCTCAAGCGAGACAGAATGATGGCCAAGAACGAGATCAAGATGTTACTGCTCGGTGCTGGAGAGTCCGGAAAGGTCTGTCAGCCTGCGCACTCCTTACGCGAATATACGCTTAAACGAGGTCCTACTCCAGTCGACGGTCCTCAAGAAGATGAAGCTCATCCATCATGGAGGCTACAATGAACAGGAGCGCGACTCGTACAAGGAAATCATCTTCTCCAACACCATCCAGTCCATGCGCGCCATCCTCGAGGCCATGCCCCAACTCGACATCTCTCTCAGCCCCCAGAACGATGCTCGTCGCGCCGTCATTTTGTCTCTCCCACCACAAATCGAGGGCGACATCCTCCCCAACGACGTTGCCGATGCCGTCCGCGGCCTCTGGCGTGACCAGGGCGTACAGGAAGCCGTCCGTCGCTCGCGCGAGTTCCAGCTGAACGACTCCGCCGTCTACTACTTCAACTCCATTGACCGCATGGCCGCGCATGGCTACATGCCCACCGACCAGGATATCCTCCGCAGTCGTGTTAAGACGACTGGTATCACCGAGACAACTTTCAAGGTCGGCGAACTCACTTACAAGCTATTCGATGTCGGTGGTCAGCGGTCCGAGCGTAAGAAGTGGATTCACTGTTTCGAGAACGTCACCGCTCTGGTCTTCCTGGTCTCGTTGAGCGAGTACGACCAGATGCTGTACGAAGATGAGAGCGTGGTACGTTTCCGTTCCATTTTCGTCCATGTTCTTCCTCCGTTTTCCATTCCTTCTCACACTCTACCGCTAGAACCGTATGCAAGAAGCCCTTACCCTCTTCGACTCAATATGCAACTCGCGGTGGTTCGTCAAGACTTCGATCGTAAGCAACTTCCTGAGTTTTTTTTATTCCTAGCGCTCGTGTGCTGACGTCAGCTCTCGCTCGTCCGTAGATTCTGTTCCTGAACAAGATTGATTTGTTTGCGGAGAAGCTGCCACGGTCACCACTCGGTGACTACTTCCCCGACTACACTGGCGGTGACAACTACGACTCCGCCTGCGACTATCTCCTCCACCGCTTCGTTTCCCTCAACCAGTCGGCAGCAACAAAACAGATCTACGCCCACTATACCTGCGCAACGGACACACAGCAGATCAAATGTGCGTGCCTTTCCTCGATTCATCTGCCCTGTGCGCCATGTGACGCCTGATGCTGATGATACGGTTGTCGTTCTTCCCGACAGTCGTCCTGAGCGCCATTCAAGACATCCTGCTGCAGATCCACTTGCGGGAGTGTGGTCTCCTGTAATCTGTTACATTATTCCCATTCCTATTGTTGCTTTCGGCCGCGGCACCTACTTTCTCATTCATATTACCCGTTCATCCCTTCTCGCCACCGGCTCTCTCGATTTGGTTTTTTCCACTGCTCTCGTCTGTCTCCCACTTCCCCGTATTCTCATTTTTGCTTATATGTAGACGTCGGGCGCGGAACGCGTGGATGGATTATTAGTTTTCTTTTTGTCTTTTATCCTCTATATCTCTTCTAACTTTTTCTTTTACTGTTCTTCTCTTCTCTTCTCTACTATCTCTCCCTGTTAGTGATCGTTCCTCTCGTTTAGTTTTGGAGGCATAGGTCGCCGCCGATCCTTTATCATCGAAGGCTCCTTCCCTCTCTGTATGCAAATCTCCCATCTACCCGCTGACCCCTCCTATCTCTTCACTCACCGAGTTCTTCATTGTTCTTTACTTCCTGAACTCCCCCCTTTATTATTTCACGTCACTCCCTAGTATGGCGCCACAACTACCCACAGGGCTACGCCACGCACCATCCATTCCATTTTCGCATCTGCTCGCCCCGTCGAGCGTCCAGCTACACGCACCCCCTCCCTATCTATCTCCTCCCGCAATCGTACATGTCCCCTCATAAAGTGGTGATGGTATTGGCAGCCGCATCTTTTTTCTATCCGCTCGTCCTCGTCTACCCGTCCGCGTCGTTGTTACCCCATCCATTTTTTTTCTTTGATTCTTCTTCTTTAGTTTGACTTTGACTTGAATTGGCTTGGCTTGACGAGCTCGTTGGATATCGATCCGGATGGATAATTCGCTGCGTTTCTTGTGATCGAGATCCATGCGAGACAAGTATGCGTTCCATGCGCGGTTTAGCGATTCATTCGTGCTTGCATGAAGCTAGGTGCCTGGCGAATGTTGATGATGGGAGTTCCGCTGTGGCCGCTGCTACGAAGAGCCCTGCGCAGTGTCGTGTCGTGAAGTCTGGCTCTTGTCTATGGGTACAGACGGTAGAGGATAAAGAAGTCATGGGTATCTCCAGGAGTATGAGTGTCAGGAGCGGACTACGGTCTTCATCGGTCAGGGGGTCATGCTCAGAGAGAGGGCGTTTCACAATACACGATACGATGATATGATACGATATACCTCTTATTTTTCGTTTACTCTTCGTTCCTATGTATATAATTACTTTACTTTCGATTGACTTGCATAGTTGTCTGCCTTCTCTTTTGTCTCTTTCACTCTTTTTTTCCGCGTTCCCAGTCCCGTCTCCATCCTGCCTGCGTCTGCGGCGTAGCGATGGGCCAACTCTCGACTGCTCCAGAATGCGTAGAAGACCTGGGAGAAAGCTCGTGGGCGACGGTAGGATTTTTTAGACTTCGCAAGAACTCGAGGTGGGGATACCGGGGCTCGTGTGGCGACGTGCGTCCCACGCGTAAAGCTAATCACCCATCTGTCGCTGTCTCTTTGAATTGGTGTTGAGGATAAGGTTGGGACGTTTCCATGGGGTTGTCAGAGCTCCTTCAAGGTTTTGTATTGCTTGCTTGCCCGTGAACGTAGAGACTGTGCACTGTGGGGGTGGAGCGCTGGAGGGGGGTTTCAGGAGAGGAACGTGGATAAGACAGGAAGCACGGGGATAACACGACTTGTCTTCGAAGAGGCACCGCCTGGCGACTTTCGAGAGCGGTGACTTGCCTGACGCACTTCTTTAGGGCCCGTTCGGCTGCCATGCCAGGTTCATTCCAGGTTTCGCGCGACCTGGGTTTTCCGCCTGATCAGGAAGGTGGTTGAAACCCAGGTTTGACCGGGCAAGATAAGATCAAAAAATTCCGATAACGAGATTGGTCAGAAATGCAATACGCTCGAAGTGATTTTTGTCCAGCATCACCCCTACCTCCCTGAGGAGTGTAAAAAATCATACGCACTCCTATATACTACTCCATGACTAGCACACACTTTCAGGCCCATCGGTAACTGTATAGGTACGAGAGAAAATGAAAGGTGCTCGAAATGCCACTTGCCGTGGCCGGGACAATTGTCCAATGAGCTCCACCATTCAATACGGTGCTCATAAATGATGAAACTAATAAGGCAGCTCTATGATACCAGTAACGAAAGATGTGGGTACTTTTTATATTTTATTTACTCATTGTAACCCGTCATTGTCGACGACAATGTCAAGATTATCTCCACAAGATTGAAACTCCGCTTTTCTTTATCTTATCCTGCCCTTTATCTTTCGCGATCAAACCTGGGTTTCAACCACCTTCCTGATCAGGCGGAAAACCCAGGTCGCGCGAAACCTGGAATGAACCTGGCATGGCAGCCGAACGGGCCCTTAGGCATCTTCTCTCTCCTCAGCGAGGGAAGAAAAGAGGGCCACAGTTGTGGCGAGCTAGTCAAGGGACAAGTGCCCGAGAACCGAGAGCCGAGGAATCGGGTCCGGTTGCGAACACGAGGTCGTGGTTGATGGTGTGGCACTCTCGGGCCGGAGTGGTACCTTTCTCTCGACTTCCTCCACTTGTCTTCCACTCAACTTCCACTTGCCATCCACAATCGTGGTCGTAAACTGATTTCTTCCAAACATCGACATATCCTTCCTTCCATTACAGTGAAGATGCCCCCATAGCCTCATGATGAAAGACCAAGTACACAGGACAGCCGGAGTTCAACGAGAATCAAACGAGAGGCAGATTTTGCGCACAGGTCGGACAATATTCGCTGCCTTTCTATCTCCGGACATCACTGGTGCAAAATACATCATGGGCTGTTTCTACCTGGCGCGCGTTGAATCTGGGACATATACAACCCAGATAACCATGTATGTTAAGTAAAGGCTTCTAATTACTCTACTCGGAGCCATAGCGCCCATCCTGTGAGCTGTTGACCGTCAAACAGCGCCGTCACGGTCTCCTGCATCACCATCTTCTCCCCATCCTCTCTCAGACCACCATGGCGAACGTGCCCACTCCCCACATACCTGATCATCCATCGACTACTTTTCATGACCAAGGTGTCAAGGTTACTATAGAACCTCTTGACAACGCTGGTTCCGTCACCGAATTCTCTGCATCGGCACCGCCCAACCCTCGAGCTTGGTTGGTTATCCTAGGGTGCCTTCAGTTCATATTTTCTACAGTAATCACAGAACCTTCGGTGCGTTCATCGACTACTTAATGTCAAATCCTCCCGCATGCTCTTTGATACAGATATTAGAGAGGTTGATGTAGTTTCATTGGTCAGGAAACGCCACCTTTCCACTCAGCATGGACCAAACCAGCCATGCTCTGCTTGGCTGGCATGTGCTATGTGCTCGTCATCGTGTTCAGAGCTCACCACCGGATGCGTCACGATCGTGGCTGGATCCTGGACAACATCAAAATGTGCTGAGAAATTCATGACATTCTATCTGTGCTGTTCGATGCTTACCGAACAATACGGCTCACATAGACCCCTCACCGTCGTCAGTCTGGCTGGAATGCTTTTGGCGCCCATGACAGCTTGGTCGACCTTTCAGTTTCATCCGGAGCCTCCTTTAGTTGCTCAGTTCGTGGTGTCGTGCGCTTTGCTCCTGGTCGCTGTTATCGGTGCGCATCTTCTAGTACTCTCAGATTCCTTGCACCCGATCAATTGTTTATTCTTTCTTGTGGTGCCTGGATAACATCCAGCGGCTTAGGTTGTGACGAGCCACAGCATACTATCATGCAGGGCTTCCCATTCTTTTGCATACCAAAGTGCTCCAGCTTCGTACTTGGGCATTGGGTCCATGACATGCATGATTTCTGGTGGAGGACGAGGCGGTGTTGCGGTCCTGCTGTGTTTCTACTACGATACCGCTGAGTCTATATATGCTATCGATCCATTTAATGAACAATAAGGCATGTAAATTAATCACCCTGGTTCCAAGCATGGCCTCTGCCTATATACAGAAGACACCAAAGATATACAACGACCACTCCCCTCGTAGGTGACTAGTGTGACTATCATACGTGCTCTTCGACCACAGACAAACTTGCCAACATCAACCACCCTACCCCCTCGGCCTCACAACCGCCCAAAACGGCCCCTTCTGCACCGAGAGATACTCCCTTATCGACCTCTCAAACATCTCACCATCATGCTCCGACGCAGCGCTCACATCAAACTCATGTACGAGCCTTGCGAGCGAGTATCGCACCACCAACAACCCAAGCGCCTTTCCGGAACAATTGAAAGGTCCGTAGGAGAATGGAATGAACGCCGAACGACGGAAGGTTTGTTCTTTTTCGGGGTGTAGCCATCGTTCGGGCCTCCAGGTTGTTGGGTGGGGAGAGAAGTTGCGTGGGTCGCGCATGATGACGGGGGGAGGGATACCGACGAGGGTACCACCGGGGATGTCTGTATTTTGTGCGATCTGATGTCAGAATCATAGGAGAGACTCCACTAAGCAGACTATGTAGGACTGACAATGGCCAGAAATGAAAATGCCTCCTGTGGGGACAACACGCTGCGAGCGCGCTGGGACAGTTGGTCGGACGCGTAGTGTCTCGTTCATGATAGCATCAAGAACAGGAGTATCGTCGAGGTCAAAGTCTCCGTCCCCTCGGTATCTTGCATCCACTTCTTCGCGGAGTCTCTATCAATCACAATATAAATGAGGTCGTCCATATTGCAAGCAACGAAACTGAGCGAACGTACGCGTGCCCACTCTGGATGCTGAGAGAGAAACTCGAAGATAAACGTCAATATCGTCGCAGATGTACCAGCTCCTACCACACATTAGAGTAAGTTTGGTTCCTCAATAAACAAGGGCCAGGGTCGAAATGCATACCCGCCATAATCGCCACCCGAATATCGGCGTCAAGATCTTTCATGGTCATCCCAGGTTGAAGCTGTCCGTTTTCTTGGATTAAGTACGAGAAGAAATCGGGCCGGGTCGAGCCCCGTTTATACCTGTCCATCATTGCATTGTTCCTGACGAAGATAATACAGCTCATGAGCACCTATACGACAATGAAACGGGAAATGAAACATACAAAAATGCCTCTATTGCGGCCTGTTCCTTGACCACAGGTAGGAGAGTCAGTATAGGTAGCACCCACGGAATTTCTGCGAGAACGCTACGTCAAACATGAAGATCTGTCAATGTGAGGGGAGGCGAAAAATAGAAGCATGGATGCTACTTGCCATATGGCGCGAAAACCCTTCTCCATGAAGTGAATATATGTGTGGTCTTCGCCGTTTTCGATCATCCCAAACGAGCGAGCACAAGTAACCTCTCCAATCACGTCGAACACAAGATGGTCTGTATGAAATGGCTCTGAATATTCCGCTCACTGTCCCCTAAATAGAGAGAGAAAGAAACAGGCTTACCCATGATACGGCTCAAGTTTTGCACCGATGCTTTCTTGTAATCTTCCCGTAGTCGGCGGCAGAGGTGATCCACGCATTCCTCTAAGAAGACTAGGTAGTTTTTGACGGCGGGTCCTGGGATACAATAGAAACCTCGTGAATGCCTGTGTATATAGTACTTGCGGGTTGGGGCGTACCAGTCATGGCCTTGTCCCAGTACCTTCTCCTCTGTGCATGCGCATCGATATCCTTTAGCGCATGTACGGAGCGTCCAACTTTGTCCGCCCACATAGCATCATACCTGTTAAATAGACCAATGAAATGAGCACCAGATAACCTCATAACAAACGTAACATCACTGACCATGGACCCTTGCTCAACTTTCCCTTCGAGCCAAGGATGACTTCCACGGCATCGAGCGAGCAAATGCTCAATTCATTCGGCCCTATACGCACAACATCTCCATATTTATCGTGCAGCTTGCTCACAACCTTCGGCATCCCTCCTCCCGCAGAGTGGTATATATACCAAAACTTCGACAGAGCTGCTAGTGTAGGACCAGGGAAGTTACGAATGGGTGACAGAAAGAGACGATACACTGAGATTGACGTCAAGAGTGTGACAATGAACGACATTGAGGCGACGTTGGTGAGCAGGAGTGAGCTCCCGAGCGAGTGGTCCGTGAGAAGTAGAGATGCGAATAGAGTGAGGACGGATGTGAAAGCTGCGGTGATAACGAGAAGGACATCGGGCTCATGCTTGTTGCATACAACATGTACGACCTATGCGGATGTTAGAATGCGGAGAACAACGGCGACGACGACGGACAAAACGTACCAGCGCGGTTGCTCCAGCCCAGATGAATATATTCAAGGAGGCATCCATCTGACTGAGAAGCGGATTCAACGTCAAAGACAGCATCGCCATTGCTCGTGTTTAACACAGAGATGCTGTACAAGTTGGCGTCGATGTTTAGGAGGAGGAGGCGAGGACGGTCATGGGAGCGATTGCTATCTTTGATATGGTCAGTACGCACCAATCACTGTGACCGAGTTAGAGTCAGCTCAAATGCTTCGGAGATGATGGACTTGGAATACATAATCCCATAGGTACTTCAAATGTCCATGAAGACCTCCTTGTGTGTATACAAGGCCTTAAAAATACCAAATCAGGAGGTCAGGTGCGCCAAGCACTAGTGCGTCTGGGGAGGAGCTGCTTCACATGTCTTCAAGTGGGCCGTCCTAACTCAGACGATCGCTCGATTGCAGTCTATCAGGTGGTCCTTCAAGTGAAAATGGAGCGTATTTTTGGCGAACATGGCGCACTATCACCCCCTTGGGCGAGATAGAGAGCTGGCGTAAGGTTCGATTGGATATCTAAACCTTCCTTCGGTCGAGGGCGGGTAAGCTGACATCGTGTTGGGGCTGACGGTAGACATTCGGGAAGTGTGCCGACAGCGTGATGATACAACGAACGTATTCGGTCCATCGAGTACCATGACGTGTAGGTGACGGAGGACCGCAGAATGCAGAGGTTCATATAGAGGTCGGTGTAATACTGTATTTATGAATGCTGTGAGATTATCATTTGGCCACGAAATCAAGATGGACTCACCGACGGGAAACTTGTTGAGTGGAACAACAGATCTAGATCAAAAGAGCTTGAGGTCCATACTACCGAGGGCGCGCAGAAAGGCGAGAATTGTGGAAGGTAGAAAGAGGATCCCTTTGACGTTTTTGCCCATATGACCACGGATCTCAGGCTATCCAGACGTGAAGAAAAATGCAATTATGAACGACCCAAGAAATATTAAACAAACAAGAGAAAAAATCGTTAGGACGAAGCCTATATGCGGCGGTGGCGACGCGCGCCTCGCGTGTAAATATCGAAATCTGGCCAACGTTTGACAAAGACCAGGGCAGACGTCACCGGTTTGAATCAAGAAAAAGCTCCATCATCCCTACGACCGTGCAAGCTCGAACTTCACCGATCCGCCCAAGGAGATTCGACATCCAATCCCTCCCTCGCCATAGTAAACGTCATCTCCTGCCCATCCTCCTCCTCCTCGTCCTCTCCATTCGCCCACGGCGCCTCCATTCCCTCAGAAACCGCACTCGGTGGCGGTGCCACAGGCTGCTTCTGCAACGACGTCCTCTTCCTCTCTCTCTCCTGGCTTGAAGACAAACCTTCCAGATTCGTGCTCATATTGAGGAGAGCAGGCGATGGCGAGCGGGCGCGGTCGTACGTCCTGTCACGATGCAGTTGTGGATGAGGAAGAGGAAGTGGCGAGTCTGTCGTTGCTGACGTCGCTACGGTAGAGGTGGGGGTGGATGTCGAATAAGAAGTGGCGGAATGGGGTAAAGATGGGCTAACGTCCGGGTGTGAATGTGATGAGTGAGAGTCGGTGGGCGTAGACGGTCTCGGCGTCGTCACCGGCGAATGACTCCTCTGGTGGTCCCGATCCCTCGACGTCTCCGTCAACTCCGCCTCCACCTCCGCTTCGTCAACCACGTCACTCTGTGCGAGCTGAGACCTCCCGTGCGTACCGTGCCCTTCGTCATCCTCGCGTGGCGGGGGAACGTACAACGGCGCAGGGGATACAGGAGCCGGTGATGCCGGAACAGACTCGAACGGTGCAGAAGCCGAGAATGCACGGACAACAGGCGACGCTGGGACCATCGAAGTCGAATCTCCCTCGTCCCCAAACGCACCACTCGCCCTCGGACTCTTCAACGCCACATTCGACGACGACCTCGATCGTGTCGGCTCTTCCTCCTCCACATCGGGATGACTCACGAACTTGAAGTCCTCCGAGTTTGTCTGAGATTGAGAGCGTGAGTGTGATTCTAATGACTGGCGTTCGACGAGCCGGAGCGCGGAGCGGAGGGCTTCTTTTTCGAGGTTGGCTTCGCGGACTTCTTCTTCTGCTTCGGCGCGTTTGATGCGTTCGGTGGCCACCATTTTGTTGGCCTGTATCGCATATATTGCATAGGAGGGCACCACGATTAGATAAAAGATAGCGATTACGGTGAATAGTTTGTTGTATGTTGTTCGTTCGTCAGAGTCCGAAAGTCAAACGGTTCGTCGTTGCAGCAAGTTCGTGGGTAGGATGTTGGGTATTGAGATATTATCCGGTTCCGAGATAGAAGAAGAGAGAAGACGAAGAAGAAACGAGTGTGTGTGTGTGTGTGTGTGTGTGTGTGTGTGTGGTCGTGGGCGCAATAAGCGGAAAATAAGATAGGTCAGCAATAGTCTAGGCTTGCCAAAGCGAAGGTAGAGTAAATAAAGATAGTTGAATTATAACGAGTGGTGGGGAGTGGTGCAGCCAGCGTGGCACCACGCAACGATGCTATATCTGTCCATCTGTCCGTCAAAGACCAGCAGACATCGAATACGAGCACAGCTCTGCGAAAGGCACGGTGAAGCAACTGGTCTGCATGCCAGCGTGGGTCTCATTCCGCGATGGGAGATAGCGGCCCTGATGAGAGAGATGAGAGGGACGAGGCCGACGACGACGAAGTGGCTTCTCGAGTAGCACGCAAGGAGGATATCTTCGTGAAAGATATCATCAATCAGACATCAGACCATTGTTTTTAACTCGCAGGCAGACCAGAAGAAAGGAGAAGGAGCCACTCGCTTCCGCGCAGTATCGGTCTCAGACCTCAAGCACATACGTCCGGGCAGAGTAGTCGAAGATAATACTACGGAAGGAAAGGGAGAAACCGAACGCACCTCCTCGAATAGTGCCTGGCTCAGACTCTCCAACTCGCCCTCTAAGTTCTTCTTCTCTCCACAGATCCTCTCATACTTCTTCCTCTCCTCCTCCAGCTTCTTCCTCAACTCCTCCAATTCCTTCTCCTGCGCCGGATCCGGTAGTAATGAAGGCAAGCTCGCAGAGGTCAGGTGGCCAACCGCGCCAGCACCCGTACCGGAGGGTGGAGGTGGATTAGAGCTGCTAGGTGGCCGTGTGCCCGGATTCGAACTGTTCGTAAGGTCGGGGGAGGAAGGCTGCGTAGGTATCGATCGAGTGCTGTTGAACCTGAATCTGAAGAATCGGGAGTCGCCGGAGGGAGGAGGTGCCGTCGTTGGCGTTAAAACTGTCGGGGTAGTTGGGTTACCCGATTCGGGCGCAGTGGTGGAGCTCAGAGGCGGAGATTCCAGCGAGCCGTTTCTCGCTTCGGCCTCGTCCAAACTCGGTCGACCGGACGGCTGCATAGGAGTGTTACGTCCAGATGCGGAAGGTTGAGACTGATCTCGCGCGGATCGACGCCAACCTACGTCTTTGGAGGAGGAGTTTCGTCGGAGTGCATCTTCTAGCATTTCGTTGTTGGCAATGGAAAGTTGGAGGTTGGATTGGGCAAGGGTGAGGGAGGTTTCGAGGTCCGCGGAGGTCTGATAGGATTGTTTTAGAAGGTTACACTGTACATAAAAAAATTGGATTAGCATAATGTGAACCACGATCGCTTCCAAAGCACAAGACAAAGGATGAGAAAATCGAGCGCTCGGAAGGACGCCACAGAAATTGCACCTAGTTCTGCAAGTACAAATAGCACGAATAAAGTGGGCACATACAATGTCGATCATGGCACTCGGGTCGAGGGGAAGCGTTGGGCCACATTACGGTGCCACACAGTCTGTCCTCCCGTGAAAGCACACCTTGGAAAGTGTCTCTCAGGGCACATAAGACGTCAGGAAGAAACAAGATAGGAGCCCTCAGACGCTCCTCATTTGGACTACGGAATAGGGGCATCCCTTCAAGGAGGAAGCGTTAATAATGCTGTCATCCGAGTGAATGAAGTCATCCAGAGCAGATTCTGGATATTGAGGGCTCTCAAAGATCCTGATTCGCAGCATCGTTCAAGTGACGGCGTGCCCGATAATACTCATGTCAATATTCCACAGCGATACATATAAGACCACAAATCGGACTATGGCCCATATATCACCGCAATGGGAAGGGATGAGTGTATTGGCCTTAACGCCTGAGCCCTTCGGCAAACATAGAACAACCCTCTTCAGTGAAGACATAGCTCTTTAGAGAGCAAGGTCCTCGACCCCGTGGATACCCATCAATTTCCAGAGCAGCAAGTGGAGTAGCAAGTCGCGCACAGCGCAAGCTCTTCCCCACAAACCAACCCATCATCCCATCAACATCACTAACGCGACCCATCTCGAGGAACGCACCACCAGTATACAAAACATAAAGCACAGAAATGCAACATACCAGCTCCTCCACCCGTCCAATCATCCGATCCAAGGCCTGCCTCAGATCCTCCTCCTGCCCATGCGTCCCCACGCGCCGACAGTCCCGGACTTCATCCTCAATCGTACCGAAGAGCTGGGCGTTCTTCTGATTCACGAGTAGACTGTCTGTTCTTTTTGGTAATATCCGAGAAGAGGAAGAGAAAGAGGGTGGGGGAGGAGGGGCCATGGTCATGGGCGGAGGGGAGTGCAGCATGAGGCGAACCGCAAGCTCAGGCTGAAAGCTGCCGTCGTCGAGCGGTGCACGTTCCGGTGGCGTTGCATGTCGCGTGGGCGCCAAACATTGTGGCGCTTTGACGGTTACCGCGTTCGATTTGGGCCACATCTTCTTCTTACCCGTTTTCTCGCTGATCGCCTTACCTATAGCCAAGTTCACGACTATCAATTGACCATTCTACTAGTGGTACATGAATTATGCCTGCCAATCCGGGAAACAAAACACCCTACTCTGAGCCCAGGCTTGAGTGGAAATTACAGGTTAAACGTGAGTCTCTCGACGCAAATGACAAAACCTGACGGGCTACTATCTTTCATGTATACTGACGAAATGAAAGGAATCAGGTCTTACTCGCCTCTTACGGTCTCCAAAGGGCATAACTGTGGACGGAAATCTCGTCACCCCCTCCATCCTCCACACATTTCTCCTACAATACGGCTGCTCGAAACAACGCGCAGACTATCTCCTCGACTCCAGAGATGCCCAAGACCTCTACAGAGCACTCGATCTCATCGAGATCATCGACGCTTACGTCAAAACAGGCTCACCACCTAGAAATCCTCTGTCGACCATCCGCTACCGACGCGAGCATGACCTCCCCCCCGCGCAGTCGAGAACTAGACCCATACCTGGTACAGATCGTAACATTGCGCTCGTCAACGACCTGATCACATCATTCGCATGGCCTTTCATTACCATTACGATGGGTTTGAATGAGCAAATTGAAACGCTGTCGGAATCTTCGCACCTCACGTTGGCGTTGTTCGGGACGAGCAAGGAGGGGGAAATTAAAGGAGTGAAGTTCATGCCGTGGGCGCTGTATAGGGATACGCAGACGACGGTGAGAGATGTTTTTATAGGGGTGGCGAAGTGTCAGGAGGTGGATCCGGAAGGATACTTTTTCCTTGCTTCGATGGGGAAGGACGCGTGAATGGTGTGTTGGTTTTGGTGCGTACTTCGCACTCCCTCTAGGAGAGATTCCTGCTGAAACATTGCTGAAACATTGGTTGTATTTATCAGCCTTTTTTTGCTGTCCATATCGTGCTATATCTGTAACAGTATGTCGTCTTGCTCCCATCTTGAAACCCGCATTGTTTTCGTATGTTTTTCGTCTTGCTATGTGAACTCCAATGTCATGTGCTTTATCGTCTCTGCCAAAGTCATGGATACAACACACCTTGAACATGTCCTGCGCGACAGATCCGTGGAAATGTACTTGACTCCAGTCTAGTACCTCGCTCACTGACACTTTCGATTTCATTCGCTTCAGACTTGCAGCTCAGTCCGCTAATATAGAAACCAGGCCGTTGTCCCACAAGATAAGGTATAGATTTGGCTTTCGAGCCCATGAGTATCGCAATGGACGTACCTCCACCTTCCACGACGTTGTCATTTTATCGATGCAGCGCCATACCCTTACCACTCTCATAAACCTGCGCCTGCTATAAGTTCATCGCAAACCCCTGTACTCTTTGCCTCCTTGGTCTTGTAGGAAAATAAGCTTGGGTCTGATTTGCGTAAAACGACGGGCAGCCACATTGGCACTGTGGGCTTCAAAGTGAGAGGCAAGTCAAGGCTAAAAATTACTAGTCTAGAGTAGAACTGAGCATCGTGTACAGTTTCGTCAAGGCGTTGTGGCGAAAAACATCACACGCCACAACTGGCCCCTGTATAGAAAGCAACCGGCGATCGCCGACCCACCCCATTCCGCCATTTGCATCCATGACGGCCTCACTCGACGTTATCCTCTTCAGCCTCCTCCTCGCTCTCCCCGCAGCCTACTACATCCAATCTTGGATCGGTTTTAAACCAGAAGACTCACCATCCTCATCCTCAGAGACCACATCTGAATCGGCCACAGCACCAGCACAGGAGAAAGAGACGACAGAGACAGAGAAGAAGCCTATAATGCAGTCAGAAAGGACAGACTTGGCGCCGCCGAAGGAGGATAAGTATACGTTGGAGGAGTTGAAGCAGTATGATGGGAATGACCCGGCGAAGCCGATTTATGTTGCGATCAAGGGTACGTTCCCTCCGCCGTCGCGGACAATACACGTACAGAACCGTGGATCTCAACTTTGACTCCTTTCCCGTTTCGTGCTATAGGTACAATCTTCGACGTTACGCGCAAGCGGGACACGTACGGCCCAGGATGGTCTTACAATATCTTTGCTGGGAAGGACGGTTCGAAGGGGCTTGGGAAGTCGAGTCTGAAGGAGGAGGATGCGGTTCCTGACTATAGCGATCTGCCGGAGAACGAGCTGAAGGTGTTGAATGATTGGCATGGGTTCTTCTCGTACGTCCCTTCACTAGAGCTTCACCGTTCGCTGCACACTGTTGCTCTGTATGCTGGTGGCGTAACCCTGTGAGCTTGAGACTCACATGGGTCATTTCATTCACAGGAAACGGTACAACATCGTGGGTAAGGTCTCCGACTTGCCTGCATCCGTGGCGAACCTGTGAACGCAGGATTATAGTGATGGGAAGGATCGCGTTTCGTGTCTGTCTGTCAACGTTCGTCCTCATGAATCTTCGTGGCTTCCGATATCTCTGTAGATGCTAAATGTACGAGTTGGGCCAGTATGCAGGATATCTATGGCGTGTTGTGGATTCTTGCTGGCAGAAGTGTGGTTGTTTGCTGCTTGGACTGCCAGGTGTGAGTTTCATATCGACTGCCTGATGCAAACCGTCCACTGTCTACGTTGGTTGGAGGGCATTCACCGGTGAATGCCCAGCATCGGTCTCGCTGGCTCCTTTTACGACTGAGCATTGTGATCGTGCCGCTCTGCTTTGGGTCGTACTTGGATGCTATCAGCTATATTGTCTGACCGTCTCGCTGCTTCGCACACAGGGGTTGTCGCCAGCTACGAACTTCAACGAGCGTTCATTGGCTACACATCACGTGATGCTGCTCCCCAGATAGGAAACAAAGGATGTCAGAGTTCGATTTGAGCTTCGCCTTCGTTGATGCATCCGGACCGTTTCTCGCCATTCTCGACGGGGTTCCTTCTCAACAAACACCAGCTACTCCCTGCTGTCTGTGTGCGACTGGACTTGCCTACCTCCGAGTCTGCCATGACATGCCAGTGGAAGAGCGCTAGACAGGCCCTCGAAAGTCATCGCATCTGCAGCTCGACTCGGAGCCCGAACGGAGTGTGGCCTCGCAGTCTTCGCACGCAATCGGGCGCTTCAGACCGCTCTGTACTTTCGAAAGCGCGCTTTGCGGGTCGACAATGCTCTGGATCTTCATATGGAATGTCTTTCAGTCCATCTCAGGCTGAACACGGCTGGCACACACAGGATATCAGATAGCGTTTTGGCCAAGACATCGCACCTCAGACTTGGGTGTCGCTAAATGTATGTTACTTCTGCTCGCTGCACTGGGATTGTTTTTCGGTACCGTCGCTGCTTCTACTCTATGTTGTAATGAAGCAGGTCGTCGTCTCCAAAATCTCCTCATTCTCCTTACTAGATTCCGGACTCGGATGTAATGTTGAAAAGGCTTCGACGACTCTGTCCTCGATGCGGCGACAGACGCCGATCTCACCCAACGGCCTAAACTCTATCGTCGACTCGTCTCCTGTCGTGCTGATAACAACTTTGTCGTTGATTTCCCCGCAAAGCTGTCTTGAGCCCCTCTATCCTCTCAGACCATCAAACTTGTCTTATATCAGCGACTGTACCACGAGATCGATGCTTATGCTTTTTAAGTTAGTCCTAGCCATTCATTGCACGTTTAGCAAGTAAGAGTCTTATGACGAAAAGCGGGTATAAGCGCCTCGACGCACATCGTTGAAGAACAATCTTCTCACCGAGCCCTGGCCAGAAGGAGGAGACCAACGGCGTATGATTTCAATTATCCGAGGTCTACCACATAAAGGACATACCTACATGCGTACGGAGAAACTGGCAGGATTTCTTTAGCACGGCTCGGCTAGATCTTCCCGGTCGTAGAAGAAGACAATCTCTATAAAGGCTTGGTGCTCTTCGTCTTCTGTTTTGAACAGCAGTCACTTCGACTTACCAAACGTGATTTACACCATCCTCTCAGTTAGGTTTTATCAGCCTATCTGTTTCCTCATACATCCTCGTTTCAAGCCATCTTCTTCATCGTCACCATGCTCTTCCAGTCTCTATTCACTGTGTTAACTGTCTTCGCCGCCTCCCTTACCACTACCGATGCTGCAGGCAGTGCAGGCTATACCTGCGAAGACTGGGGTATCGTCCCCAACACTGCTACTCTCTCAGCTACTTGCATGAACTCCATCGGCCAAGGCCACTCTACTTCGATTCCGATTAGCAACTGCGTCGGGAACCAGAACGGAGTGCCCGGATGCCAGTCTAAGTGCGCAGTATCTCTGAACGCTTCCTTTCCTTATTGCATTAAACTGATAAAAATTGATCTCAACGTGCTTTCGACAGAGGAGGCGCGGGTGGATCATGCATAATCCATAGCGTCATCGGCTCCATCGGTTTCGAGGCTGTCATCATTAACGTTTCGTGTACAAGGGACGACCAGAGTGAGAATGATTTGAACTTCGACGTCGGTCAGTACATCATAGTATTTTTTTCTCTTCTCTCTATATTCAATGACTGGATGAACGACCGATATTGCGGTTTTGTAGGTGCTTGCTTGCAAAATAAAACGGCAACCTTGCCTGCTCCTAGTCCGCTGGGAGTAATGGCGCTTCGTCTAAAAAGAGGCCCGTCATCGCGAAGGAAAATGTGTACGATAATGACAGGCGAAGGCGTCAGTTCTGGTCGAATTGCTTTGGGAATCATTATGTTGTATATGTTTTGTATCCCATGCTCTCCGTGGTAATTTAATGACTGCCATATGTGTAACATCACAGACCGCAACGAGTTCCTACTCTGCTCAACGTGGGTGCCACTTTCAACGAGGTGAAGAACGATTACACATCGTTCAAAACAGCACACACTTTGGCGGAAGGCCCATGTACTGTAGGACCCAGAAGAATCGCTGTACCAGAGGCCATCAGGAAGGGGGACGGGAGTGAGCATCAGAACTCTTGGAAATCCCTGAGAGGCCCTGAGAAGCCCTGAGCGGCCCTGACGATCCGTTCCGCGAAAGTCCGTGAGGTCTCGAGAGCTCGTCAGGGCCTGTCAGGGCTGTCAGGGTGTCTCAGTGCGGTCAGTGCGATTCTGGTCGCTGTGTGGCACCCGAAAAGTAGCAAAAATTCATATATATATTCATATGTACATCGCAATCCTGACTAAAAAGGGCAGGACCTTTCTGAGATTACTATACCGTACAGTACATCGATGCGACATAAAAGTTGGATGGGCTATGAGCCGATGAAAGTGGGAGAACGTCTCCTGTACAAACTAGCACAGCAACAACTTAAAGTTCTCGCTCCCTGAAAAGAAGGGATAGACAGCGGGTCGTTCGAAGTACCTACTACTGAGACCCGTGGTCTTCAAGCCTCGAGATGTATATGGAGATATGATATACACAATTCCACGGGACAAGCAGGGAGAATCGGGGTCTCTTCAGGACCGTTTGAATCCATGGCCCGTTGTCCATGGTACAGAACATGGTGGAGGAAGGGGACAGAGAATGGTGACGGGGAGCGAGAAGACATTGCGGTGTCATACGGGAATGCTGCGAATAGATGGAGCGAACGGAAGGTACTTGGAAGGACAGGACAGAGGTACGGAGTGCATATGGAGAGCTGTAGGGATGCCTGCAACTTACCTGAGCAAATGGTCGTGCTCGTGCTCAGAATCGCCACCGTTATCAACAAGCTACAAAGCCGCGAGGAAGTGAGCATCCTTGGTGTGCACAGTTAAACTGCAACAGCTTTCGTGCTCCGCAAAGTGTTGGATATATTCCAAGGGCGTGATTCGGGACGAGTATTCTATGTATCCAGCTTTGTTATTTGTGGATTCTGTTAAGACGAAGGAGCAGAACATACTTGAAACGTACCTTGGAGATGATGTAGCGAGTGTGGACGGCTGGAGGCAAGGAGTGGAAGGAGATGCCACGAATGTCAGCGCTCGTGCAATATCAAAGTAGGCGGTCAACAACGAGCGGTGTTCATCTTTGCTCTCATACAGTCGAGACAGTCAGAAAAAAAGGGCACGCCAGCCACACGGACACACCTATATCAAGTATTCAAAACGATATACGAGATCCGCCTCCGACAAGATGATGATTGAAGAGAAAGTCTCACCTTCACCCTCCCAGCATTCTATACAATCTTTCATCCCAGCCCTCGCAGTCTTCCGATGTTATGTCAGCGCTTGTTGACGTAGACCAGTCGTAGTCCATGAACGATTGTATGAGCCAAGTCAGTCAGCCTGACCTGGCAGTGTGGTGGCGCATTGACATGATGTCGAGCCGAGAGGAGCGACGGACTGGCTTGGACGTCGATTCTTTGTGTTTGTGGCGAAGTTGCGAGGCAGGTGGATATAAATCTGCACTTGGGACGGGTTGGCAAGAGTCAGAGAGCTCGATGAGGACTTCAACGAGAGAGGGAGCAAGAAGAGGAAGCGAAAGGCTGGAGTCGGCTTTGTTGACGTTTGTTTGCCCTGCGTTCAACGTCAACGGCCGTGCGACCGCTCGCTGCCTCTCGCTCGTTCTTCGTAGAGACGTTCTTCCCGATCTCTGTATCGTTCGTCGTCAGGCCCGTTCTTCTAGGTGCGTACCGAACTCGTTTCATGAAGCTATTCAGTACGCTCTGGGCTCTTTGTACCACAATTTTCAACCAAGCCGACACGACTCTCTTGTTGATGGCCATGGCTGAAAGCTGGAAGACATGATCCGCCGAATGACGTTGCTCAAAATCGCTTAGGTGGGTGAGAGAGAATTGCGCACGCAAGACTGTGAGTGAGAAGAATGATCAGAGTCAGCGTCAGCCATTTATGACCTAGGTGCGCATCTCGTCAACGTGCTCGGGCTTGGGGCGTGTTCGGTGAACTACGATGCACTTCTTGTGAGTCAAATCACCATCTCTATCTCTGCTCCCATCTCAAACACCTCACCGGAACGCTCTTTACGGTCCCTCCTCATCTACCCTCCTTCTCCATGTGCTTGGTTTTCACGTCATTCTCTTATGCCTCTGGCAGTTCTATCGGCTAAGAGCCTATTGCATGCACTGGGACATGATCAGAGAGGACTGGATGCTCTTGATTACACCGTGCGTACGAAACAACTCTTTGCTCTTTCCGTAGCTAACGTCAACTTTCCATCTACATTACTCCCTACGCAGTGCATCCACTTTCGTCTCCCTCGCACAATTGATCACTGTCAAGGAACCAAGTTTCCGAGTACATGTAGGATAAGGGTTATGTAGGATTAATGAAATTTGGATTGAACGAGAAAGCTGCCGGTTACTGTCTATTATCAGAGTACATATAGACATACGAATATATATATGAATTTTTGCTACTTTTCGGGTGCCACACAGCGACCAGAATCGCACTGACCGCACTGAGACGCCCTGACAGCCCTGACAGGCCCTGACGAACTCTCGAGACCTCACGGACTTTCACGGAACGGATCGTCAGGGCCGCTCAGGGCTTCTCAGGGCCTCTCAGGGATTTCCAAGAGTTCTGATGAGAGCAGGAGTAGGCCCGTCTCGAGAATCCAAACTCAATGTGAACTGAGTATTATATCTAGCGCCACACTCGAGATTTCGAGTTCACACTTTTCGTTCTCAGGATGATGAACGAAACTGATGTGAATCGCTACATATATGCCCTAATAGCTAATATATATTCAATCTCACGCAACTTCCCTTTCATTGTACAAATTCCATACGCGCTCCATCCTACTGGTAGACTCCGCATTTCACATCTCTTTCAATCAGTGGACGGGCAGAGGTCGGAGGTGGCCCTTCTCGCGTCGAAATCGCACTGAGTGTGAATTGAGCTTCGAGGCTCCAATGCGACAAAATTGCGAAGTATTTAACCCATCATGGGTTGAGTTCACATCGCCAAAACGCGATGTGAACCGCTACATATATGCCCTATTGAGTAGGTATTGGAAGAAGCTAGAGTGCTGAACGTACCTGCTGTTCAGCATAGAAAATTATGCATCCAACATCTCTTCGACTTCGATCTCGGAAGCAGTCTCAGCGCGCTCGAGGTCCTCTGCATCTCCATCCTTGTTCGCGCCCACACTCTCTAAACCAAAAACTCTGACACCATGATGTGAAGTCTCTGAATTACCCTGTACATCCCTCGCTTCTTTCGCGCTGCCTATACACGTGTACAAACAATTGCCATTGTCAGACCACTCGAAATATACGCGTAGAGTTTGAGTGGCTCACCTTTACCTGCCCAGGATGGACTGTGACCCTGTTGACTAGTAGGTTGGTACGGGTGCCACTTCTCTCTTGCGCGGAGGGTATGCGCAGGAACATATGGTTCCGGCTTGAAACTGTCGTCTGATCGCACGAACGAGAATTCCGGGCCCAAAAGACGAGCCTGAGCGAGTTGTTCTGGGGTAAGGGTTGGAATGGTCGGCGTTGAATCCGTAAACGTGTACGTTTGTTTAGGGTGATACTGGCGTCGAGAGCGGCGACGGGCTACTTCGACGGCGTATCGTGATTGAAAGCCGGGACTATACGTGGGGATTGCATATGGAGCTCGTGCGTTCGTATTCGAGGTCGTAGTTTGAGAGGTACAGTCAATACGCTCATACGGAATACACCGATAAGGAATAAAATTACCATATATGGAAATGGGTGTAAACATGGCCCGACGAAAGATTCAATTATGGAGACACATTGTTCAACTCATGACATGTCATCTACCACCCAGATATGTCAGTATATGTCGTAGAAAGATACATGTATATTTTGGAATCTCTGCCATGACTATCACAATTGCTGGAGTGATTTTCTCATAAGGAATAAAATAATCCGAATTACCCCGATTTTATTCCATATGAGGATATCAACTGTATCGGTGTTGTCATGGACATCGGGAGACGACATGCTAGACGAGCGAAAAGACCGCGGAGCTGATTCGTCGAGCAGAACCCTCATGAAGATTTGTCGCGGTGGGCACGATACAGTACAAGATGAGAAACAATATTTCGGAGACGAAGTCAGGTGATCTGGCCATGTGTAGTCGCCGTTTCAACTTTCGGCTTAGTACTGTACCGGTACCGGCATCAGCCAAACCGCCAAGCTCTGAGCGCGACTTTCAGATTTGCTTCCGGCTCGCCGGAGCTTCCGAAGCGCCCGCGGCTGTGGCCCGCGCTGGCACGCTCTCGCAAGGGCTCGAGGACAGAGCCTTGCTCTGATCAGGTGTGGTACGGTGAGTACATGCATTCTACAAGCTACTGAAGCCAGCAGCCGCGAGTATGCGTAAGTCATCAGCTTCAAACCCGTCTTCCGAACCACCGTCGCCCTCTACTGGTGGTGCATCCGAGTCCTCATCATTCTTAGCTGGCTCCCGGCCGCCACTCAGATCTAGAGTCTCTCCTTGCTCGTCATCCTCGTTCGCGTCGCTATCCTCTCCTTCATCGTCACTCCCTTCCGCCTGTGAATCCTCCGCTTCGGCTTCCTTTCCCTCCTCGTCATCCTCGTCGCTCTCGTCCTCATCATCCTCGTCGCTCTCCTCGTCCTCCTTGTCGTCCTCCTCGTCCTCCTCCTCGTCCTCGTCTTCTGTCTCCTCGTCTTCCTCTCCTCTCCCCCCCTCCTCCTCGTCATCCTCTTCATCCTCATCATTGGCTTCTTGTGTGTTCTCATCGTGTTCTTCGTTAATTTCTATGTCCTGTTCTTCCTGCAAGGCACCAGGATCCAGAACATCTCGGCGTAGGATGGTGTTGCATGACTTGGTGCTGCGGTGGCCGATACCTCCGCCACGGAAGCGCATCACCATATCACGATCCACAAACCTATAAATAAACGATGATGTTGGCACTTCGTGTGAGCAAGTGAAAGAGGAGTCGACGGGTGTGGACTTACATGTTCACATAAGCGAACTCCCAGTCGTCTTCTTCAACTTCCGCATCTCGACCGCATGCACGAGCCAAGGAGGGATTGGGCAGGATCAAGGATGTACGACCGTAGTAAAATGCCGGAATGATGTGAATCCCGCGAATAACGTCTGCAGGGTTTACGAAACCAAAAGCGTCGGGCTTGTCGTGCTGGACAAAACGAAGACGAGGGAGCCGCTTCTTTGCCCAGCCGCACTCGTTCACAGGATCAGTGTACCAGCGTACCCATAAGAACTCTACACGCTGGAAGTCTCCATCCGAACCATCCAAACCTCGATGCCGAACCAGACAATGGAAGATGCCAATGACACGAGCGTACCAGTAAGGATGAGCGCGGCGAGCCTTGCCAACTCGTAATCGAATGTTCAGAGGTGGAGAATCAGTCCGAGGTTTGGTCCAGACTTCACTGCTCAACTTCCTGGCGTTCATTTTCGTCGCAGCATTGGGATCTTTGACGAAGGTTGTAGATGTGACACAGAGGCATGGAGGGTGAATTTTGGAGTGGCTTGGGGGTATTCTTGATACTCAGGGCCCGGTCGGTCAGCCAGAGATTACGACGGGGCGGTTGACGGCATCTATAGGTCAGTGATCCCCTTTATTAGCGAAACCTGGTAGTTCACAGATCTCACCATACTTGTTGTACAGGCTGTCTCATTGCCGCGCTATATCACTTTGAGGCTAGCCAACTGGAGTATAGCCTCGTCAACGGCACCTTCGACAGCAAAGATGACCTGAAGGATGCAAGGACCACTGTAGGTGGACAATCCTCCCAGTCAAAGCTTGCAGAGACTCTCCCTCCTAATGACGAGGCCGCTGGCACTCGACGCTTCATCGCCCCAAGGCGCGCAGCAAGCACCTCACATGAACCAACTTCGCCTTTCTCCATTCTGACAACGCCGTTCACTACCATCTCACTCATTACCTTTGTGTTCACCCATATTCCCGCCCTTCTTCTTTCATCGGCTCATCCTCTCTACGGGCTCAATCATCTTGCTCTCGCCGCCGCCGACATCGGATCAATTGGCAGCCCAAGTATGGAGGCTTTTATCAAACTATTCGCGAACATTCCGCCCCCTTTCCTTGCTCTCGTCACAGTGCCGAGCATCGTTTCCCTTTTGTGTTCGGCCACCTGGGTAAAAGGTGGAAGGGAGGTATGGGAGTACGCTGAAAGGTGGAATGTATTAGAGAAGGATGAGAAAACCGAAGAGGAAGACCAAGCTCTGCATTCGGAGTGATTGTCCAAATGGCTGCTTTCTGTCAATTGTGCGTAGATAGTTGAATATCGGCAGACGATGTTGCTACTTTCGTTCTGACCCACGCATATCCAAAGATTCATTGGTCTGCAGTGCTCCCCCGCCCATGTATCATTCTTGACTCTGTCTGTATACTTTCCTCACATTACTTACTGCTCTTTCCTTTTTACGTCTTATTTGTACTTTGCCCATTATATATATGTGCGAGATTAATTCGTGTAATAGATAAAGATGTTGCCTTCAGTATAACAATGTACCTCGTAGAACCTTGCTCCTTAGATTTTGTAACCTACTTACGCTGACGCCACAGTGGCGACAAAGGACTCCGTTCCGTGAATTGCCGAAACACGAAGCGCGTGTTTTCAAGTCGTCCGACGTTTTTGGTTCTACCCCTCACCTTCAACTTGTTCGACCGTCTCCCTTCGATGCATCGAGCGCTGTTCTTACCCGAAATCTTCATTGCCATACTATCTCTTCTCTCCCGACAGGACAATGCTAGATGCGCCCGAGTCTGCAAGTTGTGGTCGGACGCAGCGTTAGACGAGGTCTGGCGTGAAATCGATAGCATTCTCAACCTCTTTCGAATAGTAGGGCTGAAACCAGGCCTCATGGACCTAGTGAGCCTTTCTAGAATGATGCGAAAGATCATTTCCATTCTCTGATAATTCTATTGAAGACCTTAGAAAGCCCTCCTGGTCCGTCACAATGGGCCCGCTTATTGAAAGTCTCTCGCCGTGTTCGGTGCCTGGATCTACGTCTGGAGATATATTTCAGACAATCTCTCAGTGACTTAATCAAGACAATGGACCCCCCATGCCAGATTTCTACAATATTCCCGAGGCTTCGCCGTATGACGGCGGTCCTCGACGATGTCGCTCTCCCACTATTCCTAAACCCTTCGGTCACTGCCCTATACTTAACGATCTGGAGCTCAGATGAAACGATAAAGGAACTTTTCATTCAGGCACCCTACCTGAATGTGTTACGCTTTACGGAGTCACAGGCCGACCCTCTCTCGATCCAGACGTTGCTCTCACAGTCATTGACGGCCTTTCCGTCTTTGATCGAGTTTTATGTACCGTCTAATTCCCTACTACCTTCGCTAGTTGAGATAGCGTCCCTGCTACCTAACCTCCGAACGCTAGGGCAGTCCCCACCTGAAAAGGTTTACTATAATAGATCCCAGTTTCCTGGCCGTTTTGTGCCCGACCTTAAGGTCGGATCTTTTCCATCGTTGCGGGAACTCTCCTTCACTGCGACACTTTCAGATGCGACGGCACTCATTCGACACCCACATTTTCCATCTCACAACCTCGCTTGTCTGAGGCTGTATGCTATTTTCCCACTTAGGGACCGCGATTTCATCCACTTCAGCACCGCCGCGGCAGACCTCTGCCCGGACATCAAGGAACTGGCGATCTTTGTAGACGACCATTCTCCCCATGCGCGTCTGCACATTCAGTTTTTCGAATTAGCCCCTTTGCTTCATCTTCGGAAGCTGGCTTGTCTGAACATACATTATCTTCACCCCATCCACATGTCTGACCAAGATGTTAAAGACCTCGCCTCCAATGTTCCATACTTGGAGAGACTGCACATAACTACGGCAGAGCCTTCGTTCGTCCACCCACGCACATTGCCTTCCTTGCCCACATTGACCCAGTTCGCGCGACACTGCCCCCTACTTCGAGATCTAACGCTGTGTCTCGATGTCACCGACAACGATGTGGACGCACTCTCTGGCGCACCGTTGCTGTTCCGGAGCCTAGAGCGATTGAAGCTCCATCTGGGCTTCGCCATCACGTCCAGTGACGAGGTAGAGCCTCTCGCGTCGTTCATCACCGGTATGCTCCACGACGACTGTGTCTTTCATGCAACCTCTATTGTCGTGGATGATTCCGCAGTGGAACGACCTCTCAGGCTGTCGCAGCCCATCAGCGGGAAATGCACTTACATTGAGGAACTCGTCCAGCGCATGCTAGAAAGCAGGAGACATTGGGCGAAGGTGGAGAAGCGGATGAAGACGGAGATGCAGAGGGTGAGGAAGGAGAATGAGAGGTTTTTGCGGAGGCTTTGAACGTGGTGTTATTGCTCGAATTGGTATGTACAGGTCTTTGCTTTACTCAACCGCCAGTATGTGCTGGGCCCTCACTAGCAACGGCATACCTAGTGATAGTCATTTGATTTTTCGACAGGCAATGCGGTGATGTGGCATAACATCGTGGCCCGCCTCGCCATCCTTATTTCAAATCTCAAATTTGACCTTGTCCTCTTGATCTCCTTCGACGACGAAAGTTTTTTCTACGCTCGCAAAAGCTGCTTCGATGGATCTCGAGCCAGTATCTAGTTATAGTGATTTTCTACATCGAGAAGGTCAAACTCTCCCTTTCTGAACAGTACTTGAAAAGCAAACAGCAACCACGGTCCTCGTGTGTCCATCGTTTTGGTCCATCACCAGATGGACCAGAGGACCATGCAAGGACCATGCCCATTTGCCCGACTAGACTCTCTCAGCCATATCAGGTCGTGCTCCATATTTTTATTCCACGGAGACTCTCTTGCTGTGCGCGGCCATCGACGTCGTCTAAGAAGTCGATGGTCCCGCGTACAATGGGGTGCAATTCGAATAGCCTTATAAGGCCCTCCGATTGTTCGGTCTGACTTCAGCCTTATCTCTTTCCCCACCAGTCGCGCCATGTTCGGTTTCCAACCCTCTATCCCACCCCTTCCCTCTGACCTCTCCTTCAACGGCAAAACCGCTCTCGTTACCGGAGCCAACGTCGGTATCGGCCTGTCTACCTGTCTCCACCTCCTACAACACAACCTCTCGACGCTTCTCATCAGCGTTCGCTCCGCCTCCAAAGGGACAGCTACAAAGTCCCACCTCCTCTCCGATCCCATCGTCAAATCCCTCGCTGTCCAGCCTACCATCCTCATCTACCAGGCCGAATTCTCTGATCCGAAGTCCGTGAAGGCGTTAGCGGATAAGGTCGCGGTGGACTTGGGAGATGCGACGTTGGACGTAGTGGTGCTGAATGCGGGCCTCGTCGGTTGGGATCTCGTAAGGTCCGAGGCGACTGGCTTCGAGATGATGTTCCAGGTCAACTTCGTCTCCACGGCTCTCCTCGCGATACTCCTCCTTCCCCTCCTCAAACGCTCCCCATCTACTGTGTCATCGTCTTCTCCCGCCTCAAATGAACCTGCTCGTCTCACCTTCGTCGGCTCCTCAGCCCAGTCCTCTACTTCCCTATCCAATCGTTCTTCTGCTCTCGCGTCGTCGAGCAAACCCCTTTTCGCGCAACTTTCCGAGTCAGCATCGCGCACGATGGGAATGCTCCGATATGGTGATTCCAAGATTTTGATCTACATGTTCGTCCGCGAACTCGCGAAACATGTCGACGTCAATTCCGATGGCAGCAGTCGTGGAGTAGTGGTCAACGATATGTGTCCTGGAATGGTGGCGACAAGTTTGGAGAGGACGATGCCGGCGTGGAGTACACCGTTCCTGTGGCTCATAAAGGGGTGGAGGGCGAGGACGCCCGAAGTCGGAGGGAGGACGGTGGTGTATGCAGCCGCTTTGGCAGGCAAGGAAAGTCATGGTGAATTCTTGAACCACGAGAAGATCGCCAGGTGGGTTGCCTTTTTTTTTTCCTTCGCTTATGTGTTGCAGTATCGAGCTGATGATGGATGTAGGACGAAGGCATTGGAGTTCATAGAGACTAAGAATGGGACGTCAATTGAGAAGAGGGTTTGGGAGGAGATGTTAGCATTGACACAGGAGGTAGCTCCGGGAAGTGTTGATGCCGCAGGACTTCATTAGTCGCCAGTTTGTCGCGCGTAAATTTGTGATTCCCCCCCCCCCCCCCCTTGGATAATGCTTTCATTGTATTTTTGCTTTGAGATTCGCCTTCGCCCACTGGCCTTGTGTCGAGTACTTCGAGATAATGCTGGCTGTCACACTTACACGCGACTCGCGCTGTTGAATAAACAAGTAGTCAACAAAACTAGTCGAGACTACAGCGCATGCCTCATACGGCCCAGTCCACGTCGTCGTGTAAGGATCACTCGGGAATCACTCAACCACGCCAGATAGAGGTCGTTGCTCGGCGTCCTGTAGCAATCATGCGAGAACAACATCAATAAATGACATTGGGGCTACGTATAATGATGCAAGTGATGAAGGGCAACCGAAACTGGAGGGGTGACAAGCCTCAGATTGCTGCTAAGTACGGAGAAGACGAAGTAGATCGATGACAATGCTGGGCAGTAAGAGTCCGTGGGGGGTAGACTAACTGCGGTGAGTGGACGCGAAATGCTACTACTATGGGTACAGGAATAAGACGATATATATGAGAAACTCAGAAATATAGACGGGACGACAGAGAATGTGGGTAAAATAACGACGCAGCGCCTCAAGCACCGCAGCTACCATCGATGGAACAATCACATCTACAACCTATGCCAGATACCATACCAGAGATAACCGAGTATGTACCAGATGACCCAGTATGGATACCGAAGTCCGAAATGCGCCATTATATACACACCGATACAATGAACAACAGCCTACGTGCTCTTCTCAACGTTCTCCTCCTCGACTTGGGGCTTTTCCTCGATGGGGTACAGAGGAGTCTTCTCGTCGAGGGTGTAGTTGGGAGGAGGTACGACGATGTCTTCGGCGTCGGTGAAGATGACTTCGTGGAAGACGAGGTTGTCGGTAGAGGCGGCGTCATTGGTGCCACGGACGGTGCGAACGATGAGGACGGCAAGGACCCAGAACATACGAAGGAGGACACCAATACCGCAGCCTAAAATACGCCACGTAGACGGACCAAAATTAGCACACGACAGTCGGAATGGAAGGATGAAGTGGGAAAGCAGAGGTGAATATTCAATCAAAGTCCAGGGGCGGTCCAAAGAATTGCAGAATCGAATCGAGGATAATGAAAACAAGAAGGAAAGGCTCACCAAGAACGAAGGCCATGGCGCGACCCTCCCAAGGGCCCAAAGACATCAACGCGCGGTGGATACGCTGCAAGAACGCACCCTTGTGGTGTTTCCAGTGGTGCATGGCTCCGGCATGATGATGATGGTGGATCCGATGTCCGTGGTGCTCCTCCATTTCTCCCTCTTCGGCAGGTCTCATCGGTGGCCCAGGTCTGAACTTCACCATGACGCCATGAGCATGTCCGTCCTCCTTATCCTGCTCATCGGAATGGTGATGTTCATGCGCCTTATCTTGGTCAAAGCGCACAGGGGAGTGGAGAGGAGAGCCAGAATGATGCGGAACGGGAGAGGTGATGGGGGGCGGATTGAAGTGGCCCGCGAGACCCATAGCACCAAGCATGCGAGAGACGCCGTCCTTCATGCCGGAGCAGAGGTGGCGAATGCGAGTGGGGGGTCTGAGGCCGGCCTCAGATTGAGCAGTCCTCATCTCAGATGGGCGGGCGTGAGTGGCTGCATGTCCGAGACGGAAGGAGGACACTTCGGTGGTCGAGATCAAGATAGTGATGGGTGCGGCACTGGCTGTGAACCAGGCAGAGTCAAGCAAAATCGAAACAAAACGAGGCGATGTCAGAGTAAGTTTTCGATACGAAAGCGAATAAGACTCACCGAAACTAGCGCCTGCCACAAGCAGCGGGAGACTATACAATTTCATTTGGAAAAAAGAAGTAGATTGGGAACGAAGACTGAAAAGAGCGGATTTGTTGGTGAGCTAACTGGACACGATGAGAGACGGCTGTGGGATGAGAACAAGAGGATGGACGCTACCTGAGGGTTGTGGTGGTTGGGAGGAGGAGCTGATGATGGCTGCTGCGGCACTGACAGAAGGCTCCTTCCACGTTTCAAACTCCGACTACGCCTGGCTATTTATAGCTGCCGCACCACAGCCGTTAGCCACCGCATGTTCAGTGCTGCGCCGCTGCACCTCCACAAAATATTTCGCGTTCTTTTTTGCAAGTGATACCAATGTCTACACGGGTTTCTAAAATTAAGATCATTGATGCATAGAGTCATTGAGTGTCAGTCGAGGTAAGCCTTGTGCACATCTTACCCCCACTTGATGCTCGCCACAGCAGTGAACAGTGAATATGTATGCTACGGCACCAGGTAAGCGCCAGGTTGGTTCTGAGCGAAGGGAGTAATATACAGGCATAATAAGAGATGATATTACTCGTTGAGTATGATTTGCCAAAGCGTAGAAGGATTGAGTGGGGAAACGAGGTGACGGTATCCTAGTAAGTGTGGTACTACACATAAACCCTTCCATGGGTGTGGTACCCTTTCAACATCATTCTACTCCAGAGAACCAAGGATCGGATAGAAGTTCACTGGCAGTTGCCCTCGTAGCAGGATTCAAACACAAACATCGACCCATTATAGCTGCCAGAGCGTCAGCGTCGTCATCCCCTAGTACTTTCGACCGCTTGATGGCGACGTCAAATGGGTAATTGAACATAGGCGGGTGGGCTTTGAGATTTCCTGAAGGATGGAATATGAATAACAGTATCGTGTAGAAACATAAGCAGAGTTTGGCTAGGGTATGTTGACGGTAATGTACCTGTTTCGTCAAAGTAGTCGCCGGAGAGCTTGCTTACAGCAAGCTGTCCTGGCCAGAAATCTTCACAGGTGTAAACCATTATCTGGTAGAGAAGATAGCTCATCGCATCCAGTTTATACTTCGGCCATGGGCAGTACCGGAAGAGAGGTCGTCCAATGACGAACTCGTACAACTTCAAGATATCGATCAGTCAGCGAAAGCATGTCGAACAGATGATTATCTCACCAGACATCCGACAGACCATATGTCGACTTTTTCACTCCATGGGCCTCCAAGAATAATTTCAGGAGGGCGTAGCTGGACAGAAGTGATTTCGTCTTGAATGTGATCTCTGATATGCTGGGCTACCACATCCTACTTCAGCGAGGATCGATGATACAGCGCAGGGAAGCTCACCGTTACCAAAATCGCCAACCGTAAAATCCAATTTCAAAGCTTCTTCGACCGTTGTGTGAGGTGAAAGTGGCTGTGAGACTGCACTGCGCACAGTGCCGTTCGCAGACAATTCAGGAGGATGACGGCGAGCTGGGTCAGATTCGAGTAATCTCTTGAAGTCGGCTTCGTCCATGCGAGTTGAGAAGAATATGTTGTCATGTTTCAGGTCTGTATGGATGACTCCACGACCGTGAGCATGGGCCACACCGCGCAGCATATGTAGAGCAATGCGTTTTGCAAGAGGGAGAGGAAGCCGGCGATTTCCGAACTCCGCTCCCAATATCTCGGATAAGAATTTCACGTTGCCAGCAAGCACCGGTGTGACTATGCACAAGTGCTCACCATCTTCTTCTCGTCCTCGAAATTTGAACGTTGACAGTAGACGGATGCAGTGTGGGCTCGGTGGGGAAGATGATATTCGACTCAAGGCTTCGATTTCCCAGACGCGACCTGCGGCAAGAAGGTCGGTGTGGTACCCATTCAGAATTTTCAAGGCCACATAGCGGTCATCACTGTACATGAAGCTTTGAGTTATGAGCAAAAGGTGAGGCGAACAGATGCGTATGTACCATTGATCACGAGCAAGCCAGGTACTTGAGGACATCCCCCAACCGAGTTTTCTTAATACGATATATCTACCCTGAGGCCCTATCGCTTCGTCAAACTCTAGCTGAGGCCATCCGTACCCTATCGCAGCCGGGAGTCCCAATGGCTCTTCGACGAATGATAGATTGATGACTTCCTGTTTTTTAGGCTCGACCGATAAGTGAACATTGTGGGACTGGTTAGATGGGGGGATGACGATGTCAGTGCCTGTGTGCGCAGAGTGAGATGGCATTGAGAGACGATTTGGGTAGCGGATCGGAAAAATAGATGAGGTATGCAGCCCTTTGAGATAGCGAGGTAGACGTAGTGAGTGCATGATTCAGAAGTTGCCCTAGTGCTTTTAGGTTGGCAGCGATGAAGTTCACTGATATAATTGGACAAGACTGAGAACAAGTAACGAACAGGGGCCACGTGCTGAACCGGCGCCTAGCTGATCTCAGACGCCACCACTGACGGGCAATCATGCCGCTCTTACCACGTTTCAGACTCCGACTACGCCTGGCTACTTATAGCTGCTACGCCACAGCCGTTGACCCGCCGCGCACCGCATGTTCAATGCTGCGCCGCTGCACCTCCACAAAATATTTCGCGTTCCTTGCAAGTCGTACCCTGACTCGTCCTTTCTGGTCCGAGTGTCTACAAACGGTTCATGAAATCATGGTTATCGACGCTTACAGTCACTGAGCGCCAGTAGAGATGAGACTTGTCCACATCTTAGTACCGCCACTGGACAACACTTCATGCTCAGCGCCATAGCAGTGAACAGTGGATAAGTACGGAGCCAGGTAAGCGCCAGGCTCGTACTGTGCAAAACGAGTACTACACAGGTACAATAAGAGATAATAGTGTTCGATGGGTATGATTTGCCACAGCGTATAAGGAACCGAGTGGGGGGGGTGCAAAGGTTGAACGCAGATAACATAATGAGTGCGCGATTCGTCGGTTCGATGATAAACGGCCTGTAGAGATAGGTCGACTGCGTTATCGAATATATAGCAAGCATCCCACTAATCGACATCATTGAACCAAGGGTCCGAAAGCAGTTCCTTCGCACTGGGCCTGTCATTAGGATTAAGTCGCAAGCATCTCCTCAAAAGATCGCCAGTGGCCTTCGCATCCCTTTCATCCAGGACGACGTACACCTCAATTGCGCCCTCGTAAGCAAACCGGTTCTTGGCGATTCGTATGCTGGGACGGAAAGTACCTACATTTCGTATGATGCTCAAATCAGTATCGGCGCGGCTCCACCTATGATATACGATGTAGAAAAGAAAGGAAGGGTCAATTGACGCACCATCCGGTTCGAAGTACATGTAACCCCGTGAACTTTGTGCGAGCTGGTCAGGGCTGAATCGCTCGTGGGACATGAACAGCATTTGGAAGAGAATATGTTCCAATAGGTCCATTTCCACTCCAGAGTGCCACTCAGTAGTGTCTTTGAAAAGGCTCGATCCGGTCAATAGATCAAAGACCTAGGGATGCGAAAACACAGACGAAAGTGAGATCCTTAATACGCAACACAAACACCCGAAGAATGGGGACACGCACCAAACAACCGACAGTCCAGATATCCATTTTCTCACTCCAGTCTCCTCCAAGGATGACTTCTGGGGGAAGAAGTAATGGAATCGAAGGACGATCTTGTACGGCTTCACCGACAATTGCCGCTGTTGCGATGACAATTTACTCAACCATAGTCAAAAGGCGCAGAGCTAAAAACACATACCAGTATCGAAGCCAGCCACGACATACGTATATCCCAAAGCTTCCTCCACCGTCGGCGGCTGCGATGCGGGGTCGCGATTGACCCCATCGTCTCTATCAGGCGAGGAGAAGAGGACCTTGTCTGGCGCTAGATCGGTGTGCATGACCCCACGGCTGTGTGCATGAGTTAACCCGCGCAGCATATGCAGCACGACGCGTTTGGCCAGAGGTAACGGTAGGCGCCCGTCTTCTGGAGAGAAAGAGCGAATTAGGCTGTACAGGTCTCCATCCATGATAGGGGTGACAAGGCAAGTATGGTCATGGTTCTGTTGGAGCGTGAACGATGACAGCAGCAGTTGACAGTGGGGGCTATACGGTGCAGCAGACATCTTCTTGAGAGCTTCGAGCTCCCATACACGACCAGAATGAAGATCATGAGTATAACTTCCGGCGAGAATCTTTATGGCGACGTGATGTCCCGTCCTATAAGTTTACATTGTTAAATCGAATGTGTATCATCCATTACAAAAAATCGCATACTTTGAATCCATGGCAAGCCAAGTTTCCGAGGTCTGGTCGCTTATTATCTTCCTGTCCAAGACATAACGACCGTCTTCCCCGAGTGACTGACCGCCTCCGACAACAGGCAAATCCCCGTTGATCCCATTGAGAAAGCTCGCGCTCCTGCTGCCCCTGATGATAGAGAGTTTTGCTTGAGCATTTCGAGATGTGGCTAACATCGGAGACAGGCTAGGTTGAGTAGCAGAGTAATATCTTTTAACTGTCGCATTGGAAAACTCAGGAGCAAGACTCGAAGTAAAAGCATGCAATGCTCTCGATGAGGGCGGCGTTCCTTGCGAAATTCGGAGGCGAAGAGTTCTGGTAAGGCCCGTCATAATTCGCGTCTATCCTGCCAGATATTGGGGTGTAAGTTCAAATTAGTCCCCGTGCCGTTTTAGTCGAGCAGTGGGTGCAAAGTGAGTGCGTACGAAGAAGAAGCAAGGGAACCTCAGGCTGCCAAACTTCAATTCCGAGGCGACGATCAGTGGGAGGCCGTCGAACTTCCCACGCACACGCGCATAACAAGCTCGAACGATGCGTGAGGCCCAGGCGCCACTGTGGCCCAAGGTAGGCTTCAGAGGACAAAGAACGAGTTCAAACATTCCTCGATATGTATTCGTCATCTGGGACTGAGAGGATACAAATATTATAGTTCAAAAATGAGTGGTGGTTGATAATGATGGTACACGTTGATGTTGAGTGGTGATGCAGGCGAAAAGTACTACTTATGCGAGGCAGTCACTGGCACAGAGTGAGGAAAATGAGCTATTAGTAAAATTCGAAGTGGTGTAAGGCAAATATAAGCTATGGTCCTTCTCTAGGGTGAAAAGAGATATTACTTATCCACACCATCAAACCATGGGTCTGATAGCAGCTGCTTTGCACCGGGTCTATCTTCAGGATTGAGGCGTAGACATCTCCTCATACGGTGGCATGACGCTGCAATTGTGCTGCAAAGGAACGAACCTCCTCACACCGTTTGGAACTAGCGACTGAGAGGAAAGTTGGAGGTTGGAACAACTTCCATGTGCGGAAACCTCGTCGCCACTGCGGCCCGACTATTCCCGGGCAAGAACGACTTCCCGTTAACCCAAGATCAACATACACATAATAAACGGGCCTTTGTAGAATATGAGGGTAAGAGAGTATCGATACAAAAAACATAAACCAACTTGGTGCACGACGAGAATGAGGAAGCGGCGAGCGCAATCACATCGAGTAAGTTTGGAGCGAGTCCTTTGTATGGATAGTACTTCACGATCGAAACCCGTTCGTGAGTCATGATTGGCATAGAGAAATCGAGATGCGGGACTTAGGGTCGGAAATTCAGCTCTGGTACCGTAGGCAGGCTTCTGCTAGAAAAAACCTCTAGGACAGGACATAAAAGGAAGAACGGACTATGACGGGAGGTGCACTCGTTGTCTTTCGGCTTGCAACAAGATTTGGTTAATTAGAGTAACTGGACAAGGATCAAACTACAAGAATCAATTGCGAGACTGTCATGGACCACAACTCAAGCGTCCGACTTCACTCAGAAATAAGCAAAGTATGGGGAAGCTCCGGGTGAAGGCGATGCACATACGAGACGAATGGAGAAACAAACCCTGATATTCTCATGATCTTTAAGGACATGACTGGAAGTAACCGAGTCGAAGGGTTTTTGCTATTGCATCCAGCACACGCTGAGTTTCGAAGGCCATGACCGCGATAATGAGAGACTCGCCAGGGGTCCCAAAAAAGTGAACCTAGTCTCAAGGGAGGTGAGCAAGGTGGCCGTTCCGACTCGAAGACCGTGTGGGCCACTGTCGTATATAGAAATATGCGTGTAGTTGGTCCCAAGTTAGTCCGGCGATGGGTTTACGGATGACGACACTTCGGCGCTCCGACTCTTGTGAGCATGAACTTCCGACGAACCTATCTAGCAAACCCGCAAGGTTGAACGAATCGGAAGGGCGAGCCTGAGCGTCCGAGTCAGATCATGCACGAGTTCGGAGGTGTCGGATACTTAGATGGACCTGCATAAGTCACGACAGTCAGCGGTGACACTACGGGTGCGGTACTTATGGGCAGGTTACTAGCCATGTAACGCTAAATCACGTTGAAAGGCAAACCGCCAGATCACCAGGACACTGGGGGAAACTGTGGTCGAGACCAGGGCGGATTATGGCCGAGACGGCACGGATGTTCGTGTGCGGCTACAAACATGAAGTCATAGACTTGAGGATTGTACCAGTATTGACGCCGCAGACCCTGAAGTGAGCGAGTTGAGCAGGTCGCCTGACACGGGAATGAAGAAAAACAAGGACCTACAAGTGACGCATCCTGTGTTTTGGATGTCATGCGAGCGAAAGCGAGAATGACAAGCGGGTAGTACTCGAGTCCGCGACGCAGACGCTGCCGGAGTCACCTGGTACGCCGTGAGTGAAACAGGAATATATCAGAGTCGTGGTTCACGATGCATGATTCCATGACGGATCACACACACGGGCACGCTGACAAGGGAACGCCTGCGACGAAACGACGTAAACAAATCGTCATATACATTGTGTCGGTCTGAGCACGCTCGAAGGGTGGCACGGCGAAGTTCTCGAAGTGAAAAGATGATGGCCATGGGGTGAAACCGTGGGGGTCTCATGCATGCATGGCCCGCCGAATTCGTGTTTGCGATAGAGCGTAACTAGAAGTGTTTGCGCCATAAACAATCAATAAGCGGTCAGTCGTGAGAAGAGCGGCTTTGTCGAGTCCAATAGGCACCGGGAATATCTGGATCAGGCAAAGTACCACCCATGAAAAGAGAAAGGCCTAACGGAGAAGAGGAAGAGAGGACATCTTCTGCTGCACGGGATGAATGACGATCCGGGGAAATAGCCTTTCGAAGCAGGGGAAGCGGATGGCGGAACGAAAACTGACATTGCGTGCTGGCCCTCGGAATTCTGGGACACGTCAGAGGAAATACACGCCTTCGGTGCGTGTTCGATGATGCTAACTTATACCACTGGGGAATCTTGTGGTAGACCGCGATACTTTGTCCATAGACCTGAAGAGCAGAAAGTCTCGGCCATAGGTCGGGATTTATTGTCGTGACATTATGGTCGTAGCCTGAGAAAGTAGGTGGTCATTTATGTCCAAAGGTACTTCGAGGATCAACCGTGCGTGCCGCGGACTGATGCACCTGGAGCGATATTTTCTTTCTACAGCGCCTGTAGACATGTCACATGCTGTCTAGACTCTCTGCTCTCCGTTCATGAGTGAATAAAGATATACCTCGAAACATAAGGAATGCAAAACGGCTCCAACTCACCCTCGAAAGGATCCCGCGGCGCACGGTCTGGATGCAGAGGAACAAGCAGCGTCAGAGGATCATCGAAGGTAGGCACAGATAAGTGCACGTGCGTACAACCCATGCACAAACACAAGTCGTTTCTGAGGCTCTTATCTTGTCTCACGCTACTAGCAGTCGAGGCGCAAACGACAAAAGTCTAGAAACCAGAGCCATCAGGAGACATTGAGAAACCGTTGCGTGAAAGCAAAACGCATCTCGTTGAGAATATTATGACATCTTCAGATTAAACCACAGGACGAGCGTCTCGTGGATGCTTCTAGGGCGTGTCATTGTCTAGATTCCAATTGAGCTCGAGACAGTTAAGAACGTGAGCGGGAAGAACGATCACTTGCTCTCGACTTTGCGTAGGCGCAGAGCAATTGCGCCGTAAATCGTATGAACTGCGGTGCTTCCGAATCAATTTCACAGCTGCTTCGAACAAGCCTTCATTCCTAGTAGTACGCGCTCGCTCAACGAAGTCCGTGTGAGCACGGGATGTGGAGTATCCGAAGGGGAATACGAACAGAGTCGCTCGGTTAGTCACAGCACGCCGCTGAGAGACCTTCGATGGAGCCGGAGTGATATATTACCTACGGTTTGAAGGGGAAGCAGACGGTGAAAAAAATGCAGACGCACCATCCGTTTCTGGCGAGTCGACAGAGGACAGGCACGTCTGACGACCTCACTTCCTGTTACGATGGGATATTTACCGACATCAAATTGACAGGTCCAGCGGCTGGCTAGACGCTAGTAATCCACTGAATCGGACGAGTTAAGACTTTGACGGATCAGAACAGACGGAATGTCATACTGACCGGATGGGCTTCATCGCGTGCTATCCAGAACTGTGGGCCTATGGCATGTGTATCAGCAACTGATTCGAACAATAAGTAGGTCCTCCCCTTTGCTCATCCAGTGCATAGTCCTGAAAATCTCAACGTTTGTGTGACCTAGGATCAAGGCATACTTCACGTGAGCATACGCATGCTCTCGAATGGAAGTCACAGAAGCTTTCTCGCGACGGTATATGAGAAAGCTCACCAACGCACAAAGGGAGCCTCGTCCACACAATCATTGATCGGATGCTCAGATGATGCATGACGCAAAGGCCAGGCAGCAACTCCATGGGTATGCAGAACGTCTACCAAGAAAGCTATCCGTCTAACAAAAAACCTCTGGACGCGAGGGCCTCGACCCACGTTAGTCTAGTCGCTGCAATAAGTAAGATGTATCAAGCTCACCAATTGAACTTGGTCTGCAAGCGTCTTCCAAAGCTCCGATCTGGTCCCGCGAGGTGTCTCCGACATAATCTTAGTACGGATGCGGTACCGCACCCGCGCCTCGTCATTGTCAAAGCGTTTCTGGTCCGTTTGTGCTACGAGCTGAGTGTGAGCGATCGGTGCATAAGAGAACCTGGGAAGCGACTGACCTGAAGCTCGGACGTGTGCCCTAGTGAGATCGAGTGTATGAGTGAGTTCGAAGTAGTGTTCTTCACAAGAAAAGACGCTCGGGGGACGCACTTGGGTTCACGGTCATGGATAAAGCGTCCGCTGCTCATATGCATTGCGCCTCGTCGGATGACCTCCTATATTCTCAGGATCCTTGAACGGGAACACTTCATGTACCGAGGTGAGCAGGCATTCGAGCTGTTCTATGTTTCTGTATGGATGGTAAAAGCACAGTAAGGCAGTGGCACTGTAGATGAAGAACGACAAGACCTACCTGAGTTCCAATTTACCTTCGGTGTCATGGGTCTTACTCGTCAGGGACTGTCACACGCACGATCAAACGACGTCAACCCTCAATCTCGATACACGGCCAAGTGAAAGTGAACAACATACTGGCAGTATGTACTCGTCAGAGCCAAGATAACCTCAGAGGACTCAGGTGTGCCCATTAGATATGGTATATAACCCATGGTTCATAGACCGCCAAGGTGCTCGTGGTCTCGTGTCTTCATGGCGATACACTTGGTCCATGATCCGATATGCACAGCGTACCCAAACCGAAAGTTAGGACACAGGACCCAAGATGTTGTGGTCCATGGCAGCTAGAAAACCAAGACATAAGTAACGCGATATTTCTGTCAGAGGTAGGCAATCAATGGAGCGCATACGCATAAAGGAGTAGGTGAAGCAAAAGTCGCTCACGACCACTTGGATTCCAACTTTACCTGACAAAAAATAGCCCGTACGTGAACTGGTGTGAATATGTCAGACAGATAGCAAATATACCTCGGTTTACTCCAATGCTTCCAGCTTTATCTGTCGTCTATTATGATTCGATGAGGTCCTTTGTCCAAACCCATATCGACCACAGGAGCGAAGCGATGAGCTTACTTCATGAATAGCTTGGTGCTCTACTACACTGCACTCCTCAACTATACACGTCGAACGGCATAAAACCCGCACGTAGTACCACCCGTCCAATCGTCTGATCACGCATCCCACGTCCTCCCACATCCAACTATTAATTCTAAAACAAGAACGCATTGGGGAGAGGAACCGTCAATACGTATTCCTTCTAGATCCGTCGCGTATTCACATAGGTAAACAAAATGCGGGGGGTGGGGAAATAGACAAAAAAGAAGCAGATGACGTACCTGGTCATCGCAGGATCGGTTTGTTCGTTTGTTCTATGAATCCGGGGTAACTTCTTCGCGTTCTGCGGTGTTCATCGAAATCGATCTTGGAAGTACGTGTGTATCCGGACTTTATGCTTGTGAGACGGAAAGCAACCATGCAGGCTCGCAAGAGGATAGAAAGTCTCTGTATCGACTGGCTCGCTCGAAGAACGATACCCTCTGAGGTTCGACGCATCGTCGAGTGAACATCAATCATACTTCATCTGCACCATGCAAATTACATACAGACACACGACTCAGACTTCGATGCACAGAACACGAAGAACACGAGAACATGCAATCGAATCCGAACGTCCGTCGATGTCGTCTGCACCTATATATAAGTATGTGTGTGTGTACATCAAGATCATTGACTTCACCGAGTCGTCATACAGTACAAGTTTGTGCATGCATTCGAGGGCGGTGACGAAGAGGGATTGGATTGCGCAATGCGATCATCGAGGCGCTATGTACTCTACATAGACAACCTGCGTCCCTCCTCTTCTTCTGGGCATCGAAGAAAGTCGAACTCAGGATCGACAGAACGCGATCTGTTCATAACGAACCATGGTTATTCCAGCTAAGTATTCCATGGGTGGCGCATTCAACCCCTCTCGAACGTCTGATTTATATCGTACCGCGGCCGTCGCACACAGCATAATAAGTTACGTGGCCACACATGAAGATCCGAACACAACTCCGGATCATAGCACGCCACCTAATTATCGAAACAACTCGAAAGACCGCCCCGTTGGCAGTGGTGGTGGTGCTGTATCGTGGTCCACATCAAACGGCGAGGTAGCCTCTGCCGCGACTAGAATACTGTACCATTTCGACCTTATGTTCACGGGGTGTGACCTGTGACGCTCTGAACTGGGCAAAATTGTAGTTCACGTCGGTTATTCGGTGGCTGTCCGACTCCCCCTGCTGTGACTTCGAGTTCATAGACGGTCCAAAATGACCTTATACGTCGCGCCGGAGGCGCGAACCGAAAAATATCGATTTTTAAAGGGTTTTTTCTCAGTTCACAGACCTCTGTGACCTGTGACCTCTTGGCGCTGTGGGGTTCAGAGGGGGGTGTCCGTGACGCGTGACTGAACATAAGGTCGAAATAGTACAGTAAGTGAGAGGAAGATCCTCGAGGATTGGACGTGGATCAAAAGGCATGCATTCCCGCCACCCGATGTGCGATGTGAGATGTGAGATGCGCAGCCTCCGCGCCACTCGTACTCGTACGCATACCCGAGGCACGAAGGAACCCTCAGACCTCGAGCTTCCTGCACTCGTACACGAAGAGTCCGAAATGCAAGGGGACGCATCAGATCCTCGAGGATCGTACATGGATCAAGATTTAGTGGATTACCGTGGCGTGGCGGTACACCCTGAGCCCTCTACACCACGCCACGCCACCCAACACTGGGCACGAACAGCCTGCAAACATGTACAGTCAGAGAAGCCACGCACAGTCGACGAACAGGAAGTGAGCCACTGTATTCGCTATATGTTGAACCACCCGATGATTAACAATGCGGGTGAAAATCGGTCTGCACTATGTGTCCACGCGTAGAGCTTCGGCGAAATAATCGCACGAGCAAAAATCCGACTCGTCCGTGGAATAAAATATAGCGTAGTAGACTGCCGTGCCAGTGCAGGTACCTGTCGAGCTGCAGGCCTTAGCCCTTCCTCCACGCCACCCGATGAAGAACGGCGTGTGCGAAGTAGAAAGGACGACAGACGAATCAGCTATGCAGGTATATAGATGAGCCCATGCAGAAGGCAACGAAACAGCCATGCCATCCGATAATCATCGTGCGGGAAGAAAATCATTCTGGGCTCTGAATACACGCGTAAAGCTGAGGAAAGAGAATCTCTCGATTGAGGGGAAGACGTACGTAGATCAAGGCATAGCGTAGTGAATTCGCCGTTCCCTGCCGTGGCGGCACAGGCATCGATACCGACACCCCAAGGACCCCGACCCTTCCTCCACTGCACGCCACTCGATACGAGTACCTTGCGAAGTCGAAAGGACGAGAGACGGAACTGGGGAGGTGTGTGCACGCACAGTCTACGGGCAGCAAGCACGCCACTGTGAGTATAGTAAGAAAGGGGGTGGATAATCACCCGATAATCAACAATGTAGGTGAAAAATCCTACCTGCGCCCTCCATCCACGCCACGCCACGCCACCCAATGCGATTCAGATGAAAAACAGCGTGTGCGAAGATGAAGAGCGTGCAGGTGTGCGTGCGCACAAGTAACGGACAAGCATGCCTATGCCATATTGTCGTTGCCACTGCAAGAAAGCGCTGCATAATCAATAATCACCCTATAAGTAATCGATAATAAAATGAAAAAAAGCGCTGTGTACAGTGTACACGCATAGAAACCTGGGTTCATATTCGCTCGAGGACCCGAATCATACAATACGTGGATCAAGATATATATGTACAGCCGTTCCGTCCCGTGGCGGTCCAGATACTATTATCTTCACACTGACCCCCCAGCCCTTCCTCCACGCCACGCTATTCTGCCAGTGAATCGATACGAATAGCGAATAGCGTGCGAAGTCGGAAAGACGAGAGAAGGAGCTGGTGTGTAGATAAACATGATATGTATGGGCCAACGCACGAGCGACGAAAATAAATTTTAACAGCTAACTATACAGCAGATGGCACAGGGTCCCCTCCTTATGTGGACCGTACATAGCTGTCAGGAGAACGAATACGAGGAGGACGACTGTACGCTCCTCGAGCTCTTTATGAATCCACGAGTAGTAGTAGTACTGTGTTGTGTTGTGTTATCCCGTAGAACGACATGAGCTCAGACTTCCTATATAAGTCCTCGAATGGTACGAGCCGAAGGGCCAGACGAAATTCTTGCATTGTGAGCTCAAAGAGGACAAGAACCGTCGTTTTGGTCGTCTACAAATCCGACATTTCCGAATCTCGAATCTCGACTCCGTAGTTCTGTAATAATTTCATCTGGAGCACAAGAGCGGATCGTACTTATGAGAGTCTGACCATTTATCTGAAACGGTCCACATATAGTGGTCTGAATCTGTCGGCGTCCCTCAAACAGTCCGAGGACAGAGTCTAGGCCACACAATGCACAGGACCCTCCATTCCTCTTTCGAGCATCCCTTTTGTCGTCCGACTTTGAATCAGAATCAGAAAAGAACGCACCATTGCATTGTTTCGATTTGGTTGTTGGGTGTACTTGGTGACTAGATTAGGCAGGATCGACCACAAGCTACTAGCAAGGGTCGGAATTGGCTAGATGAGGACGATGAGACGAAACATACATATGGCGATGAGCGTACCCTGATTCAGGACGAGCATCATCGGCAAGACAACGTCGTCGTTGAGTGGTTGACCAGGAGATGAAGGACGATTCGGAGCAGCATGTGCAATGTGCATCATCGTCGTACGTAGTGGCCCACGCAACGAAGTGGCGAGACAACTGTAACGCACGCGTCGTGGTGCGCAGGGTCTCGACCGTCAGCGCACGCACGGATACATCCGAAGTGGTGTTCGCGTGCCAATTGGTCCCCGGAAGCAAGGTCTGGCAAAGTCCGCAGTGAGATCTAAATTGAGAAGCCAGAGGCAAGCACGCAAGCGAAATGAAGAGCCGAGGGTGGGGCTTTGTATGGTGAGGTCTAGACTTTCGTTTCTGGGTTTCGTGGACGCTTGTGTTTTTGTTCGTGTTTCGTTCGTGGACCAGCGAGGTATCGTGTTTGCGAGACATGGACAGCTGGCAGAGGCAGAGACTGAGAGAGAGACTCCGGGGATGTGCGCTTTGTGTGGGACGGGAGATTGAGGGCCTGGACCAGCGAGCGCCAAGTGGAGGCGTTCAAATCCGGATTCTGGGGTTGCTGCCGACCGGTCGTCGTCCCCGCATCTCAACTGCAACTGCAGGCGAGGGATCGCTCCGCCGCCGACGTTATTTTAAGAATTGTATAACTATGGGTGTCCCCTCTTTGGGTCCTGCTCCCCGAGGCCCCTCTCTCTTTCCCCACGACTCTGACGACGACACGCCCACCCACGAACCGTACGTGTTTTTTTCTTTCAGATTTTGTGCGCGGTTTTGGCGGTGGGGTGCTGATCGGACTGGGGTTTTACGTCGGCAGGAAGGACACAGCTGCCTCGTGCCCTATCCCGTTTTGTCACAAGAAGAGCGTTCATCTCTGGACAGTGAGAGACCGAACCGGCGCGAAGCTCGAGAAGAACAAGGAACAGCAGCCAGCCACAGGTGAAAACATAGCATAACGCGAAACGGAACGGGATGCGAGGATCAGATACTGCTGTGGCCAGCCTCGAGGACGCATCCGCCCCGGTTCGCACGAATGCGAAGAACGCGTTGAAGCCTCGCCGCCGAGCCGTGCGCCCGTCCACGCATATCACGCCTGTCCTCTCAGCCAACTCACAAACATATAAATCGGCCCTCTCTATTTCCTATCGTGCCCCTTCTCCTTTCCCATCCTCAGACGACCGCTCGCCCTCGCCCTCGCCACCCGGCCGTCGCAGCACTCCCCGTCACACGCCTAACCAGCTTCGATCGCCTAGGCTAGCCAACATCTCCACATCCGCGACGTTACCCCAACGCCATCGACACACTAAATCCCTCGTCACACAACCTTCCGTTTCACCCCTATCCCTATCTCCCTCTACCCCCCTTTCAAAACTACCTCCATCCCCCCTTTCACCCCCCCTCTCGACATTCCGCTTCCCCGCTCCTCCACAACCACAAACACCTTCCAGCCTCCGTCGCTTCACCACCTGCCCCGTCTCACCCACCTCGTCGACCCGATCGACGAGTAAGCATCATCATCGGCTACTAGCGCCTGATAATACAGCTACACTCTTCATCTCCCCACCCCGGTCAAAACCGACACTAGCGATGTCGATCCAAGTGCACGCGCCCATCATCACCACCACCCCCACGCATTCGCCGCGCGTTCGGCCTTCCCATCCTTCACACTCCCATTCATCACACCCTTCTTACTCCTCTACCTCCAACTCTGCTTCTACCTCGAACCACCACCAATCGTCAGCATCACCCCGTCACTCCCCCCGTCCCTCCCTCACACATATTCAAAACCCAACGCAGGGGCCGTCACACACGAACTCCCCACGTCCCCGCGCCGTATCCCCCCCACCCCCACTCATGCTCGACCCCTCCAACAACAGCTCACAAATCTCGCGTCCTTCATCGAGATGCGAACGTCTCCTGCGGGATACACTCCGAAAAGCGGATGAACATGAACGTGCGGTGCTTTTCGCTGCTACTGCTTCGGCGTCGTATGCGTATTCGCCCAACGGCAGGCGGGGGGCGTATAGTCCGAATGGACGCAGAGGGGCGTACAGTCCGAAGAGGGCGATGTTGAAAAGGAGCGAGAGTTACGCGGGCGCTGGGGCGGGGGTCGTGGATCCGGATGATGACGATGAGGACGGAGAGACGCGGGTGGAGGGCGTGTTGTTCAGGCCTCCGCTCGGACATGCGCATTCGAGCACTTCGGCGCATATTTATCGCGCTGCTGCCTCCTCTGACCTTCATTCAAAACGAGGGACTGGTTTGGCTTCACAGGATGCGGATGTGAACGGGAATGCGAGGAGTGGACAGCAGAACCAGAACGGGAAGGAAGAAACGAAAAGAGGCCGTGCGACGGAGAGAGAACGATATCCGGCTCCGGGGGAGGAATATGTGAGTGTGGGGTATGGAGCTTATGCGCCGCATGGGGCGGTGTTGAGGAGTCAGTTGGAGAGCGTGTTGAGGGCTGCGGCAGCTTCCGGTCATGGGCGGCACGAGAGACATGGGAGGGAGGGAAGAGAGGGAAGAGAGGGGCGACATGGACATGAGAGGAGGGAGAGTTATGAGAGTGTCAAGAGCACGAAGAGCGGGAATGCGAAGGAGGGGAGAGCGAGGAGGAGTCGCGAGAGGGACGGGCAGAGGGAGTGGTGTTGGGCGAATTCACCAGAGGTGCGTGTTTCCCTTTCATCTTCATTATTATCAATAGTTGCTAACTGACTTTGTGCTCTACGTACAGTCCTCGTCCATACCCTCCCCCACAGCCCATTCCTCCACGTCCACTACACCTTCCTATCCTTCTTATGCCGCGCTTCCCGCCCTCACAGCTACCGCGCCGCTGCCCACCTCCAACTCGAGCACACTTCCCCATCGGAACTCCAACTCAAGTAAGAGCTCAAACACGAATTCAAATAGAAACTCAACATCCACAACATCGACAATCGAACCGCTCACGCCACCACCCACGCCTCCCTCCCACGCCCACGCCCACGCCCATCATCTCGCGCGATCGCAATCGCATCCCCAATCCCAATCCCACTCCTATTCCCCCTCTACCTCCTCCACCGCCAACTCACACGCAAGCTACTCACCATTCAACGCCCAATCCGCCGCGAAAAAGTTGCGCGATATGGACGGCTATGTGTCGTTTGCGAACGTCGAGGGGCTGGGGAACCCGCCTGGGGAGGACGATGAGGAGTCTGCGGCCGAGGGGGGTGTGGGAGGCATGGGGATGGGCATGGGGGAGGGCGGGATTATGAGGGGATTGTGGCGGGTGCTTGGGAAGGGCGCGGGGAGGAGTGGGAGTGGGGAGAGGAGGAGTCGGAGTGGTGGGAGGGTTGGGGCGTAATTTGTTGTTGTGCACACTGGGTGTTTATGCGTCTATGTTTCTTATGCGTTTATGTTCCCTATGTTCCTTTTCCTCCTCTCTCCTCTCTTCGCATTCAACGTACTCAACGTCTCTCACGCATCGGAACACGTATTTTATGATTCGGATTCGGTTCGGGACCACCAATGCCCTGGATAATAGGGCCACGCATACATTCTTGTCATACACTCACATCTTTCTCATATATACATCCTCATCGCTCTCGTCCATATACATACAAACGCATCCCCCCTCCCCCTCTCTCTGTTCGTTAGTGTTGTCAATGGTTGTGTACGTGCTGCATAGATGTTCGGAATCGGAATCAGAAGAAAGATTTGGACGTACGTACGTTTTTGGGTATTAGTAGTTAGGTAGTTGGTTACGAGTCAATGCTAGATGATTTTGACTCAGTAAATTGATGTTTCGTCTGTGGAAAAGAGGAAGGAGGGTAAGTTCAAATCAGAGGAAGTGGGGGGTGTGGCGCTGCGACTTCACGCCACACCACCGTTTTCGTCTTGTTCTGTGTCCTTGCCCTTAGATCCTCTGTCCTCTGTTCTTTGGCTCTTCCACCCCTGTCGTCTCTCCTCCGTCTACGAATATATGCAGGCCTGACCGCATGAATAAGAACCCAAAATATCCCAGGCACTATCAGGTTTGAAGTTTCAGAGTCTAGTACTTTGGTGTTTTGTTGAACTTGAAATCAACCGGCCACACAGATGCGATTCAGAGGAACTAGGACTCATTCCATCGCGGGACGGACGGGTGCAATGGATTGGGATAATTTCCCGCCACTCAGATCTCAGAAGCGATGAAGTGATGAAGTGATGGGTGGGGGTGATGGTCCCATACTTATGCGCTCTGGTGATTCATTGATCATTCCTTTGGCCCGGTTGAGCGCTGAGTGTTGAGCGCTGAGCTTGAAGGTTCAAGAGAGTTGAGACATGACAGAAGAGGGGGACGGAAGGGGGAGGTGATGAGACGAGGTGGACCTCTTAGGATCATTATGGACGGGAGGGGATCGTTGAGGTGACGTGAGTTGAGGTAGGGCAGAGGTGCAAGGAGACGAGGACTTCGAGGTTTGGGTGCGTGTCTTTCCTTTTCTTCCTCTTGCTTTGCGTCTCGTGTATGGTGGACATGACGAGGACATTTGCTATGGATCGGAATGTACGCCCATAAGTATATGTTACACTGCAATTGCATGGCGCCTCAGATATGGGGCCTCCGAGATGTGATGAGGAATGTATCATCCGCGCATGCAAGAACGCTCGAGGACAACTTAGGATGCATACTAGTATCAGCATCGTTACGGACGCGTTTTAGGACGTGCGTTTTCCTTTCTCTACATCTCTTTTAGTCGCTCGTGATGTATTCAAGCTGATGGTGGACCGGGTCGTAGTACATGGCCATACTCGACCTCCTTCCGCTTCCTCCTCACAGGCTGCATCTCCTTCCGCTTTTCCAAGGAGATGATTGGATCGCTGTCCCTGTGCACTCAGCACACTGTACCTGCTGTTCCTCGTACCGTAAGTATGGACCTATGGACGAGCGCGATATCGCCCACACGCGTCACATAGCATCGACGCGTCGTCATTGGTGACTTCATCAACATACAACTCAGCTCATCGATCCTCAGTCGACGGCTGGCTCGCCTCGAGTGTCTGGTCGCTGGTCTTTTGCGGTATTTCCTCCCTCAGGATGATTGTGAGGTTGCGAGGGGCATCTGATTCAGGTTCGTTGCTGCGCTGTACATTGCCAATATTGCGGCTCGTCTTCCGAAATGGCAGCTGGTAGATTCAGATGTTACACGTATTATGGCCTGCCTTGAAAGCTTGAATTCGAACCTTGACCTGCTGTCGTGGCCAGGTCGTTTTTTTTTGCTGATCAGGCTCGGGTGAATGGTCTCGTGCTGGGATGGTCCAGCGGGGTTCGGCGAGCCTGCAGATACCACAGAGAGGGGACTCGGAGGATCGAACGTTGAGGTTCGTTCTGGGTGAGGAGTGTGGCCCGGATGATAGAAGTGGGTGGATAAATGCGTATATCTTATACGCTCGTGTGCCGATGCCACTGTGTCCTAACGTTTTCTATCCGTTCTCTTCGTATTCAATCGGCTCTCCGAGCAGTCAGCTCATCGTCGCGACGAACGGTTCGACGCATAGATGCTACGTACGTCGACATGGTACGACTCCCTTTCGTCCTTTTGTCTGGACCAACTCTGTATCCGTCTACGCTCCTTCGTGAAACGACCGCCGTCTGCCGCCGAACTCGCTTATCTTGGTGTATACTTGCTTGTTCATTGTGGCGTGTCACTTGGCTTTACTCTCGGGTACATAGCCGAACAACGGCTTGGATGCATCACCCATGAAGCCCACGAGTATCTGGGGCACGTACGCCCCATTCGAGCCTGTTGAATATTCACCGCATTACCAGCTCGTGACACGCATCTTGCATCGTGAAAAGCCTGGTGTCGTGTGCCCAGGCGTCCAACGGCGACCTCGAGCTCCTACCTCCAAGCTTCGAGTCGTTCCTCCTGTCTGTCGTCGACGTCGTGGCTGTCTGACATCTCTATCTCCCTTCCCTCGTGGGGTTGACGTCGTCTTAAACCCGACGCTTTCTTTGTGGAGCACTAATTTCTGTTATTCGCGGCACAGCCCGTGAAGGGAAGGGTTCTGTGTCATTTCGTTGTCAACTCCTGGCTTCTTCTATCCTTACATTTGGTCGCCGTCGACGGCGTTTCCGTTTTGGAAATCGTATGGGAGCCACGAAACGTGTTGTATCGTACTCACTGCCCGTGTCGAACTCGAACTGCCCGTGCGCAATGGAATGCGGGTGACGTTGCTTGGGCCCCTTTGTCACTTACCCTTCACGGCTTGTATCACTTTCTCTTTCTGTCCAAGTCTCAGCCATGTATGTATTTCGCGCACCGTGGCTTCCTGTTCTCGCCTACCACGCTCTAAGCTCGTGTTTTCTTCTCTACCATTGGCAAACAGACACATGATGGCGCAAGCCTTTCGTTTCTGTTTTCGCTTTCTCGCTGTAGCCTACGAGGCTTTAATGCTGCGCACTGCGCAGAGAGCACCGACTCTCCTATACACTATACATATAGGGCGATCAGGCCCTGTCGGACTTGAATCATTATGCATCGTGCAAGGCCCGTGTTAGAGCTCCTGAAAGCCTAGCACGGAAATTGGAATTCCATCTCCTCAAGGCCGGGGGTGTTTTCTTGGACGCATATACCGATGCATGCGCATAGGAATGATCTTCAGAATCGTGTTCGGGATACAGTCATATGGATCTGGTCAGGACGACACTTCTTAGACTTCTATGTATCTGAACCTTACACTGGCCTGAGCCCATACCACTCCCCAGACCAGTACCAGCTTTACGATCCAGGATGCTGCACTGACTCATATTGGACTCCTGTTGCGGGAGACGAAGTGCCGAGTCTGATTGTGCGGTTTGTGAAACAGCGCTGCTACCACCATTGCTTCCGCTGGGAGCTTAGAGTTGGGAGCTAAGAGGTCCGTGCGTGTGCATGTGCGTGTGCATGTGCATGTTTGAGCGCTTCAGTTTGTGCTGTCCTGCCGTCAGGCGAACAAGTTATGTCCTGGTACGCACTCAATATTATACAATTGTTCCCTCGTGCTGACTTACAGTATACTCACTTCAATTATTAGGGCTCCTTAGTATTCACCGGCCTCCTACGATTTTTGGGAGCTCGAGGTGTGCCCAATCGGAGTATCTATCTATTATCTCGAACGCGTCCTATGTGCGTGGTTCCGAAACTTAGGGGCAGGGCAGGCGCTGCGCTGCGCTCTGCCAGCTTATGTAGTAGGCCGGTAAGAGTCAGTTTGGAGTTATGAGTAAGGAGTCCAAGGTTTGCCTCCTTCACTTCTTCGTTTGCATTTCCCGACATCTTACAGGGTGTACTGTATGCAAGCCTGCGTGTTGAAGGATCGGAGGCTTGTTGGGTATGCACATTGTACAATCTCGCGTACAAGGTAAGGTTGCTTGATCGTGATCTTGCAGGTCGCTGGCTGTTTGGGATCTTGATATTTCGTGTGGAGACCTCTGATCGGCATGGATACGTCGACGCACTGAGTGACTTCATGAGAGTCCGAGTCTTTGTAGTCGGGGTGTGGCACCTACTAATATTTCCTTCGGTGTGTGGCTTCCAATGTATCCACTATTCCAAACTAACGTCAAGCCACTTATACGTCCTATAGGACGAGTCGATCGGTCCATGTCATTCCATTCCATGGCGTTTATAGTGCTTAGTCTGCTTCGATTTCGTTCGTTTGTTGTCTCATGTCGATTGAAGTGGCGTACCACTTTCGACTTCCGCCTTCGCCCGATACGCCACATCTTGAATCGGGTTGGTCAGCAAGTTAAGCTTCACAGTATCGTATCACCGTCCGCAGCTCACCGTTCAGCAGATGTATGTACCGCCACGACTCACGATCGAACTCTTTCGTACGATGAAAACGCAGATGGAACTAGAAGGCGTCCGATTGCCAGTGAGTAAGGTATAAGGTTCCGATAATCTTCCTTTGGATGTGAAGTTTGGATGCGTGTTGGAGGGGTTGTAAAGGGTAAGGGTAAGGTCGCTGGCACGACTCGACTCAGATAGGTGTGTACGTCTCTTTTTCTGAGAAGGGAGGTTCCGCTCACTGGGGTGTGGCATATCTTTGCGCACGGTGTGGTTTAGGCGTCTCAAAGCGCAACGGTGCCGGCGGCGTCGTGTCTTTCTTCCCATGAAAAACACTGACTGACTAACTTTCGTCTACTTATCTGCTTTCAAAGTTTGCAGAAGTTCGAGCATGAAGGCCGTATCGAAGGATTAAGGTTGTTAAAAGGCTTTTCGAAAGGTGTGTGTGTGTGTTCCTTGCTTCTTCGTCCTCGAGGACTAGGTTCTGATCATATCCGTTCGTCGAAGGGCCGACTGCTTATATCTATGTATCACAGTTGAGACGTCTCAAAGGGTCCAGGGAAGATTGAATAGCTGCTTCTTCCGATAGCATCAGTCCATCTCAGTCCTTTCTGTAAGTTGCGATACATACAACTTGCTCTCGCGGTGAACAGGGCATTAACATCGCGGTGTTGCTCTCACAGTCCACGGTCCCTGAGGCATGAGACCTACGACAGTGCGGGTGGTCATGTATTGCCAATGGTCCTTGAACTACTTACTACAACCGACTTCCAAATTCGCGAAGCCAAAACCTTTCATCGTAGGTTCCGATGTTCTCCCATTTCTTGGCCTGAAATACAATCGATTCGGAGGATCCCTGTTGGGATACGGATGTATACTAACTACGACACATGATATGCAGAGCCCAAAAATGGACTCCATAGTGGATCCGACTGGTTCATTCTGCCCATGCTATATTTTTGATGGCGGATTGAAGGTACTTATTGAAAGAATGAGATGGACCCGAAACATGAGTACAAAGGGTGCGTTCTTCTTTACCCAGGAGAAATGCCGAGATTAACGTTGTATGCCGATCCGTGTAAGTTGTAGGTACCCCTTACGGCTCTTCAAAGTTCTCGCAACGTCGTATCTAAGAGTCGAGGGAGATTAGGAGATTGAACGGCGAGAAGGTCTTATACTTGCTTATCTTTGGTTCTTCATTACTCACTAGGACTCGGAACAGGGAAGCAATTGAGATGAAAGTTGAGGTGGGTCCGTGTGTATTCCGAGTTTTCAAAGCGCTGAGAATGCAAGAGAAGTCTTTTCATTTCAAGTCTGTATTTAGCGTATCTCCTTATCCTTTTGATTGTCAGGGCACGTTTTTGACCCCCCTGTCTTTTATGGGGGTTTTTTTTGTAGAGTGCTTCTGCAACCACAAACCTTGAAACGCCACAGCGAATCCTCCTTTCAATAGGACAAAGTTGTGGCCGTTCGCCACTGGAATAGTATGTGCGCCTCGACCAAATCAACAACAGTTCTGTCCATTCCTGACTCCTTACATTTCAGGTGCAGTGCGCTCTCTATATCCATGGAACGGTTTGCTCGCACTCAACGAACAATCGGATCCGGAGCTCACAGGCTCAATTGAAGTGGCACCATTTCCTCTACGTTTTAGGTTTGCCTTCGTTCATTACCAATTACTACGAGTTCTGGTGGTGGGTGTGTGCTATCGGGAGAACAACTTCTGAAGATTGAGGCTGATACGCGGCTTTTCTAAATTCTCATGTGCGACTCCCGCCACACCAAGGTCTATATTGGACCTTTGGTACACGGATCGAGGGAGACTAGCTCTGCTTATCTTCCACGCCGCATCTGAATCTCTATTCTCGGAGGCTCGCAGGAAGAGCAATCTAAAACACCTTTTTTTCTATGAGCGTGGAACCGTCCGTGCCGTATTCGTAGCGGTCCACAGTAGTGTCCCTTCTGCCGTGCCATGGTCTCGCACTGCCAGTGATTCTGGGGATACGGCACCTTCTGCGCTCTTCATATCTCAGACCCTCAGACCCTCTTTCTTGACTTCTCGCCAAGCGAAGCGTACCTCGAACTCGTTGCAACCTTCAAAGCTCAGGGTCAGACCGTAAGTACTAGCGCCTGTACTTACCTGGCAGTCCCGGCGGATCGAGGCAAACTTGAAGGACTTTCGCACCAGAGCTTGAGCTCGAGACTATTCCAGGCGTAGAGCGGAGAGGTCACTTGGACGGAGTTATTTGGAATGAGATGATCCTCAGATCCCACAGTAGATGCAGGGCATTTACTTACCTGTGTGTGCTCACATGTTCTTCGCGGTCTTCCGAAACATAGCGAGTCGAGGTTTTTGCTGATCTTGGTTGATGGTGGTGTTCCTTCGCCGATGCGTGCTGCCACTTCAATGTGGCGGCGGCGTTTTTCACTCGTAGCCCATCGATTCTTCTCCGGAATATTTGAGGAAACCATATATAGTTTTCAGCTCAGCGGGCCAATCATGATCTGACGAATGTAGCACCGGTGCGTGTCGAGCCTGGCGCGTGCTATACTCTCCGAAGACTGAGTCGAGGATCGGACTCGGACAATTATTGATCATCGATACAATCATGTACCTCGCACATAACCTATACGGGAATTATTGGTCAATATCGTTCCGCCTGTACAGAACTGGCGTTGCAAAGATTTGCTTTGAGTCGTGGTCCGTGTTGATGCTGATCTTCATGCCCCGATCTGCTGACGCTGCCAGCTGTATTGCGGTGGCCCTACTGGAAGAATCTTTTGTCACTTGTCTCAGGGAGATGCGACTCGATAGTGACTGTGGGAATGAAATGCGTACATGTGCCACACGCCCGCCAGTACACGCCTTTGACCTTCACTCTAACTCTAGCAAGCCCCTGCCCCTCATTTTCTACATGCTCTAGGCACTTGACTGCTGTAACTTTATACACACCGGTACAGGTATTGACACAAAATGTCGCTACCACCTGGAGTACGCATACCGAGCATGGAGGAACTTATCGAACGGCTACAGATCGCGTCTCCGAACGCGTTCGAGGGGGTGCATAAAAATGCAAAGAAGTTAGAAGATGCTTTGAAAACGGGTGATCAGGCGAAGATCCAGAGGATGGATTTCAGTACGGAGCCGATGGTGTGTCGATTTTCACTAGGATTACCTTCACAGCGAGCTCAGGAGGCGTTTGCCTGGTGTTGATGTTGGCTTGCTTGCTGGACATGGTAATTTGGTGCCTTAGTGTGCGCGATGCGGAACGGCGTGTCTTGATCGCAGGACTCGTGTGAGAAAAGTAGGCTTTTTTCTTTGTGGTTGACTGTGTTAACGTACTGATCTTTTTTTGTTGGAAATTGCGTATGGTTTATAGGCTTTGCAGTGTTGTAAGTACCATCCACTCCGTTCTCGCCAGGCATGACCACTTATACTGGAGTACACAGCTTCATGCAAGAGCACCATATATTGCAGCAAACAGGTGAACTCCCGACCCTCAACGGAAGGGCTATGCAGTATTAATTCTGATCCCGCACCGTTTTGCGCCGTAGTGCCAAACAGAAGACTGGAAGACACCTGAGGCGCCCAGGGCGCGCACTCACAAGCAGTGGTGCGAGAAGAACAAGGTATGGCCACTCTCCCGAGACTGAAATATACTTCAACATGAGTGGCTGATGATATCTGGTTCAGGTGTTCATGATGCGCCACGCCGAATTTCGAGCTGTGTTTGAGCAGTTCCCTTGGTCGCGTATGGAGTCGGACGGTCAGTCCATCATTAACCGCATATAGACAAGCGAGACGCCCATTTACTGACTATATTTCCAGGAACCTTTGCTCTCGATCTCTACAAAGCCCGGCAGTCACTGCTCGGAAGCGACCTGTCGTTTGGTTATTGGCGTGTCTCAGGCGGTCCAAATGTCCATGACATAGGTTTCTCCGGAATGCGACAGCTCTTTGACGCACCTCCTGAACTTCAGCAATTCCTCCTCACCGGAAAGCCCACGAAACACTACCCACCCAAACTCCAACCTGGTGAAAAGGCGTACATACATGGAGGGATGATGCTGGAGGATTCGTGGCCTACCGATGTCGAAGCTTGGAATTTGAAGGACGAGACCTGGGTTCCGAGGTTGTTCTTCGGTAGCAGCGGTGCGGCAAACGATGATCCGCCTCTGAGACCGGAGCCTGGGCAGGTGAAGGATTGGAAGAGTTGGTATGAGTGGAGAGGTCTGAGCCTGGAGTCGCCGGCGGCGTTGTTGATGGATGCGCCGCTTTCGACGTATCATATGTTGGTAAATATCCTCAAAGTTGCGGACGCGAGCGGTGCGAAGCAACAGACTTTGATCGTTCATTATCTCGGAGTGGAGACCGAGCTGAACTTCCTACCACTGTACGTGCTCGGCCCATCGTTTCACTACGGTTGACCAACAAGCTTTTCATATTAGGTTCTCAGAGCTGGCGCTTCTCCTTCCTGAGATACACATAGAATTCACGGTCTTCGGAAAACCAGCGTACGACCTCGTCAAAACTGCGCGTATATCGCATCCGTCGTCCCTCGCTACGAAAGACGTTGTATGGTCATATACCGCACCGAAGCGCACGGGCGGGGGATCCATCAACATAAGGCTATACTCCAGTGAGGAATATTGGACTCGGACTGTTCTGGGAGTGGAAAGAGGACCTATCAAGATTCCAGATGCGATAATTGCTACCAACGCGGATCTTACGACCCACGAATCCTGGCCCGAAGCTCAGTGTTCCGCCGCTGGGTATGGCTCTTGTTCTCGAATACCTTCTTTCACTGTACTGGTGGCACTGACGCTTGTCAATTCTCCTCTCGCGTTGACAGATTTAACATCCCCTTCGCCGCTACCGAGTATGCTGAACAGTCCTTGGTCTTGGCCAGCGAGACTATTCCGCAAGGTTTTAGGCAGACTCTGCTAACGCAGGGCCAGTACATGTCGCCGGAGTTCAGGCACAATTTGTTCAAGCAGGGACAGAGATCGTACTCTGTGACGACCAATCCTTTTCATCGCCCCGGCGCTAGATCTGGAGTCTCTGCATGGACCATGCCCAATTATTATAACGGTTTCGTTCTCCCCGTCGTTTCGAAAGTCTAGAACCGTTATGAAGGTTGATATATCTCTGATGGGTGGGTGGGGGCTTACAATTGGCATGATTTTAGGTATACTTTGTTCCTGATGACATAGGCCCTTCGTGGCAGGGTAGGCGATGACGATCAAGTATACCTTGGAGTCATACTGAGAGGAGTGATGGATTAAGACTGAACACCATCGATATCGTAGATCTCACTTTCAGTACGTAGAGCGAATGTATGCTGTATTACCTTCGCAGAAGTCGGGAGACGGGCATAATGATAGCCCCTTCTCAGTCGAATCCTTCGAGACGTAGTCACTAGAAAATGGCTCGAGCCCGTCGAAGCACCTTTGGCGAGGGTAGAAAAAGCTCTCGTCGTAGAAGGAGATCAAGGAAAGCTCAAATGTGAGATTTGAAATAAGAGTGGCGAGGTGGACCACGATGCGGTAGAACGCAATGCCACACCACCTCAGTGCCTGTCGAAAAAAATCAAATAGTCATCAATAGGTATGTCGATGCTAGTGAGGGCCCAGCACATACTAGCGGTTGAGTAAAGCGAAGACCTGCACATACCAATTCGAGAAATAACACCACGTTCAAAGTCTCCGCAAAAACCTCACATTCTCCTTCCTCACTCTCTGCATCTCCGTCTTCATCCGCTTCTCCGCCATCGCCCGATGCCTCCTGCTCTCTATCATGCGCCGGACGAGTTGCCCAATGTACTTGCACTTCCCGCTGATAGACTGGGACAGAGATTGTTCTACTGCAGAATCATCGACGACAACAGAAGCTGCATAAAAGGCGCAGTTGTCGTGGAGAATACCGGTGATGAACGACGCGACAGGCTCTACCTCGTCACTGGAGGCGGTGGCGAAGCCTAAGTGGAGCTTCAGGTGCTGTAGACTCTGGAACAGCGACGATGTTCCAGAGACCGGGACTACATGATTCTCAGTGGCATCGAGACAAAGCGTTAAATCTCGGAGTAGGAGGCAGTGTCGCGCGAACTGGGTCAGTGTGGCCAGGGAAGGCAATGTGTGTGGGTGGGCGACCGAAGGCTCTGCCGCAGTTATGTGCAGTCTCTCCAAGTAGGGAAGACTGGAGGCGAGGTCTTTAGCGTCTTGGTCAGACATGTGGACGGGGTGACGATAATGTATGTTTAGATAGGCCAGCTTCCGAAGATGAAGCAAAGGAGCTAGTTCGAAAAATTGAATACGCAGTAGTGCAGGGAGAGAATGTTCGCCTGCAAAGATCCCTAGTTCCTTGATGTTCGGACAGAGGTCTGTCACGGCGGTGCTGAAGTGGACGAAATCGTGGTCTTTGAGTGGTAAAATGGCATACAGTCTCAGAGAAGTGAGGTTGTGAGATGGAAAATGTGGGTTTCGAATGAGTGCCGTCGCTTCTGGAAGTGCCGCAGTGAACGAAATTTCCCGCAAGGATGGAAACGATCCGACCTTAAGGTCGGGCGCAAAACGGCCAGGAAACTGGGATCTATTACAGTAAACCTTTCCAGGTGGGTACTGCCCTAGCGTTCGGAGCAGAGGTAGCAGGGACGCTATCTCGACTAGCGAGGGTAACAGAGAATTAGACGGTACATAAAACTCGGTCAGAGACGGAAAGGCCATCAATGACTGGGTCAACAACGTCTGGATCGAGAGAGGGTCAGCCTGTGACTCTATGAAGTGTAACACATTCAGGTAGGGAACCCGAATGGGAAGGTCCTTTATCGTTCCATCTGAGCTCCAGATAGTTAGGTATAGGGCAGTGACCGAAGGGTTTAAGAAGAGTGGAAGAGCGACATCCTCGAGAGCCGCCGTCATGCGGCGAAGCCTCTGGAATATCGTAGACATTTGGTATGGGGGATCCATTGTCTTGATCCATTCTCCGAGAGAAGGTGTTATATATCTCTCCATACCCCCCAAGAGTAGATCCATGCACCGAACACGAGGAGATATGTTCAACAAACGAGCCCATTGTGATGGACTAGGAGGGCTTTCCAAGGTCTTTATTCAAAGTATTAGAAATTTGCCATGAGGTTGCTAATCATTCGATGCAGGCTCACCAGGAACTTGCGGTCTGATTTGAGCCCTAGGACTTGAAGGAGTTCAAAAATATTGACTTCACGCCAGACCTCGTCTAACGCTGCGTCCGACCAGAACTTGCACACTCGGGCGCATCTGGCGTTGTCCTGCCTGTAGAGAAGAGATAGTATGACAAGGAAGATATCGGGTAACAACAGCGCTCGATGCATTGAAGGAAGACGGTCGAACTTGAACGTTTGAGCGTGAGGAGGTGACTTGAACCAAAATGATGTCGGACGATTTGAAAGCGTATATCGGCAATTTACGGCACGGAGTCCCTCATTGCCACTGTGGCGCCAGTATTTGAAGGACTCGGTAACGAAAGAGCAAGGTTGCATGAGGGCCATCTCTTGACGCGCTCAGCCTCGCAGGTCATCACACAATAGCTCGCACATCATCGAAATGCCTCAGCCTGGCCTTCCGAGAATCAATATCATCAAATGGCGGCGGCTCCTGGGCGAGCATATGAACCCAGAGCGCATCATCGATGTTCTTTCCTTTGGACCAGTGCTGCGTTCTCCGAATCGATGGGGAGACACAGTAGATGTATGTAGATTCTTTGACATTTCACATTCTCATTGTTTCAACACAGTTTCCAGGACCTTCCAGGGCTTATCAATGCGTTGAAAGAGCTAGCGGACGCTGGTGGGTCCTCATGGGACAAACTGGTCTTTGCAGGTATGGTGGGACATCTCTGTAAAGCGATCTTGTGGCTACATCGAGATGAGTTCCGATACGGTGAACATACTTCCGGACAACAACAGCAACACCGACATATGGTAGGCAAGGCTGTTCTTCCCCACTCAAATAAATTTGATCATTGTCGACCTTTTCCTTTTTGTAGGCTCTGTGCGATTTCACTCCCGCGTTGGGAATTCTGGTGGCCGGTGCATTTCGACTGCGACCGCCCCTTTCACTTAGCCAGCAAAGATTCGTCCAGGAAATCAAAGAACACTGGTCTTGGATCACGAGGCGTGTGAGTTCCTTTCCTGTCCTTCAGTCCGAGCACCGATTGACATGTACGCCAGCTATGGACAGATCCTCAGAACTCACTTCGACCGGAACAACCCCATATCGGCGAAAGAGCGGATTTCGCGCGTATGTTGCTAGCGATCGTTCTGGTTGACCCTACTCTACTGAGGTCTGTTTCATGTCTCGCATTCCTGGCCATGTATCACCCGTACCTAACATAACGACCTCTTAGCATTATCGATAATCCTGGGGACCTCACCGTTCCCATACTGTCTCGTATGCTGGTCTACACCTCGGGTCTCTCCGATTTTCTTTCTCTTTCGGTGGCATTGGCTACGGTATTTTATCCCCTCTCCGTCGCGCAGGAGGATTCTGCCATCTATGAGTATCGACAGGCTCACCCTGCTGCCTTGAACATGTTCGACTCCTTCTTACTTGGACTTCCCAACCGATCTTTCTCTGCTTTTTTTGATTTCATCCTGGATCGACTTCCTCATCTCCCGACTTACGAGCTATCCGAGCTTTGTGGGATGCTGGATAGTCTATGCCATAAGGCACAATGGGGCTCGGAAGCTGATACCATCTTTATCAGGTATATGTGTGGCCGATCTTCCTCTATTTTTTCGTACCTTTTTGCTATTTTTCGTGACCCTGCGATGGTGAAGCCGACTGAAGGCCATTCACCGAATGCGTTCATGCCGTCTATTATGCGCCTTGTTGCCTACTTGACCAACCAGGTCACAAGTGAGTGGACGGAGCAGAGCCAGCCGTTCATCCGGATTTGCAGGCAAGCACGATTGTTCGACGCTCTAGAGGGACTTCTCGTCCATGGTCGACATTGGCAACAGTCTCTTGGTATGTTCCCAACCGTCCTTTCTTGTGAATCCACGGTCATTTCCTTGTACTTCCAGCTGACATACCGGTTGCTTTGGACAGAACCGTTTGGGACAATCATCTCGTCTATATGCGGGATGGTTCTCAGCAGACCATTCATGATCCCTCTCCTCCGCGTAGATCTACCGCGTCCGCAACTCATGCGACATATTCTCGACATCCTCTACGACCGTACACACGAAAATCATAGGTGGCTGCAACAGCAGCGTAACATAGGCTCATTCAGGGCGGTGATGTTTTCCTTAACATCATTGCGCCTCTTGGAGATTGCGTGCCGAATTTATGGGCATTGCATGAGGAGAGGGTGCACGAAGAAGAGGCGGGCACGTTGTAAGGATTGCCACCTTGTGGAATATTGTGGCCCGGTGTGCCAACGCTTGTGAGTGTTGAATCCATAGTTTAGTCCGACTAAAGAGTTCACATTTTACGATAGGGATTGGAAAGAGCATAGGCTTATCTGCGGATTGGTGATAAACGTAGAGGGCTCAACCGTTACCGATCCGCAAAGGTTTCCTTTCAGGTTCATCCAAGAGCCTTCAAACGCCATATAGACGCGCGACTGATGATATTTCCTTGACCACGGTTTCCCCGCGAATGTTTTACTCGCCGTTTCCCCCTCTGTTCAAAGAGAATTAAGTTCTTTTGAAGCGGTCACCGGCTGATTACCATCTGGGCACTACTCAATTATGTGTGAAAGAAGTCCAATGGGGCTCGTCTCAATGAAGATAAAAAACGTAGAAGACAGATCCTAGCGATCTATATGCATACAAAGCGAAAGCATCGTAAATTCGTAAATCAGTCCACAGGTAGCCATGTGTATACTAACTAAACACTAAAGACATCGGACCCGACCAGTCGAATCGAAACCTGTATGAATTCGTAGCCAAGTAAAGAAATTTCCCTCTCAAACATAGATCAACCCACCCATAGATCAACTCTTTCACCCGATTCTTCGACTATTTCCAATTTTGTCCATCAATTTTTCGTCAACCTCTATCCCCTTGGCGGCGGCATCCCATACCGAGACCTATCGTCGACACGCCCATACGCCCCAGGTCTTCCACTAGCTCCCGCAGGCGCACCTCGTCCCCCAACAGGCGATCTCCTATCTCTGTCATACCCACCGCCACCATATCCACCGCCGTACCCTATATCGCTCCGATCATTGTAATATCTACCCGACGACGGCGCCCCGCCGCCACCACCCAAGGGCTCTCCATACTCCCCAAGTCCCGATCCGATACCACGATCATCGCTCACAGCACCTCCAATACGAGACGGAACATTCGTCGGCGGCGTCATCCTTCTGTCCGACGAAGGGAGCGGTAAAGCGTAATCCGCAGGGTGATATCCGCCTGCACCAGCACCCATAGATGAAGCGCGATACGTATCCTCTCTCGGCCTCTTCAGTGGTGGTCGCAGATCATCTCTGTCTCTGTCTAGAGCAGGACCACCGCGATATGAAACAGCAGGACTGGGACTCCGCTGGCGGACACGAGAGGGGGGAGACTCATAGGTCGGTGGCCCGCGAGAGAACGGAATTCGATCGTCGGGAAGAGCGGGCGGAGCGTAAGGAGGATCCGCGAAACGACTGAGTGGTCGAGTGGGTTCGTAGGTTGACCTCGAATCAGCTGGAGCTTGAGACGCGAATCGCCTGTCCCGGTCGTCCCAGTCACGTTCGTACCGAGATGGAGGAGGGTCAGCATACTCTCGATAATCGTCGCGGGGTTCGCGAGACCAATCAGCGCCACTCCCTGCCCCGCTAGGTGCAGCTTTTGACCAGAACGCGGAACTCGTACGAGAAAGCGCCGGATCATCTGCTTCTGTCCAGGGGGGTACGGACGGAGCCCCTGGATACCAGTCTGGATATTCACTCCTTCGTCGCGGAGCGTCCACGTCGGTCGGCTGCGCACCATAGAGGTCACGATCGCTGCGAGGAGACTCAGGTCTAAGTGGAGCAGGAGGGGGAGCTCCCCAGTCGCTGCGTGGCCTCTCATCTGAGTGGTTACGATCATCTACGGGCCTATACGGGCCTGACGCCGTTCGACTACGATAAGAGTCAAGACGAGGAGGATCCACTGCAGCAGCTGTGCGCTTCTCAGCATCCAACGGTCGATCATACTCAGAAGGACGATAGTATGAGGCCGGCCTAAGCTCTGGCGCCCGTTCTCGCACAGGGTCAGCATAACCACGCGTGTCGGTAGGTGGAGCGGCTGTCTGTCGACCTACGGCGGGTAATAACGTCGGAGTGGAGGTATGGGAAGGGAGCGCTGGTGGTGGTGGCCCACGAGACGGAGCATCTCGAGTCGTCGAGGATGGTCGGTTATAAGAAGCTGGAGCAGGTCTCGTCGGAGCCTGAGGTGGCGTCGGCGGTGGCCCGCGAACCTCAGATGCAGGAATGAAGCGGTTATCTTTGGCGAGAGCAGATGGTGGGATACGAGGTTTCTCGTCGCGTTCAGCTGCAGGCCCAGTCGGAGGACCACTACCAACTGGACGAGACACTTCCGGGATATATGGGCGTTGCTCATCCGCCACATTGGTGCGGGCCACATTCACAGAACCGGGACGTTCACGCTCACGTTCATTTGCATCTGGCAAAGAAATACGCTGCTCGAGAGGAGGAGGAGGCGGAGGACAAGCAGAACGATCGTCCGCTCTTGGAGGAGGGACAGTGACGTTTCCGAGTCTTTCCTGGAGTGTTGGAGTACGCGGTGCGCGCTCCTGTGAGATATTGCCAGAGCGAGGCGGTGGAGCTCTGTCATCGACTGGAGGCTTTCGAGAAACATCCGAGGGCGGCGTTGGTACTTGCGGCCTAGAGCTGCGATTATCAGGTCCAGAGAGTACACGTCGTCTATCGTCTTGAGGCGGCGGCCTGTCATCAATCGCAGGACCAGAACGCAGAGGTCGACGGTCATCGGCAGGACGGCCAATGGGAGCAGGTAAGGGAGGACGAGCAGGCGGTGGAACGCCCCTCTCTTCCGAGACTTCCCGCTTCACATGAATAGGACGCCGATCCCTACTATCTCTGTCCGTTTCTGACTTGACCACAGACGAAGATGGTGGCTCTCCTCGACGGTCTTGACGAGGTGATGGCTGAGGTCTGGGACCGGCAGGAGGTGGCGTGATTTCCCTTGTGGAACGAGGATCCGGGCGAGGTTCATACCGGCGCGGACGAGCATCAGGAGTCCGATCCGAATTCGGTTCGTAATGACGGTCTGCAGGAATGGGGCGCCCAGACTGGGTCAAGCGTCTGTCGTCCACACGTCTGTCGTCCACACGTCTGTCATCCACACGTCTGTCCTCATAGCGTTGCTTTTCCTCCAGAGGCCGGTATGCATTCCACCCTCTGCGTGCGGCGACTATGTCAGGTCGATCCCGGTCGCGGTCCAAATCGCGATCACGTTCTCGGAGTCGGTCGCGGTCTCGGTCACGTTCCAAGTCCCGCTCGCGTTCTCTCTCCCTCTCCCTTTCTCTTTCTCTTTCGTGTTCTCGTTCGCGCTCTCGTTCGCGGTCGCGATCGATAGGTCGTTGATCTCGAGGCGCAGGTCTGTCATAGGGCGCAGTCCGAGAATCTGCATTGCCGATGTTAGCCCTTCCTGAAGTTACAGGCACACGGTTGCGATCTCTATCCGAGTCGCTTCGAGGACGACTATTCAATCCGGGAGGACCATCTCTCGAAGGCCAACCAGAGTCGCGTCCGGGAGGTGGCCTTGCTGGTGAAGGCGCTCTACCATAAGTCGATTCGCCAGGCAGAGGACGATTGGAAGGCGGCGGAGGATCATTCCTCAGGGAGTTAGCGGATCGCTCGGTTGATAGGTCGCGACGGCGAGCATCTGAATGCCGACGTTCACGAGAGGATGCTGGGGCCCTGGTGTCGCGATAATCATTGTTTCGAGCACCATTCAAAGGGGCGTTACGTGGGGGAGAGCCTTCTCGACCGGAGGGTCCGGAGTTCAATCTAGGGCTAGGAGGAGCGTTCTAAAGACAACGAAAAGGTTTGTAAGTTCACTATGTTTACAGCGATATAACCAGTGCATTGCTGCGGACTGCTGAAGTGGCGTAGGCATGTTTTCATCTACGAGTCATAGCCAACTATCAATTGTTCTGGGACCAGCGAGCTTGGTCGACTCCGACAAACAGCATCTTATACTGAACGACCGTATGCGCTCACGACGATGACTTCGTTATCTGCCCGAGGAAAACATATATATCGATATATCGATATTTTCTGGAAGCGGATAAGTCCGTACGTACAAGGCCGGCCACAGTCCACACAGCAATGTACACGGCGTCAAAAAGTTCGAACAAGACATACATTGGCCGACTCTTTGCCATCAACAGCTTTCGCGATGGACGTGTTTGGCGGATTATTTGGGCCTCTCGAGTTTGCGCCAGAGGACTCCCAAGAAATTGAATCATTCCGAGAGCGACCCAGATTCCCAGAAGAACCTGCAGCGGACAAAGCAGAAGAGCCTTCAGGTGCCTTATCGGTGCCTTGTTGCTGTTGCTGAGGTGGACGATCAAAGCCAGGCCTTGAAAAGGACGCAGAGGAAGACTGGAAGGAGTTCTGCGGAACTTGTTCGGGGTGGGGAGGTACAGTAGATTGCGGAAAAGTTAGAGGGCCCTTATAGACGCTGGCGAGAGCGGCCGGCTGAGGTATAGGGCGAAAAATCTCGTGTTCGTTCCGTCTGATGGTTTCCTTGAGCCGTTCGAGCACTTCCAAGTCGCTACGACCAGGCGGAAGGGAGGGATCGGGAAAGAACTGGGAATGAGTTGGAGTGTACGGAAGCTGCATACCGGGCATATTGGGGTTGTATCCAAAGCTAGAGAAGGGTGTAGGCATTTGGAACCCGGCGGAAGGTAGACTGGGATTCCCTCCAGAGGACGAAGCGACAGAGAACGGAGAGGACACGAGCTGGTCTTCAGTCGCTTGTGGTCCGAGAAACGACGAGGCTGATGCAGGTGGATGCAGCGAGGGGTCCGACACGTCTTCGGCGCCAGTGAGGGTCGTGACCGTCCGTTCGCGTATTACTTTATTCTTCCGCTTTTTATTTTGGCGTGTTGACATCGTCCGACCGCGAGTTGACCGCTATTTGGCTCGTTAATCTCCGGGAATGGTCCGTGAGTACGACAGCCGACCACAGACGGCCAGTCCTACAGCTGTTCGAAGGGGTCGAGAAGGCGAGAGCGGGGGGGTACGTGGTGGTACAGAAGAAAGGCTGAAAATGGAAACAAGACACAGCGTGACAACAGCGTGAGCTCATCCGACGAGATCACGTGGCGTGTGTGGCGCTTGACACACCGCCACCTTCAATGTCGATGAAGCCTCGACGTCCTTTGTTGGTCCTTTGTTGAGTACTATTCCGCAAGAATTGTCGTCCATTGTCGATAGAAAAATAATAACAGAGCTGGCCTGCTGCAATCTAGGCGATGAATCCGTCCGACAAGGTCATCGTTGATGAATCCCAGCTCATTGAACAACTCGTCAAACATGGGGGCCAAACTGACGCTCTATGTCGCACAAATACTGTTCAGGCCCTTGTGACAAATATTCCCGCATTGATCACGCCCAAAAAATCTTCCGCCATCCAGAATCCTACTATAAGCTGGATCCTCAGTTCCTCCAATACGTGTTCTGTACCTCCTTCGAAGACCGAGGGTCAATTTCTGTAAGTCATAGTCAGTGTACCGCGAGAAGCAAGAGAAGAAGAGCTCATGAACTACTTACCTCGAACTGCTGATCAATTTTTTTCCGCCTTCGGTTTGGAGAGCTCCAGTTTCGTCTTCAACGCCTGGTTCTCCGCGTTCAACTTTGTGATCTCATTCAATAATGATCGCTCATTGTCAGCCCATACCTCCTTCGACTCCGAAATTCGTAGCAGCGAGTCTTGTACTTCCTTCCAAGAGCGGTCCATGCCATTTGAGGCTGGTGACCTGTATACAGCTGATTGATTCACAACAGCGTCGTTCATGACGAGAAGCCGACACTTGACTGGGAGTGTGGGGGCCAAGAATTGTACCACGGGCTGGACGTCCGAGATCGGTGAAGCACCAAGATGGAGGAACCGCAGGCTGCGGAATGGAGTAGCATCCGAAGCGAGTGGGACGCAATCATTGGAATTGAGAACGATCTCCAGCGTCGAAAGTTTGAGGCAATGCCGTGCGAAATAAGAGAGACAGCGGAGAGTAAGTGGAGGGGGTTGGGAGGCGTGTCGAGTGAGATATAGAGTGACAAGTTCGGGAAGGCTCGAAGCTAGGCTTTGTGCATCGTCATCCGTCATCTTGATGGGCTCGTCATTATAGAGCTCCAGCGTTTGCAGGCTCGATAGTCCGAAGACTGGGACTATGTCCTCGAACGTGATGGACAGTCGTTGTTGGCCCCCCACAAAAGTCGACTGCAAATACAGCGATAAGTCCGTGATCGAGATACAAGTATCACTGATGGCGTCAAGGAGACGCGATATGCCGTTACTCGAGCCTTCACGTATATCGATGATCACGCGCAAGCAAAGCGCACGAAGGTTATGAGACGGGAAATGAGGGTCGCGTACGAGTTGGACCGCATCTGCCGTGGTAGCAGTGAGATCAAAGTCGTTCAAAACTGGGAACGACTCTGCATTCAATTTCGGTTCGAATGCAGGCATACTGGTCGAGGCGTAGATGGTGTCCCATCCCGGGTCATTCCTCAGCACACAAAGATTGGGTAGACGGGAGGCGACTTCTACGATGCGAGTGCGAAGGCATTTATAGGGAACATGGAATTCTGTAAGGGAAGGATAACCCTCGATGAACTGAAGGAGGAAAGGCTCGAGCACCTCTGGTCCAATCGTTGACTTCTCGAGACTCAGGGAGACAACATGGGGCATGCGAGCGATGATAGCGTCGATGTCCCACGACAGTTGTTCGAGGCGTCGAGAAGTCGTGTTATCGGTGATGGAGAGCGATAGGTCTGTCACAGACGAGCTCATGAACATGGGGTCAAGCCCTCCAACGATGTTCTTGCTCCGAAGTTTGCGTACTCCTTTGAAGATACAGCCGGTTGGGCGAGTGACGGCGATCTTGTGTATGGCATCGGAGGACAAAGGGTTTGGAGAATCCGCCACATTGCAGTCCAGAATGCGAACACGGTCGCAATTCACGAGAAATGCATTCCATTCACTTAGCGTGGGCGGTCGTGTGTAGTCCTTCATCGCAACATATTAGGTTTCTATCTGTCGAACACGAATGGCTGTAAACTTACGAGCTTTCCATTAGAGACGACTGTGGCCGCCAGAGCCTGGAAGGCCTTTGAAACATCGGGTATCTCATACCATACGTCGTCGAGAGCAGAATCGCTCCAGGTTTTGCAGACTCGCGCATTGGTTGCATTCGCTGAACGAGGGAGGAACGCAAAGATGAGGTTTAGGATCTCTGAGAGCGTCAGAGCTTTGTGCATGTTCAACAGTTGACAATAGCTACTTATCATGGATAACTGAGCTGTGCTATGGCTCGCCATCAGAAAATCGACGCACCGTGTAAGTTGAGCAGGTGTAGATACAGAGTGGAGGGGCCAATCGGCAGGATACAGAGGAACGTCGGCAACCTCCTTGCAAAAATGCGTAGGCCACGTTGTTTCATTGTTTCATGCGGAATATGCCGCCTCGGCGCTTTGCGCATGGCACCGATGAATGACTAGTAATGAAATGTGGCCCATTGTTCTTCCTCTACACACTCATAAGATGGAGGCAAGAATATTTCTGGAAGTGTATCATCGCATTGTTCTGATATAGAGGCTAAAGTCCACATTATTCCCGGTTCAAGTCTCCCTCGGCTTCATCACCACCCAGACAGGCCCCTTCTGTAAAGTAAAGAACTCCTTAATCGACTTATCGAACTCAACGGGATCATGCTGAGGGGAACCCGTAATCTCAAACTCCAGCATAAGCCGGGCCAAAGAGTATCGCACCATCAGCAGTCCTAAATTCTTCCCCGAGCAGTTGAAGGGTCCGAAAGAGAACGGGATAAAGGCGGCACGGTTGAAGATCTCTTCTTCGTCAGGTTTGAGCCATCTTTCGGGTCTCCACATCTCGGGTGATGGTGAGAAATACCGCTCGTCGCGCATCATCAGCCCTTGCGGGATGCCAACGAGAGTGCCGGCGGGTATATCTGGCGAAAGAAAGGGATTGAGATCTGCACCAGAATGGGATAGACGGTACACCTACATTGACCGCAAATAGTAACGCCTACATCGGGCACTATGCGCTGAGAACGACCAGGGACAGGGGGACGCAGGCGAAGAGTTTCGTTCACGATGGCGTGGAGGATTGGCATCTCTTCGAGATCAAAGTCACCATGGCCACGATGGTGAGTATCGACTTCTTCACGCAGACGCTGTGGTAAGGATAATTCAGGATGCCGTAGAAGTATATAAGATTAAAGACCAACCTTCGCCCAGACTGGGTATTGAATGAGATAGTCAAAGATGAACGTCAGCATCGAAGAGGATGTGTCAGAACCTGAGCAGGAATGAATTCATCGTTATTTACGAGCAAAGCCATCCACGAGCTAGGACTCACCAGCAATGATTATCGCTCGAACTTCAGCATCTAGGTCCTTCATGGTCATATCCGGGTGGAGCTGTCCATCCTCCTGTACAAAGTACGAGAACAGGTCGGGCCGGGATTGACCTTGTTCGAAGCGTTTCAGAGTCGCAGCCATGCTATAACGCAACATTAGTTCGTCGTCGCAGTGAAGAGGTTTGACACATACGAGAGGGCTTCGATCTCGACTTGATCTTTTCCTATTGGCAACAATTCTAATATAGGGATAACCCAGGGTATCTCGGCAACGACGCTAAGGTAGACGGTCTCAGGATCCACGATCAAGAGACAGTCTAGGAACTCACGAAAGGGCATGCATCGCTTTTTCGACAAAGAGAACGTAGCTATGATCCTTTCCATTATCAATCATGCCGAAAGACTGTGCAAATCCGACTTCGCCCATGATATCAAAAACGAGGTGGTCTGAATCGTGTGATGAGCCAGATATATGATAGGACATGTAATAGCCTTGATGAAATGCAGACTCATTATGCGACGAATGTCTTGAACGGGTTGTTCAGCGTATTCGTTGTGTATACGATCACGGAGACGGTTGTGACAGTCCTTGATGAATACCAGATACTCCTTCATGGCTGCGCCTATGGAAACCAAAAGGTCAACATGGCAGGAATGGTGACGAACAGGTGGGGATGTACTCGTCATTGCCTTGTCCCAGTACTTTCTCCGCTGAGAGTGAGGTCCGGGTACCTTTAGAGCATGGACTGAATTTCCACCCTTGTTGGCGAAGACACTGTCAAACCTGTCATTTTGATCAGCATGACAGAAGCAAAGGTCAAAGGAGACCACAAGGACGTACCAAGGACCTTTGGTCATCTTCCCTTTGGAGCTGAGAATCGCGTCCATCGCGTCCAATGAAAAGATGGTAAGCTCGTTGGGACCGATTCGAACAATGTTTCCGTATTGTATGTTTAGATCCCGCATAACCTGAGGCATTCTCCCTTTCGTCGAGTGATAGAGATACCAGAACTTAGAGACAGCCGCTAGAGTAGGCCCAGGAAAATGCTGCAGAGGCGAGAAGAAGACTCGATACCCTATCATAGACGCATATAGACTGGTAGCAAAGGAAGCAAGCGCGGTACTTGTCAAAAGGAATGATCTTAGCATCGACCGAGTATCCAGGAGACAGGTTGTGAATAATCCTAGGAACGAAGTGGACAGAACCGCGAGGAGAGGTACGATGCGGGGCTCGCGAACCCTAAAGACGGCATGGGCAGCCTGGAAATAAATCAGATCAGATATAATGTCATGATGAATGAAATGACACACAAATCCCGCCAGCGCACTCCAAGTCATAATTTCTGTCGTGGAATAGCCCGCTGAATGTGTAAGCATCCTGATGTCCTTCAGCCTTTGGGAAGTTTTGAGGTCGAGTGCTGGGGGCAAAAGAAGTCCTAGGGGTGTGAGCGGGAACGAAGACATGATATACTACAGCTCTCAATCATGGGCTAGACCAAATGGAGAGATCGCCGTGTGGTCGCCAACTTGACGCTGGGATGGCCTGCCAAGGCCGAGTTTACCAAGAATGCAAGAGCCACGAGAAGTACAAAGCGCATGTAGTGGTGCCTTCGATAGTCACTCACCGCAAGTACTTTGGTTAAATTAAGACGAAACGCAAAGAAGAGCGTAAAAGTTCGCCTTATGCTTCAGCGTCCTCTCCGGGCGTTAACGAGATAGTAGAATCGCCTGAGAGGTCTAACCTTACTACACGTCTAGGCGAAGTAAGCATATCTGTAGCAGTCGTTTTCTTAACTAACCGGTGACGATAGCCCGAGGTATAACTAACCTGAAGCACATGTGGTGGTGTTCGGAAGCGGTGGTTTCGATGTTTTCTCCTTTTTAAACTCCGCTTGTTGAGCGCGGCAACGGCCGTGACGAGACGGAGTTTGCTTTCTGTGATGGTCCCCCACAGGCAGACCTTGGTGTTAAAGATAGGACGTTCAACGTGTCATTCTGTGAAGGGTTCGACCACGCACGCTTTCCTACTTTCGCAGACTTACATTTCTGCTGAAGGTCGATATCTTTCACCATCCCCGCGGCACCGACTTGCACCTCCCCGCTTTCGCCTCCCAGAATCCATCTGACCAATCGCAAAAAGACTGCATTCCAAAAGTGTACTTAGTAACCATTACGAAGACCGACAAGCGAAAGAGAGAAAGATCAAGGACACAGAAACGACCGGCAGACATATGAAGTAAAGAAAGCAAACGGAGGGATGTGAGGATGTAGTGAGGAACGGAGGAAGGGAGGATAAGTGGGCCTCCGAGACGATGATCCTTGTCGATATCCACACTCGTGTGGCGGATCAATCCAACCACGAACGTTCCTTGTGGACGAGAGCGTTGAGACGCGACGAATGGGGCTCGTGTGTCAAAGACGCATTCGGAGGGACGAGGGTTGGAAGGGTGGAAGGGTAAAGAGAGGATACTGGTTGAAAACCCGAAGAAGGTATGAGGATGCAGATGAAGTTGTGGTACCGATCAGCGTAGCGGGATACGGGATACGGGATACGAAAGATCATGATTCAGAGACGTACTCAATTCGATGTCCGATGTCCGATGTCGATATGTATGCAACAGTCACAGTCAGATGAATATTGGATGGTTGATGTCGGTTGATATTGAGAAGAGAGTAGGTGAAGAAAACGGGAGATAAGGGATATCAAGACCTGGAACGGGATATACTGTGATAAAGTAGTTGCGATTAGGGTAGAGGGAGATGGATGGATAGACTCGGAGGGAAGGGTAAAGGTAACACACGTCTTGCCAGACACGACACAAAACGACAAGGAAAAGACGACAACGAGGATATCGATCAAGGTCCGCATGAACAAGAGAGAAAGGACATTACGTCTAATGGAGAGTTCAAACAGCAACGACGGTGAGTAAAAGTCGAAATGGCAAGCGTCCAGATCATCGCGCATAGCCACCCTGTCCGCCGCTGCCACTCAACGGGGCCATCTCATGCACCTGTCCCAACGGTGACGGCAGATCACTATAACGCCCTCTGTTGTCCTGCCGCGACGCGTGCGCCTTCTCGTCTTGGGCGTTGTGTGCCGCATTCGTGTCGTTGTCGGCAGCAGCGGTGGCGGCGGTGGGGTCGCCGATACCCGCACGAGTTCCCCAACCAGTCTGAAAGGCGAAAAAAAGATGCGTAAGTGAGAAGGCCAGGAGGCTTGGGGAGGCGGAAGGATAAAGGGATAGCGATAGTGAAGACATACTTCGTGAAGCGTAAGCAACGCGTAAACCTTCATCACAGCGAAGTAATATCCAAACGCAATGAACGCCGGTACGTGAATGACATCTTGAGGACGATACCAAAGATGAGGGAGAAGCTTCGCCGTACGCGTAGCCGTCAGCCAAACCATGTAGGAGATGATGATATTCCTAAGATTCGATGCACGTATGAGTGAGACAGTCTGATACGAGAGGGAAAGGGGGTAAAGACGTACCACCAGGGTAAATGGAAGCCACCCTGATCCACAGGAATTGTGGACTTGTAGACGACGTAGCTGACCAGACAAGGTCCTACCAGTAGAGTGAACGGATTAAAAAGCTTGTCGACCTACATCCAACCAAGAAAATCGATCAGCATTTCTCTCCATCACTCAAACGTGAAACGCAGGAAAGTCACCATAGTATACGCCACATAAGGATGGCTTGTCCAAATATGCCTCTCCATGAATAAACTCCTCAGATCACTCCTCCACGTGTTCCTCGTCCACCTCAACACCTGCTTCAAAAACCTCCAGTTCGGCTTCATCGTACTCAACAGCTCCGCCTCCTTACAAACCTGCACATACGTGCTCCACCCATGACTGACCATCCACCTCGTCAAAAACTTATCGTCACCACTGTTCAGGTGATACTTTCCCAACCAATAGTCGTGCGTGAACCCGTGCAAGAACTCGGGGTCCTTGAGAATGACAGTGCGATAGGCGGCGGTACGTCCGGAGAGACAAGGGAGTCCGCCATCGATGTGTGTCGATGATGCGATCTCGATGTTTCGGATACTGAGACGCATGGCGGCGAGAACCTCCCAAACCGTCATATGATCACCGCAAGGCTGCACCCTCTGACTCGTACCCACACCGCCCACCTTCTGATCCTCGAAACACGCTAACGTATATGGCATCAATGTCGGCGGCCAAATGGCGTCGTCGTCAGCGAAGAAGATGATATCTGTCGTCGTATTCTTAATACCATGAGCCATCTGTAGTCGTTTGTTCGCGAAAGGGACGGTCAGGACACGAATACGTTCGGGGTCGACGGCATTAGCGAGATCCTGCAGAGGCCCGAGCATCTTCTCCTCGGTGATGATGATGATCTCCTTGGGCTTTCCAACGAGCCATGAGTGTGCGGCTTCTTTGAATTCCTCTCCGGCGTCGATAGTGGGTACGATGATAGTGACATCCTCTGAAGCAATGTATGTTGGGTTATCGGGGAGTGGGATGGGGCGGTAGACGAAAGCGGCGAGGAGACGGATGCAGTACCAGAGGTATCGGTAGAACCTGGAGATCATAAGAAAAGGGTCGTCAGCGAAACAGGTTCATTTCGATTGTGCCAAGAACAGAGTGGGAAGAATATAAAAAAACACAACGATGCTCCGCCAACAAACACTGAGCTCGCCGTGGAGCCCCAAAAAGATGAAGATGCTCGTGAGGAGCATGGAATCGGAGGTTTCTCACGTCAGTAATACGATGGATTACGTTCAAAAGGTTGAGCTACATTGATCTACGGTCGTTTCGGCGATATATGGTCTTTTCCTGTCATGCCGCTGACACCGCGCAAAGTGTGGCCAACGTCACACAAGACACGAAAGCGAAAAGCCCCATCGGTGCTGGCAAGCGAACGAAACCACCCGGCGGCGAAGGTGACGGAGTGGCCATATGTACTCCATCATTCCTCGAAGACGCCAAGAGAACACCGGCACTCTGCGCACTGATGCCCCATGAGCTCAAAAAAGGTATGGGGAACTCTTCATCGAGCGAGAGCCGACCACATCACCTTACTACGGACATTCGTTTAGATTGACTGCCAAGAGTACGGGACGAATGCACGGACACTAGACACGACAGAAGATGAAAGCAACCCGAGCGCCACATCATGATTTCCGAATCTATGGCAGTAAAGTCTCTAGGTCGCGACGGTTGACGAACCGAACAAGTTGCCGTGAATGTGCTGTCAATGAATGATACGCGATGGGAGGCATTCTTCTCCTCTCACGGACAGTGCCGACCGAGTGGTAACTCTCTTGTGCGATGTGGCATGGTGAAAAGATGACCTTGTGTGCAACTGTTACTGCGGCCCTTTCGATGAGTACCAGCGGCCCCATGGTCGTATACCAGACGACGAGATATGTCTTAGTCACGACCATTGTGGCGGGCAGCACTATATCCCCTCCGCTGTTCAAAGCCGCAAACTGGACTCGGTCGGCGTCCACCGTCGACTATTAAATGAGTTCAATGGCGTCGTAACACCGCGGATGCAAACGAGGGATGATGAAATTCCATCCATCGGAGACCTGTCATCGTCGTACTCGGTATGACGGAATAGATCAGTTCGACCGTCTAGCTCACACGCACATCTACGGATAGACGTGGCTAACGGTGCCAGCGGCAATGGAATGGCGAGATAACGTCGACAACGCCGTGCGTGCTTTCCCTTGCAAGCGACGTGGCTCCGATAACGAAGCATCATAACGCCATATGAGGGCGATGGACCACGCAATGATGGGCGAATTGCAGAACAGAAAGATGAGAAAAGACAGAAAATGAAGCTCACCCAATGACCCCAAATGGTACGACTAAATACTCCACCGAGACAAAGGAGCGAAAGTCAAAACATGAAACAGGTAGTGTAGAACGGAAAGGGACGCACAGACAGGGAACTGGTCCGAAGTCAGATAGAGCATCGCACCGACGTTGCTGGCGCCGCGCTCGACGACGTCAGAGTGCGAGTATCAGACGGCCAAAGGAGTGAGGGCGCCGTCGACGGCGGTCGACTTGGGGTGTTCGGCGTCGTCGAGGGCGGGAGATGGAGGCAGGACGAGAAACGCGCTGACCGCCCAAGGCCCGCCAAGCCCGGCGAGCGCCTCAATTTGGTCCTGTTGCAGCATCCGACGCACGTGGCTCACACATGGATGTCCGTTTCAGTGGTTGTCGCCTTTTCCTCCAGCATCTCCAAGTTCACGCCGCTCACAACATTGACTTGCCCACTCCTCTGGGTCTGTATCCTGAAGATGTCCTATTCTTGGTCAATCCTTTGCTGCTTTCTCAACTGGAACTTCTCTATTTTTGCAATATTCTCATGCGCCAAAACCTTATTACATGGCTGTACCTTATCAAGGCCTCAATGGCCCGCTCTTCCACGGTACCTATTTTGCGAAACGGGATTTACAGCTCTGAGTTTCTTTGCGCACTCGCCTTCCTTGTCTTGCATCAACGTACGGCCTGTATGTGGCTCACTCGTCAAAGGGCTGTCGGTCTTACTTATTCTCGAGTACATCTATCTCTCGGTTCCCGGAATGGTCGAATACAGGGTTTACTCGAAGGAAATAATCTGACACGATCATACACGGTATCATTCGCAATCTGCCGTAGATAAGATATATAAAGATCGTAAAGGTCTCAACGTTAACGTGGATGGGCTCATTGTCCCTCCAACCATTCCAACATGAGCAGCAGTGAAAAGACGACCCCCTTGGTGAGCATTACACGCTTTCTTTTGTTAGCGGCTGCACTAAACGGGTCACAGCCTCCGAACGTATTCGATTCCATTTCCATAGATAATCTTCTCTTCCGAAGTGTCAAAGGCGCCACAACTGAACTACCCGCGATCCTTCATCGTTTCTCCCCTCCCCTTGATCTCGTTGACGTATACCCTCATCCAAGTCTCACCCCGTTCATCAGAACGCGGTCACCGAAATGCTGTCTCCCTAACGGCGCTCCACCACGAAGGCCATCCAACCTTCCTCCTCCCGGGGATCTTAAACTATCCTTCAGTCTGGGCCCCTCCCTGGGCTCTGGCCACTCTGGGATCGTCTATGAGGCTCACAACGTCTTCATCAGCCCCGCCGAGAATAGCTCCTCCATCGACTCTCCTCCCGTTTATCTGCCTCCCCTCGTTGTCAAAGTCGCCCACAGAAATCGCTGCCAGTCTCTCGTTCGGGAGGCCTGGTTCTACGACGAGATGGAGTGCTTACAGGGCGCTTCGATAGCGCGGTGCTACGGCTGCTTCGAGCTCGAACTCAGAAGAGGATGGCGCGTTCGTCCATGGCAGAACGACGGAGAATGGGTCACCATTGGCTCCGATTACGATAGGATACCAGACTACGCACGATACCCTCCCGATATCGCCAGAGAAGCTGGAATCGCACCACATCCGCTGCTGACAGACTTGGTCATGGAACGTGATCGGCTGTTTGTGCTTGTTCTCGAGCGGTTGGGAGACGAACTATCATCCAGGGTCCTGCACTCAGAAGCCGAAAAGTGCGTATCTGTCTCTTTCTCAAGACGACCGATATTGATTACCTCCGTTATCCTTATCCAGAGAGGACATTAGGAATATCTACAAAGATGTTGCCACTCTCGGCATATCGCTCGCGACCGACGTCCGGCCGAGCAACATCCTCACCGCTCCGCCCTGTCCTCCCGGCCTTCCCAGTCTTCCGTCTCCTTTCACAAACGTGCGTCATGCGTTCCGTTTAGTTGACTTCGAGTTAGCACAGAAGACGGCTTGGACGGCGAGGTCCATCACGGGTGATCAGCAATCTTGGGTGGATAATATGTTCCACTGTCTACCTTACTAGCTGCCCAAAACAAAACCCCGTAGCACTCTGACTCCTTCCACCAGTCTTCCGATGCCTCCTGCGACTCCTTAGAGCCCTTTGATTTTGATTATGTTATCATGTTCTTCGGAAATGCATTCAATCTGGTCTTCGTTCCTCTTGATTTAGGATGCTTGTTGCGGGGACAATGCTATCACATTCAAAGCATAATTCCGCATACTACTGCCAGCGAGCCAAATGATTACTCTGTCCTTCCTCCGCTACATGATCAAGATGAACTTCAGGGAGAATCAGATTCCTCCTGTACAGAGCTCTGGGTTTCTTGGTGGGCTCGCACTTATCTGGCATCAGCGTACCCTGTAAGTATGCTCTCTTTCTCGAACAGTTCTAATATATCTCTCGGTTCCCGTAGGCTTACCAGTGGTACGGGCGCTGCGTCGCCTGGGTCAGCCATCGATGGTGGGTTAAAGGTGGGAAGCTTCGGACTGAGGATAATCGACGTGAGATCCTTAGGGTGCATTCGGCAACCGAGAGCGGCAGATTCTCACCGGATTTCCAGCCACGGATTTCGTCCTCGGCGGCTGGCGCCGAGCCTTCTTCACACTCCGACACTGTCACGGTGGCTACGTGCTTTCGCCACCTCTTATGCGTACCATAACGATAACAGACGACCATTCCACTTTCTCGCATGAAGGCTTTCTGAAGCAGACAATCCCTACTCTGAAATGTTTGTTTCTTAATTTCATCTGCAGAGTCATGTTCTGCCGTCCGTTATGAGTCGGGAAGTACGTGAAACTGACTGGCTCTCGCCACTTTGCCTACTAGCTTTGTCTGCCATGTGGCATCGCCCTCCCCTCATCCAGCATACGCTCTGGAGCCCTGATGATACCTTAATCGCGTGCTATAGTGTTCGTGATGAAGATTTGTGTACGAAAACCTCGGTTATACTTACACGGAGCCCTTCCATCCTTGAAGGTGGCAACAAGGTGGCAACCAAGTGGCAACAGCTAGTAAGTAGTACCTCTAGGAAAAGGTCGTGTAATAATAGCAATAAGTCATAATATAGTCGTAAGAGGCAGCTCAAGAGAGATGTCGACAGTGCCTCAGATGTCTTGCTTGCCTCTTCCTCTACATTTTGTCACTGTTGATGTTTGTGGTCCCATAGACTCGAAATCATACTGCAAAATTAACAACTGTGCCTTGATAGATCTGTCTTCGAGTGGTCACATCGTAAATATGCATTTATCTCTGAACGAGATGCTACGATTGGTGGTCTAGCCAAACGACGACGACAAGACGACGAACTCGCGCAAAGGTGCCACTGAAGAATGAAGTGGCAAAGCACTCCGGAGTCACATCAGTCACGCAATATGTGCGCGGCAGGGTTCGGCAGGCACCACGGCTGCCGAAGAAGCCACGAAATCCGAGAATCCAGATTCTTTCGTTTTGGCAGGAGAATCCGCCGGAAATCAAACCGCTCTCGGTTGCCGAATGCACCCTTATATATCTTATCTACGGCAAATCGCGAATGACTCCGCGCAGGATCGTGTCAGATCGTGTCAGATCGGCTTTTTCGAGCAGGACACTTTGTTCGAGCATTCCTTCATGGCCATCGAATATACTTATAGTTCTATACGAAGGCTCAGAACGCATTCAGCTCCATCACCATCGAAGGTCTCGTATTCCGAAGGATCGATGGTGTTCATACACAGTTTCCCGCTACCCTTTCCCGTTTCTCCGTCCCGAGAACACTCATCGACATATACCCTCACCCAGCTATCGAATCATTCATCAGCACTCGTCCTCGTTCAGCATACTCACCCAGGGGACCACAAGACCGTCGGCCATCCAAATTGCCTCCTCCTGGCCATCTCAACCTCAAATTCAGCCTTGGGGAAGTCGTTGGTTCTGGACGCTCAGGCATCGTTTATGATATTTCTCAGTCTCACATCTCTGGAGAACCCGACGCTGGTGATCCTCTCGTTGGACATTTGCCCCCTCTCGTAGCGAAGATAGGTCGTCAGAATCGTTGTCAATCCATCGCCCACGAAACATGGTTCTACGACGAAATGGAATATATTCAGGGCTCTTCAATCGCACGATGCTACGGGTGCTACGAACTCAAGCTCGAAACAGGTTGGCGCGTGAATCCTTGGGAAGATGCGAGTCATGAGGCGTATGATGATTCGCTTGACACCTGCCCGAACTTCAAAAGGTATCCTGCCATCGCGGCCAGGGAAGCGGAGATTCTGCCTCATCCTTTACTCAGAGACCTTGTGTATACGACGGATCGGGTATTCGTGATTCTTCTTGAGAAGCTGGGGTGTGAGATATCGGGAGGTTATCAATATGCAGAGTCTGTGCAGTAAGTCGATCATCTTATGTCCTTCATTCGAGTCGTTAACAAGTTATCGCCGTACGTTCTTTCGTCGGTTGACCAGGGCGGATATAAAAGGCCTATACAAAGATGTCGCCACCATGGGCATCACACTTGCCAATTGCATCGGTCCCAAAAACATCCTCGTCGCGCCTTCTTCTCCTACGAGTCTACCCAGCCTACCCTCGCCATTTACCAAGCGCGTACATCAATGGCGGCTCATCGATTTTGACAGGGCGAGGAAGACGCCATGGACGCGCAAGACGATCTCTGTTGATCAAATGTCTGGATAATATGTTCGACACCCTTCCGCTGTTTATGCCGAACGAGGATTTTAAGCCCCCTGAGGATGACTCGGATGTGGTCTGAATTGGTGAGGTTGATATTTCCTATCGTCTTGATGAAGACTCCTGCGTATAGATCCTGCTTGCTTGTGCTGTATATAATTGTTTGATTCGTCCCAATATGCAACTGTTTGATCTGTTTGATCTGAGAGTATCTTGATAGATTCGCAAAAGGCAAACACGAGTCCGACAGACGTACAGCGAGAATTATTACTTGTTCGAGCACGAAGAAAAAGAAAATTCATGGTCGTTGCACATGCTTGATACATCAAACAATATAGAAACATTGTAGACAGCGATGCGCCTAGTGCACCGCCCATTTAGCATCAAATCCTCTTTGGGGGGTTCAAAAGAAAGAGACACGGACCCATGGGAGCATCCCGCATTCACCCGACGTTCCCATGCTCACATGATCAATCTTCGCCATGTTCGTGTGGGCTGCAGCAGGATTTCCCCACCGTACTTCACCAGCTTGTTCCTTGTCCAACGCTTTTCCCTGCTCATACTACAGATCCACGTGGCTGCGAGCGAAATCTGTGAGCCCATGGTATGTATTGCCTCGATCATATACTCACCCTCGGTATGCTTACACCCTGTGCTCCAGGCTCAGAATACATTCGACACCATCAAGATAGAGGATCTGCTTCGTAGAGTCGGGAACGAGAATCGGACATTACACTCTGCTACTCTGTCTCGCATGACTATCCCAGAGAATCTCATCGCCCCTTATCCTCATCCTGACTTAATAGATTCAGAATACATGGAAGGTTTTATGCGACCGGAGAAGTTTCACGAGCCGAACGGTCCGCTTCCTCGGCCACCTTCGAAGCTTCCTCCTCCTGCGCATGCCACCCTCTCTTTCAAGCTCGGAAGACGTATGGCTTCTGGGATGACGGGCGTCGTCTATGAGGCCATTGATGTCCGCATCGCTCCCTCCCCCGACCACGGTACTAAGCCCACTGGTTACCTTCCTCCTCTTGTGGTTAAAATCGGTCGGAGTAATCGCTGCATGTCCATGGGGCGCGAGGCCTGGTTCTACAATGAGATGGAGTCTTTGCAGGGCATCGCCATCGCTCGGTGCTACGGCTGCTTTGAGCTCGAGTTGCAAAGGGGTATGCTCGCTGAGCCGTGGCAGGATCGGCTCAACAGGACCGACTACGACAATGAATATGACGAACTGCCCGATTTTATAGAATATCCTGAAGAGGCTCTGGAGGAGAAGGAGGTGGACCCTCATCCCCTACTCAAGAAACTCATTAAAGCTCGTAATCGTCTCTGTATCACTGTCCTCGAGCGTCTAGGGCCCGCGCTCGAGCCGGGTGTCGTACATCCTCTAGAATCCCGGCACGTCCTCTTCTCTTTTGCACTCACGTCATCCCCTTACATCGTTGTCCACCATTCATTTCTTAGGGAGGAGATAAAATCTATGTACACCAATACTGCTGCCCTCGGAGTTCACCTCTCGGACACCATCGTCCGCCAGAACATCCTACACGCACCCAAGTCTCCACCCGGAATCCCTTCCCAGGTCTCTCCTTTCACTGGACGCACGCACGCATGGCGCGCAGTCGGTTTTGGTGGCGCGATAAAGATTCTTTATAAACGCTGGCTTACAGACGGGGAACAAGACGAGTGGGTTGATGTTATGTGGGCAAGCATTGCCTACTTGGGCAGTATACCCAGCGACGATTCCGTTTGGCCTCCTGGTTTGACTGCTTGATGGGTCGTTGACGTTGACCCGGACCCCGTTTACCAGTGCTCCAGTGTATGTTTTCGGTATCTTTCATTTTGCTCTTATTTGTGTCCAGCGCAAAGTGCGTTTTTCTTTGCGATCAGGGCCGTTGTCCTCATACCACGCAGAGCACTTATCTGTACGAACTAAAATACATCCTCTGCTCGATTTACTTCTGTCGAATCTGATTTTTCCCCCTCGTGAGTCATCAAGCGGGCCACATCTGCGCCACACAGCATTCGTGTCAGTGGCCCGGTCTGCCACGCGCACGCGTTTGAACTTTCAGCGGAGCTTGCCTTTGGACCACGTTGATAACCGCACCTCTCCCTACCTCTCCTATACGAGCAGGACTACTCCAGATATCCTACCGATGGTGAGTATGGAGTCAGTCTTCCTCCTTGTGTATCTCGCTAACGTTCTCTTCCGTTGTGTATGAAGGCCCAAAATTCATTCGATTCCATCGTGATCAATGGCCTCGTGTACCGCAAGGAGTCTGACATCAAGAAATTCGAGCCGGCGACACTCGATCACGCGATTCTCCCAGCCAATCTTATTGACCCTTATCCCCACCCAGACCTTGAGGAATGGACTGGTAGAAGACCTGACGAATGCTACGAGCCCGGTGGACCGATTCCACGCCCTCCCTCCACCCTTCCACCTCCCGCACACTCCACCCTCTCTTTCAGCCTCGGCGAAGCCGTCAGTCGCGGTCGTTCCGGTATCATTTTTGACGCTGCCGATGTTTGCGTTGTCCCCCGCGATGGAAATGAAGCCCCGACAGGCTACCTGCCGCCCCTCGTTGTCAGAATCGGCCGATCTAATCGTTGTTATTCTCTCGCTCGCGAGGCCTGGTTCCACGAAGAGATGGAGTGTATCCAAGGTATCGCAATTGCGAGGTGCTATGGTTGCTTCGAGATGGAATTACCTCGCGGACGTTTTGTATATCCATGGCAAGAGCCTCTCTTCGCGACCGAAGATGATGATGACCGTGACGAGTTCATCGACTTCGATGAATACCCCGCCGAGGCGACGCGTGAAACTGGTGTCGCTCCTCATCCTCTTTTGGCTGAGCTCATTCGACAAGATCGACACGTGCTTGTCCTCGTTCTGGAGTGTTTGGGGCCCCGACTTCCTACGGGCACCAGGCATCCAGAGGATGTGCAGTGAGTCTCGGTCTTTCTTCATTTCTCTGTAAATTTCTTGTTCATTGACACGTCAAATATGTAGGGAAGATATCAAGGGTGTATACGACAACCTCGGAGCTCTTGGAGTCCAAGTCGGAGATAGTCTGATCTCCGAGAATATCCTCGCTGCGCCATGTTCTCCTCCTGGCATCCCTAGTCGGCTATCCCCTTTCACGCACCGTACGCACGCCTGGCGTGCTATTGACTTTGAGAGTGCATTCAAGGTTCCCTATACCCGTGAGGTTACGTGGCATGACCACGGCAGCTGGTTAACCAACATGTTTCCTTACATTCGCAGCCGTAGGCCCGACGCGGACTCCCGGTCTTCTTCTCCTGAATCTGTTCCAACGACACCAGAGCCAATTAGTAGTGGGGAAGACGAATACGACTAGATACAGATTGGAGTATATGTCGCATCGTGGCACTGAAGGCTGTCATACTTGTTTTGTTTCGTGGGTCTTGTACGTCTGTTGATCGTAAATTGTGTGTTCTACTTTGCCCTAGGAAATTTGACACGAAGATTTCTTAGTATCTCAAAACGCTACGAGTGAACTGCGGAGTTGTACATATATTATTGTGAAACAAAGAGGTTTGCGCTGCGTGACCAGGGCCACACTTATCCTCAAGCCTCAACGCCACACATTGGTGTCCGAGTGCACGTGGTCCAGCGTGGTCCACACGCTCAAAGTTCGAACGCGAATCTTTGACTCGTTCGAATCCTCAGTGTCGTGCATCGTCAATCAGCGTCCAGCATGGAAAACGTTCAACAGTGTACGCCTGTGGTCAGTGCTCAGCCCCGAGACGTCGTAAAATATATAATTCAACTGATCTTCAACTTTTTATTGGCAGCCGCAGAATGCCTTCGACGTTGTTTCGATAGGCGGCCTTGTCTTTCATAACGTCGACGGCGTCAGGACCGAGCCCCCTACAATTCTCCATCGCATGTTCCCTCCTATAGATCTTGTTGACATCTATCCTCATCCAGATATCGTCCCCTTCATCTATGCACGTCCAGCAGACGAGTGCAACCGGCCAGAAGGACCTCCAGTACGCCAACCTTCTACACTTCCTGTTCCGGGACACTCTACGCTGTCTTTCAGTCTGGGCGACGCCATAAGCTCTGGACGCTCTGGGATAGTCTATGAAGCCCTCGAAGCCCGTATCAACTCCACCCACATCGGTGTCCCAGGGGATACTGCTACGGGTTATTTGCCTCCTTTGGTGGTCAAAATAGCCCGCCAGAATCGTTGTATGTCCATTGTACGGGAGGCCTGGTTCTACGAAGAGATGGAGTGCCTTCAGGGTGCATCTATTGCGCGGTGTTATGGTTGCTTCGAGCTGAGATTAGAGAAGGGGTGGCGTGTCGGCCCATGGGAAAATCCCGAGCATCGGCTTTATGATACTGGCTACGACTCCATTCCAGAGTTCGCTAGGTATCCTCCTGTGGCCACCATGGAAGCCGGCATCGAACCTCACCCACTGCTGACGGAGCTTATCATGGCTCGCAATCGTGTTTTTGTACTGGTTCTTGAGCGGCTTGGGGATGAGTTGTCGGTCGGCTATGCACACCCTACGAGCGTACAGTGAGTCCCTCATATGCCTGGATCCGGTCATATCCATTTTCTTATCGTTGGCGACATTTTTTCTTTTCACCTTTCTTTTGTACTCTGTAGACAAGACGTCAAGGACATCTACAATGACGTGGCTAGCCTCGGCATCACGCTTGCCAGCGACGTTCGCTCACACAACATCCTTGCCGCTCTGCCCAGTCCTCCAGGCCTTCCCAGTATTCCTTCGCCGTTTACTCGACGTACGTATGCCTGGCGTCTGGTCGATTTCGAGTTGGCGCGAAAGACTCCGTGGATGCGGAAGGTGATAGCTCGGGATCAGCAGGACTGGGTGAGGAATATGTTCGTATCTCTTCCTATGTTCACGCGCAAATGTAGCCGCGCGATGCCTCCTGAGGCTCCTTAGAGCTAAGTATTTCATCTTGATAACGTTGTCTTCGTCGTGTTCCTCGGTAATGCATTCAACCTGGTCTTCGTCCCTCTTACTCCAGCTTGCTCATTGCGGAAACTCGACAAATATGACTGTGTGAATTGTGTCACCGAATATCGTCCAATATCTAAAAGCTATGACTCGGTTTTCGGGCCCGCAGAATATGAACGACACTTCCGCAGTACTGTAGTTTTTCGACCAAGTGTTCGTCACGCATCACGCAGAGGGCGTCGGCGAACAGTTTTGGTCCCGGGGTCACGCATACACACGGGTTCACGAACAGAAAATCGTGACGAATCTGCACTGAAAATCGCCCAAAATTCAATTTTTGGGAACTAATGCGAACAATTCCGCTTGTTCGTCACGCGTGGCCCGCCCGAACGAACCGTGGCCCAGCGGTGGTCACGGCTGACATAATTCTCCCACGAACACTTGGTCGAAAAAGTACAGTATACTGTACTTTTTCGCGCACAAGTTCCACCGCCCTTCGGCCGTTGCCGAGCTGACATAATCCGTTCGTGTCCCGGTTCGCACGCAGATCGGGATAAGGGACGATGTTCGTGAACATGGACGCTTTTTCAGGGATACGACCTTTCATGACCGCTCAACAGCCACTTATGCTCTGCATTTGGATGGGGGAGCTCACCTAGTAGCAAAATCTGGCCCAAATTGTGTCTTGGGGGCCTTCCTGAGGTCAATTTAGGACCCTAAAATATATTCTCAAATATTTGTCAAGTTTTCGTCAAATTTTGGTATGTCCCATTTACAAGTTCAGTGCACGTCAATGGGGTGGGACTGTCCCGTGGCACAAGTTCGTTCGCGGCATCCATGGGACACGGGACACGAACTTGTGCGCGAAAAAGTACAGTAGTATAAAGGCAGCTTATTTATCATTGAGGCTAAGACCCTATCTCGAAGGGGAGACCGACAAGCTCGCGGAGCACGACTTTAGGCTTCATAAGCGATAGGATTACAAAAGGAAGATCAACAGAAGTGACCATTGACACCGCACGTGGGGCCGCCGGCGAAGCGGACCGAATTGGAACGTGCCTGCAGGACGTGGTTGTATAACGGGATTGCTCTGGCCCATCAAACCGAACATCTCTTGTCCGCCCCAGTTACCCCGACATCATGAGTAGCATTGACCAGACTTCAATCGTGGTGAGTATTGCTATTCTCTACCCTTTTCATATATGTTGACAATTCCATAGGCTCAGAATGCATTTACTGCCATCTCTATAGAAGGCCTGTTATATCGAAACGTCGAAGGCAACACAGTTGAACTGCCCGCGACTCTCCGTCGCATGTCCCCTCCCCTGGACCTCGTCGACGTTTACCCTCATCCAAAGATCACTCCCTTCAGATACCGTCAGACGTTAGACTGCTGCCTCCCGGACGGTGCTCCGCCACGTAGTCCTTCCAACCTTCCTCCTCCTGGGCACTCCGAACTATCTTTCAGTCTGGGTCCTATCATAGGCTCAGGTCGCACTGGAATTGTCTACGATGTTCGCAATGCCTCTATCGATCATAGTAAGGGTGATGTCTCTACAGAGACTCCCGGCTACCTGCCTCCTCTGGTGGTCAAAGTCGCTTACAGGAATCGTTGTCTGTCGCTCGTTCGAGAGGCCTGGTTCTACGAGGAGATGGAGTGTTTGCAGGGCGCATCTATGGCACGGTGCTATGGTTGTTTTGAGCTCGATTTGAAACGCGGATGGCGTCTTCACCCGTGGCGGTACCGCGCAGGAAAGGCGCCCGATGGTTGCGAGTATGACAGTATCCCAGATTATGACGAGTACCCTCCTGCTACCGCCAGACGGGTTGGAATCGCCCCGCATCCGATGCTGCCAGAGTTGATTATGGAGCGCGATCGTGTATTTGTACTTCTTCTCGAGCGGTTGGGAGACGAATTGTCACCTAGGGTATACTCTGAGGCCGAAAAGTGAGCATTTTCTCTACTTGTGTCTTCTCCTGAACTGTATACTGACATTGATTGGCTTTCTTTTCTCAGGCAGGACATTCGGGATATCTACAAGGACGTCGCTAGCCTCGGCATCTCGCTTGTAAGCGACGTCCGGCCGAGCAATATCCTCGCCGCCCCACCCAGTCCCCCGGGCCTCACCAGTCTTCCGTCTCCCTTGGCCAGTAAAGCTCACGCATTCCGTCTGATTGGTTTTGAGTTGGCGCAGAAGACTCCATGGACGGCAAGGATCATTACCGGTGACCAGCAAGAATGGGTGAACAATATGTTCGACTGCCTGCCGTATTACCTACCCAGAGAAGTTGATCGCGATCCTCTATCTACTTCTTTCGATTTTTGACGCTTCCCAAGAATTCCCTAGTGTACTGTCCTGGATAAGTAATTGCAGCGCGATACCCAGCCTCGCATTCTTCCTCTTGTACAATCCAGTTTATGCTTACACAAATATCGATTCTTTTCTCTGACAAGCTGGTTGTATCTGTCCCACTTCAATCCACCCTCATAGCCCAGTGGTTGAGCTTGCAGTGCTTGCAAATCACAGTATTTAAAGCTGGATAGGGTTTTATTCAATGACCAGTGGTCAAGCTCGCTGCGCTTGCCGACCACGGAACTTGTCCCTGTGCCAAAGCTTTTGATCCAGTACGATATAAGTAGCACGTACGGTCATATACTTAGTATAAGGGGCATGTGTACAAAGCGCACTATAGCACTGATCACATTGCCCTAGTGGATTGAAAAAGCATCCAGACAATATATACCGTACGATTCTGTCTGAACAGGCCTCACGGGCCACACTCCCGTACATTCGTAACACGCTCTCCGCACTTGCCAGTGCTGCTGCAGGCCACAAAAAATACAGATGGGAGTAGCCTTCTGACATTCCAGTAGACATAATGGAAGCCGACCATTTTCGTTTGCTGTTGAACCTTTCATCCCGACTGGTCACTTCGCGAGAGATGGGCTTCCTTGCAGGGCGCTCGCCACCTCGGGACTGGGGCACCGGAAGAGTCCGACGCGCGTCGCTCGCCAGCCAATCAGCTATAAGTTCCCCTTCCCATTCTTTTTTCTAGGTTGGATTATATTTTTGTCACAATTCCTCCTTGAAGGAGGGCCCAAAATGCCAAGACCCCAGTGGTCCGCCGAATACTGTACTTTTTCGCGCACAAGTTCGCGCCACCGCCCCTCGGCCGTTGCCGAGCTGACATAATCCATTCGTGTCCCGGTTCGCACGCAGATCGGGATAAGGGACGATGTTCGTGAACATGGACGCTTTTTCAGGGATACGACCTTTCATGACCGCTCAACAGCCACTTATGCTCTGCATTTGGATGGGGGAGCTCACCTAGTAGCAAAATCTGGCCCAAATTGTGTCTTAGGGGCCTTCCTGAGGTCAATTTAGGACCCTAAAATATATTCTCAAATATTTGTCAAGTTTTCGTCAAATTTTGGTATGTCCCATTTACAAGTTCAGTGCACGTCAATGGGGTGGGACTGTCCCGTGGCACAAGTTCGTTCGCGGCACCCATGGGACACGGGACACGAACTTGTGCGCGAAAAGTACAG